TCCCACATTACTTCCTTTTGGCTACTGGCCACCTCGGCGAGCAGCTGAAAACGAGAGAATGGATAGTGGCAAGGATAACATCCATTACCGAACGTATCGTCGATAGTAAGGTGCGTACGGCATGGTTCATATTGTCGTATTTGTCCTCAACGCCCGACCAGGACCCCTCTAGCAATCCATATGGTTTAGGCGACGGGGTAAAGTACTATATGTTGGAAGTGGAAGACTGGACTCAAGCAGGTCAGATGAATAAGCGGAGACCTGCTGGCAGAAAGGTTTCGGCATTATCGGATCCTGAAACAGACCGCAAGACAAGCTCAATTGCTCCTGAGCCTTCTCCCAGCCCACCACCAGCGCCTCCTCAGTCTGACTTTGAGAGCGTTTTCAGTGTTACACAACCTCCCACATCATCATCCTTCCCCGTCAGGGCAAGAGCGAACTCCACACCTGTTGCTGGTCCATCTTCATTGTCTCGTCTGCTTGCCCAAGCCCCTACTGAGAACTTGATGGAAATAAATCCATTGTCGCGTGATGTTTCTCCCCCTACTACCCCTTTGCCACCACCTCCACCTCCTTCGCCGCCGACACAAGTTGACTTGAATGCGCAACAGCCTGCGTCGTTAACTCATGCACCATACATACCATCTCCACTGCGTCCAGGTTCGCGTGCATCTCGTGGCTCCTCGTCCTCTAGGTTCTCTGCGGTGCGGCTTCCGCCACTTGCATCTGTCTCTGCTTCCCCCACTTCTGTGAAAGCAGTGGCTACTACCGCTCTGACAGAACATGATTTATCGTCAATATCTCCTCCACGCGAGTATTCAATCATTAAAGGACCGCCGTCTCCACAAGGCTCGTTGTCCGAAGGGATGACCAGTATCTTTCTCAACAGACGCCGGACTACGTCACACCATGTCCCTCGGTCTTCTCCATTGGCGTCTAGCAATTTCTCGAGCCCACCATCCGCTACCAGCGCACTTGCTAGCTTAGCCAGCAATTTTGTGCCTTTCGGGAGAAGAAAGAAGGTCGATATGCCTGCTCCCATCATTGAGGGGCATGTACGCGATCAGGCCGGGGGTAGTGAGGTGTCAGCTAGTGATATGCTGAGACGGTTTTAGATCGCACCTCATAGATAGCTCTGGCCGAAATGTACGGGGTTGGTCCTCACCCTTGATCGTAATTTGGTCGGGATAGCCCTCCCTCAGAGCATCATGTGATCGGATCGACTTTCAACTCATTTTACTGAGGATCTCTCTGCGAAAGCCAGAGATTCAGCCTTTTAAGTACTCAAGTGTACTATGGACCGTAGCAATACCGCCAATATGGTCATCATTTGACTCTGGAGTCTTGTGACTTGTCCATGTTGTTTGGGAATGATTTGATTAATTTTGTTGTTGTTGCGACTCGGTCGGCGACCTCCGCATTTATAAAGTTTCTTGCGCCTATATATCAGGTGAAATTCCAATTCTTATATGTAGCCTAACATTTTTACACGCAGTTTTGACTCACGAAAAGACTGAAGGAGACGAAGAACTCACGGCCGGGGAAAAAATCGGTCAGTCCTGTCCGGATCTAGGATCATGCATCATGATCATGATGTTTGAAAACTCTGTTCGTCTTACTTATGCCGCCTACGTGGAGCGATGCGACTCGCTTGAAGAAGTACCTAGGAGATCCTTCCGCTTGACAGGCCACCTTTTCGACAGACGCCGCCTGATTTCAGTCTAATCAAGGCACTGGTTTTCAAGTTAGAATGTGCTAAAAAAGCTGTCTGCGGCCTACTTCCAGGGAAAGATGTATTGCGGGGTAACTTGAACATGCGGTTCGAGTCTACTGAACATTAGCGCTGGGAATAGTATCAACCTATTCCATTTCCGGCTGTTACCAATGATGGCATGTTCCGCGAGATGCATGGGTAACTTGTCAAGCTCACCATCAAGGTTTTTCCGTCTTGATCTATGATGGTTCATTGGAAGTACACTCGCGGACCATGGACAACGGAGTACCTCAGGAGAATTATCAACTGCCGAACTTTATCCGGTCCGCTGGTTTGAAGTGTGTGCATAAAACATGGCTTCCCTGAATGACCTTTCTCTTCTTAACCATCTCACTCTAGAGATCAATCATGGGTGGGGTTACTGCTGTCAGCGGAAAAGACACTTCATTTGCGCATCTCATCGATGAGCGAAGGAAGTGGTACAACAACAGGCGGTAAGTAAACACTGCTGAATGCTTCTCGTTCTGATCAATGTAAATGCATCATAGAATCATCGCTCTCAACGCCTGGATTGTGCTTCTGTACGTTTCTTCGTCCGTTCTGTCACTCCTCTGTTAAACGTATTTTCTTAGTCTCATCACTTCCTCGACGAATGGGTACGACGGCAGTATGATGAATGGACTGCAGTCCCTTCCTCAGTGGGAGTCCGCCTTTGGCTATCCATCTGGCAGTAAACTAGGTCTCTTGAACGCTATTCAGGTGTGTTTCTTTTGTACCTGCGTTGATGATCTTTAATGATAATGGACCACGCAGAATATTGGTGGCCTAGCGGGCTATCCATTTGCCCCCTATGTATCAGACGGTATAGGACGTCGTAAGACGGTGTTCTTCGGTGCAACAATTATGTGCATCGCTACTGCCATACAGACTGCCTCTCAGTCCGTGGGCATGTTCATTGGTGCTCGATTCCTTATCGGTTTTGGTCTTACTTTTGCCGGTCGGTACACAGTCCCCTTGTGTATAAGTAATTGATCAACTGACACGCTATGTATAGCTAATGCCGCACCAATGTTGGTCACTGAGGTTTCGTATCCCACGTACCGCGCTCCCCTGACATCTCTTTACAACTCCCTTTGGTACTCTGGTTCTATCATGTAAGTGCGATCATGCGAAGCCGCTCATCGGATCTTGAGCGCTGATGAGATTATTGATATTAGCGCTGCCTGGACGACTTATGGCACGTTCAAGATTAACAGCACATGGGCATGGCGTCTGCCTTCTCTTCTTCAGGGTATCCCATCCATCCTGCAGTTCTTTCTTGTGCTGTTTGCACCTGAGTCACCCCGTTGGTTGATTAGAAATGGTCGTGAGGCCGAGGCTCTCAAGACCCTCGCCTACTATCATGCTGATGGTAATGAGTGAGTCGCATTATTTTGACCGCACTTTCATCACCTGAAGCATTTTTCTCAGGCAGGATCCCCTGGTTGTGTACGAGTTCGAAGAGATCAAGGCTGCCATTGAATATGACCGTAGTGGTCAGTCTCTTTCTACTTGCTGCACTGCACTTTCTCACACGAACACTTCTAGTTGCCACCAATGTCGGTTGGAAGATACTTATTGCTACTCCTGGCAATAGGAAGCGCATGCGCATTATCGTCGCTCTTGCCTTCTTCTCTCAGTGGTCTGGAAACGGTCTTGTTTCATACTACCTCACAAAGGTCTTCGACCAGATCGGTATTACAGGCTCAAGCACTCAGCTGCTCATCAATGGTATCTTGCAAATATGGAACTTAGGATGGGCTGTTTCCGCTTCGTTCATGGTCAACAGACTCGGTCGTCGCTTCTTGTTCTTGCTTTCAGCAGCTCTGATGACACTCTTCTACATGGCACAAGCTATTTGCTTCGCTGAGTACGCAGAGCATGGTAGCCCCGCCGCCGGACACGCTGTCATCGCCTTCATCTTCCTCTTCTATGCGGCATACGACGTGGCGTTTACGCCTCTCATCGTCTCCTACACCGTGGAAATCCTGCCATACAGCATTCGCGCAAAGGGCTTCAACGTCTTCAACTTCGTCGTCTCTCTTGCGCTCATTTTCAACCAATATGTGAATCCGATCGCACTGGACGCCTTATCGTGGAAATATTACGTATGTATTTGTAGACGCTGCCTTGCTCTGAATTTTTTTCTCAACGGTCATGCCTAGCTCGTATACGTCTGTTGGCTCGCTGTCGAATTCGTCTTCCTGTGGTTCTTCCTCATCGAGACCAAGAACAGGACTCTTGAAGAAACCGCAGCCCTCTTTGACGGTGAAGATGTACTGGAACAGATTGCCAACAAGGCAGAGGTTCAACACGAGGTGTACGAAGACGGTTCATTGGAGAAAAAATCTTTCGGCGCGGACAACGAGGCGCCTAGAGTTTAATTTCTCTGAGGTATTTCGGATGATGCCGTCTCCATGTTCGAAGGGTATTAATTCCTTTACGTATAACCTTATGCAGAACGTGGCACCGCGCAGCCTTCTACGCATGTACAACGAATATAACTTTGGCTCATTTTCAGTCTGTCTGTTTAAGTTGTGCCAATGAATTCATATGTGGCGTAATACCATATGATATGTTTCACCACTTGTAACTATAAGTTCCAGTCCTCGGCTGCTCGAGGCTCGATTTAAAAATACTATTCCCCGCGTGTTCCCCGCAGTCACTAGCATATGGACACGCATCAATATCGGAGTGACCTAGGTTGATAAGACCGAGTTCACATGGAGGCCTTGAAAAGTCGCTCAACGCCGCGCACGTCAGAATGAGTATGTACAGGATTTCATAATATACGACAAACGTTTACTGTGACAAAAAGAAAGAAAAAAACAAATACGGAATATCTGGCAGTTGCGGTGAAGCATTAGGAGCACAAGACAAAATGAGCTATTGTGCATAAAAACCTATAGCACATGAAGGCCAATACGGAACATGATTGACAGAATATGGACAGGAAGGGCACCGTGGGTGGGTTAGTCCAATGAGTGAATAGATATGTAAGAATTGTAGCATGGCGGGGTGTACTTGCAATGAAATTTCCCTCCACAGGCAACCCAGAAAACGTCCGTATGTCAATGCAGCTCCCGCATCCTCAGCCATCTTGTTACCATCGGTGAATCAGCCCAATGATCACCTTCACAGCATGCCTTGTCGCCAATGTAAACCGCACAATTACAACCAGCAATGAACAATACAGAATGATAAGAGGGAATGTCGATGACTGAAGGCATGGCTGGCCCTACTCGACTCAGCCCATCTTGCTGTCCTTCTTCTTCTGCTTACGCGGTGGTGTTACTGGTCGACCCATGTTCATCCCTCCGTATGGATACTTAGCCTTCTTCTCAGCAGGCTTCAGGATCTGAAAATCAAAAGTCAAACTCAATCAAAGAACATGCAGGGTAGCTGGTATCGTACCTGGAAGGAACATAATAGGGTTTCGTCTACACTCATCATTGCGCCTGCGTTATCGAACTCTCCGCAGTAATTAGGCGCTGAGAATAACGTGACCAAATGCCGCTTTGCAAAAAATTCATAACCATCCTCAACGACCTAATTCCACGGCGTCAGTCAGCGATACAGCACTTGGGGCCCGTACAGACGCTGCCCGTAAAGCGCAGCATACCTGATGAGCTCTACAGATGAGATCCATGTCATGTTTCTGCAAAAATCGGGACACCACGTCGGGACCAAATGTGAAGGATACTCCTCGATCATTCTCCGACCACCCAGTGATATCCTTGTCGGGATCTGACCATAGTAGGTCACATAGCAGACCTTGGTCGGGTAAGACACTCAAATTCAAGCAAGATGCACAGCACACCTACCTGTGTCAGGAACATCCGTAGGTCTCATCACTCTCCGTATTTGCTCCATGGACTGAAGATCAGGGCTGAGACCACCGTGCATTGTAAAGATCTTTTCATCGATGATAGCGGCTATAGGGAGACAATTAAAGCAATCCGTAAACGTCTTCCACAGTTTGATATTGTAGCGCCGTTTGCCTGTCAGTGCCATCAGAGCCCCATCATGAAGAGTTGCAGCACAACTCACATTCATCATAGAAGCCATAGATTCGGTTTATACTTGCACACTCATGGTTGCCCCGGAGAATGAAAAAGTTTTCGGGGTACTTGATCTTGTAGGCGAGGAGGAGACAGATGGTCTCGAGAGACTGCTTCCCCCGATCGACGTAGTCGCCGAGGAAAAGATAGTTTGCTTCTGGTGGGAACCCGCCATACTCGAAAAGTCGGAGCAGGTCATAATATTGACCGTGGATGTCACCTAGCCGAAGGTGGACCCGAATGAGTCATCCCGATAAACCACAAGGACCGAGCGATACTCACCACAAATCTTTATGGGGGCCTCTAATTCAAGCAATATCGGTTGATTTATAAATATCTCGCGTGCTTTTGTGCAGAGATATTTGATCTCGTATTCTTGTAGCTGGACAGGTTTGCCTGGGCGGTTGCCTCGCACTGGATGTAAAAGTTCGGTTAACACCTGCTTTGTAACATATTACGGGCGGTCCATTCTAGAAATGCAGGGGAGCGCTTCTGTGGGCATGTGCACCCCATCTTTTTTTCCAAGGTTGCTTGCTGTGGTGGTCACGCGGCCCCACATTTCACCCATGCCTGTGAGTGGGCACCACGTTGCATAGCCCGCCTCAGACGCTGACCGGTTATGTTCCTTCCTCCCACCGCCCTGCCCCTCAAGGTCCGAAATCTGCTCTCCAAGGAGCCTACGAGTCAGAGCACGAGCCACTCACCCTCCAACAAGCGGTCAATAACCGAGTCCAGATCGATCTCCGTCTGCGAATCTGCCATGACTGGTCTAACTGAATGTACTCAGTACGTTGGACTTGACGTGAAGGATGATGGTATGAGGAGAAAAAACGGGCGAAATAACCGCGAGAAGGAAGATCGTTTTCGGCGCTGTAGAGTTGGTTTTTAAAGCGTTTTTTGAACGGCTTGTGAGATTTGGAGAGGGATAGTCGCTGAGCTGACGATGGCTGCCAGAACCAGGTAAAGAAAAGATAAAATGAGAATATCGATGAGGGAAAACACCAAGGATCCAGATAACAAGCAACCTGGATGAGCAGATCGGTGTCAAGGCAAATACCGAACCTCGGCTCAAAACGGGAACAATCCGTGCGAACTTTCTCTATCAACAAGAAAAAAGAGTGCGACAGTACAATTGCAACAAGGGATACTATCAATACAACCTATCCAAAGAGTGCCATAGTGTAACACGAGTACTGTACAACAGATACGAACATAAGAAACACACAAACGAGGCACGTTACAGCACAACTGCAGGGATCACTACTCCATTACCAGCTTGAGCCTGAGTGTTCTCATCTGCTGGTCGTCGATTCCTTCTCCGTCGACGCCTGTATATACATTTGAGAAACATACAATACCAAGCAAAAAAAAACATACCTCGGGAACATCGGCCCTTTGGGCATGACACGATGATCAAGGTCAAGTGCGATGTTTGTGCCCGCATGGAAAGCCTGCATGCACGATCAACATTAAACCGCCTCACTCGTACATCATGACAGAACTCACCTCTATCCACTCCACAACGGAAGGTACATCTGCTGCCTGCAAGAGAAACTGTTCCCCTTCTAATCGTACCCTTATCACGTTCTTCCGCTTAAAGTAATCATTCCCGAGGCCGCTCTCCGCGTGCTGGAGAGTATATGCACGGATCAAATCACCTTTCCCAGGCTTTTGTATTTCGCTGCTCCGCAATTGCATCCTCGATGAAAGGAAGCTCAGGCGAGACGGAGCTCGTGGTGTCAGAGGCGATGTCCTTTGTGAAGCCGTCTCCTGTGAAGCTGAACTAGACACAGAATTACGACGGCTGTTCGGCTCAGTCACCGGGAGCAGCTCCATGCCCCCATTTGTGCCAGGAGATACCATACCCCTTCCTCGCGATTGCGGCCCGCTCGATGGGCCATTGTGCCGCCACGAGGTCAGGAAGCTGGCACCGGACAGCCTCCTATTGGCACGCAACATCGAAGGCGTTGTGGATTGATTCGTAGCTCTTGATGATTGCGATTCGCTCCTCGCCCTGTGCGGTGTGGGAGGGGGTGAACTCGACGAGGATGCAACCGGTTGATCGACCGCTATTTTCGAAGGAGGCGTCGGGCTCTCCTCCCCTGTTTTCGACGAGGGCGCTGGGCTTTCGTTCGCTTTCCGCACCGGCGCATGGTATCCGCTACTTAGGTCACCCACGCCGACACGTCTCTCCCACCACTCGCCAATGATGCCCGCCCCGCTCGCGCCGGGAGGACACTTGTACACACGGAGTACTGTCCCTTCGAGCTCGCAGAACACACGTCTCCATTTCCTGTCCTTTGCCTGAATGCCGGGAGTGCTGAACTCCATTTTGAGCGGCATAATAGCGCTGAGATACAGCGAATTGCTATATGGAGGCAAGCGCTCGCGACCTTCGTCCTCGTGGAATTGAAATGGAGGTGCACTCTTCGGCGGGCGCGGGTCAAAGGAAGGATACGGAGGTGGGTCCGACGTGGAGGTGAAAGTAGGCATGGATGTGCGTCGCATAAGCCTTCCCATTACATTGTCCGTGTTATCGCTCTCAACGGATTCGACGGTGTGATCAGACACGGAAGGTACATTCAAATGCACTGTGTCACGTGACTTTTTGCTCAAGTCTCTCCGGGACACACTCAGGTCAACCATACTGCGAGATGGCGCGCGATACAGACTTGGCGGGCGGCTGACCTCCAGGGAAGGTTGTGCACGATAAAGCGAAGGCGTAGGCGTTATTCGCCGCCGAACATTGATAGACTCTCCGAGAGATGTTTTCTGAGAGAAAGGTTTAGCTGTAGGGACGTCCTGCCTCGGAGTCAAGTCCGGGAGCTTCTCATATGCCTTGGACGAGAAATCATCAACAGCATTGTGGGGAGCGGGGATAGACCCCCCTGCTGAAGACGGCGAGGCAAAGGGTCCAGAAGAATGACCAGCAACTGGGGGAGCCAAGTCGGCAATTTGGCTTTGAAACTCTCGCAGCGGAGAATGAGATAAAGAATGGCCTGTACCCAAACTCGACATTTCCTCCCCATCACCGTCTTCGTCACTCTGATGCTCCGAGTCTTCATTTCTCAATCCCTCGTCTCCATCACCCTCGTCCTCCTCCTCCACGTCGTCATCGTCCTCATATTCGATAGCAGAGTCTGGCTCTGGATCGACGTCAGGTCGTCCGTGAACAGTTAATGATGGCATATGCCGGAGACGGACAACTGGCCGCACAGCGGTCTCTGTAGCAGGAGTAGGCACAGGCAAAGTCGGAAGATTCAAGATTGGCATACGATGCCTTGAGATAATAGAAGGAGATAGACGGAGGCCACGCTCAGTGGCAACGCGGAATGGAGGTGGTAGGGCCGTCGTCGGTTGAGTCCCTGTTGAGTAATGACCCTGAATACTGGACGAGGGTAAAGATTGTGTAGCAGGTGAAACCAAGATAGCAGATGAGAAAGGTATTTGAGCAGATTCTGGTTCTACAGATGAGTTGGTCATGTCTGTGTTCATGATTGATTCGTTGAAAGGAACGGGTTCCTTCGTTTGTCGTGGAGTTTGTGATCCTTCCAACTGCGGCATCTCGTCTGGTACAGGAGATGCATCTCGTAAGACTATGATATCTGGCACGTTGCTCGGGGTCGTTGAGTGTAATAAGACATCATGTGATGCACGTGTAAGGCAGTCCCTTGACGCGCCAGACCACAAAAAGAATGGTGCTGGAGCGAGGACATTTTTCCCATCACTGCTAGACTGATCAGAAGCATTCTTCGAGACCTTTATCTCTCGTAAAAATAATGGGGCGGGACCATGCCCCGCGAACACCGGGCTCACAGAGGATTGTGTGAGACCGTCCCAAGCTGAGAAACGCCTTGATTGGCGGGTGGGGCTATTGCTAGACGATGAATCATCCGTGTCCGTGGGACTGAAAGCATCATCTAGTCGTAAGCCTGTAAGGCTAGGAGTGGATATATCTGGCTTTCGGGGAGCGTCAGGAGAGGGTATGTGTGAGCGGTCGTTGTTTGGGACGGTTGGAACGACTCGGATACTAGACATGTTATCTTTTGAGCGGCTACCTCCCAAGCTCAAACGCGAGTTCAGTTTCTTGAGAAGCTGTGCTGCACGAGCCTGAAACACGACGGCCTGATTCATATCTGAACCGACAGGAGACAAAGGTGAGATCATACCTGGAACGGTATTGCAGGCTGCAGACGAGGCTTGTCCATCGTGAGGATGTGAGAGGCTTGGAGATAATGGGCGCTCCTTATTTCACTGCGACGGCAAGTGTCGGACCTGGCAGGACAGGGTTGTCTAGAATTAAGCAACGAATATTAAGCAACGGATCGAGATTGGATAGCTGTCAGATCCTGATTACACTTCGGTGAGTGTTGCGATAGCAGTCAATCAGAAAGCAAACCATCGAGACTTACACAAAACTAGTTGGTGCGAGGTCAAGTGGTAAGAATTATAAAGCATGGGTACTAGCACTACATAGTACCAGTCTAGCTAGTGTGTGACTGACACGGCAATGATTCGGCTCGTATTTCTAAACTTGTGACAGACATGACATAGATGCTCCAACTTGTCATTAACTTTCGGGGGTAGTTGACCTTCTAAGGAGCGATCGGGCGCCTCATGTTCTATCTCGTCCTCACTCATCACTTTGGAGTGCTTTTATCGACCTAAAGCACCATCATGGAATGTAATGGGGGTATACCATCAACTTCGAGTCACTTGACCACCGTTCACCTCGGCCCACACATACTCCTTGCATTACAACTCCGGCCCCAGCCCGAGATAAGCCCGAGATCCGTGGTTATTAGGTGCAGGAACACGCCACCATGTCACCCCGCAAGTACACAGCGCACGTTGCCGCCGTCGGCACTCGCACACTACGTAAAGAAAACCTTGTGAAGACAACCAGCAAAAAACCCAGTAGTCAAACTTGCGTACCTCAGCGCATGGATTTGGAGGGTGCCAACTCCCGGGGCACGAGGAATATGGCGTCCGAAAGCCTATAAGTCCTCGAGGAGTTCTCAGGACGGGCTGGTCGTGATTTCTGTATGAATCGGGAATTGCCCACGGGATATTTTGAGATGCTGTTAATGCCGAGTCCTGGGAAGCTGACTACCAAGCGATTAGACTGTAACGGGAAATTATCATGTCACCGAATGACGGCCGTGTACCATGGCGAGATTGCCATCATCGAGTTGGACCTTCATTTACTTGGCCCACATTTTCCATCGAGAGTTTTGCCGGCAGTCTTCGACCCATTCCAAATGAGCCCAAACCCAATTCCCTGAAGTAGATGATAATCGTGCGATGAATGTCGCTGAGTCTAGCGAGCGACCAATCATGATAACTTCGGACAGAAAAAGAATTAAAATGTAGCACTCGCGAGAATCAAATGCTATATAAAAGGTTGACTGATGATTTGACGAACCGTCTCTTGGGAGAACAATCAATTCCAGCACGGTTGGACACGTCTTAGGCCGCGGCGACGGGTAGACCGGCGGCAAGAGATGTTGGTGTGAAGTTCAGGAATACACCCGACACAATTTCAAGCTTGACAGTGAACTTGGCGTGAAGGGGCGGTCACAGTCTCATGAGATGGCAGCTGTGCAAGTTCTTGGCAAGGAATATAATGAAGGTCAAAAGATTATGGGCTATATATGTAATGACTTACAATGTAATATTGTCATAGCCAGCGCTACTGCAGCGAGCAAGTTGTATTAATGTTGTTGATACTGGAAATCTAACCGGGTTTTGAATTTTGAATTTTTATATTTTGGCCATCTACGGTCAGCGAATAAGTAGTCACGTGAACAGAAAATGGACTGCGCTAGAAGTTGAACCTACAAAAATTCAGGCTTCTTTCAAGTTCGTCCAAGTTGGTTGCTCAGTGTTTACTGTCCGTTCCTTCCATAACTTTCATTCTAACTCACCTCCAAGTAAGTCTTGACACCTTCTGTTCTTGCCGCCAAGGCTCGTTTCCTTGAGGAAGTGTTCGATATTCATGCAATTTTTTCTTGCAGACAACATGACTTCAACTCAGTATTCCGACGGACGTCAAGAGAAGCGCGTTGAGAACTATACCAAATTCTGGCAAAAGGACTTTGGTAAGGAGGGGGAGACGGACAATCAAAATCGTGTTGAGAGCTACACCGACGTTGTAAACGGTATTACCTCACAATTTTTGTTGCGAGTGGCTTTTAGTGACAGAAAACACAGGCTACTATGATGGTGCAACAGAGTTGTACGAGTATGGCTGGGCGCAGTCCTTCCACTTCTCGCGGTTCTATAAAGGCGAGGCTTTCGTAGCCTCTTTGGCCCGCCATGAGCACTACCTCTCAGCACAAATGGGACTTCGCTCTGGCATGCGAGTACTGGACGTCGGGTGCGGCGTCGGTGGTCCTGCACGCGAGATTGCACGCTTCGCTGACGTCAATATCGTCGGCTTGAACAACAACGATTTTCAAATTCAGCGTGCTCGGAAGTACACTAAGAAGGCTGGCCTTGAAAACCAAGTGAGCTTCGCCAAGGGTGATTTCATGAAACTGTCGGAACAGTTCGGAGAGAACTCGTTCGATGCTGGTGGGTGTTTTTGCAGGCTTTCACAAATCATTGAATCCTAACGGCATTAATGTTAGTGTACGCCATTGAAGCCACCGTCCATGCACCCACATGGGAGGGTGTGTATGGTGAAATCATGAAGGTTCTGAAGCCTGGAGGAGTGGTATGATTAGCTTTCGACTCCGAGTTTCAATATATTGACATCAGTTTGTAGTTCGGTGTCTATGAATGGTGCATGACTGACACGTGGGATGCATCCATTCCTGCACACAAGGAACTTGCGCATGCCATTGAGTTTGGCAATGGTATCCCAGAAATGCGTCCCTTGAAGCAAGCTCGCGAAGCTATGGTCAAGGTTGGCTTCTCCATTGAGCATGAAGAGGATCTCGCCGAACGCCCTGATGAAGTTCCATGGTATTACCCACTGGAAGGCGATATATGGAAGGCCCAGACTGCTTGGGATTGCTTCACTGTTTGGCGGATGAGCTGGAGCGGAAAGCTTGTTTCACACACCGCAATCAAGTTCATGGAGATACTTGGTCTTCTGCCCAAGGGCACATATGATGTTGGCGAATCCCTCAAGGTCGCTGCTGATGCACTTGTGAAGGGTGGCCAGACCAAAGTGAGTTGAAGCACGCTTTTGTAAATGTCTAGCAAGGGCTCATGATTTCCTTGAAGCTGTTCACGCCCATGTATCTCGCAATTTGCCGCAAGCCTGCATTGTCTGAAAGCTAGACCGGATACCCATGACACCACATATACGTATATACCCCGCTGCCCCGCCACTAATATCCTAGAAAAAATGCATAACTTTATGGCAATGCGTTGAACACGATCTTGAGTTGGAACCTGTGATCGATTGATCACAAGCAATAAATAACTCAGTCTATTCTGGATCGACGCTAACGATATTGGGAATGATCTGGCGAAGAAAGATGAGGAGACTCATCAGAGCGAACCTAGACTGGTGAGTAACACGCACACATCAACAAGCGAACCTTATTATTTTTATGGGAGCCCTGGCGATATGATGTGACTTATATGATAAGATGACCAGCCATCCCAGGACGAGCAAACCCAGATTACTCGAGGCATATACTGACGAACAGCTCATCTTTCTGTGAAGTCACGTTGGCGACTTTGAGACTCGCACCTGTTGGTGCGTCGCGCTAGACCGTGCTAATGAGTTCCTTGTCCGTTTCGGCATGCTAGAGGACCTGATACTGATAAGATGTATTGATGGCGAAGTTAGCAAATATGCAATTGGTACAAGAATACCACAGGCCAAACGAGACGGAAGCTTTAGGAAGAACTAGATCCAAGAAGGCTACTATTGGAAAAGAAAAGGTTTGGATCAGTTTCATAATCGGTCACACTTGCAATTGATTAGATCTTATAGTTACAGCCTTTTGATTTGGTATATCATAAGGAGCTTGAATCTCACGACTCCAATGAATGTGCCATATGCTACACAGAACGTCATAGTAGCTGCGGCTCAGATTGTCAGCGTCATCGCAGCAGGCACAACACATCATGCATGTACCACCGCTCCAGCCTACTCTCGCCATATACAATTTGATTTCAAAAGTACCATAACGGTACCTTCTGCCCACACACTGACTCTGAATCTTAGCCAGAACCTGAGGGACGCGATCCATAGACGAGGAATAAGTGCTAGTACGACACTGCAATGTCGCCATGTCATTTCAGATCCCTCGCTGACTGCATTGAACCCTGTAATTGATGCTCTCTTTGCCCCTGTCACTTCATCTCTTGATGTCCTGCCTGTCTCGCGGATCGCTCCAACCTATGATACATCATAGCCATCCTCCATCGAAGCATGTGAGTATGTGCCCCGAGCGGGCGATGAAGTGGATCGCATTGCCAAAGACCGACAAAGGAGTGACGACCACATCCAATGAGCGTAGATTCACAGTGCAGTGCTAAAGCTCGGTTTGTTGGGTTCCGGGTTGTTGATGAGTATGAGCAACTGCTGTGGGTAGGTACTAGGTGGGACACGGGCCGTGGCGCGACAACCGCTTGCGACTGTACGTGTTGGACTAGCAGGATAGCAAGGCTCGCTGAATCAGAATGTTCTACAAAGTTTTGCTGAGTGGCCTACAGGACCTGGCTCACATGCCAGAAGAGGAATTCGTCCAGTAAACTCGTTCTTGGAATCGATAACTTAGTGTCAGTGAGGATTGATACTTGACACTGAATAAGTACTGCTGTAAGTCAGCAGACACGATTCTTTGTTGTCGCCTATAATCGAACAAACCACCCTGCTCCCCTGCCTTTGATTCAGCGTGTATGGGCCTGCATGGAGTACTGTGTTTGCTGTGCTCAAGCGCAGGTCGCAATCTGTGCTAAGTTAGCAATAGCTGATTGGTGTGGAAGTTATATTCCGACGCACCGTCTCCTGGAAATTCGCAGAAACAAGATCAGGAGATCAGTACCCAGCAAACTCAAGATCAAAATCTGTGATTGGGAGACAGGAGACTCTCTGTGCCATATGAAAACATGGTATTAGGATGCTTGTGTGTATGTGATTGCGATGAAACCAATGCAAAGAAGCAGAAACAAAGTGCAGAGTAGCAGTACAATGCTGAATGACATAGAATAAACAATCCGTAAACATATGCTTGAAAAAACAAACGGGACATGGGTGAGACATGGTGAAAAAGCTCCTTCCAGGACTCGGGGAGAAATACTAGCGTTTTGGTCGTTTCATATCACCGCCGGCGCTAACATCAAGGTTTGCCAGAGGTCTTCGAGTTCCGTTAGGGTTTCCAGCGACCGGTTGTTGCTGCTGAGCAAGGCCAAGGCCTTGCAAAGGTCTGGATGACGATGAAGAGGCCCTGCAATTCAGGGGTAAGTCTGGTATCAGTCATATGAAAAAAGCATCAAGAACTACATACTGCATGGTGTCAGCTTTACGTTTCAGGCCCGAAATGTTGGATGTGCTGGAAGTAGAACCCGCTGTCCAGTTTGGAGGTTGAGGTGGCCCCACTGGTTTGGGTTGTTGTGCAACCGGATTCTGTTTTTCATGTGAGCAATAATTAGTCCCAGAGGGAGAATGTACCCACCATGCCCGGAGGAAAATGGAACCCTCCCATGGATGGCGTGGTACGCCTGGTCTCTGAAAAGGAAGCAGATGCACTGGAGCTTGACTCGCGTGCTTTCGGAGGCACTGCAGGTGCACATACTGCATCGTCGAGACCATGACGTACTGAATTTGCAGTCGATGGACCAGCTTGGAAACGTGGTGCATTCGAGTGAGAAAAACGAGAACCTCCTGGAGCAGTCACTTCGCCTCTTCTAGAGCTAGTGATCTCCTGGCCATGCGCCATGTTTTCCTGGGGAGCCTTTGAGGATTCTCGAGGATTCCCAGACGTAGTGGTTTCCCTTTGGTCAAAAGTCACGTCCGAGACACTCACTCCGCCCATGCCCTCCTCGAAGTCGATCGGTCTCCCCAAATCACCATCCCCGAGGTCAACGTTGGCGTAGAATTCGTCATCTTCTGAGTCAATACTGTATGACGTCTCGTCAGCCACTGGTAGTTCAACCTCGTCCGCTGGCGGGGGTTCTGCAGCAGGTTCAGTGAAAGACACACGCCGTTGCTCAGGCTGAACAAGTGGTGACGGGGCGGTTTGCCTATACTGTCCGCGATTCGCATTCACCGCTCGTTGGACTGGTGTATGGATAGGAGTGTTCAGGCCGTTGGTAGTACCGTGACCATTCCCAGATGCTTGGTCATTACAAATTGGGGTAGCGCTTGTGGAACCACTTGCACCCGAAGCCATCCCCTGTCGTAAATGTCGGGGGATATATTTGATCGGGGTCTCTGCTCCCTGAGGTGGCTCAGACTTGACTACAACCCTGTTCGCTTTCACATCTGGAGTAATCGCAGACGTTTGTGGTGCTGTTTGCACGGAAGCAGGTACAGCCATTGAAATACTGCCTGATATGTGAGGTTTTGTGTCATCAAACTCTGGACGGCGATATAGTTCGGACTTGTCAAATTTTGCCTTGCCAGAATTCTTGAATCAGCTCTGGTTCGTTCCCGGTACTGTGAGGGTACTTACAGGTGAGACTTTAATCTTCGTGATCTCTTGGGTATATGACTTGTCATATAAACAATTTCCAAGGAGCGATCCGAAGTTGCGGAGCGCTCGCTTCACTGCATCAGTCACAGCTTCCTTCTTACTCTAACAAGATAAAATGAATGAGCAGAACTGTCAAATGCATAAATATTACCTTGTCGATAGCCTGAGATTTACCCTTCGCATTCTCTGCCGCTCCATATCCAACATCTTCATGAAACACACCGCATCTAAGGGTGATACGGACAATACAAGAAACACCAACGTTACATCTCTTGGACTCCTCATTGTAGTCCATGTAGTCGGTAGTCATATTGACAATTTGGGAACTCCATCCATTGAACCCAAACACCTCGTTTGCGATGTTAATGATTTTCCACCCTTCCGCATACGTGAGCTTAGGTCCACCTCCAGGACCAGGTCTCTGTGATATGTACTCCGGCCCAAGCTTCTTGTTTAGCTTAGCCTGAAGCGTAGCGATCTTGATGGCCGTATCGTCGGACATATCCATAGAGAATGAGTGATCAGCATAAGAGTTGGCTGACGTAAAACTGCCATGCATCGACGCATCGAACGACATCGCGCCGCTGGTGACAACCCTCGACTGAGGCTGACCGAATCCTGGTGCTGGCCGTTGCATTGTCATATTGTATGAATCCAAGAGGTGACCACTAAAAGCTCCAGCCATTAATAAGATAATGGGCGGATGCTAAACGTGTGATGGAAAGAAGATCAAGCGCTCACGGCTAAACGCGCTGGAAGGACCAAACTGACACAAACAGATTAACGCGTTGATGCACGTGATAGGCTCAATGACTCTCACGTGCCCACATTTGTGACAGTACTCTGACTTATAGGGTGCGGTGAAAAATTCAATAGTTTTTAACAGCGGTTAATTAACCGAGTTATTAACCGGGTTATTAACTGTCAATAATTCAACGCTGGACGGACACCGGTCAAGAACTGTAAATAATGTACCATGTCCTACCATGGCATCCTAGGCATGCCGTTATATCAAATTCGTCCTGATTTGCCTCGTGTTGGGTGGATAAAGGCTCGTAGAATCTCATACTGACATATTTGTGTCATTCCAGCCATTGGGTTGCACCTGAATCATACTAATATGTCAGGAACATTTTTCGGAGTGTCGGACGACGGAGTGATTGGGATAATAGATATGTCAATCAAAATTCTACTGATCTAACTTTTTTACTTGTATCGCAGACCTCCTTACAGATTTGACGGCTATGAGTGGTTCAGTTCTCGACACCTCAGTTCCATCCGAAACAGTTCACGATGGCCTTATTCCGAGTTCTGCAGCAGCCGATTTTCGCCTTTTAATGGCAAAGCTCCCCTTGGAAGGCAATGTGCTTGGCTTTCGTGACACAGCTCCTGTTTCCAAGCTGTTGCAGCTTGCCTCACATGTCTGGCTTAGCGATACCACAGTCAACATGATGCTCGACATCATCCGGCAACCTATCTCTACCAACTCGTACCTCTCCTCCCGTCACGACATTGTTCTGTGCTACACGGCTACCAAAATTCAGTCTGTTTACGGCTTGCGTGACAACATTGATTATCCCAACTCAAAGGACTGTGGAGAACTGCCACGTTTGGGATCCGATCTCGCAGGCGGGTTAAAGGATAGCATCAGTACACTTTGTCTTATCAATGGCAACCACTGGGTGGCTATCGTAGTCAACCAGACAGAGAGAAAGGTATTTTATGGTGATCCAGGAGGTTCGGGAGCACCTGCGGCACTTCGTCAAGCCGTAGATTGGTGGTTGAAAAATCACTTTACTGAAAGCTTTGCCTGGGTTCGCCTCCCTTGCACGCATCAGCACGATTCCCATTCCTGTGGTGTTCTTGCTGTCAATGCGATTGCGCATCACCTCCTTCCTGCGACGTTCCCACTCGTATCACCAACATTGCGAGATGTCGACATCGCTCGCATCACCTTTGGCCATCAAATTGTAAACAAGCACCTTTCTGCGGTATGTAGTCTTGATGTTAAAATGGTAATGCATTGCTTACAATCAGTCTTACAGCTTGCCTCGATAACTCAAAGCAGCATGGACAGCAATACCACACAGTCGTCAGTGACAATCCAACCCATGAGCGAGACCACTTGCAACCTCAAGGGACCTCCAAACCAGGCTGTGAAGCTGGGGAAAAAGGCGAGTCTCTTTCACTAAATCAACAGACTATGCTAATCTTGACCCACCATCTCTCAGCCAAAGTCCGTCGCACCAAAAAGACATGTCAACAATGACTCAGATGCAGACAACAATTCGGAGGCAAGTGATGGGTTCGAAGGGGAATTATCTGACGATGACGAGACTCAACGCCCTGTTGGTGGTCGCTCTGTTGGTCGTCCACCAACTGCTTTGTTAACGAAGATCACGCAACTCTGCCATGAAAGTGGTGACCAGGAGAAGAAGCGAGTCAGATGTAGAGGTTCTGGCTGCCGAAAGAGTTGGGTCGCACCACGTAATCGTGCACGCATCCTCAAGCATGGTGCTCACTGTACCAAGTTGACAGCTGACAACAGAGCCGAGGCAAACAAGCTCTTGAATAAGGGCAGTCTTGCTGAAAAAGTCAACCAGCTCATGCGACAAGAGGCGGAACTACAGGAACCGCCACCCAAGCACTTGAAGTCAAGCAATTCTGTTGGAAGAGAGGTCGTGAAGAAGACAGCACTAGATGTTCGATTTGGGGATCATGGCCGCAAGCTTTTGCAAGCTCGTCTCGATGATTCAATTGTTCGTCTTATCTGCATCACAGGTGTTCCTCCTTCGATTGTCGATTACAAGCAGTGGAAAGACATGTTCGCGATCGCAAATTCAGCCTATTGCCCAACAAGCAGCTCAACATTTATCGACAGCTATATTCCTGCAGAAGCTGGCCGTGTACGCACACTCAGCATCGAGTATCTGAAAACCTGCTTTCATCTCACTATCTCATATGACGGAGGTACCACAAAATTTCCTCAGTCAGTCTATACCATTCACTTCACGACACCGGAAGGTCAAAGCTTTCTCATCGAAGGCAACAATGCCACAGCCGAGTCAGCAACAGCAGCTCCGCTTCTCCGGAATTGCATCTGACAGTGCTGGGAACACGAAATTGGCACAACAATTGGTCTGCGCTGCGGTGCCCACCATCATACCCATGGCAGATGTATGTCACCATCTCAACCTCTTGTGCAAAGATCTCTCGCAACTTTCAATGTTTACGACGGTAAGTTTTTGAAGTTAGTTGATGTCTTCTCACCTTATGTTGCTGTTACAGGTCATCAAACATATTCGAGCTATCGTGTCGTTTTTCCGCAAGTCAACTCACGGAACTTACCAATTAAGTAAGATTCGTGAACGCCTGAAGATATCACGAGGGCTCGAGGGCATTGGAAAAACTCGGTTTGCCACCATCTGTGCATCAGCTATCTCTGTACAACGGTGCCTTCCAGCATTAAGGGAGCTCGTCGACAACCCACAAAAATTCAAGTTTCCACCAAAGGTAAGTATATACCAATCCCTACATAAGCTACATACTCATGTCGTGTCCAACAGAAGGCTAGCATGGTTGACCTCCTGAAGAAGCATAGTCATGCAGGTACTCTGTTTGAACTTGATCTCAATCGTTTAGTCAAGGTCCAGAGCCCAATTGCGAAGTCCATCGTATGCCTTGAATCTTCTCAATCGGACCCGTCTGATGTCTATAAATTTCTTCTCGCCATCACGAGCATGCTCAAGCAGCTGTTTGATGACTCTTCACATGGCTTTACCAATGAGGAAAAAGAGCAGATACGTGCGGTCGTGAATAAACGCTTCCGTGAGATTATCCAGGAGGGTCCTGCAGATTGTTATATTGCTGCATTCTTTTTGGATCCTCGTAAGTCCCCTTCTAATTGCATGCCTCCGTTTCTGAACATTGTCACATTACATACAGGCTATGTCGGCTGTGACATGCTTCGAAGGTCTCTCAATCCCCTCGCACCCACTATCACAATTCCTCCACCCATACCACACACACCAGAGGAGACAGTTCCAAATCAAAGGGTCTTTGGTCGTGTTATGGAGTATTTGAAGACAGTCGTCAAGCCAGAATGGAAATCGAAAGACAATCCAACGCTGAAGGGTCTTACTCGTTTGCAGGTACAGGAGTCTTTTGTCCGTCAGTTGCACCGTTACGCCCGCCTTCAGTATCCCTTTGATGCCCCAGTCGAAGCTGGCCAATCTATCTTGTCATGGTGGACACATCTCACTCGGATTCCTGAAGGTGCTGTCCTTGCGGTATGTTGTTGCTCGTCCATTGACATTGATATTGTGCTAATCTATCGGCCCTTAGTGCATCGCACAGAAGATATTTTCTGTGAAGCCAAATGACATGCCTGAGGAACGTACCATGTCCGTTTTCACCCGAATGAACTCGGCCCTTAGAAATCGCCAGCAAGTCCAAACACTCGTAGATATGACGCAGATCAGACAATGGCATATGTATGATCCCGAGGTCAGTATATCATTTTTACACAGCACATTTCTAACACCTTGAATTTACAGAAATTCCGCTTGCGCGAGCAACCCACATTGGACTTCTTTGATGTTGAGCAGGTCATTTTCGGCAAAGGAAAGAGCACTGCTTCGCGGACGCACAGTATCACAGGAAGTTCGTTGATTATTGAAAACGGTGATGAACACGAGGAGATACTTGATGAAGATACTCATACCTGGCTCGATGACAAAATTGAAAACATGCCTGGTGATTCCACTTTCGATGCCGAGGAAGACATTGACTTGGACGTGCCAGAACTCACAAAAATTCTCGCTGATGATCCACCCCAAGGGAGTGTGTCGAAAGGTAAGAAGAGAGAGCAAATGGTGGCTTGCATTGATGATGCCGACGATGCTGATGGCGAATGGGTCTGGAAGTGAAATTGCCCAGCGCACAGAATTTTTTTCATCAAGAATAGTTAATAACACCTGTTTTCGACCAGTTATATTGATAGCTTGGACGAAAAAAAAATCACGTGCCGACTGTCAATATGTGTTAAAAAATGTCAGTTAATAATTGACTGCCATTCTCCTGGGTTAATAACCCAGTTAATAACTGGCTGGATAATTTTTCACCGCACCCTACTGACTTACACCTTCCTTGAACTGACTATAATCATATGGTCATAACTTGAACGAAATAGTGTATGTGCCCCCCTCTCCAGAGGATTATTATATCTCGTATATTATTACTGCCCTCCTGACTTGTGCAAACCTTTTCTGTGTGCCGATCTCGTCCTCGGCCGTGGACCATGGTGAATTCGGAGTCTCGGACGTAGTAAGGCGGCCCAATAGCTACATTTTTCTGACCTGATGACTGCCTGGCGTTACTGGCACAAGTTATTTTTACAATCACCAATCCAACAACATTGGGCGCATGACATTGTTATCAGCTACAGCCTGTCACTGCTGTGCGATATGCAGCTAAATTCGGTCCCTTTCAGCGCAGTACATACTCGGGCATCCGCGCAGGGGTTTGAGTTCTCCGTCTTAGTACTCGGTCCGAGTTAGTGACTCCTTGGGCCCATTGGCGCACAGTTTTAAAATTGATTAGCTAATGTAAATTATGTTTTTGACACATCCATTTTTGGAAAGCGGAAGACGAGTTTTTCCTTTGTGGACAACTTCACTTTCCAATTAGACTGGTGGTGACCGGTCTAACTTCCAATGTCTGCTCTGCAAGTCGTCAAACGGTTTCGAATACGGGAGCTCGGGGCTACTGCTCTACCGAGTCCCGCTCTCGCCAAAACCAAATCATATCCTAGCTCGGCATCCTCGTCACGCAACAAGGTTCCAGTTGCTAGCATAGAGAATCCATTCATCCCGAAGCTCAACTCCAAGACAGGCAGATGGGCACCGCCAAAGTACTCCCTGCGCCAACAGGCTCTGCTTGTCAAGAAAGCTCGCGAATCTGGCACGCTTGCACTTCTGCCTCCTGGTCCTAAAATTTCGGTAGTAGAAATTGCTGCTGCTGCCGCTTCTGGGCAAGCCATCATTCCAGGGCCCTCGGCTTTAGTAAAATCTCAAGTCCAAAACGCTGCCGCACCGTGGACGCGCCCAATAGAATGGACAGGTGAAGTAAAGGAGAAGAAAGTTCTTGGTGCGGAAGTTGGGAACAGATTGTATGCAGGGAAGAAGCGAATGTTCAAGGGGCACAAGTGGCAGCGTACTGCAGAGAAGAGGGAGAAACGGAGGGCGTTACTCATGCGCAGTATGCCCAAGCGTATTAAAGAGTTTAAGCAGGTATGGTCTCTACAATCACTTTCATTGCGATGTTTGACATGGTGTTTCAGTATTACAAGAGGCGACGTCCACACCCTCTCAAACCTCCCCGTACCGCTAAGAATGCGAAACTTCCGTTCTAGATTTGTTTGTTATTTACTGGCCATTAGAATTGTCTTCCAGCCTAGTATATACGTGCTTAAGGAACGATCCAAACTTTACTAATGCCTCCTGCAGTACTTGGTGACAACTATAGTACTAGTAATATGGCAGTGATTTTGCCAATGCTTGGTACTAATCCAAAAACTGGTCGAGCGCGTGATACACGAATACGGACCGCTAGTCGACCTGAGTGGTCAACGCGAGAGGTCCGGTAAATATGGACCCGGTCGGATCATATTCGGAACCGAATCGGTCAGTTCTGTGGATGTAACGGGACGCTTTATAGGGCTTCCAAATTTCTGAGTCCTGACGACCCTACCAGTCAGAGGTCCATACCTCTTCCTATTTCTTTCTCTATCTTCTAATCACGAATCTGGTAGAATGGACCTTGATCATCATGATTATGAACACTGCGACAGGACACAAGATCATGGCATAGAAGGCGTTAGCGAAATAGATCTACTCATTCCGCTGGATGAGGACTCGGAAGCTCAAGAGCGAAGGCTCTTGAGGAAATTGGATAAGAGGATCCTGCCAATACTATGCCTTCTTTATTTATTTGCTTGTGAGTTCGATCTCCTTGATTTTGGCAGGGAACCAATCAAGTGATCTGATCCTTGAACTCGGCAGACCTTGATCGGTCGAACCTGGGCAATGCTCGATTACAAGGTTTGCCCGGAGATGTTCTCGGTGGAGATCCCACTGGTGTACTATTTGACTGGGTCAATTCTGCCTTCTTTTTCACCTATGTGAGTTTCCAATTCTTTTGGATTTTCGGTCGCGTGCCAACCGCTATCGGACAATGCGCCTCGCAGATACTTTTGCAAATTCCGTTCACGGTCCTCTCGAAGTATTACAATCCACGCATTTGGATTGGCTGCTCTGCTATCCTCTGGGGAATATCTTCCACATCAATGGTCTGAGAACCGTATAATTCATGTTTCCTTCGTTCTCATGACATGTGACATACTCAGGCAACCGCGCATACTTTTACTGGCCTGATGATTGCTCGACTTAGTCTAGGAACTTTTGAAGCAGCCTTTGGAGGTGCTGTTGTATTATACTTTTGTGAGTTGTGGTTGTGGAAATTTCAGTACTCACTAGATTTGACATTTTTAATAGCTTTCTACTATACCAAGGCCGAGTGTGGTACTCGCATCGCATACTGGTTTGGGTTTGCAGCCGTCGCAGGGGCATTTGGGGGGCTCATCGCTTACGGGATCCAACATGTCAAGGTGTCGATTGCGAACTGGAGATTACTTTTTCTGCTTGAGGTATGTTGGACAGATGGAATGTAAGTCATGCACTGATAATATGCTTTCCAGGGCGCACCGACAATACTCCTAGGTTTCCTTTGTCTATCCTTACTTCCAGACCGTCCGGAGTCCACGCAGTTTCTTACTGCGGCGGAGCGTAAAATCGCGATTAGCCGTATGAACAGAGGGACAAGTGGTGACTTTGGTGCAGTTGTCCGTCGAAGTAATGCTCATGAAAAATTAATGCAAGTATAAGGTTCTGACTGATGAACAGGTCATGTCATTGCGGCTTTCCAGGATTGGAGGGCAAGCCTTCCGTCTGCCTTTCTATGGCCCGGTATCTGATATGAACCGTAGATCTACGTAGGTGGGGTAATTTACTTCGGGCTCAACTGTGCCTTAGCATCGTTGTCGGCCTTCTTGCCAACTATCATTGGTACCATGGGGCATGGTAAGACTATCATTTCTGTCATCAAGCCATCTTTTGACTCAAATTTACATTAGAAAATGCGATGGCTCAACTAATGACAGTGCCACCGTATGCTCTAGCCGGTTTCGTGCTCATGGTTACGTCCTACGCATCCGACAGGCTACAGATTAGGGGACCCTTACTTGTCTGTACCAGCACGATTGGTGGTCTTGGTTATATGTAAACGAGGTTGTTATTCATGGACAGGATGCAAATATTGATCTCTGCTCTAGGATAATGCTTGGCGCTACTCATCGGCAAGACGTGCGCTATGGCGCAACGTTTCTCATCACCAGCGGAACCTATTCGAGCATCGGCTTGATGAACGCTTGGTGTACTTTGGTTTTCTATATATGTCTACTGTTCAATTAATTTTTCTACTCAACAGATAGCCACAATCTCGGCTCTGAAACAAAGAGAGCCGCTGGGATTCCCCTCTACGGTGCTATTGGGCAAATCGGAGGCATCTTGGGATCCCATCTCTACCCGTTGACTGAGGGTCCCGCTTACACGTTTGTCCTTCGATCTTTCTATACCTCACCTAACTCACGGCATTTTAGGAGTGGATTTACTGGTAATGTGACAGTCATACTGCAACTTCCTGCCACGTTGACGAACTGACATCAGTTTCTGCGTTTCTGCTCTTTTTGGCTGCGCTATGCGCACTCTTGTTGAGTGTAAGCTTAGATATCCTTTTGTGATCACCTGAATTCATCATTCTCATGTTCTAAAAAGGTTTCCTTCCGTTTGGACAATATGCAGCGAGATCAGCAGTATGGCAAGCCAGATCCAGATGATATGGTAGATACGTCGGAGCTCGCAGACAAGGCAAGTTGTTGAATTGAAAGGCAAATGTTTGTTCTGACCAATCAATAGGCTCCTGGATTCCGATACGTTCCGTAGCAGATAAGTAATCGTATACCCAATGATCGGTCCAAATACTATTATACTGTTAAGTACTGCTTCTTATTCGATGCGTTAGGACCTTGCTTCTTCTTACTTTTTCAAGTCCTTCTAACAATATTTGGTATCGTTTCCCCAATCACTTCGTGTCCATTCGTTACTATCAACATCAATGACATGGGCACCATCAAGTCAGAGAAAATTCGAGTGACTAAGAGAAAATTCAAACCACCGCATCGATAAGTCCTGCAACACTGGAAGATGAGAAGAAGCTGCTTCGTAACCTCGATCGGAAGGTCTTACCGCCGACTTGTTCGCTATATCTCCTTGTATGCACATCCGAGACCTTTTACACGAGTTTCTCGAGAAGTAAACGTCACTGACACAAGCATCAGACTTAGATCTACCAGTGTCGACAATGCACGACTGGTAGGTCTAGCACGGGACGCACTTGAAGGAGACCTGACAGGCGGTCAATCAATTCTGCCGTTTTTATATCACACTTGTGAGTCAACACGCACTTGCTGAAGAAGGAAAGTTGATCACAACGCGAGAGATCGTACCAATCACGGGATTATCGAAGCCCTTCAACCCCTTATATTGGCTAGGATGCTTTGCGATCGCTTGGTGTCTATGTTCAACCCTCATGGTCGGGCCATATATAGTGGTCACAGTTGTTCTTGTCTTAATGGTACATCATGCATCGGATAAGTATCATAGACCGCAAAACACGAGGCTGTTCGCCGTCTTGGATGTAGTAGGCTATGTGTGCGTGAGCGAGCCCCTAGTGAGGACAAATCACTCATGAACGCTCTTGTCAAAAGAAGGTTGCTATTGTGTTATCCTTATAGTTAGCGCATCCGTCACTGTGTTGCACGCCACTACTGGTGTTTTTTCCCTGTCCTTTGCAGATAAAATGCTGGTGTTTATTCTGACAGGCTCAGGATGGCTTGGTGTAATCGTGCCGCTCATTCGTTTTAAATTAAAATATGACGACGTTTCGAAATCAGTTACTCGCAATATTCTTGGTTTTGATAAAAAAAAGAGCTACCGGAATTTTATTGTGCGGAGCAATCGAACAGGGAGGGAGCATCTTGGGTTCGCACTTAGTATATCCGCCCACCGATCGGCATGAGTACAGACAAGAATTTTTATTCTTTCAGACGAGGATCAACTATTAGCAGAATTCCCTTAAATTTACTGAGAGATGCAGTTGTTGATCTCTAGCTAAGTTCCAGGCCACTATATACCTCAATATTGATCATAAGTCGGATCATGCAATCCCCATGATTTTGCTCCAATTCCACCGTTGGGACAATGAGCAACGAGGCATCCAAAGAGGTATAGATCTTTGATATATAACGTTCGCATTTCTATTAAGATGGGATAGTCACCTGTACGCACTCGAAAAGTTCAATATTGATTCTATTCATGTATCATGGTCTGCAACAAACTGAATATTCAGTAGTGAGGCGCAACACGTAACATTGAGGAGTGTGGAGAATTTTAATTTTGAGGCCGACGATAATGCGAAGCAAACATCAAGCGTATAGGGGGCGAATAAGGTTCGTAAATTCGTAAATCCAAGTCACAAACGCGAGAAGAATGTGGTGTCAGGTAACAAAGGCGTATCGGATGGCTAGAATAATCGTAGACAAAAAGATCTGGACAGTAAAAGTGAAGCACACGGTAATGATGGAAAGTGTGATTGATCCGAATGTATTCCTAGAAGTGTGTAGTGCACGGTATAGTGCAGATGCAAATATGGAAATTTGGAATGAAGATGAGAGTGGAAACTAATGTGCTAGAGATCAAGCAAATGACCGTTACTTGCCGCCACCCTGAAGGATGAGAGCCTTTTCTTTGAGAACAGAAGGGTAGCTATTCATGAGATGAGCCAGAGCCCGGAGATCGTCTTGATCAAGTAAGCCGATGGTAAGTTTAGGCTGAAAGAAGAAGCATTCAGTCACACGAGCAACACCGATAGAACCCAAACTTACTGCGCCTTTAATACCAAACGCCTTGATAGCTCGATACCTGAATGCATCACAAAGTTAGATTTCCGTAAAGCTGAAAATGCTACTACAGACGTACAACTTATCGCCGAGCTGTTGCTTCTGTGCCTGTATTGGCTTATCCATAAGGCTGTCGATAAACTCGTCTGTACTCTTGACGACTAACGGGTCAACTTTCGGCAGAGGGAGGCCAGTTGCTGACGATGAATTTGCGAGCTTAATAATCTCGGCAGCGGGTAAACGGGCTAGAGATGCGATTGTATGTGACGAAGATGATCCGCCGGGTGTAACTGGTACGGGAGACGACGCGGCAGATGGGCCCTTGGATGACAATGCAGGAGTCTTGGGAGAGCTCTCAACGGTTGCACTGATCTTCTTCGCCTGAGGCGTCACTGGGATGGGCTGTGCAGGAGCAGATTGGATAGACTGAGTATCTGGCTTCTGTTGTCCCTCATCTCCATCATCACTATCCAGGACCATTTTTGCGTCTGCTATCTTTGCTCGCAGAACATCAGTGTTGAACAGACACAGGGCACGCTCGCGCTTGGGAAGACTCATGAGAAGTTCGACGAGGTCGGCCTGCCTGGATGACTCGAGTTTGCTTACAGCCACAGCCATGCGGTCTTGCTCAGAAATAGGTGGCACCGAGCCAGAGGGAGAGGAAGTGCGTGGAGGTGTGGACAGGGACGCAGAGATTGAAATAGGGGTAGATGGATGCTCCGGCGCCGAGGCAGTGGCATTCAGAGCGCTGGGGTCGAGCACACGCGAATCTTGAGAGTTCGAGGGCGAGGGCGACTTCATAGGTGAGGGTGTGCTGGCAGGCTTCAGCGAATTACGGGCAGTAGCAACTTGTTCGGCAAATTTAGCAGGATCTTGAAAACCGGAGACGGCTTCGCTCAGAGACAATGATACCAAGGATTCAACGACCGATTCGACCTCGTTGGTGGGTACAGTATCACTCGCCTTCACTCGTCGGCTGAGTTCACCGGTGAGAACTTCCTTCCTCACCACAGGTGAAAGCGCGGCAAGATCATCGTAGCGCATAGGCAAATTAAGAGTGCCAGAAAGAGCAGCCTGTGTACATATCAGTATTCATTTTAACTGCTAAGAAAGGACAGAGGTTTTACATTATAATAGCTGCCTGAGCCTCGCCTGCCTCTGTCCGGACGGTCAATATGACCCATAACGGGCGAGCCGAGAACAGAAGGAGCACGGCGCGGACTAGAGAAGCCGATGTAGCTCTCGCCAGCTTCACTAGCAGTGGGACTTGTTGCTCCGCTCGCACTTCTAGGATGTCCATTATGGCCAAACCGCTGGGCGAGTTTCTCCTGTCGTAACTGTTTTGGTTCATGGAGTCTGACGACTAGCTGTTTTGTGCCTAGAACAACGCCGTTCATAGCATGCATAGCAGCGGAAGCTAGATTGGCATGTAATTAACAATTACCGATGTCGAGCAAACAGTAATATTATACCTGCATCGGGAGTCTGGAAGGAAACGAATCCAAAGCCACGGCTCTCGCCATTCTCGTTTCGCATCACGCGAGCACTGTTCCGATCATTAGGGCGTCTTTCGGAAGAAAGGAGATGGCTCATACCTGACAATCTGACCGAACTATAATTCCATGGTAGCGTGAGATGAATAATTTAACACAAGAAAGTAAAATATCAATACCTGACGGAAATGGGCGAAAAGACCGTTGGAGTTTATGTCCGGGTCTAAGTTCTGTACCCGAGGATAAGTACCTTCAGCATCGTGATGTGATAGATGCTGACCTTGCAGAATAGATTGCAAGGGTCTATCAGACCACTGTGACTACTGGACCCAGGGCCCGATAACGGGGCAAGTTGCACTTGCTGGCCCGGGCCATGAACAAATATGGGGGCTCTTGCAGCAGGGTATGGACTCACTCGAGGAGGCGAGTACTGCTGCTTGGTTAGTGGGCCCGATCAATAATAATGATATTGAGATACAAACTTGAGGATAGGGGAATACAGATCCTGATGGGACAAATGTTGGGGCATGGGCGCTGAACTCAGAGACAGTACCACTGGTACGTCGTGCCTGGTATACTGTTACAGCAATGTTTTGTCCTTCAACATCAGCACAGTGCATAGCTTCTTCAGCAACTTGTGCATCCTCTTCACGCCAGAACTCGACAACTCCGGTATCGCTTCCAAATCCAGTCTGTGTCCGAGTAGATGCGAGAGCGCCAAATGGTCGAAATAAATCATAAAGTTGGAAATCAGTATAACCAACTGGAAGATGCTTGACAAGACGTGGCAGAGCGGATGGAGGGGGGAGTGGTGTCGGCGGTGTGGTTGGGGGATATGGAGATAGAACCAAAAACACAGAAGGTTGCAAACCCTGAATCGGACGCGACTGCAAGGTGGCGAGAGCCTTCTCCGCTATGAGAAGGAACAGTTCAGTTAGGAAGATCAAAATGAACGCGCAAATCAGGCACAACCTTTCTCGAGGTACTTGAATTCTATGGTTCCTGAGAGAGGGCGATTGCTGCCATCACGCACAATGTTGGGTCTGAATGGAGCACATGGTTGGAAGGTCATGGCAAGATTCTCATCAGTGACATAAGGGGGAAGATTGGAGATATAAAGCAAAGGTTCGTGAAGATATGGATGAGGTTGGGGAACCTCGGTATCCTGCAAAGTCGGAGAAGAATATCCAGTAGCCATCTTGATTATCGGTATAAGATGACTACTCCGAATCAATTCTATGTTCAATAGATGAATTTTCTGTCAGTCTATTTTGATCTAATAGTAAAAACTTACGCAGTCAATTGGGGGAATCAACGACCTTGGGTCACCAATTCGAAGTGGTCACTGCAATGCCAAAGCACGCAAGTGAAAAATCGGGGCGTGGAAAGCTTATATCAGCGACGCGTGGTCGCTGCGTCGATGACCTTGACTCGGACTAGTAACTTTTGAAATCATGATCGCGGCCTAATTGACCCAGATTGAGTTGCTCTGAGCAGCTGTCCAACAACAACTAGCAGCATGAGCTAGCACGATAACCGCTAGTGGATGCGTTCGACATGCCGTGGGGCGGTTCTCGTGAGTCGTGGCTAGCACAAGTACTAAGTACTTAACATTTTAATGGTGCGTTTCACCCTCTCTCACGTCACGAGCGCAAGCTGCGGTCCCTCGCATCTCTGATACTGTACCCAAAATACTAATCAGTATTCGCATAATGTATGTCTCCATGATATCATCATCAGGGTCTACATGGTCTTATGATATGGTTATTTTCTGCTTGATAAGCTCATGTTGAACATGTTTCTGCAGATCGCCTCGGACTTACGCGCGCATTTTTCATGGATCCCTACCTGGAACAATCATGCCGACGGGTCACGGTTTTACCAGTTGACACATCCTTCCATCCGATCAGCCAAACATCACAGCTTGCGAACCCTTTGTCCAATTCGAGCTTGACCGCCGACCTCGAGCATGCCGTGACACGCATGTGGTTCCGTTTTTCTACGAATGTACCTCCACAGTGCTGCGCACGAAATGATACCATTCGTTTACGAGTGGACTCCACTCCAATCACATCCGTGCGAGGATCCTCGTCATCCGTTAAGTTGTTCCGCGATCACACCAGTGTGGGGATCTTCGTCATCTGTCAAAGTGTTCCGCCCACTTTTTGCAGCAAATTTTTCTATTTGGCGATAGTACAGCCCTGGCCGGCAGCCCACAATGCCCGGTCGGTTCTTTGTTGTTCCTTCATGAACATTTCATAATGTTCTTTCAGAGGTGCCTCCCACTGGTACTAGGGTCTACAGATTACTCTGACATCCAAAATTCTGTCGTGCAAATTGTTCAGAACTCTGAGCACACATCTTTCTCAGTCAAGATTCTCCGTCCTGTGAGGAACAAATACCTTTTACCTGCGCTTCAAGTGACACAACATCCCACATTTGATGAAATGTTTCCGCAACCTCCCTCCATTCTGGTATAGCAGATTGTTATTCTCAGTCCAACTAGTGTTCTCACGTTATTTCCTCATTCATCTCGATTCCTCGGTGGTCTATTTTTTGGTCTTTCTAGACATATTTACACTCTCCACTCTGGAGTCCGATGCTCGATTTAGCTCTAGGTCTTGGTATATCTGCCTCTGTTTGCTGTCACTCCAGTGCTTGGTTACCGTGTCTCACGCGTGTCGGGACGGATGTAGCCCATAATAGATGTTCACCAGAGTTCGTGTTTTATTTGCAACAACGATAACTTTTTTTACCGTTGGATAGCCTGATATCGAAAATACAGTTTTTGTCCTGAGATGCGTCCAGCGGAGAGTTATACCAGAGTGCAATCAATTTGTCCGGTGATAACAGTGTGAAAGTCAAACAAACATGCTAAGGTATAGTATTTGGGCAAAGCCCTATCAGGCTTTTGACCAAAACGTATCTCAGTTCTTCCTAGATGGGGACAAGATGAGCTGCAAATGCCCAATACCAAGGCATGCATCAAGTCAACAAAGGCAAGCTAAAGGCAAAGATTGACCATTAAAGGAAATGACTGTTGTTCTGACATCCAACATTGTAGGTGAATTCGGGTTATGTCAGATGAAAACGTGGAAAATCTGCAAGTGCGGGAACTTATTACCTCATTCGCATTCTCTGATTATATCAGCTCTTGCTTTCTACTCAGGCGAGCGGATCAGAAGGTATGAGAAGCCAGGATTCGAGTGGTATTGTTAAAAGAAGCCCCAGTACGGTGTCAACAAAGAAAGGGAAACCAACACTCACTGAGTACTGAATAACGGTGTTTGTCGGCCGAGTCGGGGATTGGCGCACGCGCCGTAGCCTCCCCGACTCTCACGTTAGTGAGAGAGGGTTTTGTCGGACGCAAATGGCTAATTCTCTGCAAACGCACCCGTGGGAACAAAAGTGGCTTAGTCAGTGGGAAAATACTTGGGGCACTGGCCCAACACTGGCCTTTACATAGTCGTTCTCCCAAACACTCCATCGTACGACCATTAGCTTTTTCGACTGCTTTCATCGCTGAACACGAACAGGAACGGATCGGACAGCATGTGAGTTCATATTTTCCGTTTTGTTTCGATGCAGTATGGCTCATGCATTTTCAGGGTTTTTCTTGCGAAGTCGCCCTGCCGTTTGGCTCGCCTCCTCGAGGAGGGACAGTGTCCTCCCTGTGACGACCCCCGTTATGTGAAGCACTATCCTCATTATTATGATGCCCTCTATTATCCACTATCATTTTGCCGTTTTTGAAATGTCCGATTTCGCGCTTGGTTGAAAACCTGTCTTAAATCTCATCCTTTGTCTTGTTCAGCGTGCAGCTGTTCGGAATTTCACAGTTTTGTTTCGTACGACGGTGTTTGTATAACTATAAGCCAACATCGAGTATCGTTGTTGATGGCACCGAGTGAGTTTGCTGATCCTCCTGTGTGCGCTGTCTGTTCTCAAAGGCAGTCTGGATCCATGGAGGTTGTTATTTCAGCAGACCCTGGAGCACCGTGCCCGCGAATTATTTTGGATGCTCTTCGCATTACAGATGCCTTCATCATCCGAAAATGTATCGTGCAGCGCGTCTCCGTATCTTTCACGTTCAAAATTAAGAATCTCGATGGTGTGATGCTCGATAAGGCAGGGATTGTTGAGGATTCTCCTGACTCGACTACGATGAATGTCTGCGCTGACTGTCTTACTGCTTTGTCGAAGGAGAATAGTGTGCCCTGTTTTGCACTTGCGAACGGCTTGTATCGTGGTGAAGTCCCGACCTATTTTGAAGACTTAACCTGGGTTGAAGAGAAAATCTGCGCGATATACAGTACCACTGCGCATGTGACACGCTTGTTCCAGTCATCGGATCCGTTGCAGCTAAAAGTTTTTCATGGAAACGTTTGCGCTCATGACATGAATGTGGTATCCACCGCGTCTAAGTATAGGCGTTCGATGTCGTCGTACTACAATTATTCGTGAATCATATGTTTTCTTGGGGTCTTCATGTGGAGTCGGGGACTGGCGCGGCCGAGCACCGTTAGATACGATAAGGTAGTGGAGCATATTGTCAGGTCAATGACTCAACTGTTTGGTTAACTCTATCCCACATGCAAGGGAAAGCCTAAGCCGCGACTTTGGTACGTAAAGTATATGACGCCTCGTCACGTCGGTAGTCACGCCCCACAAGTATATGTTCAGCAATTCACTAACTTGATAGATACTATGTGAATATGTATTATCACACTGTGAAATTCCGCCTCGTGCAAGCTCAAGCGCTCATGTGCGCCCCTGGTCTGATTGATTCGAATAGATCCGAGTAGTTTCGTGAAGTTGACTGTTTTAAAGTCGTCGGTTGTGTTCAAGTCAGGCCGTCGTCCCTGGCACCGCCTCGAACTTACGAGATAGGCTTACGACATGATGGGGACAACAGGCTCACCTTCAACTGTAGCAACGTGACACCCAGGCTTTAGCAGCATTCCCTCAATGTCTCAGCCTTGTCCAATCCTGTCAGAATTCGACATCATTTTTGCTGGAGGTGAGCACTAGAATAACACCATTTAGTAGCTTACTTTTTACATGGCGCGCTGTGCGTAGGTGGTACTACAGCTTGTGTTGCCGCAGGCCGACTAGCTGCGTGTGATCCCTCGATCAAGCTGCTCATATCCAACCCTACCAATATTTCACCCATCAGGCGCCGACGAGTACCACGCTGACAGTCAATGTTGGAAATCCTAGTCCGCGTCTCAATGGCCGTGCACCAATTGTTCACTGCGGTCATCGTGTCTCATTACTGACTCTTACTATGACGCGATTCGAGCATACTATAGATCGAAATCTTCACCATGTCCGAGACCGCTCAAGAAGCATGCATTGCTGAGGACTTCTCTACGGCTGTGGAGATATTCACACAAGAAATAAAGGAAAATTCCAGTAACTACGTCTGCTATGGGCACCGTGCGATTGCTCTTGCACGCGAACATAACTGGGATGCCGCGCTTGAAGATGCAAACCAGGTGAGTTATACCGACTAATACTGAGCCTCTGCAAGATATACTAATTTGGGTCGCAACATAGTCCATCAGTATTCAGCGCTCGTCGGTAGGCTTTATGTCAAAGGGCAGATTCGGGAAGCGTGTAGCGCATTCGATCTCGCGTTGAAGATGGCGACTGGAGATTCAGCAAGCCATCACCTCATTTCTCTGATGAAGGTCCGTTGCATTTTTCTTCCATGCTCTGTGCTTCATTATGGTTCGCAGGCTGCTGCAATATTCTACGCATCGTGGTACGTCAATACAATACAACCGACTCGACATGATATCTGTGCTCAAGTGCCTTTTTTCAGACCTTTGGGTGGGACTTCCAGTCATTGTACTCTTCCGGGCGTGCAGAATCGAAGCACTCGAGTGCTACTGATCGTCCATCCCCTCTCTCTCGTTCTCGTTCTCGTTCTCCTCCTTGTCTTCTTCCCTTGTCCTGCTCTCCTCCATCGTCCGTATTCGTCTGAGCCACGTCAGCAGTTGCTGACGTGTGCTGGGCGTTTGTGCATGGTGTTCGTGGTGTTGGGAACAGTTGGTGGAGCTCCGACATCGATTACACGCAATTCAGCATGTGGGCCACGGCTTGCATGGGCCTAAGCCCCGGCTTTGGGCCGGCTTGGGCTCACGACTCAAGCTTGAAAACCACGACGGTCCCCATACGGAAATTGACACAAAAATAAATGCTATTGAGTGTACTATTTTGAAACACACGAAAGGCTACTACATAGTAGGAAGTTGTACCTTGTGTGAACTTCTCAGATCGCACCACCCTCGCTCGCCGCCGATCTGCTCACTAGTCAAAATTTATAGATTGCATTATCTGCCACATGATATCCATACTCGTTCCAACGGCATCATCTATTAGTCTGCGCAGTTCCTTGTATGATCCGCACGGAACGCATTTCAATTTCCTGCTAGTATATACGCATTCTAGCAAGGTCTCATGTTCCGGCAAACGATATACGTCCGCTCTGTAAAAAGTAGTTTAAGGGCATCGATAACGTCATCACACATGCATTCATGTGTTATGCAAGCACTAGATCTGACTCGTGCCATTAGAGTTCTTGCAATTGGGGAAAATATCTATCACTCTCCGACTTTCTCATAAACTTGTCGACGGATGGATAATCTAACATCGGAAGTGCAAGGCCCGCTAGTTTTTTCTTTTGAATGACGTGTTGACTGCAGCGAAGAGGCACCGCACAGCGAAGCGCGTTTTTCCTACACTTTGCGGCGTGCGCAGGGTCCGCGCATTATGTCACACCGTACCAGCGTCAAATTGACGAAAAACATTCGTTTTGGTTACGGGATTTCAATTTGCATGCAATCTCGGTGTACCGCTTTGGGTGGAGTGTCAGTTGTTCCGCAGATTCATTTTGACAAGCATGTGCTCGAAGATTATTCTAGTATTAGTATTCTATAAGTAATCATGGGTAACCACGTATCGCATTCCATATTTGTTGTGATATGTGAAGGGAGTCATCTATGCACAAAACTAGCCTCGAACACGGCCGTGGCACGAGATCCAATTCGATGTTGGCCCTGAAAAATACATGGTCGTGTGTATAATGTCGAGGATCGGTGATACTCAAGAATTGAGTGGATTTGATAATTGACAAGGACAGTACGTGATTCATTGATACGAGTCCTCACTGAGGTAGTCGGCCCTCCCTCGAGAGCAGCACATCATTGCAATTTATTGGGGGAGCATCCCGGATAACAAAGCGTGGTGCCAGGCGGATACCTCCTCAAGGTATTTTGTGAGGATCCTGACTGAGGCCGTGGACTCGGAGCAGCTGAGATGTGCATAAAATTTAGTATATCCTTTACACATGTGGCACAGGTTCGCTTGAGTTATGTGTAATTTTGCATTTACCCATGTGTCACATCATAGTGGGTGCTCGCTGGTGCTTGCCTTCCTCAGTGCCTCTCGTTCGCTATTGGACGTTGACGAGTCTTCAGGCGACGGTTGTATTATATTAAAAGAAGTCCTTCATTTAATTGAGAAGAACTATGTTGAACCAAAGTGGGCGCACCAATTATAATATGCCAGAATGAATGATAACACGGCAGGATGTATCAGTCAGCGCGATACCCGTAAGAAAATTTACAGCGAATGATGCCGAAGTAGAATGTAGATATGCACCGGCTTCGCTAAAGCAGGGAGGTACGGGCTCCGTAAGACTGATCTAGTAGCCTGAGGTCCCTATAATGGACATTTGATTTTCCAGAATTGGAAGGGATGGCGCAGCTAACGGATTGTGAGGTGTCTATTTTGAAACCCGAGAACATGCCAGGGTAAAGTGCGCAGCAAACCTAGCTTGGTGGCCAGGAGCCTATCGACAAGGTGATTCTGTTCAGTCTTCTTGGGTTGCAGAGGAAAGGACCCGGACCCCCGCGGCTCGTCATACTACTTGGTTTCAAAGCAATTAAAAACTTGGAAACTGCGTCAAATTAGAATCGCATGTGCTTGAGAACTTGTTGAATCCCGATTTTTCTGCTGATGATAAGTTCGCCCAAATGGAATTGCGGCAATCAAATAGCGCCAGCAATAGTATCAGTGAACTATATGTTGAAATTCGTCTTGACTTGTCTATTTTTGCATCTGGTGTTCGATCCGTCAGGAACGAAAAGCAATGAGTGAGAACACTCATCTCAGATCATGATCACTCCAAGACCCGGATTCGCTGAGAGTGAGCTGGCAGTGTGAACAAATTTCTGGCAGTGACTGAAGTCTCTAGGAAAGATTAACACGTTGCTAAACATGGTTGAGCGCTTGAGCCTGTAAGTTACCTCATCCACTGTTCCGCCAAGTCTGAATGGTCGGACTATCCCGTGAATTGGATATCGCGTCTTCTTGGACAACACCGCCGACCCAAGATGAGCAGACTACGGGCACTTCCAAAAGTTCCTTCTTAGACAACCCGTCCGTCGAGTGGTGTTGACATAGAGAAACACGAGCAGCTGTCGGTGATCGTCAAGTTTCACAACCCCAGAAAATCAGTGCGCAGGCAGAATATGTGGGTGCTCTTGGGCTCAAAATAGTCCGTAGCTCCTTAGAGGGATGGTCTAATAGGAGAAAGATCAGCAGGAAAGCGTCAATAGGATACCGCCAAGTCGGGTGGGCCATAAACAACTTGCTTCAAGTTCAGGGTCGGCAACGTGCCCAAATTTCCATTCTGGGACATTGTAAAAATACATACCCAAACGACGCCAATGTGCTGCCATGAGTTTGTCCTCTCATGTGAAGGTTTCATTCTATAGCCAACCGGTAATGTCCTGAAACTTGCAGGTACACCCACCGCTTGGACAGTCTATGCCATTTTGTGTAACAATGTTCCTGTTAATGCTTCCGCGATTATCGCGTGCGTAATCAATGTCGTCTGGTGCGGCGACCCTTTCCTGGTACGTTAATAATGACGGAACCGAGGTTCACTGACCGTATAAAAAGGATCGACTTCAAATTGTGTAGTTCCTTAGTGTAATTTTTTTAAGTTTCTTGGTTCTTCTTCTGCATACTAGAAAAAATGCACTCGTGGCGCCGAATTCTCTCGATTTTGGCCCTCCTTTCATCTGCAGTTGCTGTGCCAGCTTCCTCATCAGTGACATCAGCTCCGGCAGCTAGTCCAACTGTCCCTTATGCCAGTGACGACCCCAACTATCCTCTATGGAATGAAGATGAAGACATAATCCCTGAAGCTATCCGTGGCACCCTTGGGGCTTCCATCCTTGGACCCCAAAATATTCCATTGGAGCTGCAAAACCCCGACCTCTTAGCTCCTCCCACCACCGACAGCGGCTCTGTGTAAGGCATATACCTCACAGTGTTTTCTCGTTTCTTAAACTGCATACTAGGCCGAACTTCAAGTGGCCTTTTTCCTTAAGTCACAATCGCCTTCAGACTGGTGGTTGGGCAAGGCAGCAGAACAGTACGTGGTTTATGTCATGATTTCGCCTACAAGTGATGAAACGTGTGACTTGCCAGTAAATGATATGAGTATCGCTACTGATTTGGCAGGCGTCAATATGCGCCTGGAAGTAGGTGCCATCCGTGAGATGCACTGGCACAATGATGGCGAGGTATACGACTTTCTTGAACTGCAGAGTGCAGTACTAATGGTCATTTTACAGTGGGCATATATTATCCAGGGTGACCTTCGTATCAGCACTGTAACTCCGGATGGTCAAGTTTACGTCGGTGATGTTGTGAGTACATCACACCCGCTCATACACCTTGCCTAAACTGCGATTTAGTCACAAGGAGATATATGGTACTTTCCTGCAGGTTATCCCCATAGGTATGTGTTTCATTTACACTCAGGCAACGAGCTAAACTGCGATCCAGTATCCAGGCCAAAAATACTTCAGCTGGTGGCGCAGAGTTTTTGTTGGTCTTCGACTCCGGCTCCTTCAGTGAAGATTCCACTTTCCTCCTTACGGTCGGTCGTTTGTCTGTGTGTGAGTCCTTGCCTGAACATGATCAATAGGACTGGCTGGCCCATGTGCCCAAAGAAGTTATCGCAAAGAACTTCCAGGTAAATATCTCAGCATTCGATCACATCCCAGACAGCGAATTATACATCTTCCCATGTAGGTTTTTCCCATTCCCGGTGATCGTATAAATTCACGTCTTCATTAGCTACTCCTCCTCCGTTGAATATCGAGTCGGACATGGTCATTCCGAATGACACCCCGATGCCTTTCACCTTCGCCATGTCACAAGTCAACGCAACTCAGGCACCTGGAGGTACATACAAGGTCGTAGACACGCGTACCTTCCCTGTGTCTACTACGGTCTGTAGTGCCGAAGTAACTGTCGAGGTGGGCGGTATGAGGTTTGTGATTCTTACTTGTCCTTGTCAGAGCCGAGCTGACCAACTGTATGGTTTAACAGGGAGCTTCACGTGAGGAAATCCTACTATCTCGAGAATATCTTTCTAAGCTTTGTTTGTGAAGTGGCATCCCACGGAACCTGAGTGGACTTTCTTCGTGTGCGTATCAGTTTTACCTGAGATCTAATCCAACTAAACCCTTCCCAGTTCGGGCCAGGCCCGCATTACTGTTTACGCCTCCTCCGCTCAGGCAACTACAATGGACTTCCAAGTGAGTCTATCCGAATCTCTGTGATTCGGCACTTATATAACAACGAATGCTTCTCTCCTTTTAGGCTGGCGATATCGCATATATTCCGCCATCATATGGTATGGGTTTAACGTGATTGTGTTCGACATTTCTTCTAAATATCTTTTAGGCCATTACGTTGAGAATACTGGCAATTCCACGTTACTGTTTCTAGAAATTTTCAGATCAGGTTCTGTATATCAAACTATATGCCGCGTGTCAAACTAATTATTATTATACAGGATTGTTCCAGGATATCTCTCTTACTCAGTGGCTTGCACTGACGCCACCCGAACTTGTCAAAGCACATCTCGGTCTCGATGACGCTACCATTGCCAGTTTCTCGAGGGTCAAGCAAGAGGTCGTCGGCCCCGCTCATTAATCAATCAATTTCGGCGTCTGGACTTATTTATCTCAACGATATCACAAATAATTTGTCACGTACCTGTACGAGTTTTTGAGCGTTAGCATGACCTGTGAATTTTGTGATCGTACTGAAGATACTTTTTATTCCTTATCATTTAGAAATTTATGATCCCTATTATGATCATGGTATTTTGACTTCCAAGTCGTACTTGTAGCCAATATCAAGTTGACTGATTCCTCTTACTTGCAACCTTAGTGTGATCAGTCTAGGCTGTAATTTAGCTTGCATATCTCATCAGTTATACGTAACTGAATAAGGTGGGCGCCTTTAGAGTTTCAGGCCGAGTGCTAGTAGTGACTAGTACTAGTGTAGATGCAACTCCACTTGTTCCGGGAGCTTGTCGCCACACTTACTATGCCATGATACGAGCTGCCTGCTGCCTCGTTGTGCATGTGAATATTCAATGAACTTACAGCTCGACTGCAAATTGACGTCTCGGAAACGTCCGAAGCAGGACCCCGTAAGCCAATGACAGCTGAGGCTGCAAGCCGGAGATACCATACGTATTTAGATGAACTTTTCAACAATGGCTTCACCTTCTGGATCCCCTCCAGAAATACCTCGGCGGGAGACTATCTTTGTTGCAAATCTCGATACATACATCGACAGAAATCGATAGCACAATTAAAATCAACTTGAAGAAGGTCTACGAAGGTCAAGAAGTCATTTTTCATATCTCCGGGACCGAGCCCAATGACCCGACTTCCTCACAGGTATAATTGCGAAGCACAACAAATCGCTCTATAAGGTCACTAAGAAGAGATACTCTTGAACCCGTGCTAAGCTGTAAATGAGGCGAACCTTGTTTCAAATTTCGATCTTCCGAATCGATGGATCAGTGTCCTTCCATCTTTCGCAGCTTCATCACCGAACATGAGTATTTCCGGGTCCGAAGCTATCTCGGCATCATGGTTCATGAAGATGGCGCGTCGTTCTTCATCTCACTCGAGAGCACGAGCAGATATGCTCTTCTGACTGCCAAGATAGCGACTCTAGCCAGTGCGGGGTGCGGGGTGCAGAGAAGCATACGGTATGTACAGATACGCACCACGACGCGCCCGTAACTCACGCTGTACCTCATCCCAGGCACATGGTGGGAATTCGGCGATGGATAATGGTGATAAAGGCCATGTCATTGATGTCATGGGGTTGCGATTCTTGCCACGATGCCCGTTGTTTGCATTTGGAGATGCAATGCTGGCAGGACGAGTCAGCTGGATGCAAGTGTCTTCTTGACACTAAATAAATGGCAGATACTTGCAACTTGGGGAATGTTTGCATTGGTGCAAAACACGTACTGAGCTTTTAAATTTAGGGGACTGTGCTTGGCTGCCGTGGCGGCATGCTGTTCTGAGGAGCGCTCAGAACACCTGCCATGATGCCTTACGGGGTCCTACTTTCGGACCGCAAGTTCAACTTTCGCGGTTTCCGCACAATATTGTAATTTTCACGGTCCTACGGCAAGCTGAGCATGAAATCAGATTCGAAGAGTAATCTCAGGAGAAATCCGTTTTCGGGCGGTAGTTTCTACAAGATATGTATATCCAGAAACGTAAGAGTTGCACCCTTTCGAACTCGATTGTAACGGCAACAATTCTTCTAAGTTCGGGAGGAACATCTAACATAATTGAACTAAAAGCCAAGTGAAGTTTTTTCGGCCTAGCACCATTCCATGTACTAGAGGGGCAGCACTAATCCCCATCGTGTTTCAGTATCACAAGAAAACATTGTGATAAAGTTTCTTTCGAAGTTCTTAGCGCCGATTTGCCGCTACAGTCCCGCAACCTCAGGTCTGTACGTAATTGGTACTAGTATTGATATTACCTCTGTTCAAGAGAGAATGGAACTAACCAGGAGCGCGCAGCTCGGATCTAGACCAATCGCTGTCAATATCATGTCTTACATTATTGAAGACTAGGCCTCCCATATAAACAAAAAAGAAAACGACACAAATCAGCGCGTTCAGCGGATCAGAGTATATGCGCAGCGTATTCCAGACTTGGTCGTCAATATTTGATGCGATAATCAGGCCTCAGGGGCGAAGGCGATACGGCTGAAAATATTGGAATTTCGGCCATATACTCTAAATGCTTTTCAGTATTATTGAAAAAATAGCGAGACAACGAGTAAATGATTCATTGTGTCGATGATCCGGGCGCGTACTTGGCGATAAAAGACAGTCCAAGATGCGGCATAACGTATGGCCGCATTACCGTGTATTGGCATAGGCACCATCATGCCACCATGCCGCCGCTGTGCGAAATGATCCCACCAGATCGCGTGATGATGTATGAGTCATGAGAATGGATACTGGGCAGTGGACGCTCACTATCAAGAAATTATGTTATTACGGCATCCTCGGATAGGCCGCATCAGTGAGATGACGGGCCAAGGTTGGGCCAAGGTAATGATGTATTGACAACCTGAGAAGCAACCAATTGTCAGCTGGACAAAAATATGGCACTGAGTTCTTTAGGAGGCCACAACTTTTGGACGTCCTGGCATTGCTAGGGAGGTCTCTGAACAGGGCAATCAGACTTTCTGCCATTCCATTCAGGCGGTTCCGCCAGTCACACACAGTGTCCGCGCTTAGGCGAAAGATTAGTGGCAGATAACTGAGTTAACGGAGGTATTTCTTGCAAAGTGGTGCCTTCAGTTGGAGTTGTTTCAGTAACACCTCGGAGGCTTGAGATATGTGCGTAAGGCTATAATAACTTACGACTGGCTGGATAATATCACCTCGGACTTCATATCGAAGTTCCACACATGCTCCACGTAGTCTCCCCTAGCAAGATCATTTTAGACGAAGGAAAATCGTCATTACGCCAACGTTCCGCATTCAGGAGTACTGTCAACCTCCAGTGCGACTCGAGTAGTATGGTTCACAGGACCTAACGGAGTTTGAAAAGCAAACTTGCAGTGCCGGCTAGTACCGGTCCGTGTGTCCCTTCTCACTTGTACCCACCCTCGACACCGCCAGTAACTGTTCAGTGGGTAAATACACTACTTGTTTCCATTTCATGTCAAAAGAGAGATCCTACGGAACATCACAATTGTAATCGCTTGCAGGTTTCACATTAACAACCTTGCGAGTTTACTTCGGTGACGGCGCGTCAGCGCGCCGGTGGCAAGCCTTGAAGCTCGAAGCTTGAAGCACTGTTGTGTACATCCCTCTTTATTCTCGTGCTTACCCTAGTCAATTTTTTCCAGCCTCCACATCCCATGGTCTGATGCTACTGATGTCCTCGAATCTAAAGGTCACGCAAATTTGGTATGCAATAGTCTTGCGCAACCGAAATGACTGAGGCTTTTCCAACTTTACCTGCGCAGATGGTATCAGTTTTGGTTCTCAGATTCATAAATTCTCAGAATCCTCTTAACTGTCAGCGAGAGTCACACTAGCTCTTTCGTCTCGCAAATTTGTAATTTGGTCGCCGCCAAACAAGTTCAGTGTGTGCAGGAAAACTCTGCAGGTGACTACGTGAGGCCTTTCCATGCAAGTCTGGCGTTGGGCGGCTACACCGTAGTTGTACACTTGTCAGGTCCTAGCGGTGCTAGAAACCTGATCCAATGGCTCGCGCGGTCCGAATGTCTTCTCATTTCCGTCTCGCTCACCTTCGATTAATGTTTTCAAAACGCATCCACTCCTCCACAGCTGCTGATGACTTCAGCAGACAAGTACACTTATTCTCGTACGTTTTTGCAGCTTTCCCTTGCCTCTTGAACTCCAGGTCCTACAGAATATTGCAGTCTCAATGCTGGCATGCACTGCCGCTACCTTACAAATTTCATCGTACATTGACGCGCGTGAGCACGCCCGAATTCTGAAATTTTCTGGTAAGCAAATAATGTTTTGAAAGTATGCGTTAACAGCCTTTTTGCAGCTTTCATACAGGTTGAAAACACAACAACTATATAGATGGTCGTGCTCTTACTGATTTCTGGTCTGCTGCAAGAATCGCGTCTTACCTGCATGACGTGCGTCAGTGTGCCCAAAAATTTATGGTGAGCACAAATTCTTAAATATCCGTGATGATGTGGTCATTCCATGCAGATTCAGAATAACCATTTAGATGATTTCACTTGTAAGCCAGTTCTGATGAGCTGCAAGAATTTTGTTGTCTTGATTGGGCACGTCTGTGCACCTGAAAAAGGCACAAACTGCTGTGCAAGTCAGTCTTCGTGTCCTGGTGGTCACCTTGCCCGAGACTCCAGATCTCCCTCCCAACAATCATTTACCAGTGCTTGTCATTTTGGGTCAATTATAGACATCTCTGGGTTGCTGGTTCTGCTTTGTTTTACACAGAATTATGCAGTAACTTATCATCTCTTATTTGACATTTTCTCGCTATGCACAACAGATGAAGTTCGTTGTCAGTAAATAGAAGTGAGTGTTGGCACGGGAATTTTCTGCAGCATACTAGTACACTGCCTGGAAGAGAAGATTTGAGTTTCAGAGATGGTAAGTATGTACGAGGGCTTCATCAATATTAATGACCATTTGCTTTGCAAGACTTCACTTAGCCATCTACATGTCTCGATCTAATTTGATTTCTGGAGACGGTCACGCGTATTCCACGTGACCACGTAGCGTTCAGTTGCTACTTCAAATGAATGTCAGTTACAACCATTTTACTGACCAAAAATTCACTCTTGATCCTCTGACACATGGAAAATATAGAAGACGACGTGTCCAAACCAGCCCCTGTAATTGTGGACTGTGACGTCCTAGAGGCTGCTAAAGAGAATATCCAGCCACTTGCATCTGGTCGTAGAGTTACCACTCTTTCAGCTATCCTGCAAACTCCTCACGCACAGCGGGATGCGCAACTACTCGCAGCGCGCAGGCGCTTCCGTACGAACATCCAAATCGCACTCGAAGATGATGATGATGATCCACTGGAAGCATACTCGCGTTTTGTTCAATGGACTCTCGAAAATTACCCCCAAGGACAAAGCGCGGAGTCTGGACTCTTAGAGCTTCTGGAAGAGGCAACAAGGGTATTAAAGGACAACCGAGAGGGACGATGGAAAGGGACGTCGACGTACCTCAAACTTTGGGTACTGTACGCGAGCTATGTGGAGAAACCGACCATCATCTACAATTTTTTGCTCGCAAATGATATTGGAACCGACCATGCTCTACTGTATGAGGAATACGCGGCTGCACTTGAGAGAGCCGGACGGTAAGCTTCAGCCTGACTTCACGCAAGGCTCGTTTTGAAGCAAGGTTTTGTCGCAGGCGCAGTGAAGCAGATGCTGCATATCTACTTGGAATTGCACGTCAGGCTTCTCCCCTTGATAGACTTGTAGCAAAGCATAGTGAATTCCAGAAACGAATGATGACTGCAGCCACAATGACTCCACAGCTCGCTCCAAATGCTCCCCCACGTAGAACAGCGTTGGGGGTGACTTCCTCATCTTCTGCCGCAGTACCAACTCCTTCGTCATCATCGCAAGCCAGTGCCAATGGGTCTCGAAGTGGACCACGGCTAGGCACAAATGCTCGTCTCCAAATTTTCGTGGACCCTTCCGGAGCAGGGTCAGCCGACGCAATGGACTCAGCCACACCTTATCCTGATATCGGAACACGTAAATCTCGGGTCAAAGAAAATGTGCCGGAGGTCAGCAAAGCTGCAGGCAGCACCTTAAAGCAAGCAGGTCGTACTAGACGAATTGCGTCTGGGTCGAATTCGGGAGCAATTGCACCAAAAATTGTGCCTTTCAGAGACCCCGAACCAGACATGGACGTGGAAGGAAAGGTTGTAACGGAGCCACCTCGCGTTCCCATATCAAGGCAGAAGGACACAGTATCGGAGACTCCCACAAGGACTAGCACCATCATACCGTTTCATGACGCCCCCAACGGTGGCGGCATTCCGTCCATCTCTCAATTCACACCGTTTCGAGATGAGGTGAGTAAACTTTACTGTACGGCCGTACAGAGTTGATGACAGCTTATCGATTTAGCCTGAAATGGACCCGTCGGCTGCAACGCTTGCACCTGAGATGGTGATGAAACTAAAAACTGTTGGGGGACCTGTTATTGGATCTGAAGCAGAAGCGTTGAGGAAAGATCCTTTGAAGAATTATTCTACCGAAGAATGTCCACAGGATGACTGAATGATCTTTCCCCGTTTAACCTCTCTTTCCTCCTAGGCTATTGTCGGTTATGCTACATTATTATCTACCCTCACTTTCCGCCTCCTGCTTCAACATCTTGATCTTGGGTTTTGTCTTGAGTTTTGTAAACGTATTCTTATCAGATCATGACCCTGCTAGCTTATCTGTAGAACAAAGATTGTTAACCTCTACCCCCAACCTAGCAGGCTGGCTAAAGACTAGTCACTGGTCGTCAAGCTGGTTTCCTAATCTGTCTTTCCCCTGTCACGACCGTATCCGCAGCCCGGGCTTTTGATCAGTCTACACACCTGACCTTGTCAACCACACTTACTAAGTTTCAGTGATCCTCGCAATGTCATCCAAGCAAATTGCTTTATATCCTTGCTCTCCCAATACCGTACGTGGAACATCGACAAAGATCTCAGCTAGTAAAGATAAGGTTGTCTATACCAATGGGAAAACTGTGATCGTGCGTCGTCGCCCATCGTACACCCTTATGCTGTTCACTAATGGGCTATCCACCTCTAGATTCGTGACCTTAAGGTGAGGATTGATCTTGATACTCGTTTTTATTGTTTATTCAATGCTGGTCCACCTAGAATGCCGCCCTATCAACGACTTTCTCTGGTCACGCATACAATACGACTGTTGCGCGTTTCTCACCATCTGGCTTCTACTGCGCATCTGCAGACATCACTGGAACAGGTGCGCATCTATTACAGTGTCATATGTGACAACAATCGCTGATCAAATCTGATCCTACAGTCAAGATATGGGATACTATAGGCGAGGATCAAACTGTGAAAGGAGAATACAAAGTTCTCTCCGGGAAAGTGTAAGTGGTATGCTCTGCTCATCGAGAGTTGAAGTTTATTTGAGTGACACTGCTCGCAATCGGTAGCAACGATCTGGCCTGGGATGGCGAAAGCAAGCGGATAATTGCAGTTGGCGACGGCAGAGAGAAGTACGCAAAATGTCTATGTAGAGCGGACAGAGCCTGACGGTGGTTTTGAAGATTTGGTCATGCCTTTCTTGCCGATTCCGGCTCTTCGACGGGTCAGATCAGTGGACACTCAAAGGTTCGGCGTCACCATTTTTGTGAACTAGCAAGCTCATCTCGGGTAGGTAATCAATGCTGTTTCTATTAGGTATCAGCGCCCCTTTAGGGCAGCTACCGCCTCCGATGATAATTCCATCGTCTTTCATCAAGGTAAATAGCATTCAAGTTCATCGAACGAACACTGAATCCCTGGCATCCTGCAGGCGTTCCTTTCAAATACGATAAGGTCTGAAACTTCTTTAGGGTATGAGTGTTTGACTAAAAATGTGTGAAGACTATCAGAACGCATACCAAATTTGTGCAAGATGTTCAATTTGGACCTTCAGGTGACCACTTCGCCAGTGTGGGCTCAGACTCGAAAATCTTCCTTTATGATGGGAAGACTGGTGAGACGGTCACAGAGTTTACTGACAGCCCGCACAAAGGAACCATTGTGAGTTGTGATGGAAGCGTGGTTCGAGTTGAGAGACTGACATTGTCTCTACTAGATGTCCTGCTCTTGGAGCCCAGATAGCAAGTCATTCTTTACGACTTCTCTGGATTGCACTGTTAGATTATGTGCGCACTCAAACGTACTGCGCTTTACTAACTTGACTGAACTCGTCATATTCAGGGGATATCGAGTCCCGTAAGTCGTTGCAGGCTTGGACGGTTGGTAGTGGCGTGCCCAATCAGCAAGTCGGCGGTGTCTGGAGTGGCATCAGTGACATTGTGTCACTCTCTATGTCTGGTGATTTGAATGTCTTTGACCTGCGCACGGGAGATAAGCCAACTCGTATCCTTCAAGTATGCAACCCTTCCTGAGTTCATGGTGCATCGCATGACACTCTTCGTACAGGCTCCACAAAAAGCAATTACCGCAGCCTCATCAACGTCTTCGAATACGTTCTTCGCTGGGTCAGCTGACGGGCGAGTGTTATCATACGATGTGGACTCGACATCACCTTCAGATGCCGTTCAGCTGGTTGGGGGCACGCTGCACACTAGTCTTGTATCTGGCATGGCGACCGCAAGCTCCGGGAAGGTATTCACCGCAGGTTATGATGACCACATCAGAGAGATTGAGGGATCCACATACACGTCTGTTGTTTGTCGTTCCGCGTCATCGTTTTATTGAAATGGATGTGATAGACCTGCTTCCATCCCTTCATTGTCGCAGCCCAAGGCTGTTGCAGTGACATCAGACGAGACCGTATTTGTCGCTGGTATCACCTCGGTCGAAGCAATCCGTAACAATCAACGGGTCTTTGAGCTGAAACCATCATATGTACCAAGCGCAGTGGGCGCTGGGGGACTTGTGGTTGCAATAGGTGGGGAGGTGAGCATCTCCATTTTGTGAACTGTAATTTTCAGTTTATCGTGCTCAAGGATAAACGCGTGCACGTCCATACTTGGAACGGTAATACGTTGACGGATAAACTAGTACTTCCAGAAAGCGAGGGCACGATAACTGCGCTAGCGGTCTCAAATGATGGAGCATTGATAGTGCAAGGAAATGTGAGTATCGAGCACCGGTTCTGATTCAGGTTCTCGTTACCGACATTTCATCTACAGTCTGCCGGAAAGATCGCGTTATATCACTCACAGAGTGGCGAGGTAAGTTTTGCTAATCACTACACCGGGTACACTGAATTGATATCATGGACCACCAGCCTATTCCGACTCGCTGGGACTGGCACACTGCGCGCATATCTTCCTTGGAATTCTTTCCAGCCCTGTCTCCGACCCATGTTGTTTCGGGATCTCTTGACACCAACCTCTACGTCTGGAGTTTGGAAAACATATCGAAACGTGTTCTCATTAAGGGGGCGGGTCCAGGGGGTGTTAACTGTGTCATTTGGCTCGGTGACGCACATGTCACCGATGGTAAAAAGATAGGACGTGTTTTGAGCGCTGGCGCCGATGGATGTGTGCGCGTCTGGGAAGTCGAGTTGCCAGGGAAGTGAGTCTATTAGATAAGATAAGATAAGATAAGATGTATGATGACGTATATGCGTGCATTACTACCCACTCACTCCCACCACTCAGTTGTCAAACATGCATAGTCATATCACGCAACATCTAAAAGACCAAGCTACCTTGAGGCCATGCTACAACGCAGCCACTCGGCACGAATTTCTTACAGCTGCTGGTACGCTGACCCTATCTCCAGCTCGTCTTGCGTTTTGGCTCTGTCAGGATCGCATTTATGCGGCACACGCATACCCACACTTTATTGGTCTGCTCATATCAAAAATTCCCTTCGATGGACCTGCTGTTGAGGAGGAATTGAACAGAGAGACTCTCGCCCTGCTGACGATATGCTTGGAGGGGGTTATTCGCGAGATTGCATTCTTTGAAGGGGTCGCAAAGGAGTGGGAATTGGATATCGATGGTTGGAAAGAACGGAAGGCCACGCGAGATTACACAGCTGAGATGGCGAGGGTAGCTTCTGTTGGTTCGTTGGAAGAGGGACTCGTGTTTCTGTGGGCAATGGAACAGGTGTGTATGCCTCGCAATCGACATATTATGCTACTTGACACAGGCTCTTTAGGTATACCTCGATGCATGGAAGTATGTAAAATCCCTGTTCCCTCCCCAAAGTGACTCAGAAGACTATACTGCAAATGCGATTCGCCAACTAACAAACAACTGGACGAGACCGGAGTTCGAGGAATTTGTCCAGAAGGTGGAGGCTCTGGCAAACAAGCACTTTGCTAGACGTCACCATGGGCATTCGCACTCAGCTGTACGTGCGATGGAGAGTATTTGGGAGAGGGTTGTGGAACTTGAAGAGATGTTTTGGCCCGAGGAGGGAGAGGACACCCTTTTGAGGTCGAACGCATGAATTCTTTGGAAAATAACGCCACTTGATTGTCATAGCCTCTCATAGGAGTATATTGTAGGAGAGGAGCTCATGTTGTCTGCCGAATCGATAGATTCGCCTGCATGGCAAGACTGCTAATGCTATACGCAAACTATGTTCCACATTCCCACTGTCGCGCCATGAAGGCCACCGACTCACCGGTTGCCAGACTACGGAGTCACTGCTCTGATATCTCGTCAGCTATACCAATTGGTAGATGATCATAATAATGCTGCGGTATCCAGGAGTTCCCAGGTACAAAAACATTCTTCAAATCCAATCGATTGAATTTATTTTGGTGATGACAACAAACGGCAACTGTGCGAGAGCCCGTAGAAGTCAAAAATTGAACTCCAGAAAAGTGAGATGAAAAAATATCCAGGCGCGGGTCACCGCTGATCCGGTTCGTATTACTGAGGTGAATCGGGCAACGACAAGCGGGCCGTGATAGTGAAACTTTGAACCCTGGAACCTCCAAGTCAATATAGAGTATATGCATTTCTTATTTTGTATACTCACGACTCGCGGGAGGTGAGCCAGGTGCGTATGCTGCGGTCTGCATCATCAATTCATGGCATTTCCGTGTGAATGTTGCCAACGTTCTTTCCTGGACGCGTCGATGAACGATACACGATTTTCATTCGCTGAATATGTGTTTGATATCTAAAAGTTAAGTAAGTTGAGGGACATCCGCTGTGGTGAGTGTTGGGCTTACGGTGACTGATAGCATTCATTGTCCTCCCTGCGTCGTCAGCACTAGTGCTTGGTGAGACTGTAATCATACGATTTCCGGGTTCGCGAGTGGGAATCAAAAAGGAACGAGTGACAGTTTTTAAACTGAGCTGATGAGTGGGGATTCCAAGGTAAGGATGTGTATCATCTCCATTGGTTTGATCCGAGTACGCACAGCCTAGTGCGATTACCTACTAGTAATAGTAAGAATTTACCGGTAACTTGGGGTCATGCTACAAGCTCGTATGAGTCCGCGCGACGTCGCAATCGCGGCTCATCGTTGTAGTATAAGATAGCTATATTTAGTAGGAGATACTTCTATAGTTCCCACGATCACAACCCAGGCCGGGTATGATACGGGCATGAATGTTCATAGGAAACCCAGTAACACTAGTCAGTGACGTTGATCAAGGCGTGCTTCCGTACGGGGATCTCTCGTACTAGGTTCTTGGTCATCTGATTGGCGAAGAGTTCCGATCAGCCCGGCGACATAGCCGCAAGATACCGCCGCGCGTCTACGCATACTCAACTTACCTAGACTCCTACTTAGCACCCCCAAGCCAATGTCTTCCATTCCATGACTTGGATGATGAGTGAGTCCCAGCGTAACTGTGTCCTTGCAGCCTGCTACCGCGCCAGTGCAAGTAGCGCTGCCGCCTCAATGCTCATCACTTGCGCACACCCTTGGAGATGGCCGCTCCGACACTGCCGTCGAATATCTGTGCCTGAATCTATCGGCTTCTTATAGATGGTGGATGGCAAGAGGAGTGGTATGCCATTTGACATCCTTCCTCCAACCCCATGACTCTCTATGAACCAACCGACTTCGTGATAGGGCGCTCTCTTTTGAATCTAAATGTGAGTCGTGCATATAGTGACCTCACAGATGCTGACTCCAGTTTTTCTTAGTACGCTTATGGTGAGATAAACTCTTGTCAAGTGGCATCAGCCTATCTGAAATCAACTCAGTGTCTACAACTGTGATCTGGGTTCGTGTTGTTGCCAGAGTTTCTCTGTACCTCTCGATTGACATTTACAAAGGTCTATGACTATATCATCACATTCGACGATGAGGTGCACCATCTTCGATTATTGCTATCTTCGCGATTCTGAGCCCAATGGTTTCGAAGCTGGCCTATCTTCGCAAGTCCACGTGGGGGAAAGTCAAGATACTGTATCTGATGTGTCGCTATCTGCCATTTGTGCTATTGGCTGCAGATACCTACCGTGAGCCCCAGTTCATATTACTGTTTGCATGATTGAAAGTGTTGTAGAGGTATTACAACCTGCCTTGCCATTGAGTGTGAGGTGCTTTCTCCAGAGTGTGTTGTACGATGTCTGACGTGCCAAACAGCAATGTCAGACATACTTCCAGATAAACTCATGTCAGTGCCTTACAAGCCTCCAAGATTAACAAATATCTCATTTATCTACAGGGCTTGAGGGAATCACATTGGTAGCTGCGGAATGTAGGTTTTGACCCTTATTCTGCACCATTTTCACGATGAAACATCATACCTGTAGGGATGTTCATTTTGAGAACGTACGCCATCTGGGGAAGAAGCAAGAGGATATTGATAATTCTCTTGGGTTCCTTCTTCGTACGCTTAAATCTCTTCCGAGCGTCCCTCTTGAGATGACAGTTATTTCACAGGCAATTTTGATCCCAGTCATCTATATCTTGACTAGCTTTGGCAACTCAGTGACAAGTATGTGTTCCCGTCGCTGCCAAAGAGTGACACCAATCGATGCATTTACAAGTATCCGAACCTCCAATCCCCAACATCACCAGCTGTTATAATGTCGAAGAAAGTCGCATCATTGTTGTAGCCTATGTTTTACTAGTAATCGCTGAATTTGGTGAGTGAGCGTTGAATGAAAAAATAATCTATCAGGTTTGACCAGTTTCCTCACAGAAATTTTGTCTTTTACACTATACCGCTCCATCAAACATTACAGAAGTCTTACAAACGACAATCACTTGCTCAATATTCTCATTCAGCACAACATATTCTATTTCATCTGCGGACTCTGTACGTGGTAAAACAGTCTCGACAATTCGTGCTTGCTGCTGAAGCTATTTAACCAGTCTTTTCGCTTCTTGTCATCCTGACCATAGCGCTTCTTCCTGTACGTGTGCATCTCTCACAGCTAGCCTTTATGCTTCCTGTGCTTACCAGTCGGCATGACAGTCTGTGTACGGTGATATGGCTTCAAAGTACGTCGTGTGTCAGTGTTGCGGAATGAGACACTCAATATGTTGGTATCAAAGCCTACAGGTCACGGTACATTCCCTGCTCGTTACACGGATGCATCTCGAGCTCTGGAGGTCGGACCGTGCTCAGAGGTTCGTCTTGGTTGACGATAATATAGCCCTCGATACATTGGATCAAGTTCTGAGAAGTCGCAATCAGGATTGGCACAGAAATATTTTGGCCACTTGACCTTGTCTTCGTTATATAGTTCCAGCAAGTTGCGCAAATATGTAGCTATGTACTGTAGAGACACACAGTTGCTGTAACTCTCAGTAAGGTCACGACATCACGTGAACATGTCAGTTACGCGTCAGTGGTGTCACGACCCTATCATTGCTTTGAAGTCCGATACACGACTCATTCAGTGACTGCGAATGTCGAAATTGCTGACAACTTCAAGTGCAACGACATGAGTTCTTCCAGCACATCTCCATCCACACAGGACATCTGGAAGTGGACATTCACCAAGGAAGCGACTGCTCCATGCTTCGTTAGAGACGCCCTCTCGATGAAGGAATGCAACGCCGGAGGTCTGCCTCGCTTGCTTAACCGCAATACCTGCCTAACCAGCTGTGGATTCAGATGCCGACTTTTACTGGCTGGGACACATCCCCTGTCGAAAAGTGATCATTGTTGGCATAGTGGTTGGAATCCAGGATTACGAGAAACGGACGTTGTACACTAGTGAGTGAACCGTTTTTGTGGCTAAACTTTCGAGTAGTTACCGAGCTTGTTCAATAGTCGACGATTCTACGGCTGTCATAGACTGCGTGCTTCGTCATCCCTCGCCACCGAAAGCTCCAACGAATACTGATGCAAGTCGCTCGATTCAAAACTCAAAATGGGAGGCGACGTCACTTATTCCTCCTGCGCCACCCACTCCTGTCACTGCTATCGGCTACCCAGTACAAGTAATCGGCAAAGTTTCTCGGTTCTACGATACAAGACAAGTAGTAGTCGAATCTATTGGTAAGTTGCTGCGCTACTTATCTTTCGCTGCAAACTGAGCGTGTCCCCATGACTGCTCTTCACGAACGCAACATGGGAATGAACTTGAAGAACCCTGCGAGTCGACTAATGACCAATGGAAACACTGGAAAACAGTTGCGGAGCTTCACAAGTCAAGATATTCCGTGCCGAAACCGTTTGAGATACCAGCGCCTCTTGCTGTTTCTTCATGTGAGACTGGTTCGGAAGAGCTTGGAAACTGGCATGAAAGGAGACAGCCAGCTGCGGCGTCCACGTCTGCATCGGGGACGGGTATCCCCGTGCCCCGCACGCCCTTGAAGCGTCCAGCACACGATCATGCCCCATCCTCACCACTTACGGATAGTACAACCTCCGCCCCATCCAGTCCAATTAAACATGGATCTACAGTGAGTATTCTGCACTGTATACAACCACCACCCAACCCTTCATTTTTCAGGACCCACCGAAACTTCGTCACCCTTCCCGATTACATGCGCGGGACTTGACTGAGAACACATTTCGATTGTACCTCAAGCATTACATGGATCATGCTGTTGTGGCCCTTCATTGGGACGTAGATGATGATTTGTTCTCGACGCCGACCAAGCGCCCGCGCGTTCCATTGGACCAGACTCCTAAGGCACGAACGGTGTATGCAACGGATAACATGACGCCACGCGCATCTACTCTGAACGATAGTGCTCCCGATCGCCCTGCATTCACGCTCTCGCACCTACGCCGCGTTCCAGAACTCGCACTTCTCGCTTGCCGGGTGGTTCATACCGAGAGGAAGCGACGCGCCCAAGCAGAGAGGGATGCAGAAAAAGACAAGGCTATGCAGACACAGAAGACCTCCTCGAACAATACCCATGGGCCCTTATCGAAAGCTCTTGCTCATTCACGAATGAGGACCAAGCCCACAGATGCGCCACGTGTGAAGATGAAGCGTCTATTTTCGTGGGCGGTATTAAAGCTATATGAAGAGGGTAGCATCGTGCTCTGGGACCAACCACTGACGCCCGCTGCTGTCTCCGGTTCGCGTCCTCCTGGGTCTGGCGACACAAGCGGATTGTGGAAGACTGCGAACAACACTGCTAATTGCTCAAGTGCGAATAGCTCAGTGTTTTCAACCGCCAATAACACGATGTTTTCTTCTACTGGGGCTTCTTCGTCCAAGTTCGTCATGTCTGAAGAAGATGCCTATCTCTCTGATCCACCGATGTATGAGGAAGATGAGGCTTATGTTTCTGTGACGCCGGCATTGCTTGCTGTACCTGTGCGAAAGATCATGCGTGCGAAGGGGATGCGAGGCAAGAGTGTCAAGGTTGGAGCGGAAGAAATTACCAGGTGTTTGAGAAGAGAGGATGCACGCTGGGCGCGGATTGGGGCGTGGGCTGTGGAAGAGACTATGGAAATGATTCTTGGGGAGCGGAACTGAGTTCGTCGCGTTGCGAGCGTATGTTTGGGGTCGATTGCATCTGGGTTTGTGGCGGAATAACATATGATATCTCTAACAGCATGATATATTACACAAACTAGTAGATGTATGAATTGCTCTGTCTATGCAGGCGAGCGTAATTGCGCTGAATGAAAGTTGCGCCGAAAAGGAGAGATGGACAACTCAAAAAGTACGTTGCTTTCAAAGTTCTCCATCGGTCACTTTGATTTCCTACCAAACTTGGCTCAGTATGTGAGAGTTCGACTCGGACTCGGTGTCAGTTTTACTGATCCACCAACGTCGAGGTGATCATTTATTGATTTGTGTACATATTCTGAATCTTCAAGACTCATGTGAATTGATCCGCGTCGTAAAAGACTCGAGATGGTGAGCACAGACAAACTTGCAGTTTGTAGGGACTGATATGCTTGAGGTCTACGGTGCCACATGCAACTGATTGGGGAATTTAGGCTCAGGTGGGTCGGAGGGATACATGTCATGGTAATCATGATGTACGGATGCGGTCAATAAAGACATCCTGGTGGGCAGCGACAGGCCAGTAAGTGTCCGAAGGTGGCAGTGTGGCGGGAATCCGGTGAATTGAGTCAAATGATTGAACCGGGGGACATTGTATGTGCAAACCTTGATGAAATTTATCGGTGGCGGTATGATACACTATATGTACAGCTTGGAATAAAAATCAACGGGATGCAATAATTAGCATTGGTAGCAGCGCGAAGTGCGTAGACTGGGTACCAGCCTTGACCGGGACCAGCCCGCCCAATATTACGGTATGACTCCGTATGAGCGACGTGTCTGCTTACATTTATTTGGACGAGTGCAAATGGAGCTCACCCAAAAATATTTCCGTTCCCTATGGTATCACCAGGCCTCACCGATGCACCCAATATTACGTCCGCTAGAGATACAAGGTACGAAGCCACTGATACGGCGATTCCATGGTATGAATGCACATAAATGAGATAGTCACGACACTTATCATCAAGGTCCAGAACCACGGCTTGGCTACTCTTCGACATACTAGCCACATCCGAATAGTCAGCGTGTCCAGTGTAGAAGGGTCCAGATCTTGGTATCGAGTACCGTGCATGCCTATTATTGCCTCCCCTGATCGCGATATCGATTAGGTTAACGCCGTCTCAGAATGTCAAGAGATCATCACCTTGAGAGACTTTTCCTGTATTATGCCGTGCATCCAATCGTATACTGGGTGACTATCCGTGAGCTCAAATACTGTGGAATAGAATCACAAAAAGGCCAATGAAGGAAGTTGCAACGTTGAGCGCTGTTCAATTTGCAAAACATATCCTAATGGGCGGTTTGTATCTGTTTTGGGCCACTAACGCCAGAGCTATCCGCTGACTAATCTACAACTCAGGTCCCCGCCTGACTCAATTTCGGCACGGTAATAGTCACTGCCGTGGTCCGACCTCTCCCAATACACAGGTCCAATCCATGAGCTCCCTGATGAATTTTTCTGTTCAAATTTTCAGCAGACTGCGCAGTCTCGCATAACTGCGACTGGTGGTCACTGGTGGCCCGAGTTGAGATGATGGAACACGATCGTTCTGACTCTCCACAATACTTGCCACGGGGTAATGATCGCAACGTGGCTCAGGAAGTAACTGGACACGACAAAAGCTCACCGGTCGTCGGCCGGGTCTCGATACGATGAAGTCGAGCTTGCTCGACTCCAGCAACTAGTGTGGCTGCTAACACTCTCGCATCTTCGTTATCAAGGAAAGCCATCTATTCTCTGTCGTTCCCTGGAGTAGTAAATCATCCATCCATCAGCTTCTTACCAACAAAATCCACATTTTTCTTCCATGTGTTACGGTCTTTTTACGGTTTCTTCCGCAAATATTTTCAAAGCTGGTACTAATCTATTCTACGTTATCTAGCCATCCACTTATTACTTGAGAAGAAAACGATGGTCTAAAATACACAGGATATCTAACGTCCGTCACCTCGTGTTTCCCATTTTACGGGCCATGTACAAGCATCTATCCTCGTACGTGCTTACTTTAATTTCCCTCGACATTGGGCCCCGGAATGCCTTTTCAGTTCCTCACATTCTGTAGAAAATACTATTCCAAGAGTAGTTGCGCCAAGGAGCAGACACCACGATCTTGTCATATTCAACTACCTTCTAGTTCCATCGCTGCAACGGCAAGTGCTACTGGCGCCAAGGAAGACGTCAAGAAGGTCGTGTCTTTAATGCTGATAAGCAGTACGTCTTCTGGCGCAAAAGGTGGTCATAAGGAAGGACTAAATTGGCCAAGGAATTCCAAGGGCACCAATCAGTTGACTAACCCTCGCCCTGATATCAATGTGGCGATATGATTCATCTCGCTAGTAAAGAGCAGTAACTTGGACTGATCGAGGCCGCTGTGGAATGCAAAGTTTATTTGCTGAAAGCGAAACGAGAAGTAATCACACTTCTAAGCAATTTGAAATTGTCCTATCAGAATGCTTCATCGTGTCTTTGTTTCACTTACTAAACGCGCAGCGTAAAATCATTGGTTTTCGCCACAGCGGTTAGATGGGCTTACAAGGTATCATGCACCCGACTTGGAAATTTAGCGTTCCTCACAATGGAGGGATCACTATGAAATCGCGACATCAATCAGAAGAGGAGTGAGAATGGTTAGTACAGGCTCCGAGTCGATGACCCACCGTCGCCGTCTGTAATGCTCATAATACGAACCTACATCACACCAGATGACCATCATAACAATAATCGCGCAATGTGCTATCTACTGAAGCTAGCAAGGGACAAATATCAAAGGGCAAAAAGTGAACAAAAAGTACCTAGCCTTACTAGAAGACCGTGACTCCGATACGATTACAACTATACAGTACATGCCAATATAATATGATCATCTGTGCACTACTGTTCTACAAAATCTGATGGAGATGTAAGCAGGAGGTCACCCCCATTGGGTAGATTACTCACATAATTGCGGATGTCGTTCGGGAAGCTGGTCGAAGACTGTGCCATCGTCTCATTGTGTGTCGTATCAGGCGAGTTAGGAATATTGGTAACGAAATCATCTAGGCAGAAGTTATCAAGGCTACCATCCAATATGAATGGTTCGTCCAGCCTGTTTTGCATGCTATATTCGTGCGACTGAAAGATCCCTTGTTCCGAGAAATTTGGGGACACAAGGTAATTTTGAGAAGAGAGTGGATGCATGGGATGCATTGAAGCATGAGTAGTGTCTGCGAGGAGTTGTGAATTGGTTTGATATGCGACATGTGGTGACATGGAAGATGTGGGTGTCTGTACAGAGACGGGATATCGGAAGTGGTATGTAGCAGAGAAGATAGGGACTGGGCGTGGGCGACCTGAGGATCTTGCGGGAGTTCCTGGGTCCAGAATACGGTACACATCCTGAATTATGGTGTATATGGTAGGATCTTTGGCGACAAATCAATCAAACGCCTGTTTACGCATCAAGTTCAAAAAATACGGACCTGGAGATTTGCACAGGGTCTCCCAGTACTTGGGAACTAGAGGTGTGCTGTACAGCAATGGACCATCCCCGGAAGAACCGGTAAAATATGGTCCGACGCATTCGAGTTTCGTGTCCTCGCTGTGGATGGGCGCGCCATCCAATAATACTATGTAGGATGACTTGCCAATGACGGCTGAGGGGGAGACGAAGGTAACAGTGGAATCAATGTCCCTTATGGGACGTGGTGTATCTGAGGAGGTGTGTGAAGCGACACCTTGAGGGGGCAAGTTATATGGAGAGGAAAATGATGCATGGGAACTCGATGAGAATGAGCTAGACTCTGGCAAAATGTCAATGTATACTGGGGTACGCATGTCCTGAGGAAGGTGGTTTCGTTGAGACGATGACATGTATTGTCCAGAAGATATAGACGAGTCTGTGGATGAGCAGGTGGATGAGTCGACGCTGGTTGACGTCGAAAGGTTGGAATATATAGAGGAGGGAGAAGGGTTGGATTCATCCTGGTTATCAGGAGAAAACCTCCGGGACAAGTCGACTTCACTCCGCGCACCATAATATTGCAGGGTAAGGGAATCGATCACTTCCAAAACAGTGAGTTCTAGTTACGCCGTGCACAGGACAACGGACTCGGATACTTACGTTCCCGACCCTCGACTGTGTCCTTAAACTGTTGTAGACGACTGCCTATTTGTTTTGATGATCTGTGTTTTCCCGTCTTGCGGTAAATGTAATCTGAGATGAACTGATTGCGTTGAGGGAACCGACTCAATACATGTGCTTCCGAGTCCCGAGAGTAGTGAGCGGATCCATATTCTTGAAGGCCTGGGCTCGGAGTCACGTGACCTATTAATTAGGTTGTGAATACAATCCGCACCTTTCAGCATCATGGCTTCGAGACCAGGTGGCCATACAGGCTCAGATTTACCCTTCAGAGTTTTCCAACTTTTTCTGACCTTCATGATCGTCCGAAAAATGTCTTCTGTGCTTTGGCTCGGTGGTATTGGCTGTGGAGGATCGGGATCACGTGGGCTTGTCATCATGCTGCCAGCGATGCAAAACGCGCTTGGTGGGCGTGGAGTGTGGGCGATCAAATGATGGGTGCAGGAGAATACAATACTATAGTGATCTGACTATAGATCAAAACAGGTGAAGCATACCAATTGGAGCTTGGCTAGCGCTGGCTAATATAACTTAAGGGTGCCCCACTGGGGGCGTTAACGGCAAACATGGCAGTAAGTTTCCCGGATGTGGCAGAACAGTTGTATGATTAACAAAAAAAGCTTTGACACAACAAGCGGAGGGGACAAGAACCCCGTTGTCAGTCGATCAAGCTGCGTCACGTACTCAAGGTTTCAAATTTGCAGCGATTTACTCATGAGAAGTACGAGACAGTATGGTTCGCACCGCCCGAATAAATGGCGGTACCGCAAAAATAAGTACCCCCAGTTGGTAACCATAGAACCATGCCACAAAACATGCGCCATGATTACATCTCGACGGTGAGCCTTCGCGAGAAGCCGTTGATGAGAGGGTAATAATGTTGCAATGTCCCAGCGATGTGACGAAATATTGTCACTCGCGCCGATTTCATGAGGGAGATCATCAATCAGTGACGGCGTCAGTTAATCATAGATCCCTTTCACCGGCGATGTAATCGTCCCGAACGCGGAGAATTCCTTTCATGTGAATAGCAACAATAAATATTTCAAACAAGGTTAAGTGACCTTGCAACTATCTTGTGCTCATCGGAGGAAATTGACTACTACCGTTTCTCAGGCCTGGGCCAGACCGTCAGACTCGACGTGACGCTTTGAGTGTTAGTTCTTTGTTTAACCTATGAATTGAGCCCACACTTGATTTACGGCTTTCCTACTGGTAACATATGCACTGATCATGAATCTGTGCGCCAGAATTACTGGGTTTTTCTCTCATCTTTCTGGCTGGTGAGTGCCTACTGCTCGGGCCGAAGGAGCCTACTTTTCTTGCTACAGCTCAGTGTTGCTTGAAGGTCTCAATAAAATAAACGATAATCGATTTTTATTGGCTGACTACGTACGCTACTCGACCCTGAAGCTACGTAACACCCCTATTTATTCCGGCAACTCCACTTTGTGATCGACCTGTGCATGGAAGCTCAACACGAGTTCTTAACATCGACCTTGGCCCATCAGAACCTTTTCGCCTCAGGCCCTCGGCAACGGTGAGGGTTTCATAGAAGACCTGCTCAGTTGAAGCTTCGTCAGTTCGAGAAGACTCTCATGAACAAGCTAGTCGGTAGCTCAAAAAGGATGTGCAGCGGCTCAATGAACCCTAAATCCTGTCAGGGCACCGGCTTTGCAGGATTCAATCCGAGATAACCGACAGTGTCTAACGGTGGTGGCTCACATACATGAACCTGCCAAGGAACTGTAAGCGTCTGAATCGGAACAGACTCGGAATCTCCCAGTGTGCAGCAAGGGACAATTAAAAAAAAGGGTTTAAATTTCTGGAATAGTAGGTCCCCGCATTCAAGTAGTAGAACAGGTTGAGCCCTTCGACTCGGAATTGAGCGTCTCCTAATTTCGAAGTTAATCACCAAGCTTTAGGTTGTACTGTTCGCATAAGCTAGCCCAGAGATTGGGTTATGCTTCAGGTGTTAGGCAGTTAATAGGCGTTGATGCCAGATGGATAATGGTCATAAGATAAGCCCGAAGATGTAGTTGGCCACATGGGAAACTGGACCATCAGTCGTGGACGTAACTTCATGAATCCTTTCACGGCATGATTCCATTGCGAAGTTTAAGAAGAGAGAACACGACTCTCCCAATCGTCCAAGTCATCTGTAAGGTACACTCCACGATCATTAAAACCGACACTAAACTCGCTTGCGATGGTCACACTGAATGCGTAAAGTGAGGAAGCCGTCACTTAGTAGGTAACATCCATACCTGGTATTCGTGCTAGGATTACATGCATTACATGCCTGCTGGGTCAAATGCCAGCTCTTTATCCAGTGAATGCGAAGTAAAGATGAGGCCGAGATCTTCGGCCAGGTAGAAATTCTTATGAATTGTCATGGGGGGCGCACGCCCTTCTCCGTAACCGGTGATATTACGGATCATGTCATGCTGAAGGAGATAACTTAACCGACAAGATGGCTACGAGGGCACACAGTACTAGCGCCTATTCGCATGCAGGACGTACTACACGCACCTGAGACACAGCCAGATGAGAGCCCGTGACTCATGTAATGGCTGCCATATTCGAATACATTCAAGTTCATGAATGTCTCAAGATATGTATCGCATCTGTCCAAAAAGACCATGACCTCATTGATAAATGCTGAGCACAGGCTCTCAGGCTGGGATACGAACTCGGTGATAATCCAGCGCACGTTCAGATCCAGAGTCGGCGGCCCATCGGCGAGTCCCATGACCCTAATCAAAAAATTAAATGAGCTAAGTTTGCTCAAGTGCTTGTAATGCTGATCATGAGTTTGCACGGACACGAATAATATCGCATACTCTGTTACGTATCATTCTGAGATTCAGGGGTGACGTGGAGATTGAGGCTCACTCTAATCCTGGACATCCGAGTCTGTACCCATTGAACAACACATGATATAGCTAACGTCACATTAGTAACAGATGGACAAAAATGATCATGCAATGATGAGTCATAGGCATCTCGCAGTGCTCACGGCTGACAGACTTTCTCGAGGAAACATACTCCCCATTCAGCAGAGCTCGAGGCTCAGCAATAACCTATAAGCGTAATCCGGGGTCCACAACTGCGCCGGATATTTCTGGTAGTAAAAGATGGGTGAAATGACTCGAAGGGATTCCAGGACAAGAAGTCCGCCGATATCGACACAGCAACATCTGGATGACACTGACCGGTGCTAAGTCCTGTCTACTCCCCAAGTGCAGGTGGCATTAAATGAGGGAGTCCATGAATTAGGGTAAGCAGCGTTGTTGAATGTCACGGCGTTGTTTGGATTAGCCACCCTGCAAAGAACCGAGACTGAAACATTTAGCCAGGTAGTAGACCGGTCGCCGAGCTATAGGCCGGAACTTCACAGAAGAAAAACCCGCCACCGACTAAGTGAACGAATAAATTTGTTAACTGAAGTCGCACCACCAAACTAGACTGGTGACCAGCCCCTCTCACCAGTCTACAACCATACGACAAACGGACGATCGAACTTACTAGTACATTTGGGCCTTCCAAAGGGGTTCGAGTCAATGTCCTGCCGGCATCAGCCATTGGCCGTGGATATAAGACTGTTGAACCTTTGTGAGGATGACATCATTCAATGAAGGGTAGAAGAGATAAGAGAACGAAGAAGTTTCAACTTGCCCGGTGTCGACTCCCACGCTGGTCGGCCGGGGACCATCATGACGATTTTGTGAAATTTTCCATCTCGAGTTCAACAGACAAAATTTCTCAAATCTGTCGCAGACCCAGGCCTTTGCCTAGAGTCTCTGGCTCCAAATCCGCTGGCAGGTGCGGAGTTGCATTCGGTGTAAGTAATAGGATTGACGCTCTCCGAGTCCAAGATCTACATGACTTAAGAATGTAACAGCTTGAACATTGAATACATCCGGCAGCCAACTGGTTTGGAGCCTCGTCCTTGCTATGATTCTTGGACACAGCTTTAGGCAGGCCCATCCTGCGAGTGATCTTTCCACGGCACTTCAACCACCAAACATTCCTCCACCACTAGTATATCCATATTGAATCCCTCTATCGGTCTTTCCTAGGGTTTCTTCGCCATACAACCAATAGCCTCCTTGTCCCCCTGGCCCCGGTTCTCATGATCACAGGTACCCGTGACATTTGCAAATTGCACCTTCGGCTGAGTTATCCTACTAATGAGGACCAATCAGAAGGCGGGCAAGGATTGTAGATGTTCAAGAACACAGCGGCAGACCGGCCACTAGTAGGACAGGGCCTTCAACTTGCCGTGATTTATTTTATTTTTAGTGTCCAAAAGATTTTCACGGCAAGTCGGTTGCATAGCAGTCTAGCTGGGTGGTACATAAGCCAGTGAACACCGTGCTTCCAAGCAGGATAACTCCACCCCGGATCATAGCGACAGTCAGCCCGGAAGCCTGACCAGTAACAGTGTATTGACACACATGATGGACTTCAAGGCGATTCAGGTTCTTATGGGGCAACGCTCTTCCTCGGGTAAAAAAGACAGGGCATGCGGCGGGGAATCGCAACACAATCATCAGGCGTTTACAGAACCCCGGAGCCCCTTTTGCCTCAAGGATCATTCACTACATAGTTGATTTGTCAACAAGACTTCACCACGCCTGCGATCACAAAAAATCCGCGGATAACAAGCGGAGACTACGTACACGCCGCGGCAGGGTGCTCAATCATAAAATTTACCGCTGATTGGGACATTCCACCCTCCGATCTAGGTGAGAATGCATGTAGACCCTTGTTTTCAGATTTCGCAGATCCGAAGGACAGGCGTTTCCTGGCCCAGTGTTACGAATCAAAGCACTCACCTCGCTTTGCTAATTACTAGCTGGCTGTCATGCGGCCCAGATCAGTACAGATCTCACGTTGATCATCACTTTGCACACGCCCGTTGTTAACTGCTGTAGCGTTGCTATTGGCGTCAGCATGGCTTCTTCGGATCCCCAATGTCTGAATACGCTGGCTTGTTGAAGGTAATGGAGTGGGGTTCCGTTAGAGGGAGCGCAGGTGGCTTGACGCAGCATTTGGAAGGTGTGACATAGCTGGCATTGATAGAGAACGCGGGCGGTGTGTGGAGATTGTGCTTTGAGGAATGGAAACAAGTTTGTCGCATCCTCCGCGGTAAGTTGCATCTAGGGTTGGTCTATGATACAGGTATCTCTAACGGTATGCTATATGAGTCACTAAATGGTATGAATTGCTCTATGCCTTGGATGGGGGAGGCGGCATGCCCTCGCTGAGGAGTACGGGAGTTGATCTAGCAGGTTCGGGGTCGCCCATCATTTGTTGAACAGCTTTGCTCTTGAGTAGGTGGGCATATTTGGGTTGAACGAAAGTTGCGCTGGACAATACAGGAAGGGGTAAGAAGAGTTAAGTTAAAAAGATCGGAGACTGACTGCGCTTCGACCAGTACGTTGCCTTTGAGGTCCTCTACTTTGCCAGTGACCTTGGATTTGCGACCTGCCTTGTCGACTAAACTAATCCGGACGACGATGAACTAGTGCCCGGTCAAGCACGTAAGTATGTGAAAGGAAGAGGTACTTGCCTGATCCGCAAAGGTCGGGGCGCGATAATTTATGGACAAGTTGGCAGTGACGCCAATCTTTTCCGGTAAATTGATAATCGCCTTTTACAATAGGTCAAGACACGCTGAATGCTCGGAACAAATAACTCACAGTTCGCGCCAGACTCTCATCTAAAATAGTAGCCAGTAGCCCACCGTGAATTATCCCATCATGGCCACACACACCCCGACCTACATGCATGATGACGAGAGCCTCACTCTCATCCTTCCTAGCGCGTACGAGAGGTGGAAGCGCGAGTTTTCCGGGGCCACGAAGTGCGCCTGCAGTGAGGCTGTTTACGCGGAGCTGCTCTGGGTAATTAGCATAAGGGCGGCTCTCATACCACTCGTGGGCGTCGGGCTGAGCACGGTGGGACGTGAGGAGTGGGAGGGTTTGTAGGGTTTGTTCGAGTGTTGCGGTGTATATAATTGATTGCGGGGAATCAGGGTCAGGGGGCGCTGGGGCTGGCCGTGGGGAGATGAAGGTAATATAAGGGTGCGGGTAGAAGGCGCCAAGGGTGTAGCCGGTGATGGCGACGGAACCGCCAAGGCCTAGTGTTCGGAGGTAGCGGTGTGGCGAACGGGAAGTGGGAGGGGGTCCGGTCGAGAAAACTCGTGCATTTGTGAGGATGCGTCTCAAAATATTAGAAGACATTATATGCCGGTCCCATTAATGACTAGTGACTGACGATCGCCCAGTCAGTGTCGGGTGTTGCCGAAGCGGAGTGTAAACATAACTTTGACATACAGATATCGACCATCGACGACTTTAACCTCAAGACCTACCCCTCAAGACCGTCAAAAATGGTGAGTTGCCAGCAAGCGTCGTTCGCTGTGTGCATCGGAGCACCCTAGCACTATTCAGTCCATACTTTTCAACCTTCAACACAATGGATGGCAAGTCCTTCATCCAGATAACATCGTAGGATATCATCCTTATTTTCATATAGAATTGGTTCAGCGCAAATCTTGATCGTTGTTATCAAGTCAAGTGGAGTCGTCATGTACGATGATGATACTTCATATTGCTGGACTCGTTGGATGCACAGTCATCTAGGAGTGCTAGAGCTCCGAGACATGCAGCTTACGTCGCAGGCACTTTTGTGTGCTGCTTCGCATGCTGATTCGTTCTCGTCTCAATGACCAGCCCCCCAAAGTCAAGGCCGGTTCCCGCAAGAAGCCCGCACCCGCACCAGGTGCTGCTGGCAAAGCTGCAAAAATCACAAAAAATCCTCTCTTCGAGGCAAAGCCGAAGAACTTTGGCATTGGTTCGCCTCATCTTTGTTTCGCAAGATTGTCAACTGATGGATTTTTTTAGGCCAACATATTCGTCCTAAGACCGATCTCACTCGCTTTGTCAAATGGCCCGAGTACATCCGCCTTCAACGCCAGAAGGTCATTCTTTCTCAACGCCTGAAAGTTCCTCCTGCTATTGCCCAGTTCTCCCACACTCTGGACAAGACCACTGCTACACAGCTTTTCAAGCTCCTCAACAAGTACCGCCCGGAGAGCAAGGTCGAGAAGAAAGAGCGTCTCGAGGCCCTAGCCAAAGCTGCCGCTGAGGAAAAGGAACCTGCCAAAGTTTGTATTTGACGTGTTGTGGGTTGTAGGTTATTGATATAGATGATCTACAGGACAAGAAACCTCTTTTCGTCAAGTACGGTTTGAACCACTGCGTCGCTCTCATCGAGGCGAAGAAGGCGTCCCTCGTAATCATTGCTCACGACGTCGACCCCATTGAGTTGGTTGTCTTCCTTCCCGCTCTTTGTCGCAAAATGGGTGTCCCCTATGTCATCGTCAAGGGCAAAGCCCGTCTGGGCACTGTGGTTCACAAGAAGACCGCCGCCATTCTCACTCTCCAAGATGTCAAGAGCGAAGACCAGCGCGAGCTTGCAACCCTCGTCAGTGCCGCCAAAGCCAACTTGTGAGTTTTCCCTTTTCACGTTGTATCTGTGCTTTAGTGCTAATGGGAATTTAAAGCACTGACAAGTACGAAGATCAACGCCGTCACTGGGGTGGTGGTCTCCGTGGATACAAGTCCACTCAAATGATGCGCAAGCGCGCAAAAGCTGCTGGTCTGGACTCCAAGGCTGCTGCTCTTGGCAAGCTGTAAGCTTTGTGCTAGTCCTTGTCGTTTATCGTCGTCACTTTATATATGTCATGCCTGTTATGAGTATGGTATGCATCGTACGCTGGGTTATCCCAAGTTACTACTGTGTGGAGGCCAGGGCATATCATGCCAGGTCGTATACTGTGATGCATGTTGCGCCATCAGCTATAACACGATGGCAGTTGTTTGGAAGTCTACTTTGAAATTCGCAAAACCAATATGAAACCGAGATAGCATATGGGGCCAGTGAGTGACAGTGCCTGAGGCCTGAGCTCTGAACTTCACAATAGATGTGACTAGTTGCATCTAAAGAGCTGCCAGTATAAGGGAATCATGCATGGTGAATGGATCAAACCGGGACCAGGGAATGAGTGTGAGAAGTGCGTAGTCTAGACAAAACTCCTGGTGAGTATGAAGGAAATTTAGTCCCCTCGTCACTATTTGCTCCACTGAAAGCATAATAACACCGCCTACAAACATGCGATGATCCTGTTATGAATCCACATCTGGAACCTCCTCCACCCGTGCCGAGCGACTCCCTGGACGCGATTGCTCTGGGGACTCATCACCAACCTCCTCGATAAAAGCCCCACCATTATTAGCAAGCTGTTCCTCGGGATTCGCACCAGCGGGAGCCTTTGCCTTCTTCTTCTTCCCAGCTTTCTTCTTTGGAACATCCCACTCCCACAACGGAACAAATGACTCGATCTATGCCAAATGCCTAAGAACCAAGGATACAAAATACAAAAAATATCACAACTCACAACACCAACGTCTGCGAATAATTGAGGGAAGATCCAAATTCCAGGGCTTGCTATAACCACGGTGATTATGTAGAATATCAACCGTATGATTGCGAGTCCAAAGAATGCGCCGAGTAAACCCAGCATGGCAATGCTCAGGTACCACACACCCAAACGCATCACTGGGGGCCACAACGGGAACATTACGGCTGCAAGCATAAGCGCGACCATCAAAAGTCCGCCAGCGTATGTAGTCCATTGAGAACCTTCGTAGAGCCACACGAAGTACGCGTCTTGGGCAAATTGTTGTTGCGGAACGACAGTGACGTGGCGCGGAGATATGGATGAGCCTGTGGGTGCGCCGCGGTCTACGCGGAGGTAAAAAGCGTATTGTATGGATGATTGGAGGAGGGCCTCAGCCTCGACTTCCGTAGTGACTTTGGGTACGTTTTTTACTTTTGCATAGGCGGGCGAGAGGAGGGCTTTCACTGCAGATTTGCCTGGTAGTGGTGGTGATGACGGTTATGGTTAGAACAGCGGCAGAAAAAAATTGACTCCAAAACGATCAGATACCTTTGAAATAATCGACGCGTTTCCCATTCAACGCACCAACACGTATTTTCATGCCAGATTTACTGCTGCGGAGGAATTGGACCACATTGCGGGTTTCTGGAGGCGCTTTAGCTTGCGTATCATCCTTCGAAGCCATTTGCGATGGATAACAACTAAGAAATTAGTCTGGTGGTGACTATGATGTTTGGGATTGAGGGAGGCGCTGCCACGAATAAGTGAGTCACGCCTAAGGGACAGGTGTGCTTATGTCAGCCAAAAAAGTCAGTCATGTTGACGCTTAAAAATACTCAGCATCATGCAACTCAACATTCCGTCGTCAGCTCTTCTGTGTTTGTCCCATTTACTCTCAATTCGAAAGATACAGCCTGATACAGCACATTGACATCCCCGCAGCGGTTCAATCTCCCGGTATCAATACATCGACCGGTGACCGCGTGCAGCATTAATTTACTAGTCACTTACAGTGCGGTGTGCTATGGTGACGCTACTGGTAGTCGTCGTCGTAGGATTGCATAACCATAGCATCGTCACCTGTGGGAGCTTCTTGGCCCGCGAAGTCGTATTTTCCTCTGTATCTGCGCTCTTATGAATACCTATTTTCTTGGACTCGGAAGCTCAGCCTCAGTCTTATCTGTGACATCCATATCGCAACAGTATGGGTTAATAATCGCAATGCGGCATAGCTGAATTCCACAGGTATAATGTACTTTAATGGGCGGCCAGATTGTTCACCGAGGTAAGTCCCCTCTAAATACCCCCACTTCGCGCAGTAATTTTGATAAGGTTCGATGGTAGCTGCGTTGCATCCAAGAATGCTATCGAATTGCAAGTGACCAAGTCGTCTAATGTCAGATAGCAGGAATTGACTGCACGTAGCCTTACCACTGGCATGCGAATTTCATTAATGGCAGCACAAACGCCCTGATGCTTATCGTTTGTGATCTTTCTAGCAGCGTTATACTTTCATCGAACGACCGCTCCAGATATTTTCAGTCATTACAAAATCGAAACAGATGCTTACAGAAGTGTACCTTCTTTTTTTTAAGTCCACAGGAACGAGGGTATTCTTCGCAAGGTAAATTCTTATATCCACACATTATAGATAGTCATGCCTAGGCAATCAGATTTTCACCTGGCTAGAACAGATTGTGAGGCTTCTACACACCTTAGGCTAATGTCGTGGTTTCTACTCGTGGCAAGGAGATCACAGCTTGGTGACAGAGCAGAGCAATTAGACTGGGCGTCAGTCCATCGTCGCAGCACCGTATATCTCCTGCATCAATACTCCCTCCACCTTGACCACCCCCTTCGGAATACTTCAATCTAGACTTTGCTAGCGCATGTTCTAGTAAGTCCGGCTAGAATTGACAGAATGTTGGCGCTACGGTCCACCGGTTGTTGTGTTCGCTACAAGAGTACAGCTCTGGCCAAGGCTGTACACGGGCATCAAACCTGCTGGCGTTTGTCGGATGAGTCGGAGACTGGCGCGCTGAATACCGCTACGATCCTCCGTCATGGTATCTTCGTCAAAACAAGCATACCACTCCCTGGTGACCTACAGTTCTGTACAGTTTCCCGCCCGAGTGATCTAAACATGCTTGCATGATCATTACCGGTTATAGCTTCGTTACAATGTGATAAATGTCAAACTGTTCTCTCAAGGATACTACTTAATACACCTGATCAGATCACACCAGAATTGCATTTAATAGCCTAGTCTAGACTTAGACTAGCAATGGCGAGGAAGCAAGAAAAACACGTGCTCAAACTCTGGTCACAGACCAGAACAACAGCGGATAACGTTCATCGCCTCCCACACCTTCGGATACCTCCCTGAACTGTGCATCCACCTTGACCGTCCCTTTCTCGAATACTTCGCCATCCCACATAGAAGTCCAGCTCTCGACGCTGTGGGCGAATATGTCAACCTCGATACCCCTATATACTTGATCCACGACACCCTTCTGTTGAGCACCCGTGTGCGCTCCGAGAATGATGGAGCCTGGCTCAGCGGAGAGAAGGCCAGCAAAAGCACGTGCCATGTGCAGCTGTTGATCTTCTTTAAACAGGTGGAAGAAGGCTGTTGCGTGAATTGCGGAAACACATCCGCGTAACGAATTCAACGAAGTGAGGCTATTGAGGTCGGGAGTTGAAACTTCTGTTGTCTGTGGGGACGCAGGCGGAGCCACAGCGAGGATTTCTGGGTCAAAAGCGTCCCCACCCACGAAGTGAGCTGGAAAAGTTTCTGGAGACGACTTAAAGAGTTCATGCCCCAGATCCCAGAGTTCTGAAATACCTCATTCAAAGTTATGTACGAGGTTATATGCTATGCTCACCTTGATGGAGGTCAGTTCCAACCGTTTGAGCTGCAGGAAAACCATCAAGAATTACTTCCCTGATGACATTTCCAACTACAAACCGTCCATCATGATTAGCACCCTATGTAGAAGATGGAGGGGGCACATACAGCAGCAGCCGACGTCAAGGAAAATTGGGTTCTTGTGTTCACGTCCGATGCGCACAACTTGCTGATAAGCAGGTAGCCCCAACATCCTGCGTCTAAAGGGCTCGATTTTTGTGTGTCAACTCAGCAAAAACGTACAAACAAAATACCTGGCAAAAGAGAAAAGATAGATGCAGCCGTAAGGAGCAACCTAGCCACGAACAACTAAGTTTCGATACGGCAGGAGGTGTTCAAAGGTCTAGATACCTTGTATGCCTTTGCTTGAACATCCAATATATGCTGCTTCAGAGTTGCGTCGTCTTCAATTCCGGTCAGATGCTTGTAAAATGCAGCGTCTTGAGGGCGCAAGTTATAAAGGCTTTCGTCAAGAGTAGGGAAAGTGCGCTGAATCTCAATCTTTGGAGGCTCTCTATTCGTCATGTCGCGTTCCTTGTCGGCACCAGGATCCAAGTAGCTGGAGGGTTATTCGACGACGTGACTGTACTTATAGCCCAGAAAGTTGACTGCGCAATATTAGTTTAAAACCCGGACTTACTTGCTGGGTATAGAGCAATCAATTACCAAACGCACTAGTAGTCAATAACACTGCACGAAGAGCTCACATTTAGTCAGCCTCCTGCTCACTGGGGTTCTTGAAGCCACTCACATGGGCGTCAACACAGGAAGAGTGTCACTACTCAGCATAGCGCCCGCCGCGATCTCCGCTATTACGATAAGAGAACAGGTCCTTGGCAGCCTATCCGCAATCTCTTTCAAGTTAGTAACCCACGAACAAACAAAATGCTTTCGTTGATGCGCTCTACCCGGATTCTGGCCCAGCAGCGCGCTTGTGCACTAGTGATGTTAGAAGGTCAAATATCGTGTTCCGTCTTTGATTAAAATTCGAAACACTTACTACCTCACCAGTAGGTACAGCATTGTCCTAGATTCCAGTCAGCTTCTTGGAAATTGCAGCTTGGGGATGCAAGTCATAAAGACTTTCATTGAGGAAAAGGCAGAGCGGGCGAGTCCCGATCTTTGTGGTTTGTCCGTCCAAGTTTTTTCGATCGGTTTATTTAACGACGTGACTGTATTGAGTATTCTAATCCTAGAAAGGTTAGCTGCGCAGCATCCAAGACTGCTTGCCGGGTATGCGTAGTACGATCGATTACAACATTGTGGTGCGAGTGGCCCGCGTCCTCCAGTATTGCTATGACGTACAATGTTTCAGCTGAGAAGAGTTGAGCCTGAGCGCTGAGCGTGTGATGTGCGGTAACGTTTCAAGCTTCAAGGCTAGTCCAGACCCGGTTAAATTCTTTCTTCATCACCCCCTACTATGCTCCAGCGCGTGTAAAATTTGGTGGTAATATCTACTAATATCTGACCACATCCATGCAAACATGTTCCTAATGGAAAGATAGCACAGGTACTTACATCAACCCACCTTCTTCATTTTCTCAACCCTCCGTAATGCTTCCTGGGCTTCAACAACGCCCTCCCTAATGCCCATCTTGCTACATTGCTCGGCGCTCTTCTCGAACAATTTTTTTGCACCATCCAAGTCGGATGACATCTGCAGGGATCATAAATAAGCATTTTGAATGACTCAATAAAGACTTACTTCTCTCAAGCTCCCCAAATTGAAGAGCACCACGCCGAGCGCCTGCTCACAAACCTCCCTTCCATCATCAGCGGGCTGTCCCCATCCGAACCATTGTGAGCTTTTTGGCTGCGCTTGTGCTCGCTCAATAATTCCCAACGCTTGACGTGCCCACGCCTCAGCTTGCGCACGTACTTCTGGTGTGGGAGGACGACGCATTATCAATTCAGAAAGATTATTCATGAGTTGAGCGGCTTGTTGGTGGTCTGTGCATGAGAGAAAGTGAAACCGCAGTGCTCTTGCTCACCTCGACATCGGTCTTCAACGGATACGTTGTTTTCTTTGGGTGGCAAGAGTAAGGATATCGCCTGAAGGTACAGTGGCATCGCATACCTGTTGGCAGAGCGTCAGCTTTAATGAAAGGATGATGTCAACACGAGAAGGAGATCAACATTCCTAACTGGATGAGTGCTACTCACTCAATTCTACCTTTCTTTGCATAAAGGGCACCAAGGGCCTCCAGTGGAGCACCAAGGTCTGCCTTCGACATCCAAGATGGAAGTTCGAGATCTTCTAGTGCACTAGACCCTGTATTCTCTTGCGCTTTTATGTTCGCATCCGAGTTGGCGTTTGTCATCCCAAGTCCAGATAGCCTCAAAACCTCCTCTACAGCCCATATGAGCCATTTCTCCTCCTCATCCAGGTCCCGTTCACTTGCCATTTGGCCCAATTTATACGCAAGAGCTACGCGTCGAAGGCGTTCCTCTTTGCACAAGGTGTAGCATGACCATCCAGGTGCTCCTTCTACCACAGCACTTGGCGTCTTCTCTGCATCTGGCAAGGGAGAATGTTGTTCGCTCGGACCGGCACCTAGCTCCCACGCTATCTGCAGGGCCTCTCGAGAGTGACGGTCTGAGGCGACTTCGGAAAGGAGGGAGGCTATGCCTGATAGCTTTAGATATGGATATGGCGCGAATGTCTGATAAGGAAGAGACAGTGCTGTTTGGAATGCGCTGAAATCAATGGTCAGAACTCCATAAATAAAGGAGTACCACAATACAGACCGGGTAATGTATCTCTCGCTCAGCGATAAATCTCCTTGGTTCCTCGCTTTTATTCCTGCGCGGAGGTCCCCGCGAACCTGCTCTGGCCAAAGGGTAAAGGATGTGTAGAACTCGTATCTTCAGAGAGCAACTTAAAGATTATTACGGTTGAATGAAAAGTTCGAATGCAAGACTCACAGTCCAAGACCAGTCGCTCCGATCCCAAGCACGAGTAGCGCTGTGAAAAGCTTGGAAACGCGTACCCCGCCGACTGTACTATGTGGTGGTGCAGTTGAGGAGAAACCCCTACATGCCACTGGACGGGTAATGACTTGGCGCCACGCTGGTCGAGAGTTGAGACGTCGAACTAGTCTACATTGGCCATCCCTAATTGCGGCCATCGCGGTTGATTTTTGAAGATAGTGAAGTCACAACAGTACTGAGTGGTAAGTACTAGCACGTTGGTTTGGTAAATAATATGGTTACAGTGCAGACATGATGAACTTAAACGGCGCCGGCACCAGTTCCCGACTCAGGTGATCTTCGGATGGGCCTCACAAACTTGTCTCTGTTCCGAGCTCAGTGCTTTCCGCAACTCTCGACAAAGCCTAGTTCGCGCTTGACTTTGTTTTCACTATATGACCACTACCACATCCGAAATAGCATATCGTTTTGGGCGCACGGGCCGGGATGTAGTAGCTATCACGACCGACTACCATGCCTACAAAGACACCAGGTCTACTGCGGTGTGATACATACCAGCAGTGTTTTGGTACTTTGCACTTGTCTGGCAACCTAGATGTATTGATCATGGCAGCTGCGGGACATAACTCAGCTGAGCTGAGCGCCGATGGCCCGATTGATGATACAAGTAACAAAATTACAGGAAATACAGACTATGAATTCTTTCAATCCTCCACCCTACCAAATGAAAACCCCTCCACGTCCCAAATGCGCCCTTCTTTGCAACATCCGGAGCCTCGACTGGAGTACACACTCGAGATATTCGTGACCGACAAATTGGACGGAATACTCAAATCCAACTTTATAACCTCTACATTGAATCCGAAACCAACATTCCAGCTGATCGAGCATGACATATTGAAGATTTCCCACCAACACATCCAAGTGGATGCAAAAACTTGAGTGCCCCAGAGTCCTCAGAGCTGCCTTCACCCAATTATGGCTGTTCCAAGTGGGAATATTTTGGAAGATGACAACTTTTTGGAGGATCTCTCCCATTAGGGTGAGCTCCGCCTCCGATTTCAGTATTCCAACCTGACAACCTCCACGATACTCCCTGTCATCGAAGAACTGGTTTTCTGTCATACGAAAGGTGTAGGTATTCTGATCGCCTACGATCTCGTAGGTGTTGCCGAAATCTGGACTGGTTTCGACGAAGAGCACCCAGTGAAGCGGATAGGGCCTAGTAAGGAACTCTTGCTGGCCTCGCCAATACTGGAAGAGTGAGATCTTATAATGGGATTCCGTTGACTATGAGAATGGGTAAGTTGCAGTTCGCTAGATTTTATGATATTGTACTCACCGTGGATGTAGAGCACATAGAAATGTCATAAAACATTGTTAGAAGATGGCTGTAGGGCAAAGTCACACTTCGCTGTATTTTATGATGGTGTCTCTACTGAGAGTTTAGGACGAGAGTAGATCAAGGATGGGAGAGTATGTTTGAGTCCTTCATTAATGACCTCCATTTTATACTCAAATCCTAGTGGACGTTTTCTTTGCGAGCAGCTTCAAAGTGTGGATACAATGCCCATTGTGCTCCATGACCAGTGGGCCACTATTGCCTTCCCGACCGGGCTGCCGTACAATATCCCATTCAAATGTATGTCTTAGGCCTCCACTAGGCTAAATTCTGCTGGCCCGCAAGGCCACACTCTGTTAATGTCCGCTCATTATTGGCACTGATCGCATGGTGAAATCCACGTGTCTTGTACTCGCACGTGAGTATTCTAGTATGCTTCTAAGGTTATGGCTCGTTGACAACCTCTTTTTCTATTGGAATTTATGTCCATTGGAATAATGTCCCATATGCTGGACAGTACTATCTAGTTTAAGGCTTCCTATATCTCTGGACTCGCGAATGCTCCAACATGAGGGTGGCCCCCACCAGTCTGCTGGCTTTTTAAACGCACAGTCGGAGATGTGACACTTCTCTTCGTAACGTGATGTGTAATGATTTGACTCGTGATGTTTTAAACTGAAGCGCGTACTCAACTGTCCCCCGAGGGTCCCGCTGCGTATGGTGCGCACGTCAGGATTTATCGCAAAGCACTCAGGTAGACTTGAAAACAACATGTACCTCAATGGATTTCACTTGAGTTACACTGCTTCCAGTATTCAGTTCGAGCACTAAGGGACTTATTTGGTTGCGAGACCTTCGAATCTAAGCATGTGGTTTCTGCTTGCCACTCGGTGTAAGTGTGGACGGGCAGCGAGCGATGCGACAAGCTAATATCAATTGCTTTGACCAGACCTATACGATGAAACGTACTGCTACTACTTGACATATGCACACACTGCTGGAAATCAATCGAAGTCACACAAGATAAGTCTGAGAATATGGGTCAAGTTTGTCTGTAAACTGACTCGGATTTCCCAGAGCATCCGTGGCGTGTGACGTCTTCTCGGAGTCTAGGCTGGTTTTACGGTACGCCATAATATATCGTCTGACCCTCGGTCAGACCACATAGCACAAAGACAGTCGTGATGATGAGTCCAACAGCTAGGAACAAGGGGACAATTTTCTTTGAAATTATTTCTGGTGGATATGTAAGTATCGCGATTCGCATGTACCTGGTTTGAGTTGTAACACCTGTTCCTGTGAAGCCGACGCTGCGATGAGATTTGCCGTGAAGATACAGACAGATCTGATCACAAGCCACTGTCTTTCATCTCAATGAAGTTGACAACGTTGAGGCTCCGACTCCGAGCAAGGCAGCCCAAGTGACAACGGTCCCTGGACAACTGCCACATTGACAAAGACCAGAATCCACCCCTGCACATCGAGACCCCGATCTAGTCCACTCACGTTTCTACTGATACCCAGAATGGTAAGCTGGGTATGAACGGCCGCGTTGGTATGATGAGCGGTGACGGGTTGAACTTGTAGAGTTTACTGTTCTTATCCCAGATGTACATGACAAGCGCGGTCGATCCAGCATATACTACGATGACGCCCAAAAGAGAAAACCCGGATGGTAGGTGAGCATGCCATGCCAAGGGCTGTGCCTCTGACGTCTTTGCTGTACCTCCATGGAAGTCCACGTAAGAAACGCCACGCACGCACCGGAAAGGAACTGAACGCATTCCGAGACTGAGGTGGCACGAGGGTTTAGGATGCAGGGTTTAGGTAAAGTCGTGGGGCCTTGTAAAGATTCGCTCGCATCGTCTTCGCTCTTTGTTCGAATCCTTCGAAGTAGTAGTCATTAGCTCGCTCAGGTTCAACTTACTCACGATCTTCCGGAGCTTTTCCAATGAGATCTTAGTGCGCACAAGCTCCCGGTAACAAAACGGTTGTGCTTGATGAGGGCCGTAAGTTAGTCGAGGAACCAATCAAGATAATGATGAACGAGCTCGAGAAGATACTGCCAGTCTTTGAAATTGAGAGTCCGTGGACGGCCAAGATATTCACTTCTAGTAGGCTCGTCGTGGAGCTCCTTGATGTGATGAAAGGTACGACAGGAGAATCCTACACAGTCCAGGATCTCACGGAGCCGAAATATGCCAGATGGGATCGCTGCAAGTTTGAAGTCAGTGGAGATTTTCCTATTGCCCGTGAACGAAAGTTCAAAATTTGTAGCAGTGTTGTGTAAAGTCTTTTTCGGTGCCCGGCGGTCCGTTGTATAATAGAATGACAGAATTGCCATAAATAGTATATGTCATCCGCACATGACATCATAAGTTGCGCAACGCTTGGGATCTACCTACTTAAGACCTACCTAGCTACCGCACTTTTAATCCTCACTTAATCCTTTATCATGCCCAGATACTGCAGGACGGCTACCTTCGTGCTCCTATCATTGATACTTGAGTCTGGTACCATTGATTCTATTGGGTCCTGTATTTTACTCGATGCCTGCTTTCTCTCGCGACCAAGTTGACTTCCAAAAGTCACTATTCGGCCGACAGTTCTCAAAGATTCTTGGAGACGTCGAGAAGCCTGATTCAAAGGTATGTGTAGGTATTACTACGTATTGGTAAATGTGTTTCATTTATTAGTATTGATCATGAAGCTAATCGTAAGGAACACTAGGACCTTACTAGACTCCAACTCCGGAACCAGGCTTTCCCACTTCCACATTGCCGTCCACTGGTCGGGTCCATCGTCTGGTGCTGGTACACTAATCCATCGTCCCACGGCCGACACTGGTTCACTGTCCTGTACTAGTCCACCATCCCAGTGATCCCACCCATGACGCTGGTTCGTCTCATCGCTCCTTGTACTCATCATCTTCATCGTCCGGTGCTGGTTCACCATCCAAAGCTCACAAGTTCGTGTCATATTGATGCATCAAACACTGTGACTTACTAACTGCAATGCTCCATCGATAGTATTTGCTCCAGTACCATTGGTAATTGCTAGAACGTTCGCCGCCTGGACCCTCGCCGTCTTGTCATCAATATATCAATATTAGTTGAAACTTGAAACTAGTACCAGTCAGCAGAGGCCACTTCAGCGGTCATCAGTTTTGGCAGGCCTCAATATCGACACACTTACTCGCGTATTCGTGGAGTGTTCCTTCTCTTCTCGCTACTATCATGCAGTGGTCTCGCCGCCAACACCCCTCGAGTTACTGTTCACCATGTAATATGCCACAAACGACATCGCTTGCATGACCCTGCGCGAGTTCGCATACACCACATTCCGCTTAAAGAGAATAGACACCAAAAGCTGCCAGGCGCTAGGGAAGTTGCCGATAAGAGCGCAGCCCCGTATTCCTATCAAGACCAGCGGCATCACATAGAACAGCGAGCCCATTGAAAAGAAAGACGCACCACTACTATTAGCGATATTTCCAGCGACGATGCGAGAACGATTTGGCTTTCCCGTGCGGCGCCCAGAGTTTTAACAGTTTTTAATTCACACGGCCCAAAAGCATGGCGTCAAGATCAAGACACACCTGTAATATTGATCGAAGGCAGCAAAGATCGTTGTATGCACAGCTTAGATTTAAGCCTCCATCTCTGTGCTACTCAGCCTCCTCTATATCATCGCTCTCCAACCACCAGCCTTTCCCCTCCTTTTGATCTCTCAAAGCTCCCAAAACCCTGATATCACCCTCGCCATCAACTCCATCTGCCTCCCCATTCTCGTCTTCTCCGAGGACATTCCCACTAACACCTCCGGCACACCACGGAAGGGACGAAAAAAGCCTATGTGTTCGAGGCAGCTGCAGTTGAGCAATACCAGTGCGATCAGCAGCGCGCAACCAGCCACCTAACTCAAGCGCAACGTCCGCATGCGTCCATCTTCCCGGTGCACGCTCGTCACTTGCCCCTCCTTGTCCCAACCAGGTCACGACATCGCCTACGCCTTCCAATGCATCCTGCTCCTTGTTACGCACATCAAACCATGAGGGCTTGCACACCTTCTGTCCTTTCCGTGGAACCGGTGTTGGGAGAGCATGGAGAGTGGACAGTGCAAGTGTCGGAAAGGCGTGTGGGGTGGTGGACGGAAGGTTCTATGTTGGGGAGATTACAAGGGGGGAAATATGATGATATTTGTACTCACACCACCGACACAGTCAACCCAACTAAGCCCTTCACAGACCCCGTCACATTGATCGACATCAGTACAGAACATAGTATAATTTTCGTGAATGTACAATCCTAGGAGCGACGAGTCAATGGGCGAATCTGATGCAATCGTCTGCCAGCCAAGTAAAAGTTCCTCAGCATACATTAGGATCATACGCAATGGAAGTCGTACCTCTAGGCAAACTCGACTCGCCTTCCGATCATGTTCCGAAAGCCAGTTTGGCAGAGGCGATGGGTCTAGGAGCGTTTCATCTAGCTCACGCTCCTTTGCGGCATCTCTGGCGGAGAGATGTGTTGCCGGAGGGTCTCCCTTGCCTGCATCTCGTCAGGTTGATCCAAAGTGGCGGTAAAGCGAGTACTCACGTTTGTTATACAATATCTTTCCCATCAGATGAAATAGCACTAGACTCTGCTCTCTTCGCGTGACAGCCTCCAAGACAGCCCGTGCACTTCCAGCCGCATTCCGTCGGGTCTTTCCCTTGCCACCACCCTTGGTCAACGTTACTACACACGCAAACTCCAGTGCCATCACTGCGCTCCTGATATCCCCGTTCGACGACTCGACAATCATCTCTACAACATCTTTGGCTGGTGGCTTTCCAGAAGTAGACGCAAAATGCTTAGTGAGCATCGCCTGCAGAGCCTTGTTCATCAGCGTCGGTGCAATAGGGTTGAAAGCAATGCGCGTGACATATGGGCTAGTGGAAAGATCAGCTCCGAGAAGACTTCTTATGTCTATAGTCTCTTTCTTGGACCAGCGCGCACCGCCTGCGCCGTCCCACGTATCATCATTATAAGCATTCTCGCCGCGGAGACCTGAGTCGGATATGATGATCACAACTGGGGGTCCAGACTCGGAAGAGCTGCAGAGCGACTGCAAGGCATCGTGAAATCGCGCTTGCGTAGGAAGGTGTAGAATATTAGGTAGATCCTCCAGAAGGATCAAGTGGCGGTTAGAAGGACGGCTCGAGGAAGTGGATGGGAGGGATGGCGTGGATGACTGTGATGGAAATTTTGACTGGGTGTGAGATTGTGGCTGCGTCGACACGATTGCAGAGCTTGCCGCGAAAATATTATAACATGAGGAAGCTCTCGTGAGGAATGCCTGAAATTTGTCGAACAGTGCTTCCGTATCCATCCAAGAGTCATCTGGAAGGGAGAGTTGATAATATCATACAAACAGTACATTGCGATGCTCCTCACCCCCAAAATCGTCTATCAAAGTACTCGGGCCGCGTTCGCTCATACTGTTGCGCCACTCGACGATTTCGAAACCCATCTCTCGAGCTAACACACGTAGTGTAGTGGTCTTTGCGGTACCAGCAGGCCCAGTGAGGACCAGAATCCGCTGTTAGGAGATACGCGGGATATGGGATATGACTGAGTTATGGATAAATCAACAGGATAAGACATACGCGATATTTTCGCAGCTTCCCAGCCGATCCTCCTTCAAAGGCCTCCGAGAGCCATCGCCGTACATCTTCAACTTTGCGCTTGTGCACTGCCAGATCGGCCTATGGGTGATACCCAACGAGAACAATTGCACCGACGTTCAGCTGGGCACAACCAGAGATGAACTGAGGCAGACCTCGATCGTTGGCTCATACTTGTCCACCCAGAGCCTATCATCGTCCCGATCAACTGGAGGCTTTCCCTTGCCCTTCACGTCCTTCCTTTGGATCTGCGGCTGCAGAAGTGAGGGTTGTTGCGACGACGCGGGTGATTCTTGTGGTTGCGGCTGAGGTACAGATCCTATCAGATCAAACACGGGTAGTTTTGCAGACTAATATGACAGTGAGTGCAAGGATGATTTAGCTTGTTTGGACGCGTAGTATAAGACCGGGCAAAAACGCGTTCCCGAATTATGACAAACCTACAGTTCTCAGTTTCTTGTTCGGAGGCTCAGAGGACGCGTCGAGTTTCACGGTCTTGAGTTTTGTTTTCTTTCTGGACGCCTTGGGAGTAGAGCCAGAAGACGACTTGATAGTATGCATTTTCAAAGGAACAGCAGCTTTGTACATAGTATGTACCCAACGGTCTGTCGAAGGCTTTAAGATTCAACAAGTACAAATAACCATTGCGCAAGTACAACTTCTGCACAGAAGTAAGTATCGCCCGTCAAAGGGTGCTCTCATTTTTAAAACTATATCTGGATCTGTAGAAATGCACTTTCATCCGTGATTATACATGCAATGCAAAAGCCAGTGCGTTAGCTAAACGAAATTGAAGATGACCCGGAGATGGTCTGGAACAGTGGACCGAGACTGTACTGCTGCGGACTGCTGCGGATGGCTTCTTATGCTGGCAGCCAGCTCAGTCCTTACTAATGCGCAATGACCAATTTCTATTGCCTAATGCTTATCTGAGTCACATGTTCAGTTTTTGTTGGTCCATCGGCTCCGGCATGGATGAGTGATCATACGGATAACGGAACCAAAATCTTCTCATGAAATTGATGCAAGTCTGACTCGTTCTTATATTTCTGTGTTGGGCGCGTACCCGTATCTTGTGCTTCACTGCTTGTCCGAATTTTCCATTTCCTTTTACTAACCAACCAGTAATTGGACGTCGGAAGTTGTGCTCGAAGGTGTAGAACATCATGCCTCCGTACCAGTTGCTTTTAGCAGAAGCACTCGTCGGGGCGGCAGCAATTAGTAGCCTCGCGCTCTTTTTTGCGCACTCTCAACAGCGGAAGATACGCTTACCGACTACCCAAGATGCTAGTTTGGTTGGCGATGTGAACCAAGATGATCCCTTTAATGTGACCAAACCGGAAGATTTTATCGACGGAGAACCAATCGACGAAGATGCGTTTTGGTTCAAAGTGAGCATTATAATGGTTATAGGTCGCGTATGACGAAGGGTCTTATCTTGGTTTAGATGCGCAACAGGAAATTACTCCTTGTATTGCTTTCAGCCGCCATTCTTGTTCTCGAGGGCGTTTCCCTGGGTTGGTCGGCCTACCCAGATGCTCGGAATGTGCTTACAGAACACATATTTCGGACCACATTTGGACTCTACGTTGGCCTTCTAGTTCTTCGTTCCGTTGGCCAATCCACCACGGATAGTCATTCCGAGTCGGTGATACATATCACTACCTTGACCTTCTTCTCCTCGGTCCTTCACTTTGGCGTGGCAATCCTTCCTTCATCTGATTCTATCTCGTCCCAAGATTTTCCTGCTTTACTCGCTTTCTGGTATAGCATGACCGCATTGTATACCTTGACTTTTGCAATAATTGCGACAACACCTTGTGGACCACCGTTACACTTTTTTCCTTCACTCATCTACTCCAAAAAAACTATCGATGACACAACCAATAAATCATACGACAACGTCTGCGGCCTTCCGGGCACATCTGTAATCGATTATCTCTTTTTCCGTTACGTGACACGCGTCATTCACCTTGGAACTTCCGTTTCGGTCGAAATTGGCGACTTGCCAATCCTTCCGGCTAAGATGCGAGCCACTTATCAGTTCTTTAGGATGCGCACGAATCTTCGTGCAAATCCTCTCAAGCCAGGATGGGACCTCGCTTGGCGCCTCATAAGTGTCAACAAGCTTGCATTTACTGCAGAGATAATCCTGGCCGTTGCAGCTGCTCCAATGTGGTTTGGGTCCCCGTTCTTCGTTCGCAAGCTCATCGCATACCTGGAAGATGATCCTGACCGCCTCAATAAAGGATGGGGATGGGTATACGCTTTGGGGCAGTTTGCATCCCTTATTATCGTCACGCAACGTAAGTTTTTTCAGTGCAACACCCTCTAATTTGATGTTGACATGCTGCAGTCAACTCCCAAATGTGGTACTTCGCAACTTCCGTTATCCAAATGCGTTTGCGGACGCAGCTCAATACCATCCTTTTCGCAAAAACACTTGTTCGGAAGGATGTTGTATCTTCTGGCACCTCCACGTCCAATGAGAAAGATGATGCAAAATCGACAACTACGAACGGAGAAAACAAAGAGAAGGGCGAGGAAGAGAACGAATTTTCGAGTAAATCCCAGGTCATGACTTTGATGACCACTGATGTTGATCGGGTCGCCGAGTTTTCTTATCATCTTTTCGCCATTGCAGGTGAGATTCTTTGATCATGTCATTGTTCTAGTTCTGATTTCTTTCAGATTCTCCGGTCGAAATTGTTGTAGGGACGATGTTGCTCTACAGCATGCTTGGCGTCTCGTGCTTTATTGGTCTTGCGGTCATTTGCCTCTTTTTGCCATTGAATCACCTAGCAGGAAAAGTAGTGATCAGTACACAGGACAACTTGATGAAAGCCAGGGACGAACGGGTCTCACTCATGAACGAGGTAATTACCTTGTGAAACACCTCTTGGCTTGACTTTAATGACACCTCTGACAGATACTGGGTGGCATACGCATGCTGAAGGTAATGATCCTCTGCATATAATTTTCTGAAATCCTCCCTCACCTATTTGCAGTTCATGGCATGGGAACGCAGCTTCGAAAAGCGCGTGATGAAGGTTCGCGAGAGAGAACTGAAATACCAAAAGTTGAACTACAAGATTGAGGTACGTGATTTTCCTTCTTGCATCATCCGACTCCTAATGTGTCCACCTTTCAGGTCGTGTTCGCTGCTCTCTGGTATGTTTTCATGCAGGTTTCTGCCTTATCTAACGGAAAGCTTAGGGAAGCATCTCCTCTCATTGTCACCCTGGTTTCTTTCTGGCACTTCGCAGTCTGGCGTCAACAGGCATTGACTCCCTCTATTGCCTTCACATCTGTAAGCCTTTCCTTATCAGTCCACTTGATGTTTACAAATTGAACACATGTGCTTAGATGATGGGTAGGCATGAATGATCTGCATGGTACTTGAGCTAACAAGTCTGGCGTAGTTTTCAACGAAATGCGTTTTGCGATGAATGCACTCCCAGAAACTTTCATTAATCTGCTTCAGGTCCATGTTTCACTCATGCGGATCGGGAAGTACCTCCAACTAACCGAGGTAGCACCTGTACCTCCGCTCTCGGCTGCACCAGCCATTAACACCATCGCTATTCAATCTGCTACCATCACATGGCCTCATGATCGTTCTGCGGATTCGTCGGCAGCTTCCACGCCCCGGCATAAATTTATGCTCGTTGATCTTGCTTTGAAATTCCCTGAAGGACAACTTTCACTCGTTTGTGGTAAGCTGGGCAGCGGAAAGACCCTGTTGTTATTAGGTACGTCTTTTAGAGCGAATTCTGGGATACTGCTCAATGTCACGACAATGCAGCTTTACTTGGCGAGGCGGACGTCCTCACCGGTCAGGTCATTTGTCCGCGTTCACCACCAGACGCGCTTGCTTCCTTCGCCGATCAGAAGGTCACACAGGAAGAGTGGATAGTGCCCGGCGTTTGCGCCTACGTACCACAGGTGAGCGGCAGTGGTGGTGGGGTATGTCATGAATTGAAGAACTTGACACTTCAAGGCTGCCTGGCTGCGAAATGCTTCTATTCAAGGTGAGCCACGGACGTTCAACCATTTCAAGTACGCTTATCGCGATTTCCAGACAATATCCTGTTCGGTCTGCCACTTGACGAAGAGCGATATCATAAGACATTAGAGGTCAGCCACACTTTATGGACAATGAAAGGTTGACTAACTGTATCTTTAGATTTGTGCACTCATAAGCGATCTGAAGATCCTTGAGGACGGAGACCAATCCGAAATTGGGGAGCGTGGTGTATGTTGTGTTTTGCCACTTAACGTCATGTATACTGATCGATGTTGCACTGGCAGGTAAACTTGTCAGGCGGACAAAAAGCTCGAGGTCGGTGAACTGAAATTCGACTTGCCATACATACTGAATTTCTCTTAAGTTTCATTGGCTCGTGCTGTTTACTCCCGAGCATCCGTACTGTTACTCGACGACGTTCTGTCTGCTGGTGCGTCCGTTTCAAACGTCGTACTTCTAAATGCCAACTTTTGCGTGCAGTTGACGCTCATACCGCTCATCACATCTACTCCAAGTGCATTAAAGGAGAGCTGATGCATGGGCGAACGGTGATCCTTGTGTCACACCATGTCCAACTTTGCTTGAGCGGTGCTGCATATGTTGTCGCTCTTGATAACGGCCAACTTCTATTCGCTGGTGAACGTGAAGCCTTTGAAGCTTCTCCTGTGAAAGGGACATTGGTGCAGACCATGGGTGGCGCTGGCAAGAAGCAGGGCGCAGCAAGTACTTCGAAGAATCCATCGGTGCCTGCCAGCCATTCTCCCGTTTCCACGCTCGTGCAAGATGATGTGGAACCTGACCCAATATCTGAGACGAGCTCCACCGTGATCAATGAGCCGCAAGTAAATCTGGAGCGGAAAGCACCTAGGAAAGTTGTGGAAGACGAGAAACGCGCTGTGGGGCGCGTTAGTCGTGATGTCTGGAAGCTCTATGTGAAGTCGTGCGGCGCCTACGGGTACTGGGTATGGTTCTTGTCCATTCTCGTGTTGGGTGCTCTCTGTCCTGTTGCAGAGAACTGGTGGCTTAAGTATGTTCATAATGTTATACTGTTGCATGATTGACATTGGCATCCGTAGGACATGGTCGGGATCGAGCACAGAAGAGGCCGACGCTAAGGGACCGGTGTATTACATTGTTATTTATGCTGCAGTAAGCACAGCTCTACAGTATTATCCCTCACCATGACTCATGTCCTTGCAGGTCACTCTCACAGGTTTGAATCAGTTGGCTTGTACCGCATGGTGCTAATTATCTTTCAGGTGTTTTGATTTCGACTTACAGATACTTCGTACTGTGTATGCAAAGTACACCCGCTTTCATGAACCCCTACTGAACCATTTCTCATTCAGATAACGGCTCCATCCATGCGTCGACCGTTTTATACCAACGTGGGTCGAGGTTGAGATGTTACTTTTGACTACTTACTTACATCACTCATGATAGAACTTCTGGAGACTGTGTTGTTTGCGCAAATTCGTTTCCATGATACTGTGTCGCGGGGGAGACTCCTGAATCGATTCGGGAAAGACTTCGAAGGTCCGTTTTCTAAGCCTATGTTTTCTTCGCGTATACAATGACACGTAACAATATAGGCGTTGACAGTCGACTCGCGGATCACTTTGGTCGAAGTCTCATCTTTGCATTTTCTTTCGTCGTCACGATTGTGTCTGTTACTTTTGCAGGCGGAGTTCCATTCCTCATTGCTATCATTATCTTGGGCTTCATTTACTATGATGGTCTGCAACTTTTTTCTCGATCGATAACTCAGCACTGATTGTTGAACTTGTGTTTAGTTTCAAAGGTACTTTTTTTGTCATGTTCTTGCTTGAGGAAATGCTTAAGTGCCTAGGACTACGGACAAGCTGCTAGAGATATGCGGCGCCTGGGTAAGTGTCCTTCATATTCAAGAGCGCTCGATTGAATTTAGTTACCTTAAGACTCCGTGGCACGGTCTCCCCTTTATTCGATCTATGGTGAAACCATTGCCGGAGCGCCCATCCTTCGAGCTTTCGGTGCTTCATCAAAGTTCATGCGAGACATGCTTCGCTACGTCGATACGGTGAGTCAAACAGAATCCGCTTTCACTTAACCTGATCGATGCCTACTAGAATATAAACCCGAACTATTGGCAATGGGCTGGTACGTCGAGCGGTCGTTTGATTGTCGAGAGTTGTTGACATTGGCTGATGTGTTTAGTCAATCGCTGGCTCTCCGCCCGGTTTGACCTTTTGTCCGCTGTGACCATTGGTGTAACAGGTTTTATCGCCGTTTCCACTCCGACCATCTCAGCTGCGCTCGCTGGATTCGCTCTTTCATTTGCTGGAGGCATGACGTTCACAGTATGTGCCTGCTTGTCATGGACTATGGAACGATATGCTGATACTGCCTGCAGTTGTTATTCCTAGTAGGTGAACTGGTGTTTGTCTAGATTTCTTATTAATCTCGAACTCAGGTGCGACGGTTCGTCGGCCTTGAACAATCTATGGCTAGTACCTTAGCATACTGTATGACGTGCAGTGTTACTGATGGACCTCCAACAGGTCGCCCTGGAGCGTATCAAGGAGTATTCAGAGCTTCAGCGCGAGCCTCCTGAATATATCGAGCCGCGTCCGCCAGCTTCCTGGCCAGACCGAGGTACCATCAAGTGCGAAAATTTGATCATTCGTTATGCGGTAAGCCACTTTCAGTGGGAACCTCTCATCAGTTCATAACCTGTCCCATAGCCCGAGTTGCCCGATGTTCTTCACAACTTGAACTTCGAGGTCCACCCTGGGGAGAAGGTATTATATATTCGAAGACTCCTTTGTCAGCAAACTGAGTTTTGTTCTTAGGTCGGCATCCTAGGCCGCACAGGTTCCGGAAAGAGCACCCTTGCACTCTCGTTCTTCCGCTTCGTGGAGGCAACAGAGGGTTGCATCACCATCGACGGTCTGGACATCTCCAAAATGGGACTTTCGGACCTTCGTAGCAAGCTTACTATCATTCCTCGTGCGTGTCCTGCCAAGTGGTGATTATCATACTTACAACAAACAGAGGACCCTACCATCCTTAGCGGTACTTTGCGATCCACGCTGGATGTATTCGACGAGTATGGAGACGCAGAAATTGTTGGTTTACATTTACATTGGTTGACCGCAACGGTATACTGACTGTTCTTTAGTTCGAGGCTCTTCGACGTGTTCATTTGATTCCGTCTGATGCCGCTGATGTTGTCGAAATTGACGGTGTCGCGGTCAATGTTAATGTTTTCCGAAACCTAGAGTCACCAGTATCGGAAGGAGGGGAAAACTTCTCTACGGGGTTAGCGCTTTGTCAACGCCACCGAGTAACCTTGCTCACGAACTTTCTAGCGAGAAACAGCTTCTATGCATGGCTCGAGCAATCCTGAAACGCTCGAAAGTTTTGGTCATGGACGAGGTACGTTTTCCTGTCCTTCGCCTACGTTTCACTCCTCAAGGCTACGTTGCAGGCAACAGCAAGGTGATATCGATCGTATGATAGAAGCTGAGATTTCAACTGACGTAACTTCAGCGTTGACTACGCGACTGACGAGCTCATTGGAAAGACGATCAGAGAGTTCGTTTCGCGACATTAATAACCCTCTCACGAGAAATTGACCACGCCGAACAGAGAATTTGCAAACAGCACCATTCTCACCATTGCGCACCGACTGCGCACTGTGATCGATTATGATAGGGTATAAAAAATCCAGCTCATGTGGTTTGTGCATTACTTATGGACTACTAGGTGATGCTCCTTGACCAGGGCAAAATCGTCGAGTTTGACCGGTAAGTCATCGCGAAATATATGGTGCAGAAAGTTAACCAAGACCTTCAGTCCCGCTGTGCTGCTTTCTGACCCCTCGTCGCAATTCTACGGGTTGTGTGAGGCAACAGGCGAGAATGAATTTGCGATGTTGAAGAATTTGGCTGGGGTATGATTACAAAAGTGAATCGCTGGGCGTTACAATATTAGAAAATAACATCTTGATTGTTACACATTAGAGTGTACTTTTTACAGGTTTTGAACAGAGATATCCAAAGGATCAGGAGGGCACCGACGGACGTGAGGATTTTGATGTTGATATTATTTACAGTGGTCGATGATACCCTGGCATCTCGATCATCTCAAATGTCGAATTATGTTTGTCGTTCTGATGGATCCGAATGTGTCGATTCATTCGCAGGGATATCTGATTGCGTGGAATGAGACAAAGGACAGACATCATATGATAGTATTCGCCAACAGTATATACCGTCAAATTCCGCTAAATTAATAGGGAGCAGCGGCAGCTTGGCACTGAAAAAATAAAATCAGTCACAGAACTATGTTTAATTGAATGGATACACACAGCCTTCAACTGGTCAAGGTACCATGAGCAACTTGGCAGATCTGCCTTGTCCAAACACTTGGTGAACTCCTTAGCTTGAACTTCACAAGCAGCGCCAGTTGTCTGGTATGCTTGTTGCTGCTGTACGGGTGCTGCTGACTCCGCGGGTGCTGCAGATGAGCTGGAGCCGAACAGCATGGAGGAGATACCATGACCGATGGTAGATCCAACAGCGACGGAACCGGCAGTTGCAGCCATTTGTGCAAACATCCCGGGACCACTAGATGTCTGAGCGGGAACAGGTGGTGCGGGGGCGTGTGCTGGGTTACTGTGGGCTGCAGCAGGAGGCATTGCAGCCGTATGAGCACCGCGGGATTGCTGAGGAGCTGCAGCTGCAGGCTTAGCAGCTGGACGAGAGGAACGCGAAGAACGCTATGAAAGAAAAAAATACAAAATAAGCTCACGGTAAAAGACAATTAGTTGAGATGTCTTACAGGCATGATGATTGAGATGGCGGTTCAGAGCAAAGGTGCTTCGGGTAGAACTGGGTGGAATTTTTGACCGGCGAAGCAAACCTTTTATATCCATCTTCCCCGGCTCGAACACACGCGTCCCCGGCTGCCGAGTTTGTTCGCACGCATAGATTCCGGTGAAATCCTTTTTGAGAAATTGACATTGAAATTTAAAGTCTTTACTCGAGCTCGCTGTGTTACACAACAAGTTCCAGCTGCAGGGGCAATGGTGATAGCAACGGTGAAGGTCCCGTGTGTCTCCTTCAGGTCCCAACTGAAGAAGAGATGTTTACTCTATCCACAACGCTCGTTCTCGGCCTTAAAATCCGCTACCCGAACGGCTACTCCCCCTTCAACGTCCAAGGCTTCCACCACGAGTGGGCAAGCGTCTGCCACAACGTCGTCCAATGCATCAAGAAAATCTTCAATTAAGAATGAGAAGAAAGCAAAAAAGGCACTCACTGCTACAGACAGCACGGAGGCGCAGCTCAAACAAATAGAGAGCATGATGAACATGGCAAACACGTCGAACCTGTTTCCAACCATGGATATGTGGGGTACTAAGTTAGTGACTCTCGGTGTGTGTATTCTTTATAGAAGGATAACTCAGACTTAGTTGATCACGCATCCAGACGTAGAAATACCACGCGACGCTTCACTGCGTATGCTTTTTACAAACCCAGGCGCGTTTTGGCATGCAAAACAGCACAATTTCTCCAATTGGTTGAAGAACACGTTCAGGTTCGCGTGCAGTGTTTCATGCATCTTTCGTCCTTCTAAGCCTCATTGTGCAGCATGTATACCATCGCCAAAGCTCGAGCTTTTACGGGAGTAAATCATGATTTTCGATTTAGTCACTTATTCCTACCACGCACATGGCGTCAACTGGGCAACGTAACCTCACATTCTTCAGCGTCCTGGTTAGCACCAATACGACGCATTGCAATGGATAACTATCTGGCTATAGGCCGTGCCATAGCTGAGTGCGTATAATTTTTGCTGACCCCAATTATATTTAATTATATCAACAGCAAGGATGAAGCCACACTGAAGGCGCTGACAACAGCCGACCATGCCACCAAGGTGAACAAGATTGTCCGTACTCGTAAACCTGGCGAGGTTTGGCAATGGAAGGTTCTAAGCGATGTTTCAGACAAAGCCCTATTCCAAGAGAAAAGCTGTAAGTATCGACGTTACACTCTCCATTTTTTTGGGTTCACAATAATACAGTATTCCGTCCACTTGCAATATCACCAGGAGCTACCATCGTATCCATCCGTTCCGGTGAGGTTTATGTTGCGAAGGAACCCCCGAAACGCGGCAACCGGCTGGTGATACATGCACTAGTCAAGTTCGAGACTACGCAGGTGAGTGTTCTTCCAGCACACGTAAATTGTCTACGAACTGACACTGCTCCAGGAACTCAAGGTGTTTACCAAGCAGGGCCAGCCAGTTGATGCTAAATCTGCAGAACCTCATACTGTCGTGGAATATTTAGTGCTCGAGAAAGTGGGTTGGTATGACAATACGTGGCAGGTGCGGGACCAGATCTACAAGTAAACGGGTGCTGGATGACGGATATAATGGGAGTTTGTGATTAGATCTCTGTCAGATTTCATTTGCGGATTTGCGAGATAACTATGTAGCGGTCGTGCGACGGGCTACGAAAAGTGCGAGTCATTTTCAATAAGGAGAAAATAATTGTAAGAACCATATAGACCCCAAATATTTACAGTCGTGGATGTATTGGATACGGTGATAATCCTAGGCGCTCAGCACTCGGTCCGGTTTGATGGTGTCACGTGAATATTAACGCGAGAGTTGACGTTGACGTTAGGCGCCTGGCGCTTCAATGATCTGCACAGTCAGCGCTGCAGCGCTCAACTTGCTGTACAGCCTTCGGAGAAACTCACAACATGTAACCCATTGAAGAACTTAAATAACGACCTCCCTCCCCACTTGACTCTGCATTGGACATCACATGCCTGGCGGCACCCACTCCGTTGTAGTAGTCTTCAATGTTCATTCTGCATTCGTCTTCTGTGCATGTCTAGGCTCTGATTAAGTAGGTGATAGTTTCGTGTGGGATTTGATCAGAAGTTAGAGCTGAGATCGTCCTGCACCCATCAGAATACACATACCTTCCCCAATATGAGGAACAAAATTTTTGACAGGGAATCCGAACACAAGATCAGTAAAATACATCTGCTGGAGTCCAGACAGATTCAAGGGCGGCTGCCAGGTGAGCGGGGATGCGAACTTGTGACAAATTTAGAATGTGGTATGCTGAGGGCAGCAGGACAATCCTCCGAGCAACCATCGTGTTATACAGTAAGTATAGAACCTCGAGACCAATCAGCCCATCGGAGTACCACTCCACCATGAAGACCCGGTTTGCTGCATGGGCCACACCTTTTCTGTAGACGGAAAGTCCTGTCCGACAATGTAAGCTTCAATTTGGATACATTTTATCTTCAATCACACTGACGGCGGGTCCGCTTTGCTAGGCTAGTGCTATCAGGCAACTAGCTTCAACATTCAAGGTCCTCGTGAAATACTCCCAGGGTTTTTCGATGATGTACGAGGTGCTGATGTACATGATCTTGACTGAATGATTTGACCAATATATTGTCAGTTGGGTACTCATTCATCCCTATCCTATGGGCCACACCATAATCATTGGAACCCAGCACCCTGTCAACGCTCCAGTTGCTTGTCCTCCTTCTGGCGTCACTCCAAGCCTTCTGAATGCAACACTCGACTCCATTTTCACCTTTTCACCTGGAGTCAAAACCTTGTCTCTGGCATGCTGCACAAACGACATGAATCGGAATTGCGAGAGTTGCCAATAATCGAGGTCTCGTGCACAGTAGGCAAGCCTGCCTTTTCAAGTCTTCCGAATCTTTATCGATGATCACTGGCCCCTTGTTCGCGCAGAGAAATCATCACGCCAGAAACTTCATTTCGCCCTCCCAAATTCATATCACTCAGCAACCTAGCGCAGCAACTCAGGGCGCACCATCATCGTCGCAGCCACGATCTCCACCTCCACCTGCTACTACTTGGACACTTTCTACCGTCGCTGGTACCGCTGGGCAATGTAAACAATCTCGCGTCCTCGTATAACCGTAAGAGATTCTGGATGGCGCGCTTGTTTCATGGCCTAGGTTTGCTGCATGACTATTCAGTACACCAACAGTCAACATTAAGAAGCGACATTTTGGGCGGTCCAACTTCTCCGTCAAAGCTATGTGCAAGCATACATCGACCTTCTCATTGCCCTATGCAATATTCCCGCAAGCCAACGAAAATTGACCGGAGCTGGCTCTCGTCACTCATACGCGCCTCATAAACGAACACTTCGCAAGTGGTTTATCATACTACGATCATCCATTGTCCAGGCGACTTGTTACGACTTTATCCGTTCAGAACACTACTAGGGACTTCTCTATATCCCATCCCATATTCTGCAGTCCGGGCTTGACGGCATGTGTTATCATAGCATCAGGACCGCACGCTAGGATGAGTCCATGCTCAGAGTGGCGAGGCATGTGCTCCGACAGTAACACATCATTGATTCGCCCAACACTGTACGGCCACTCCTCAGGAGCGACACTAAGCGTGTAGTGCAGCTTGAAACGCCCCCTGCCATGCAATGCGAAGAGTGTGTCAAGTTCTTCTCTAAAGAGGATGTCTTGCTCTGTTTTGTTCGCACTGATCACCCACACCCGGGTCTCGCTTTCCGCGTTTTGGAAGATACTGCGAAGCACCTGGAGGATCGGTGTTATCCCTGCATGATTTTATTTAGTATTGCACATTTATGATGTTGCATTCGAAGTCGTACCGCTTCCACCGCAAATCATGCCGACTTCCTTGATGGTCTTCCTTATCCCGTTCCACAATGCAGTACTTGGCCCGTCCCAAATAAAGGACCCTAACGGCCCCTTGAGCTCCACGCTATCTCCGATACGTAATTGATGGAAGCCGGTGGTCATCTTCCCTCCAGTGGGGATTGACGCGGAAGGAAGATACAATCTAATGAAGAATTCAGTGCGAAGAGCATGTCCTGATGAAGAATACGAACTTGATGAGAAAGTCGATGAGGCCTACTGTGTCTTGTTGCGATACCGGAGTATATGCCCTCTGTACCATCTCCCCGGTATCCTGTCGGCGTAAGCGAACGAAAACATGTTGTCCAACTGGCAGACCTAGCGGCTGGTCTCTTTTCAAGGCGAAACGATATAGGTAAGAATCGTGGTTGATCTGCTTGATGGCACACAATTCGACATCCTTCCATCGGCTGCGCTCTAGAAAGGTTTCATCGTACTGCGTTGTAATGGGCCTTTCTCTGGCTAAACTGGTTGTAAGGGTACCAATGTGGTGCTGTAAACTGGTCCATAAACCGACGTTCTACGGCAAAATCGACTCACCTCAGCCAATTTTTGTTTGCCTTCTGCAGAATGTATGGCGAAGAAGTCTTCGGACGCATCTTCGCCAGCTACAAGCAATATGGAGTCACCGCCTCCTGGGTGGTCCTTTAGAAATGGAGTTCCATCGTAAACCTCACCGTTGACGACAAACCACGGTTGCTGTCGATCTTGCGCCCTGAACTCTTCCAGGGTAATTTTCCGATTCATGCCCGGCTTGGTCAAGCAGACCTCATCTGATTCGTGCTTTGGAGCACGTGGTGCGAGATCCCGTCCTTTTTCGCCGAAGACAGGCTTTGTAATATCCTCCCCCACCGCTTTCATGCGCTGATTTGCTACCATCAGCATTTGTTTTCTGGGACCAAAGATTAAGCATCACCTCCATCCATCCTCCATTCGCTGTCCCAGCGAGTGTTGGATGTTCAAATTGCAAGACAATTTTCCCGTCATCGTTGACGGTTCTATGGACGGCAATGCGAAACCACCTGCCAGCAGCTCGCAGCAGGGCGCAGAATATCAGGTTTTATCAAGACGTACCAGTTGTTCATCATGCCAAGTGCATGCCAATACCTGTGAACAGTTGATGTTAATGAACCCGCACAGTACGATCCTGCCTTACATGTCTCTTTGTTGGAACGCGAGGCCTTCGTCCATAGCTCTAACCATCAACGCATCACAGCTCGCTAGAACGTCATGCGAGACATCAAATGTCCAGAAGCACCAACAGCTAGACGGGATCTGAACATTTTCATTGCAATGGTAATGCTTGCTGCTCACAAGGACGTATCGCGCTCTGATGCGTCAAGAGTTCCATAAAATGGGTCTTGGTGACGTATTTCTCTGAATCGGTCCTCAGGATACTCACTTTTTGACACGGTATCAATGAGGTGTCGATTCTGAAGCATGTAGACGTACATATTTCCCAATGTCCATGTCTCCCCTTGGTCAAGCGAAACCTCGACACGGGTCACCCTGCGACCTCCACCTGCATACGCATATCCTCGGATGGGATATGATGCGATTGTGCCATTCTCATCCGGCGTCTTATCGATGTAGAGTTTCTCATTATGATCCGGTTTCGCGATGACGCTATTGACGTTAAGCTCCCTGAAGACTCTTGTTCAACATGTGGTACATAAGAGAGCAAGATTAAACCAACGTGATGATATATCTGAGATATCCCCGATCTGGTGAGTAACTTGCTAAGGAACGTCAGAGCACTCAGACTAACCTTGGGTCATACCACCAATGCTTCTCAGCACGGGCTTGGTCAGGCATAACCTGCGTTGGTAACATTTTGTTGTCCTATGCAACGTTAGTGCGATTCATCCTCGAGGATGAAGGATCTACGCGTACCCAAAAGTGCAACTGCATAACAAAACCATCAGTCGACGCTTGTTTGAGTTGTACAAGAACTGGCATACGTGGTGCTGGCTTTCACAATTACTTATTTCGATGCGTCTCAGCCACTAAGTGGGGTCTAATTGATTATGGGCTCCTTGTCATCGGGAAACACCTTACCTTAACAGACCGTCCACCGATCTGACCCGGCACAATGATGCGCACAGGAAAACCATGGTCTGGCTCCAATGGTAAACCATTCATTGCCCAGGCTAATGTAGAAGGTCAGGAGGAATCGTCACACTGTAAGTGATTCGAGTTACCAATGAGCATACCCTTGTCCTTATTGGAAGCCCACGACAGTCGCTGCGATGTTCCATAGGGCCCGTTCGGAAGTTTATCTCCGCCTTCAAAGACAACGTATTTGGCTTGTCTACAAATTGGTCTCACATGATTCAATACGTCGGCCAGATACACGCCTGTCCAAAGGGCTGTTGATACTTGATATTGATGTTGGTGAAGACTCATTCAAATCAACACGAGCTGAAACCTCACCTCCCGCTGCTCCCCAGCTGAAGCCAAGTGTCTTGCGGATGACATTCTGTTCTTTCCGCCTGTTGCCGGCGCATACAAGGGTTACAGGAATGCTAACAACGGGAAACTTTTCTTGAAGCTCTTGCAGAGTAAATGTAACCTCTCGTTCCACCAGACCATGTACGTGGATTGTCCAGTTAGCAGCTATCTCGTGGCTGACCTGTGGCACTGCACCATGATTCCGCACGAAATGCAGGTGAGGCGGAGTAAAGAATCCCTGTAGACACACCCTCAGTCCCGTGCAAAACATCGGAAACAAGATACCTACACATTCAAATAGAACACCGAGTCGCGCTTCGGAGTTAAACGGATGTTTTCCCGTCAATCGTACGAGTTCTGGATTCTGAGCGCGGAGGACCGGATCAAAAATCACGCAGATATCATTGATTTATCGTCCTTACACGATTGACCCAGTTATCTGGCGTGTCGAGATCCTGGCGAATGTAAATGTCAAATTAACGTTGTGCGCTGAAATATCCAGCACAACCTGCTGAGCTACTTTTGTTGGGGTAGCATTAATTGGCAGCTGTGGGAGGCACTGGGGAAGTTGGGGACCATTCCTTTCGGGCCCGTCGAGAGATGAGGGAAAGAACGGTACAGGTAGAGCATCCTGAAGTTTCTGGTTGGTGAGGTCTGGGGAGCGTACCAAGGACATGAAAGCAATAGACGGAGTGGTAGCAGGTGATTGAATACGCTAGGTGAGTCGGCGGACGAACTTGAAGTCCTTGAGAATTGTTGGGTAACAGTCAAATATTGGGTCGCCATTAGCACTGCTCGACGCTCAATATGTAATACCAACCATCTCCCAAGTCACGCGGGGAATTCATCCCATGGTCCTTTCAATTAAAACCAGTTCGGCCAGACACCGATTTGGTTCTGTCAACTGATAAGCTGTTATCGATTAGCACGGATGGAACTTACGGAAGACTGAAGTTGAATCCCTTGGAAAGTTTCGCAGTGCCTGCGGCTTGGCGGACGTAACCAAAGCCTTTCGGACATCAAAGAAGTGGCCAGAGCAAGTGTCTGGGGTCCTACGAGTGAAGCTAACATCTCAATACAGTTGCTAAAGTTTAGACCGGACTTCCCCTTTTATTGGTACCATTCAACAATTCCGCCTGTTGCGATATTTGGGCGCGCGAAGTACACCAGAGTAGCAAGCTCGTTGGAGGGTCATATTGGTCACCTTGATCGTAGCTGTGTCCGATGTCACCTCTCGCAGCGCACAACTAATATCGACTGACAATATTGTACATGGTACCACAGTGATGTACTGGCACTAGACCATTGTCTTGAATTCATGGCAAGCATTGACCGTGCGGATTCCTCGTAGTAGTGATGCGTTACTCGGCACCTTCCGCTAGCAACCCTTACCCCGATCATTAGCACGACGGCTTTCTCATCTTTTCAAATGACCAGTGGCTTAGTGATGAGTCAGGATTATTCGACCGATTCCATTCCTCCACTGATGTGCAACATATATAAGACCTAGTGCACTCATGTCTGAGCAGCTATTTTGGGATATCTCATGCGCGGGTCCCGCAAGTAAGCACCTATGTAGCGCTAGAAGCGGTGAGGGAAACAAAATGAAATCTGGTCTATCTAGCTGTAAAAAAACTCTTTTACATGTCAAAGACGTAGTCTAGACTAGTTCAATCGTACACGTTGTCACTCGAAACATTCCCGGTAAGACATCTGAGTATATGACCATTTTTGACTGACATCTTTCATTCAAAACTAGTAGGTTCAGTCGATACTCTCCTGCTCGAGCTCACTTTGACATCGACGCAGCCTTCCCGATTGACTGATTCAAATGGGAGTTCGGAAGCGCTCAGCTATCATTCTCACTATCATATATGACAGGAATATTTTCACATCAGTCAAGGACGCAGGCTCATGTGGTTGGACGATACGAACAGACGAAAGCATTGTCCTTAAAGAAACGTACTGTAAGAAGAATACTCAGGTACCAAATATCACCTTGTTCAAAGCTGAGGTACACGGATAATACAGAGTAACAGGTTCACGCCCTGGGGTACTATCTCAGTACTCATTGTACAGGGTGGGTGGACCTTTTACTTACAACTGTGATGACACCAGCAATCCAAAATGCCCTGCCAAGAGGATATGGTTGAAAGCGGAAGATAATCGCGAAGAATATCCCTCCAAGATTTCCCATGGCACCTACAATTCCGGTCTAGACCAGTCAAGTTTGAATCATTCTGCCATCACCACACACCAAGTGATGCAAGACTGACCATGAATCCATTGGAGTCTTGTGACAGAACACGATCAGTCATGAAAATTGGCAATTTAGTACACTGAACACGGACTGGGGTTGCAATGTGGAACAAGAGAAAAGTTAACTCCATTGGCGACCTCATTGAACATTGCGACAATGACAAAGATCACAATGATGACCTCAACTGGTGTCTGTCAGGCATCAGTGATAAATTGAGGTCCGAACTCACGAGATGGATGAGAGTGGTTCTCAATGTAAAAACCAAGACCAAGCGATACAAGCCCTTGAGCGACTCCACAAGCGATGGTCAGGTACTTCTTGCCAGGCACCTGCAGAGCCTCTTCAAACCGATTTCATGCACAATATCAATGGCACTTACACCAAATTTGACATATATGAGATCTCCGAAATATCCGCCTGTAATGAGATGGTGGTTATGAGGAGGAGATACCTTAGCTTGCGAAGAAAGTGACTAACCAAGCGGCCGGAAGAACACATTAAGGAGACCATAGATGCCTGCAATCTGATAAATCTGTCATCACATAGGTCATGGCGACTGTTTAAGGAGACTCACATAGCCAGCTTCGGTTTGGCCAAAAGTGGGGGACTTGAATAGGGTATACAGAACGGTAGCCAAGTTGACTTGAATAGCAAGCTCGTAGCCGAAAGTGGTCATATAAGCCAATGAGGGAAGCCAGGTCAGTGGGTTTAGAACGATTTCATACGCCGTGTTCAGGGAAAGTGGGTTGTTGACAGCAGTGTCCAATTCTGAAACCAAGTCTATAACATTCGGTTAAGCGAACAAGCAAAATCAACAAAAGAGAACGATAAGCACTGACTTGTAGCAGTAACAGCAGTAACAGTAACCTTGATGTTCTTCTCGTCTCCAGTCTCGATATCATCACCAGAGTTTGTTTTTATATTTTCGCTATTGCTCGTTTGATCATCTGACGTAGGAAGTGTAGTGGCAACAGCTTTATAACGATCACTCCATTTGCCCGCGGGATGGTCAGTGCCAAACATTAGAGTGGCAGCAGCAACAGAGAGGAGAATGGGAACAGGAACGATTGCAAATGCCACCCGCCAGGCAACGTGCGGGCTCATACCGTCAGCAAGTAATTGATTGAAGAGAGCGATCATGATGATGAACGTGAAGCCGCCACCCGTATCTCCCCAGCCTCCGCCTAAGGCATTTGCTGTGAATTCGACTATATTAGAATACCCAACATATTATAATTTTTGAACAGAGTTTCACCTGTACCAACGACATTCTTGTCAAAGAACGCAGTGTTCCAAGCTTGACAAGAGACAAATGTGGCACCGAGAATGCCAATGAAGAACCGGACAATGTAGAGACCTTGCGCAGTTGATATGGTTCCAGCAAGGCCAGAAGGAATCGCCCCTATAATGAGAAGACCCGCCATCACCTTGCGGGGCCCATATACTACAAGATCAAATATATGAAGTGCTAGGGTGTCGAACTGTACTCACGATCGACGAGGAGACCTGATATAAGCCGTACAACAAGGGTGGCGCACAGCGAAACAATATTCGAATTCCCTTAACAGTGTTTCAGATCATAACTAACAGTGCATGGGCTCGGAATTTGAACGTACCGACTTCCTCAGATGTCAACTTCAAGTCAGTCTTGATGGCATCTGGAATGAGAGGGGCGAATGCGAACCACGATAAGCTGTATAAACAAATCACGTTTAGTGGCTAACGTGCACAAAACATCTAATAAATCTCATTCACAAGGCGACAAAAAATCCAAGCCACGACCTGCATGGCTACCAATAAGATATGACACTGCATACACTGCTTAGAGAAACGTACAGATGGAAATTGCGAGAGTACTGATTGTTCAGCGAGAAAATAGGGATCGTGGAACATTTGCTGTTACTGGGATTGATCACTGGGTAGCGCATGCTCGCATACGCATTGCTAATGCCAGAAAGTGTCAGGGCAGGCATAGGCGCAGTCGACGAAATACAGTGTTGAAGGGCGAATTGCAAGAATCTTGAACGGAGTATGAGCGTCTTGGGTTTTATTTTAATCACTGACCCAAGCAAGCTAAGAGCCTAAGACATTGGTCCAACAGTAAGTGCAATCATCAAGGCTGTGAGTGGCGCGTGAAGAGTGGCTACTGAGACACCCTGAGTGCCACCCTTGGCAGCACTTTCATCAGTGAACCGGTGAAGAGATGAGATTGATATATAACATCAGCACAACCCTGATAGGTTGTGCGACACTGCACAGTGCTGTACAGTGACACAGACATCACAGGGAAGTATGGTTTCGAACACGCGAAAAACGACGGTCCAGTCACGAACGTTCACGTCGTGACCGATGCCCTCATCCTCTCTCGATCGACGATCCCTTGTTCGAGCCGTCAGCTCAACGAGAGGACACCCGTCACCCCCCCGGGTTTCCAAGCCCAAAACCTTCCGTCGACCCTTGCCTACGACAACGCTTTGATCCAAAACGCGAGGGCTGGGCAGGGACAAACAAGAACGAAGGCGCCTAAGCGCCAAGGCCAACGATCGCGCCCAACTCCATAAGCCGCGAGCAACGGATGTCGCGGGCATCATGGAAACGCGGACTGGAAATGAAGGTATGAGCACAGGAGAGAAAGCTTAGTAATACGTACAAGTATGAATAATGTACACCGTCACTCTCCGAAAACCTATACTAGACCTCCAAATATAGTAAGGTGTGGTAATCCTGTCCGAAATGCCATTCACATGGTTTTCTCACTATGTATTGATGATCAATTAAATATTTGGTTGTTTGTTCTATTGGGCGCGGGATATAATAGGCCCACATTTAAAAACTTTAAGACATTATATATATATCGAATCCACCTTAGCATCCGGAGCTACTATGAGTATTATGTTTATTTACTTTGAATATCTACATACCATACCTCCATACCATTTGTTGTTCAATACCTCGCACAGATATATTGTCCATACCTTGCATAGATATATTGTCCGTCACCATACCTAGAGAACGGGCTCGATAGGTCGTTGTCACATCTGGTGAAATATATTGGTCAGATGCTGGCTCTCATAATAGCACGCTCGGTTCGAGTATTATAAGCAGCAGATGACAAAAATTGCATTATTGTTGGACTAGATACAAACACGATCATCTAATAAATGAATGGTATGGGTATTGGATGGAGTGTGCGAATGATGTATTAGTAGAGCGCAAATAAGAAATGGTGATATTCATGTCGTCCAGAGCAGCTTTGTCTGAATCGTCGTCTGCCACTGGGGATTGTAAGTGGAAAGGAGTTTTGGAACGGTCCTCCTCCCAGGGTATTCAGCAAGGTCTTGCTGAAAATACTCGACAAGGATGCTATGCAACAATTAGCAACGATACAAAGAGTCGAACAATGAGAAACTTACTTCCGAGTAGCATTCTCATATGCTGTGTCATAGTCCCCCCCGGCGTCAACTTCTACCTTGGCCTCTTCCCTCGCCATGTTGCGAACAGCCTCAAGCGAATCATCCACGAAGTTCCAAAACTTGGTAGAAGTGTACTTAGGACGCTTTCCATTACCTCCGAATCCTGAGCCCTCGGCATCGATTTCCCCTTCGTCTGTCCCGCTATCTAGCCCGATGTCCCGGTTCTCATCCTCGTCTCCATCAAGACTGACATTATGGCTGTTATTGGGCACATTAGTATCAGCTGCTGCATCATCCCCATCATCCAAACCGCCTTCACAGTTCTCACGGACTTCATCAGCATTTTCCTGGACTGTAGGCGTGTCGTCCAGTTCTATGTCGATGCCAAGCGTCTCTCTCACTTTGATGCGAAGGTCCCGGTGGAGCGAAGAAAGGAGCGACGGAGAATAGATATTTTTCAGTGGTATACTCTTGTAGTCGCCCCTGCCAATAAGGAAGATGCGCAAGCAGCGCCGCTGAAGACCCGTCGTTAAGAAAATTATGATCCTGTAGGTTAAGACTCGGAGAATACATACCAAAAAAGCGTATCTGTTCCAATGAGATGCGTCGACCTCAATGCAGCTGTGAGCGAGAGATTTTGCAGTATCCATGATACTCAAGTGTTTCGAGATCGATAGAACCAGCTAAAAAAGTTCAGAATGGTTCTGCATTCCAATATGTATATGACACGAACCTTGGTCTTGAGATTGCCACGGATACAGGCAAGTAGGTCGCTGACAACAGTCGAGAGTTGTGCACTGAGCTCGGCATCTTCGAACAGCGACTTCGGAACTTTGAATATGTCAGTATGTGTCTTGATAAAATCCTAGCGTAGTTTTCAGCCGTCAGTACTTTATAAAAATCAAATAAAAGATACCATTATGTGCGCATGTGTGTCAGTGACATAGGCGGTGAGATTGGGTGATAGCATGCATGCTGTCAGGCGGTTCTGCAGCCCTGACTGTGTTGTAAATGATCAGGTCCAACACACATCGCAAGACGATACTGACGAAAATACCTTGAAATCTTTAGATTCCAGTAGCTCTTTCAATTCATCGAGTATGGTCTCCCTATTCGCGACGCTAGTAAGCAACATGCAGACTTTAAGATCAATGAGCATGTAGTAAATTCCTCCAGTCTACAAACGTGTCAGAAAGAATTCATAATAGCAACAAGCAAAATCTTACATCAATAAAATCATGAAGGAGAGTCTCAGAGACACCCTTCTCCCCAGCGACCCTTGTAGCGTATGTCTTGAGTCGTTTCGACTCTCTGGGTGTAAGCAGAAGTGGGTTACTACCATCAGCACTAGATGACCTTCGACAACGCATGCCTGCACTGATAGGCTCATCCAACGAGTCAGCAGGTGAATGAGAACGTAAGGAACCATGAGTATGAACGGTGCCATCAGCAACTTGACTTTGAGAAGCTGCATTCATTGGCATTGTTGTTGTCTGGACCAATGGTGAACGTGCACGACCGATGTTTCTTGAGGACCCGCATGCTGAAGGAGTTTGATGAACATTTTGGACAGAGGCTGAACGACTCCTGCCTCGAGGCCCCACAGCAGCGTGTGGTACCAAAAGACCGCCTGAGGTGCTGGCCCGTGAATTGCCTGCAGATTGAGAGCCTGTTCTAGACCGCACAGAAAAACGCTGCAGCATCATCTTGAGAACAGTGAAGGCGGGAGGACTTCACAGGCGTGTGCCATTCACCAAGGTTGGCTGACGGAATGAAGCGGTGGCGGATGCAGACTGTATTGATCACTTTCTTCGGTTTCGGTTTCGGTTGCGGTGTTTCAATTGTCTGTATTAAATTTCACAAACAGTTCGTAGATTGTGCTGAGGGCGAGCAGGGATAGTTTATAAAAACATTAAAGTATATATGAGTGTCACTCTCTGAAAAATCAAACCGAAAGGGAGAAAGGCAGCGGCAGGAAGAGAGAGAATGGCTGAATATATACTTTGCAATGGTTTTTCAAAGGGGAATCCAACATGATGGGGAAAGGCCGCACCCATGCGCATCATTTTCTTCCACGATGGCCTGCATCCAGGGGCGATCGATGACATCTGGTGGGACAAGAACCAGAGACGATCGATGACATCTAGCGGGACAAGAACCGCAAGATTCATCGCTGGAAAGGCTGCACCCATGCGCATCATTTTCTTCCATGATGGCCTGCATCCAGGGGCGATTGATGACATCTGGTGGGAGAAGAACCAGAGGCAATCGATGACATCTAGCGGGACAAGAACCGCAAGATTTGTCGTTGATCTCCAAGGTGGAGAAAGGCTGCACCCATGCGCATCATTTTCTTCCTGCATCCAGGGGCAATCGATGACATCTGGCAGGACAAAAGCTGCAAAATCTGTCGCCAATCTCATGATCCTCGAGGGTGTGTCATACTGAATTGTGGGAGGGGGTACTGACTTGGTGCGTTGAAGTCCTGAGCATGCTGGGGTTGTTGATGATAAGACGGGCGAGGCAAAGACATGTAGGCCTGTGGTGCAGGAAGTGGATGCATCGTGGCCATATACATATCTTGATGAGTCGGATGAGTATAAGATTGAGACGGAAAATATGAGTACGGTGAAGGAAGATGTAGTGGGGGCGAGTGCAAGGGGCGAAGAGGAGGAACTGGCTGTGAGGGAGGAAAGGATTGGTGTGGAGGTGCGTAAAGGTGTTGTGCAGGAGGTATGAAGCGGACTTGATGTTGCTGGACCGGGGCTAAATCACTGAAGGTCCTTGAATCCTGCTGAGTGGACGTTGTTTGGGCAGAAGGGCCAGCTATGGAATTTGGGGCCTCTGGCTTCTTTCTTCCTCGTGTGCTTGGACCGTTTGCCTTCATCTTTGCCTTGGACGCAGGCTTGCGCGTTTTAGTAGGAACACGATCAAAGGCCGGAGGGGCTGGTGCTGGCAAGATCCGAGTGTCGCCGCCTTCGCCTTCATCTTCACCTGCTGGCTTGGACACATCTCCACCGGCCTTCTTTGCTGCTCTCTTGTCTCGTAGTTGGCGCAAGGCCACTGCACGAACTTCAGCCACATTGACAACCCTAAGTGGGGTTTCGTGAAGTGTATCTGGGATGATGAGTCGGATATGTTCGTAGTTGTGAATAGAGTAGACGTTAAGAAAAAAATTCGGAGTTGGCTTATGCTTAATTACAGCCTTTGTTACAGAGGTTTCGGTCTGTTCTTGACGTATGGGCTTTTGATTGAAGTCCGTGCACCGTGAATCGACGCAATTGTGCTGGAGGTTGACTATGCAGATAAGATCCTGCGAGGCGGTGGCGTAAACACTAAGCCTACATATAAAAAATATAACTTACGATGCCGGCTGAAACAACTTCATTATCTGTAAGAGTGAGACACGGCAGATGAAGCGAAGGGTGCAAAGTATCTGCGAATGTGAAGACCTGGAGGGCAATATGTTCCGCTGTTTGGTGATAATCGGACGATACAAGAATCTCGCGAATACGTCCGATATATGGCTGTGTGTAGCATCGTCATCGATTAGTGCGTACTATGAAAGTTAGAAAAATTAGCCCACCTTTCCATCTGCTGGATGTCGGAAGATGACATGACTGTCCAAGTGCGCGTGTTCTCCTTGATGCGTCACCACAGATTTTCCAAGATGATGGATGACACCAGGCCGATCAGTTCGAAGAATTCTCGCACACTGAGTAGTTTTCCATGGGACCACATCCTTTCGTGTAGTCTTGCCTGCTGCAGTGAAGGTGGTTTGGCTTTTTCCAGATCCTATGTGTAAATTAGTAGTGGTATAATGATACAGTGCATCATCGGACTCACCGGATATTGGCACACTGTAACCAGAGTTTGGTATCCCAAGGAGTCTTGCTTGTTCCGGATGCTCGTCGAAGTAGCTTAAAATCATCTCCCCCCCTCGAACCCACTTCTTGACCGTTGGATCATACCAATATCCACCTGTGGTGATGTGCTTCATGATGTCTTGTCGAGCGAAAGTCTTGCATGTGTCCCTACTGGGGGCCTGACGGTTACTGTAGATGCACGATAGACGAAAGACGTGATTGAACGACTCATATCTCTCAGTAGAAAAAACGATCGCAGGGCCGAAACGACGAATGAATGCTGGAAGGTGAACGAGAAAGTGAAATTTCGGCTTGCTGATTAGGATACTCGGTGCGCATTGTGACGTGATGTTGAGGAAATCTTCGATTTTTCGAGACAGGTTTGCCTATCTCACAAATGTTAAATGTGAAAGCTTCCAAAGGTAAAAACTTACAAGATATACTTCTGTATCCGCAATTTTGGTGTGCCATATTAGTACAACAAGCTCTCCAATAACTGTCCAGGTGTTGAGGACAGTTGTAGGAATGAGGTCGTAAGTAACGAAAGGCATCACTTGCGCCAAGCTTTTAAAGTGCTTGCCTATTAAACCGCCTTTGTAGCGGCAAATGTAGTCTGCATTGAGACATGGAGAGTTCAGTCCATCCTTGTCGATGGACTCAAGCCGATCCTGAAAAACATGGAGGAGCTTCGCTTTCTCGAGGAGAAAGGCAGTTTGCCCCCAGAAATATTTGACGACACCAAGAAGTATTGTATGGAGAATTTCGGTGGGTGTATCCATATGAATATCTAATGCTGCAGATAGCTGAGTGTGACATCATTATCGACAAAAAAAAACGAACCGTCCATTCCGAAAAGTGGATTGATGGCGTCGTTGAGTTCTCTGCCTTTCAAGAGGTCTTCAAACTCTTTCTGAAGGGTGGCCTCAATCGCAGTTTCAGACAGTGCTTGAGACCCTGCAGTACGTTTTCGGAGCCTCTTGCCAAGCTTGACTAGAGTGTTGAGAATTGAATTCGAAGCTGAGTCTCGGATGCCAGTCGTCGAAACCGAATGTTGGAGTTTCGTTGAGGCACCTGACTTGAAGGCGGTCTCAAATTGTCGTCGGATCTCTTGAGCAGTGTACTCTGGGGTCCGTATATTGCCTGACTGCAAGCATATGAGTCATAGAATTGAAGGTACTACTACAAGAATATTCCTACCACGAAGATACTTTCATAGCCAGCTGCAGATTCCTTGTACTCCTTTGTTCCACTGACATCGCAAGTCCTGCAAAAATAGTTGCAATTGAGCCCTGCATGACTGCACTCTTCGGCCTGCATTGGGTTGTCTCCGGCAAGAAATAGCCCATACGGGATAAGCATCACCTCCTCGTTATATTTGCAGTCCCATGCGACGACCCCAGATTTGGCCGCATCGCTATGCATACTTAGTGATACTATGTGACAAATAAATGAATAAACCATACCATATCGATTCTTTCATTGCACACATCAATTCCATAGGCGGAGCATGAGGTGATGACGCGACAAACCGCACAAAAAACTCTTTTTCAAGCATCTCCCGAGGCAGATTGGCATTGGACATATATATAGCGTGATGCTTATTCCACTGTTTTGAGATATTGCCCGACACGTCGTCCATGAAAATGATCAAGGGAACGGTATATACCATTCGACCTTTCGACTTTTCGCGCAGTGGATTCGGTGAGAGTGATCCATATTTGACTGAAGAAGCTTTGATATATGTGAATCTTGAGTTGCCAACAAAATTGATCTCGAACATACCGGTGAGACCACAATCAAGTTCGCCATAATTTGCAGCGATATCTGCGAACGATCGAATGAACGTAGACGTGAGGATGATCTCCTGGTCCTCGCTGATAATGAACCCGGCCTGTCACACATGTAAGCATCAGCAATTGTACATAGAGAGCCAGAGACGACACACATCAGTCCGTTCAACAACTCGACCTAATGCATATAACACTTTGTCAGAGTGCTCGCAGGTTTCAATGTCGTCTATGGAAGGGTCCGCGGCACCCAAAAAGAACCGCTGTGGAATGAAGTAACCTCCCGTTGAATCCTGCAACAACTCATCCGTAAAATAAACAGCCCCGTGCACCCGGACTGCTGGTGGTGATGGCATATCAAGCAGCATTTTCTTGCCGTGAAATACTTGTGACATGCCTTTCCCGCTGTCCTCGGGATAGTCTTGCATCGCAAGTCGAGTAAGAGGGTTTGCGTAGTCCTTTGAATGGTGTTAGCATACTGTCATCACGAAGAAGCATCCAACAAACCTTTGCGATCGCTTTCGCAACACTATTTATATAGAATATATTCCCGGATTGAGAAGTGACCTTCTCGGTCAGATCACCCATCAAATCTTCCAGGCCCATGTGAAGCTTTTTGATTGCCCCGAGTGTAGGAAGGTTTCGGGCGCCAAGTTCCTTGGCCCAGTTGAGGATTGCCTTCTTCTGAGCTTCGGAAAATGGAAGATGCAGAGAGCTGAATAGGAGCGAAGTGATGAAATGCTTGACATGACTGTGAGCATCAGGTATACTGACACAATGAACGACTTACTGCTTTCGACGGAAATGGATACGTTGGACTATCTGGAGAGATGTTATGGACGGTACTTGTTGCTTCTTGGAATGGGTCATCTACACATGCCACTAAGTATGGAGTACCAAAGCATAGGACTAAACGGTTGACTCACCAGGTATTTCAATACCGAAATCAGATGCACTATCATCAGCAAGTTCTCGCTCCTGGTTGGTAGGGACAAGGGGTGTTGTGAAGGGAATGTTCCCTGAGTTGAGAGATGATTGAAGTTCGGCAAAGAGGTCCGGAAATGGTGTATCGAACTGGAGTGACCGACTGCCTTTGATATCGTCCCACAGATCGAATAGAGGATACTCAGAATCCGCTTCATCTGGCACTGTGTTGGGTACTTCAGGTAGCTGTCCATTGATAGGTGTATCGGGTGTATCAAAGTCCATGCCGAAGTCGTTGCAGTCAATGGGGGAAACTGGAGGATCGGGATCACCGGTAGGTGGAGATGTAGAAATGTTCGTCCTAATACCGCCAAGGCGCTGCTTCATGCCAGGCGGATGTGAAAGTCTTGCCAGTTTAACGTTACGAATGTGTACATCCTGCTTCAAATGTTTGGTACAATTGCGGCACTCCATCGTACAATAGGTGCCACATTTCTTGGGGCAAACCGTGCAAAAGACACGGTTTGAAAAGTCATCGCAGAATTTCAGAACTATAAGTATCATTAGCAGGTATGAATCAGTGAATAAAATCAGCTAAGAAAAAAACGTACTTTGACCGTCAATAACGTTGTCCTTCATACTGGGCAATAAGTCCTGCTGATGTGTGTTGAGCATGGTGCAATGGTCATTCACGTGACTTCACACACTCGAAATCTGACAAGTCCACAGTCCCACGTCCTGCTGCTGCTGAGCTGCTCACCGTTCAACGTTTAAGCACTATTGATAATGAATTCTGCATCACTCACCAACATTTCCACTATCTATCCTCACGTTCGACGCGAAGACATGAACAATGTATCGCTTCAGCCGATGTTTGTTACTATCTTTTTTCCGGGTAGCTTTCCAAGACAGGCGATTCAAGGAGATATTGTCAGTATGCGCATTTGATAATCTTCGAAGCTCGCTCACAAATTATATATCAGCCAATTAGAATATCAGTTTCTATTGCTGAAGAGTATGGATCATTTACGACGCCCGTCATAGAGGTGGCACCGATGGATTTACACCATTGTGGTAGTTCAATACACTGTTCAGATAATGTGAGTACCGCAAAGATTATCCTGAAATACTTACATGCCGAGTTGGAGAAGTTCTCTCAAGATATGTTCTATGATGACAAAGTCTCCATCCCGTTCCTTCCGCTCCCACCTACATTCAACTATTTCAATCGAACCGACTGGCAGATAGTCTCACAGAAGATTCAAGAATGGCTCACCAGCGAGGTCGACACAAAGTCCTCATTGTGGACATGGGGACGTGACGCATTCTGGCTAACGTTTGTCGCAGCATATCCATCCTTCCCAACCGGCCAGTGGCCCATGTGGGACCCTCGCATTCCTTTGGAGGGAGAATTCATTGAGCAATGGTTGAAGTGGTCTGGTGATGACAGTGCTGGGGAGGATTCAGCCATTGACGAAGGCTTGGTATCAGTGAGTGATATCTGGGAAGATTTTTGTAAACATATGGCGCTCTTCTACCCATTTTCCCTCCTCTCTTCAGACTGATGCTATACATTAGCAGTGTTGAATATCTTTTGCGCTAAAATATGGTATAGCGAGCGCTTTTGTCACATATTATGTTTAGGCCTACTATGACACCTATCAGTACATACCTTTGTATACACGACGTATATACCCAATGTTATGCTTGAAATGATCCAATTAACGTTTCTGCTGGAACCTGCATGACAAACGATCATTTTCGAGGCTATTGGCGTCCAGTGCGATCATTGAAATATTGATGGCCCGGAGGTAGACCTATGTGGGATATCTGTGGGATATCTGTAAGATATCTTGGATATATTGGAGCCCAGACCTCGAACACATGACTCGCCTCAACATAATACATATAACATCATGTGACATCTGGTTCGACTCTACCTAAGATGGGATCAGCCTATAATTGATTTTACCGGATCTCAGGTCAAATTCCCCAGCAAATACCAGGTTTGCCGCCTTTATGGTTTAAATTTATTATTTGTCTACAGAAACTGTATTACAGCCGAGGCCAAGGAACAAGATAGGTCCTTAAAATACTTTTCTCACTATATCAGTTCCAAATAAATCGAGACTAGCGGTGTAGGGAACGACTAATAGCCGGAATTGTCCGAGACAGACATGATTTGTCATCGATAGCGCGGACCATAGACAAGTCTGCGCTTACACATACACGGACCGGATTAGCGTACCATCTATCTACATAGTATAAGCACGGAGCGATTTCCAATATGGCGTCGACGCCATGTGCGCGCTCCACTTGAGCCCCTTTGAGGCTCCACTGTATTGGACGCAGAACAATCCGATGTGTCCGAAGAATCCAAGAATGGGACGATCAGGAAGGAGCATAGTACGAGCGCATCCCAAACGAGCAGAATGAGTGACGCCTGACGTCGGCTCGTACGTTTCAATATATTGCTAAAATTTCATTCCTATTTCGTCCGCACATAAAGTGATTCATATTTCGTAGGAACATCTCAGTCCATTTTCAAGAGACTGAGATGTGAGTACATAGTTCTACCTAACGTTTACAAAACTAACAAGACCTAGATACTTTGTCGTTCTAGGTACATACAATGTTAGAGTCCGTTTTCAAGAGACTGAGATATACTTTGTCGTTCTAGCTTCGTCGTGACTCGTCCGCTCGCCTCAGAACTCAATACACTGAGTGAGCGCTCAACATAGATGTCTACTCTCCCTGTGTGTCACGGTCGTCCAAGAGTTTCACTTACATACCATCATTCGAGTGCTCCTGCACTCCAGTGGATGCGAGGCAGGCAATGTCACTCTCTTCTGTGAGGAATCTGAACCTCGACGAATCTGTGATGAAGAGTGCTGATGCACACCGGACTTTCGAGAGCGCGATGTTGCTGAGACACTCGAAACGCCGTTTGCAACAGAGAACGAAGAGAAAAATACAAAATACAACGGAGAATGTAATTCAAAACATCCGAAGGTAAACAGATCGCTTGTATATTATGACAACATAAGTCTGCATTATGCTACAAAAATGATTATACAACTTGAGTCCTAACATTTTCCAGAAACCAAGTTAGTGCCGCAGTACCTTGTCATGCTGGGCATCACAGCATATCGCAGCACCTTCTTTCCACAGAAGTCGCAACAGTAGCACAGCATCGTCATGATGCCCTATTTTTGACAAATCGAGATGCCGGCACTACCTGAGTACAAAAGGTCCTGCACCCCATGAGAGAATAACAGCGGTCAAAAAATGACGTCCATGAAATCCAACTCCAAAGGTGTCGCAGTCGTCACTGGATCCACGCAAGGAATTGGACACGGCATCGCAATACGCCTTGCAGGAGACAGCTATGACATCGTGATCAATGACTTGGAAAGTAAGAAAGACAACTTGGAGGAAGTCAAGAAGGAAATCACTGCCAATTTCCCGGAGCGGAGAGTGCTAACTGTGCTTGGGGATGTCACCATCGAGGAGGATGTCAAAGGCCTGATTGAAAGTGCGGTTAAAGAGTTTGGCAGTCTGAATGTTGTGAGTTGTTTACAACCGCTGGTACCCGTTCAGCAAGTTGAATTGCAAACTTTTCCTATCAAATAGTTTGTTGCAAATGCAGGCATTTGCAAACCAAGATCGCTCATAGAAAGTAAGTTACAGTCGACATATTACCGGGACTTACTGAGACCCTGTCGCAGCGACATCCAATGATTTTGAGTCTGTGCTTGCTGTCAATGTCAAAGGCACCTTCTACAGTTATAAATATGCAGCGCAGCAGATGATAGCTCAAGGTGAGGGTGGGCGAATTGTCGGTGCAAGCTCCCTTGCGGGAAAGAAAGGCAGGTCTACATATGCGGTTATTCCTTCGTGTATGGTGACATATCTTTTAAGGGGATGCTTCACTCAGCGCTTACTGCACATCCAAGTTTGCTGTCCGAGGGTTGACACAATGCGCAGGTACAGTGTACTTAGTCTCACGAGCACCCGACCTCAGTAACCTTCTTTCTAAGCTATCGAACTTGGTTGCAACGGAATCACAGTGAACGCATATGCTCCAGGAGCAATTCAAACACCAATGCGTAAGTTTCGAGATTTGTGCGTTAATATCATTACGATGGTAACTTTTACCTTGTGTAGTTACTGGGTTGGTTGAATCAGCTGATTACGATGAGGTGACCCTCAACCAATGTGCATGAAATGTGAATTTTGACAATTCCTTTTCATACTTTAGTTCAAACGGTTGTCATCTGTAGGCGACCTAGGAACTACCCAGGATATTTCGAGCCTGGTTTCATTTCTGGTGACCCCGGAAGCACATTTCATCACAGGTGTGTATATTGTACATGGGCCATGTTTCATAAGCTCGTAACTGATGGGTGTAATGCGTTGCTTCGCAGGTCAAACAGTAAGCATATTCTCATTCATACCAAGGGACGCAATCTGACATGATTCTCGGACAGATATCGATTGACGGCGGTATCTTCTTTGATTGATGGACTATGGTGGATTACAGTAACATCATTTTACCGTCTGAACAACGCAGATCTTCTTACCCGTACCCACAGTGTAAGCCTCATTCAGGGCTATGATCTGCCCAGGGTCCATGCTCCAGGCAGTAGTATCAGAGACCATAGTGATCATGTGTGTAATTCTGTTAGAATCGATGTCAATGCTTGCTTGATTGTTTACACTACCTTCAGATGGCTTGGGATGTTCACCCGAACACCTCTTGATCGATGTTGAGCAACTTGGACCACCAGTCACGTGTTTTCCTCCCAGACCCCCCATCAATGCTGCCTCTGGCGCTCTGTCAACGAACAATGTTAAGGGATCCTATTCAAAAACAAAAACAAAAGTCCCACTCTATCTATGATCTTCCCATCAAAGACACCTCCGTCCAAACCTCGAGTGTTGCCCATAAAAGCAGCCTAAATTCTGCAAGGGACACATGCCTTCCCTTTCCGTCTCTTCTGATAAAGATTTATTGATGGTATGGACTTCAGTGAAATCAACGTACGAGAAATTAAGTCGAGGTCACATGTGCATGTTGATCGTCGGAGTCACGAATTAATTAAACTGTAGGTCCACAACTGCCACATCAATCCACATCAAATCAATGATCAATGGTCCACCACATTTGCGCCACATTCATCAACCAGAGGCAGGAAGCAGTCGGCTTTCTTGTAGTATATATACTGTAGTGATATTTAGAATAGAAATTCAGTCAAAGTATAATATTCAATCCTACTCTAAAGTCTACATACTTCTACACAGCCTTTAGCACGGGGAAATTTGGAAAGGAGGGTTTCAGTGTGAGTTGGCAAGCGGGGAGGAAAGAGTGAGTGAGGGGGGAGCAGCTGAAGAAGGAGAGAAGGAATTATATGCATGGTAGGTATGTCCATGCTGTCAGTTGCTCCCTGCCTTCTGACTTTTGGATTCATAATTCTCTTTGAGCACAGATCCTCCCCCTCCCCAGCTTTGTACAATGTATGTCACAATTTCCGCATCGTGGACTTCGCACCATCTGGGTGCCCATCCAGCCGTTTGCGTGGTTACCCTGATACATCAAAGGTGAGGGATGCTTCAATATTGGCTACCACTGAACTTCACTCACCAAAACTCCCAGTGCCTGCTGTTTATCTGCCGTGAGTGCCATCAACACACTGTTGTTGAAGCTCTCCAGTGATCCGAAGAACTGACTGATGTCATGCCCAGCTATGAACGTCTTTTTTCACCTGAGAAACACATGGTGGATGAGCGTGCTTGCCTGCAAAATTGAGGGAGGATGGCTGGAGTGCAGCCTGTCAGGTTGAAAAAAAGACGGTCTTTGTGTGTGCTAGGACAGTCCCTTGGATCCGAAAATCAGACTGTCTTTTTCATTTCTTTCCTGCTATCGTACCTCCTTCCTCGACCACTTCCGAACCTCTTGTTGCATGAGAGTCGCTTGATTACAAATCCAATTCTCTCTTTGGCGCAGTCTGAGAGGGGCCTCCCAGCTTTCACTCTTCAAGTTTGTTGACCATGGCTGCCTCAGCTGACTTAGTGTGGCACTTTCCTGGCCTGCATGATGTGCTCCCATCTGCATCAGCTAGTGGTATTGAGATGGATGATATCACTGAGAATGTTGCAGCTGAGCAGGAAACCCTCGTCGAGCCAAGCGACAGGGTATCCGACAATGTCTGCACCATGGACCCCCCTCCCATCAACATCTGCAAAGTCAATAGACGCACCTGACTTCACAAGACTGCAGTCAACACTGATGGATGCCTCAAAGGGTGTCACCGAAGGCACCAGTGTGGAATACAAACAGTTTGTCGTGTCTACCTACTGGCTTGAGCATGCTGACTACTCTTGCAGGCTGATGAATGCATGTGTCGCGTTTCTTACCAGCCTTGGTCTGCTGGAGAGCAATGAGGAGTTTTTCTGCAAAAAGCCATGTGCTGATGCACCATGGCTGATTATTGTGTGGATCATGAATATGTAAGTTTGTCTTGTGAGATGGGGCTCGCCATGCTGATTGATCAAAGGTCTAACTCCCTCAATATTGATGGTACCACGAAGCCATCAACCCAGGACTGTGGAACATATGGTCATGTACAGAAGATGCATGCATTGATGACATATGCTTTTGGGAGGCTCAATGGCCTGGGCAATATGCCCTGACATGAGTCAGATGCCGGAGGTGGCCTTATGGTTGGCAACCCGTCGATATCTGTCGAAGTGTCATCATACATGTGCTCCCTCCGTAGATGCAAGGTAAGCTTTCTTTGCCCATCCGACACCTCTCTAAATTGATGACCATCCAACCCTAGGTTCAAGCTGGTGAAGTTGCAAATAGTGCTCGTGCCATAACATCAGTGAGCTGCTTCTGGCCCTTGAATGACTTGCTCATTACTCAGCTTTTGCAGGATATTTTGCTCAAGTTGTACCACCACAACCACCTCACTCACAACTGGACCATCTGAAAATACCAACCTGGCGAGCGGGGGCAATCTGGTTTGGACCTGTGGGGTGGTGGGCATGTCCGGAGGCTTCTGCAGGCAGCCTACATGGTGTCATTTCTATGCATGCTCTGTTTTGACGAAGTGCTAAAGATTCAGGTCCACAATCTCTGAGTGCATGAGGACCAGATGGTCCTGCACCTCCCCTTCCACAAGACCCACCAAAATGGAGGTTCATGGTGCCTCAAACTCGGTGTGTTTGTGCTGTAGTGCACATTCTGACTGTCCTGTAGAGATTCAGCCATTTCACCTGTGGTCCCTTCTGTTGTGCAAAGCCCATATCTGACCTGTTAGAGCACTTCATCAGGAAATCACCAAGTTCCTTAATTTCCTTTTTGTTCCTTAGATTACTTGAAAAATGGAATTAAGGCGGCTAAGGAAAATAAGGCAGTCAAAGCGGCAAAATGGTTTGAAACTTCTAAGTCCAACATTTGTATATGTTTGTTCACGTGATGGTGCACTCGAAATCTTTCACAACTTCAATGTTCTAACTTTGCCTGAGACTGCCTGTTTCCTTTTTTAATTTTCATATTGAGGTGCGCAAAGATTTATTATTATTTAAATCTTGTTCTTTCTATTTAAATTAAACAAAACTATTCTAGCTCCATCTTCTTCAACACAACACCTGTCTTCAGGTCCCACAGACGAAGCACCACGCTGATCCAAATCGTTGCCTGCCATTCACAAGACATGAGTGTGTTGATCCTCCGAGCTTGAACCATGCTGATTGGAGTTGTTGCCTACCGTTTGCAGGATGTGAGTGTGTCGGTCCTCCCTTTGAGTTCGAGCCATGCTGATCGGAGTGGTCGCCCACTGTTCGCAGGATGTGGGTGTGTCGGTCCTCGTTCAAGCAACAGCTGTGCCGATCCAAGTCATTGGCCACCATTCGCAATTGGTGAGTGTGTTGATCCTTGCTCGAGCAACAGCCATGCTGATCAGAATAATCGTCACCCACTGTTTGCAGGACATGAGTGTGCCAATCCTTTCCTGCCATTCGCAGCCTGTGAGTGTGTTGATCCTGCTTTGAGCTCAGGCCATGCTGATTCAAGTTGTTTCCCACCGTTCGCAGGATGTGAGTGTGTCGATCCCACTTCAAGCAACAGCCATACTGATCGAAGTCGTTGGTCACCATTCGCAGTATGTGAGTGTGTCAATCTAGCTTCGAGCTTGAGCCATGCTGATCAAAGTCATTGGCCATTGTTCGCAGTATGTGAGTGTATCAATCCTTGTTCGAGCTCGAGATTTTCTCATTGACGCTATATATTTGACAGGGTTTGATTTGGCTACTTAGTACATGCGCACTTGTCCCCCCCCCCTTCCCTTCGAATCATTAATCACATATTGGTTCCTGCTCCTGCTATAGTCGTTTGTTTTCAGACATGTTTTTTCAATCGTTTTTTGGAGATTTTCATAGGACACCTTGAACTCATGTATTTACCTTAGTGTACTTAGTCTATGTCTTGAAATAACAGTATTTTTTGATCTCCTTATCTGCCTTAGTTTAAGGAAAAGTTCCTTATTTTAAGGAGAGTGCCTTATTTTAAGGAAATGGATCTCCTTATTCTCCTTATTTTTGAGTGACCTTATTGTGTGAATTAAGGAGAATAAGGAGCAAATAAGGAACAAATAAGGAACTCGGTGATTTGCTGATGTTGCTGCCTGGTTGAGCGAGTCCAAGATCACATCAGGTTACCTGTTCCAAAAGATTGTGTCCAGTGACTGCATAGCGGAAGCAAACTCTGCAATGGTGTATGTTCCTGCTGTATCCAGCTGCACAAATTCCTGATGCACATGATGTCAGTCCTCTGAACAGTTCCTCGAATTATTTTGCAACAATCTCCTGGACATCAACATTGACCCTGCCCCTTATGGTACCCACTCATTCCGGAGGGGTGGCTGTCAGTACCTCCATGTCAAAAAACACTGGCCACTAAGGAGGATATGTGAGTGGGGAGGTTGGAGCACAGAGTTCTCCAACCTAACTGTAGTGAAGTATTTCATTTCTTCGAACAATGACCCTGCAGAGCCAAGGGAATATTTTTTCAATCCTAACAGGCCACCTATGGTTAAGTGCACACAGTGTGGGAGGTGCTGTGCTTGTGCTTAAAGTTCACCCCCATCTACTAGTAGGTGTAAGTAGAATGTATGATCACCCATGTTCCCACCTGCACTATGGATGATGATAGCCCATGACCCACAACGAGACTCTGTGCATGACCCAAACCTCAGTCTACCATGACATGACACTCTGTGTGCCCCAAACCTCAGTCTACTCAACCCACAATGAGATACTCTGAATGAATGAGCATACGAGGAAGCTGAGGATGTGGAGACATAGTCTCCTGATGATTTAGATGTAGGTCTACTATATCGACAAAACACCTTGTATACTTGGCTACAGATTGTGCCGCAATGCCCATTTAATCCTCCTCATCTTTGATGTTTGCATCCTCTGCTTCCGTGCTCTCATCTCTTTCTTTGACATGCACATCCTCATTTCGCTTCAAGATCTCCTCTACTGCCCACTCCTCCACATCATCTTGCATCATCTCAATGACATCCCTCGCCTCTGTGTAATCTTTAAGTTGCTTGTAAACATTGTGAACAATGCTCTCATTGAAACCATGCTGCTCTGCAAGGAACTTGATGGATGCTGCAAAACCAAGGTGGGCGAAGTGCATGATGTCACTGCTGTGAATGTCAATGTCCAACTCAGTAGCAGCAATGCTGCTCGTCTCTCTGACATGGTCTTTGAATGGTGTTGTCATTGTGGCTACTAGTGCCACAGCTCGGCTACGGTCTGCTCCGGTTCGGTATTTACTGATAAGCCAGAGGTTTGGCGATCCACGTGAGCCAAGCCACTGAGTACGAACTCAGTTTGACTTGTAAGCCATGTGAACCAGTTACAGCAATCACAAGCTGAAAATATTTGAACCGTGGTTTGAACCGCTTAAAGCCGGCTTAAGCCAGTTCAAGCTGAAATACCCATGCGGCGTGTGGAAGGCAAATTGTTGCTTTGTATAATACACGATGCATACTAAGGTCCCCGTTCGAGTTGATGGAAGATTTAGGTTGGGAGACATTTTGGGATCTGGTTCATATGGTATGTCATTCATATATTACCAACTACACAATGATTCAACAAATTGACCCCACTAATTAGCTGTTGTGTATCGTGCACGGAACATCATCAAGGAGGATGCAGTTGCCATCAAGCTTGAACCCATCAGCCACTCATCTTCCATGCAATGCGAATACAAAGTTTTGAAACACCTTGAAGGTGGTGTTGGTATTCCCCGTGTCCATTGGTTTGGTAGGGAGTCGACATATCACGCTCTGGTTCTCGACCTCCTTGGGCCATCACTACATGACCTATTCCTTACCCACAACAACAAATTCAGCCTTGAAACTGTTGTGAATCTGGGAGACCAGCTGGTCAGTTGATGTGTGGGTTGTTGCATGTGCAGATCACTCACTCTGTTTCTCAGCTTTCACATCTCAAATATATTCACTCACATCGTTATGTTCACGGTGATATAAAACCGCAGAATGTCGTTGTGGGGCTTGGTGATTTGAGTGACACCATCTTTCTTATTGATTTTGGGATCACAAAGGAGTTCTGGAACACGTCAAACAATGTCCACATTCCATTTCACCAAGGTCAACGTCTCGCTGGCACTCCTGCATTTGCTTCGGTCAACAATCACTTGGGAGTTGAACTGGGTCGTCGTGATGACCTCGAGTCACTTACATACATGTTAATATACTTCTTGTAGGGTTCCCTTCCGTGGTTAACTAGCAACAAAGACAAACTTTGCAGCTCTTCAATACTCGAACGTAAAGTCAACACTACCATTGAAGATCTATGTCAGGGAATTCCTGTCGAGTTTGCAACGATTCTCATTTACACACGCTCTCTTGCATTCTCAGAGGATCCCGATTATAACCATCTTCGTTCATTGCTTCACATACTTCATTCATCATCTGCACCAGCTGCGTGCTTGCTGGATTTCAACCAGCCTGATGCACCTATCACACATTCCCCTCCATTCTCACATTCTCCCTGGTTAATTGAGGCAGTGCCTCCATGTCCGCCACTTCGCAGATCGACTCGGATGTGAGTAGTCCACTCATGATGTTCCTACTTTTGAACTGATGTGATTGCAAGTTTGCGCCCACATAATGGCCCCCCTGCATGCAGCTACTTCTACTCCGCGCCGGAAAAAGACTAGGGTCACCTAGATCTGACTTTACATGAGTACAAGGACTCCTGGTTACTATATTGAAGCTATTGAATGTTGAATACCTGTACAGACTCGTACAGTATTACCTATTATTTGTAAAAACATTGTATCTGCGCAGCTGCCTGCCTGTTGCCAACTTGCCATTATGTAATGATCGAGAATTCCTCTTTTCTCACGCTAACACAATCAATATGCTGTCTGCCTCAAGTGAATCATCGCAACTTCCTGCAATACAATATAACGATTCGACAACTTCTTATTGATGGAGACTACCTCCATTGGCTTCGCCATCGTCCAAGATCGAGTGCAGGTGCATTTGATTGATCAGTTACCCGGTGAGTCTGTGCCAAATTAGACTCAACTTGCTTGCATCTTGAATCTTGATTAATGACAATCGCCCTTTGGACTTTTCCATCAGGGACTCAGTATTACTGCACGGCCCTTGGGACTTTACATCAGGGACTCAGTATTGCTGCTCCTCAGCATGTTCTGGGGTTTCCCCAGACGAAGATGTATATAAACAGACATACAGTTCTGTTACTGAACTATCTTCACCACTAACACCACCATTACCACCACCACATGCCTCCTCAAAAAAAGAAAACTTCCCGGCTTGCTTCCAAAACCACCACTACCGGTACTCCTGTTGTACCCGTTCCTGTTGTCCACGCTCCTGTTGTCCACGCTCCTGTTGTCCACGCTCCTGTTGTCCCCGCTCCTGTTGTCCCCGCTCCTGTTGCTGCTCTCACCGCTGCTGCTCCCACTGCTGCTGCAGTGAACGCAAATATCCTTCGAAATCCTCGCAGGGATCGTCAGCTTCCTATCAGGTTCCGACAAGATGATGGCGATGAAGGCAAATTCTTTGACCTTGAGAATGTCTCTGAGGATGAGGAAGATGACGTGGTCTCACCTGCACCCGAAGTTAGGCCTGCTGCAGGCCATAGCCCGTTTCAGACAGCAATGAGTACCACTATAACTGATCCACTGGCTACTGGTGGCCGAGCAAAACCACCTAAATCCTCTGCCGATGTTCATTTCTTCTTCAGACAGGACCCTACCACTCATTTTAATATTTGCAAGGCCTGCGAGTGAGTATTGCGTCTGTAATCTATGGTCCTTTCTGACATTCTTTACCAGAAAAATCCACGACCTAGATGATACTTACCATGTTGCGTCATACATTCACAATACAAGCACTTCGACTCGTCGCACTCATGCCTTCACTGAACATACTGACATTTACTTGGAGGAGGCAGAGCGCCAGCGCTGGCATGTCCTCCATAAATCGTCATGACTGAAGACTTTGTTGGATGAGGGCTGGACAATTGCGACCATGCGTCAAAGGCTGAGGGATCCAGATTGCACATTAGACTCACTCGGTACTCCACCTAGTCCTGATTTACTTCCTGGAACCAGCCTGTCGGCTCCAGATGATGCATTGCCTGCATTTACTCTGGATGAGATGCACAAACAAATTGTGAAATTCATCATTGGTGATGACCAGGTGAGTCAATGTGCACTTTCTACACTATGGTTAATAATCATTTTCAGGCAATCAGTATTATTGAATGCCCAGAATTTCGACGCCTAATCCGTCTTCTGCGACCATCGCTAGATGATACCGATATATTCCATCGCACCAAGGCTCATGAATTAATCATCGACGCTTTCCACGAGTACTTTAATGCTTTGAAGAGGGACCTTGTGGTAGGTGTACCATTGTCAAGAGTCCCACGAAATATCTCATATCTTCAGGCTGCTCAAGGAAAGGTCTCATTTACATCTGACCTTTGGTCTGATTCCAATCTTCGCCCATTCATGGCTCTTACTGCTCACTGGATCGCTAAAGCAGACCATAATTTAGCACTTGTCTTGAAGGCGGCACTGATAGGCTTCCACCATGTCCCAGGAAGTCACACAGGTGAATTGCTAGCATCGGTAATCTTACATCTCCTTGATCGTGCCGGTGTGACCGAAAAGGTCAGTGTTTCAGTGTACCATTTAACACGCTCTGACTTTGTTTAGACTGGCCATTTTACCTTGGATAATGCTTCAAACAATCAGACTGCCATGCGGGAGCTTTCAGAAAAACTGGATTCACGTGGGATCAATTTTCATCCCATTGAGCGCAGAATTCCTTGCTTTCCGCATATCATCAATATATGCGTGAGGCACATTATTGATGATTATCACAAAGCCGACTTTTCACTCGTCAACGAACGTTGGGTAGTTGGCACTCGCACTATCGTTAAGACAGAGTACCTCAAAGCTGTGACAGGGAAAGCTCTCAACAGAGCTAGGGATGTCGTGCGCACGGTCCGCGCATCAAACCAGCGACGTGATTCTTTTAGGGACACAATCATTACAGGTAATGAGAAAGAGTGGTTCCAGGATGACATGGGCGAGAAACTAAAGCTCCCTGTTGTCGAACTCCTCCTTGATGAGGCAACCCGTTGGGATTCAGTCTTCGTCATGCTCAACTGTTTACAAACCCTTCGCCAGGTAAGGCACCTACTAAATGTCTACCATGAACTAACAGTCGTCTAGGCAATAGATTTATTTTTCGACTCTCCCACTCAACTCACCATCAGCAAGTTCAAACTAAGTCCAATGGAGTGGCAGTTCCTACAGGATGTTGAAGTGATCCTAGAGGTTGGTCACATTATACTTGAAACTCACATTTCATTTTCTCATTTTATACTAGGTGCCACATGCTGCTCAACAATGCATGTCGGGTGAATCCACTCCCAAACTGAGTGGTGCATTTCCGGCATTCGAAACATTGATCGAGCGGTGGAAGTTTTTGGCTCGACATGTCCCACATTGCGAGCCTCTTGTTCAAATCGGTTTGACTTGGGCGGATAAGTATGATGAGAGGATGGGCGCCACAAAAGCCTATGCAGTCAGTATGCGTGAGTCTAGCATCCTTCAGTAATGTTCGGTTGCTCATGATTGTGTTTATAGTGGTTGATCCTGTGATGCGAATGTCATGGGCTCGCAGTCGTTGGGAGCCGCAAATGATTGAAGACGTGGAGAAACATATAATTACTCTGGTACGTCTATCTGACCAACAACAGTGCAATTTTGAACTAATGTTATCACATGAAGATGCACGAAAAGCGAATCAGAAACGGCTCAGCATCTATGTAGTCTCCTAATATACTGCCTCAGCAACAACTATGCACGCTAGGCTCGTGCCTTTATGGACTTCCTGATATCGACATCCGGCCGCATCACACCAGCAATGCCCAAACAGTCGAGCAAGAATTTGAGGCCTACACCACGGCTAATCTCAGCCCTAAGGGAACAGACATACTCGGATTCTGGGTGGTGAGCGTCCCATATCTCAACAAGTCAAATTGTTGTTGACCATAAGGCATTGAAAAGGTTTCACAGACCTTATTTCCGACACTCTATAGCATCGCCATGAACTATCTCCCGATACAGGCCTCTGCGGTTCCATGTGAACGAGTATTCTCGTCCAGTAGCGAAACAGACACCAAGAAACGTAATCGCATGAGCCCAGTCCTGATGGAGGCCCTGCAGGTGGTAAAATTCCTCTTGAAAAAAGAACGACTCAACTTTATGAAAGGTTGGGCTGCGTCACAAAAGGACATGGAGTATAACATGTTGGGCGAAGGAGGCGAGACTAACAATATGTTGACAATTAGTAGTGACGAACTCACAGGTGATGTGTGCGACACTCTTCTCAGAGCTATCGCAGCGGAGGAGTGCGATGACATTGATGATACTCCTACCACCTATGATTTGTGATGTTGAATTTCCCTACTCGTTTTTGTGGATTTTTTGCTCATTCCTCGTTCACGCTACCTTGACTTGTTTTGGCTGCCTGTTTCTCTTACTACACTTCTGGCATCGTGTTATGTGCACTATTCTATATTCATTCATCATTCACCGTCTGCCTTTCACTTAGTTTCAGCATTGGTCCTGCAGACCGGTGAGTGTTCGCAAACACAGGAAATCATGATGGTACATTTGGTGAGTCCTATCTTCTTCGCACTGAATGTTCCACCATTAAGAATAATTTGTAGCCTTGGACTCTATTTCAATACCACATCTCCAGCGTCAACGGCATCCCCTCCAACACCCCCAGGTATGGAGGACTGTACCGCTCACATAGTCTCAGCTTTGTCTTCGCCAGGTATCCCAAAACACGAGCCTGTACCAGCGTCAACGGCATCCCCTCCAACACCCCCAGGTATGGAGGACTGTACCGCTCGCATAGTTTCAGCTTCGTCATCTAACTCGTCTCCAGGTATCCCAAAACATGAGCCTGTACTAGCGTCAACGGCATCCCCTCCAACACCCCCAGGTATGGAGGACTGTACCACTTGTATAGTCTCAGCTTCGTTGTCTGACTCCTCTCCAGGTATCCCAAAACACGAGCCTGTACCAGTACCACTGCCATCAAAGCACAAGATGTTTGCTTTTGCTTTGCCAGCTGTCTGATGAAGGTGGCTCATTGAGTGCATTGTGGTTTTTGTTGCATTTCTTGACTTGAACACCTGTCTTTACTGTTGTAGTATTGGTACATGTATTTTACTGACTCTAAACTATTTCATTATCAATCGTGAACTGACCTCAGACACAGATACTCACCTTGCTATTCCTCCTGCATGCTATCCCTCCCGCAACATATCCCTCCCGCATCATATCCCTCCCACGTCATATCCCTCCTGCATCATATCCCTCCCACATGGCATTCCTCTCGCACGATGTTCCTTTTGCTTCCAACCCAACTTCTTCAACACCCTATGCCACCATGTCTTCATCGGCCACTTAACAACATCTACCACCTCCACAACATCTGCCGCCTCCACAGTGTTTACCCTCCTGCCCGTCTCCGCTGTCCTGCCCGTCTCCACCGGTCTACGGCTTCGGTATTCTCTCATTCGTCATCTGATCTCTGCTTGCTCCGCTTGATACTTGCGAGCTCTATCAATACTGCAATACAGCTGTTTTGATTGAGCCTTCTCGACATTACATGTGAGCATATTCACTTACATTGGCTTGTGGACCCATCGTTGATTCACGATTGACGTTGATAGTTGCGTTCGTTTATTCGATAATGATTCTTAGTATTGTAGATTGAATTGAGGTAATCATCTCGGACTCTTTATCATGTTGATGTTTGTTTTTTGCTTACATTTTCCTCCCGTGTCGAGATACCCAAGCTCGAGCTTGAGACCGCGAAGAAGCTCACATCTAACATCATTGGACTTGGTTTCAACACACTTTGCCTTCGTGATGTTGAGGCTTCTTGTTTCCAGGTGTGTGTTCTCCCAGAAATGCAATGATCGCCGTCTAACTCGAAAGCTGCTTGCAGGCTAGTGCAAGTGACGAAGGAGGAGATCATGTCAGCGAACTTAGAGGTTATCACTGTGGAACGGGCAGGAGATGTTGGGGATGCGTGAATCGCACAGATGGCGTTGTTCTGTGCACAAACGGATTACTTAGAGTTAGTTTAGTTAGTAACTAGATTGCTGTCCGCAAGAAGTTACTGCAATGGAGAAACTGGGTGCACAACATGTTCTATATCATTAAACAATTTCATACAATGCGTCAAACTCCTACTCAGCAACCTGAGAATGCTTCTAGGGAAAACTACGTACGTTCAATCACTCTTTTGTTTATTAGCCTTCAGTTAACTCAGACATCTCAGTCGGTGTACAACGTATCACGTGAATTGTGGGCAACCGTGAGACAACGAGCTCAACAGCTCGACCACAATGGCAGTGATGGGATCACCTAGCCTTCCAACCTGCAACAGCAATAGCTGCCAGTTTGACGGCAACACTCATACGCCAAGTCTGTTGTTTCTCCACAGGTTAGTTGCTCAGTCTAACTTCTTTGCCGATTTGATGAGTCTTTTGCCCTAGGTTCTCAATTCCTGACAGTGCACTCACGAGATACGACTCATATCCTGAACGAATGCTTCTCGATGCGAAACCAGACCACCTCATGGAAAAGATGGTTCGCTTGCACCGTCCATTGACCACAATTAAACTGATCTTTTTTCTTGCAGAATCGTAATCCATCTCTCTTCAAATATCAACCACTGTCGCGCTGCAACGATTCTTCTTTCATGAATGCCAGAGCACTCCTTGCTAATACCCTATCTCCAGGTAGACGGCTGTAGGTCGCTTTTCAGTTATCAACATTTCATTCTATTGATGATGAACCTTCTTGCTCAGTACGAACACTCTGACCTTGTTGACTTCAAGAACTTCATTGGATTGCTCACTCACAAGCTTCAGGTGCGGACTGCGCTAACTCATGCATTCATAACTGACTAAATGCCAACACAGCAAGGTTTTTAATGTTCTGGACGCCCTCATCGGACCCACCTTCTCAACCAGCCTGTTGCAGGTACTCACGAGTCACGACAGCATCGAACATGCAGGAACCGAGTGTGCCTATCCGATGTCAACCAACGTCATGCCCTCCGATCTTCACCACAGCTTTATCTCTGATTGTAAGTTTTTGTCTGACTATTGTGACCTCATCTCAAATTTTTGTAGGCAATAAACCCACTTTCGATCCCTTGTTGATCAGCATGAGTCGATCGGCAGAAGATATTTCGGACTCGAGTTACCAGAAATCTACTTTCGCATTTCTTACTCGCTGTGTTCAGGATGGATGATGGTTGTACGTTCGTACGCAGGTACTTTGATTCAATCTTAAGTTGGGTTAGGGCTAGTGCTACTGCATCACCAAAATTACCAAATCCAGAGATGGTCATATATTGCCATGTCGGAGCTACCATACCTGCCATATGTATCTGATGCAAGGTCCTAATATAAGGCAATGTTAGGAAACTCAATTCTGACATTGCGACTGCCATATGACTATAGTCTGGCATTAGGCTAGTGTACCGATATATCAAAGATTGCTATGTACATAATGCATTTGAATTTCGCTCAGATTCATCAGACATTGCAATTGCGTTCGGATGTAACAATGTGATGCATTAAATTAATGGTAGTACAAAGCAGTAAGGTACAATTGAGTGTATCATTATGTATGTGAATGTGGGTAATCGAGAATGGACACTAGAACAAGAATATGAGTGATCTATGAGTAGGTCAATAACACCTAAAACAATACCAAAAAAGCACTCACCCACTCCAACAAGTAGCCACCAAACACGTCTGGTCATTGTCGTAGTCTTGACCTGGTGGGTCTCTGGCCCATAGACATGCAAGAAGTCTGAATGCAGTCAAGTTAACCTTCGCACTGAATGCTCTGCGAAGTGTTAGATTGATGTGAGGTGAATTTCAAAAAAAAACTCACTTGGCGGCGTCCTCTGATCGGACAGAAACAGCATGCTAGAAGGATATTTCAGTCCATGCAAGTAGACGATGCTGGATGGATGAGATAAGTACATAATATATACATATATGCGCATATACTCACCTTTTTGATGATAATATTGAGCTTGGTATTTGAGGCCCTCTTTGGAGGTACAAGGGCCACGGATGATACTGAGTTCGAACTACGTGAGGATACTTACTGATGAGCCTGATGAGGCAATTGAGTTAGAGTGTTTACGACACACCATGATGATGGTGGGGGAAAGAAAGATAAAATCGAAAGATTAAGGAAAGATCGAGTGTAGCATTATTGACGTGTTGTTTGTGTTAATAAACACAGTCATGTGACCGTCATCTATGGAAAGTTCTAAGTTTCAGTTAGTACCAGTCCGTTCGTACCACTAATACAAGCACTATGCATGGCTTCACATTACGCGAGTTGCTCAGGTGCTAATCCTGCCCTCCAGACTTTGTTATGATGTTCATCGCTACATGCTTGCCACTAGGTGCTTTATTTGACAAAGCTTGCACCAGTCCCTTGCAAGCTGTAGAGGTGCGTGTATTGTCCAATTTGTCCATGTTCGTCCTGCTTCATCATGCTAATTTCGAACATTTGACTGGATTCGCAGGACGTTTGTGTCATTGGTAGTTGCAACGTTGAGCCATCGAGGAACGTAGTTACCTGAGCTTATGTGAGCGTAGATAGCCAAATATAAAAATTCAAAAGTCAACATTTTGCTGTAGTGTACCCTCACTTTCCCCGCTGCAGCGCGAACTCTCCACGAGGATGAGATTGTGGCGGATGACGGCGAAGAACTCGATGATAAAATACTTATGGAGGAAGGTTCTGGCGCCCTTTAGGTACTTTACTTCAGTTTCACTCATTTTTCGTTGTATTACTCTATATAATACATTGGATGTATCTGGATATGTCTGATATCTGGCTGACAGCTACTCTACTGGATGACTTGTGTCTGACAGATGGTATGTTTGATGTCATTGTATCGCTACGATATTTCAAATGTCGGATATCACAGGTATATACAATTGGTGGCGTCAGAAAATTCAATATATCATGTGATCTCTGGATTCGGTAATTTTGGTGATGTGGTATGTCTTTTTGTGTAAGTGTTATGCTTACCCGAACATTCTCGGAGTCCGTCAATCAAAATCCTTCATGTAATCTAATTTATTTTTATCTTAATTAAAAATCTGGCTCGAGCTGACTTGAAGACCATTAATATGGTTCCGTTGACTAGACCAAGCCATCAATTACATAAGCTATAACTAGGTACGCGGCTTGGCTGACTATAGCTCCGCTCACGGCTAAAGCCGGGCATGAACCGGAACCGCGGCAACACTACCCATATGAGTGGCTTCAAGAGCCCCGGTGAACAGGAGGCTGACTAAATGTTAGCTCTTCGTGCAGTGTTATTGACTAACAGTGCGTTTGGTAATTGATTGCTCTACACCCAGTAAGTAAGTCCGGGTTTTAAACAATATTGCGCAGTCAACTTTCTGGGCTTCAAGTACAGCCACGTCGTCGAATAACCCTCCAGCTACTTGGATCCTGGTGCCGACAAGGAACGCGACATGACGAATAGAGAGCCTCCAAAGATTGAGATTCAGCGCACTTTCCCTACTCTTGACGAAAGCCTTTATAACTTGCGCCCTCAAGACGCTATATTTTACAAGTATCTGACCGGAATTGAAGACGACGCAACTCTGAAGCAGCATATATTGGACGTTCAAGCAGAGGCATATAAGGTATCTTGACCTTTGGAGACGTCCTGCCGTATCGAAGCTTAGTTGTTCGTGGCTAGGTTGCTTCTTACGCGTGCATCTATCTTTTCTCTTTTGCCAGGTATTTTGTTTGCCGTTTGTGCTGAGTTGACACACAAAAATCGAGCCCTTTAGACGCAGGATGTTGGGGCTACCTGCTTATCAGCAAGTTGTGCGCATCGGACGTGAACACAAGAACCCAATTTTCCTTGACGTCGGCTGCTGCTGTATGTGCTCCCTCCATCTTCTACGTAGGATGCTAATCATGATATACGGTTTGTAGTTGGAAATGTCATCAGGGAAGTAATTCTTGATGGTTTTCCTGCAGCTCAAACGATTGGAACTGATCTCCATCAAGGTGAGCATAGCATATAACCTCGTACATAACTTTGAACGAAGTATTCTAGAACTCTGGGATCTGGGGCATGAACTCTTCAAGTCGTCTCCAGAGACTTTTCCAGCTCACTTCGTGGGCGGGGACGCTTTTGACCCAGAAATCCTCGCTGTGGCTCCGCCTGCGTCCCCACAGACAACAGAAGTTTCAACTCCTGACCTCAATAGCCTCACTTCGTTGAATTCGTTACGCGGATGTGTTTCCGCAATTCACGCAACAGCCTTCTTCCACCTGTTTAAAGAAGATCAACAGCTGCACATGGCCCGTGCTTTTGCTGGCCTTCTCTCTGCTGAACCAGGCTCCATCATTCTCGGAGCGCACGCGGGTGCTCAACAGAAGGGTGTCGTGAATCAAGTATATTGGGGTATCGAGGTTGACATGTTCGCCCACAGCACCGAAAGCTGGACTTCTATGTGGGATGGTGAAGTATTCGAGAAAGGAACGGTCAAGGTGGATGCACAGTTAAGGGAGGTATCCGAAGATGTGGGAGGCGATGAACGTTATCCGGTGTTGCTCTGGTCTGTGACCAGACTGTGAGCATGTGTTTTTTTTGCTTCCTCGCCATTGCTAGAGTCTAGACTAGGCTATTAAATATGCACCATGATTCCGCACGAAATGCAGGTGAGGTGGAGTGAAGAATCCCGGTAGAGACGCCCTCAGTCCCGTGCAAAACATCGGAAACAAGATACCTACACACTCAAATAGAACACCGAGTCGCGCTTCGGAGTTAAACGGATGTTTTCCCGTCAATCGTACGAGTTCTGGATTCTGAGCGCGGAGGACCGGATCAAAAATCACGCAGATATCATTGATTTACCGTCCTTACACAATTGACCCAGTTATCTGGCGTGTCGAGATCCTGGCGAATGTAAATGTCAGATTAACGTTGTGCGTTGAAATATCTAGCACAACCTGCTGAGCTACTTTTGTTGGGGTAGCATTAATTGGCAGCTGTGGGAGACACTGGGGAAGTTGGGTACCATTCCTTTCGGGCCCGTCGAGAGATGAGGGAAAGAACGGTACAGGTAGACCATCCTGAAGTTTCTGGTTGGTGAGGTCTGGGGAGCGTACCAAGGACATGAAAGCAATAGACGAAGTGGTAGCAGGTGATTGAATGCGCTAGGTGAGTCGGCGGACGAACTTGAAGTCCTTGAGAATTGTTGGGTAACAGTCAAATATCGGGTCGCCATTAGCACTGGTCGACGCTCAATATGTAATACTAACCATCTCCCAAGTCACGCGGGGAATTCATTCCATGGTCCTTTCAATTAAAACCAGTTCGGCCAGACACCGATTTGGTTCTGTCAACCGATAAGCTGTTATCGATTAGCACGGATGGAACTTACGGAAGACTGAAGTTGAATCCCTTGGAAAGTTTCGCAGTCACCCTGCGGCTTGGCGGACTAACCAACTTTTGGACATCAAAGAAGTGGCCAGAGCAAGTGCCTGGGGTCCCACGAGTGAAGCTAACATCTCAATACAGTTGCTAAAGTTTAGACCGGACTTCCCCTTTTATTGGTACCATTCATCCCGCCTGTTGCGATATCTGGGCGCGCGAAGTACACCAGAGTGGCAAGCTCGTTCGAGGCTCATATTGGTCACCTTGATCGTAGCTGTGTCCAATGTCACCTCTCGCAGCGCACTCGACTGACAATATTGTGGTACCACAGTGATGTACTGGCACTAGACCATTGTCTTGAATTCATGCTTGACCGTGCTGATTCCTCGTAGTGATGCGTTACTCGGCACCTTCCGCTAGCAATCCTTACCCCGGTCATTAGCATGACGGCTTTCTCATCTTTTCAAATGACTGGCTTAGTGATGAGTCAGGATTATTCGACCGATTCCATTCCTCCAATGATGTGCAACATATATGAGACCTAGTGCACTCACTGTGTCTGACTGCTGCAATCGTATCAGGGTGAGCAGCTATTTTGGGATATCTCACGCGCGGGACCCGCAAGTAAGCACCTAATACTATGTAGCAGCTAGAAGCGGTGAGGGAAACAAAACGAAATCTGGTCTATCTAGCTGTAAAAAAACTCTTTTACATGTCAAAGACATAGTCTAGGTCAGTTCAATCGTACACGTTGTCACTCGAAACACAGACATCTGAGTTGTATATGACCATTTTTGACTGACATCTTTCATTCAAGACTAGTAGGTTCAGTCGATACTCTCCTGCTCGAGCTCACTTTGACATCGACGCAGCCTTCCCGATTGATTGATTCAAATGGGAGTTCGGAAGCGCTCAGCTATCATTCTCACTATCATATGTGATAGGAATATTTTCACATCAGTCAAGGATGCAGGCTCATGTGGTTGGACGATACGAACAGACAAAAACATTTTCCTTAAAGAAACGTACTGTAAGAAGAATACTCAGGTACCAAATATCACCTTGTTCAAAACTGAGGTACACGGATAATACAGAGTAAGAGGTTCACGCCCTGGGGTGCTATCTCAGTACTCATTGTACAGGGTGGGTGGACCTTTTACTTACAACTGCGATAACACCAGCAATCCAAAATGCCCTGCCAAGAGGATATGGTTGAAAGCGGAAGATAATCGCGAAGAATACCCCTCCAAGATTTCCCATGGCGCCTACAATTCCAGTCTAGACGAGTCAAATTTGAATCATTCTGTCATCACCACACACCAAGTGATGGAAGACTGACCATGAATCCATTGGAGTCTTGTGACAGAACAGGATCAGTCATGAAAATTGGCAATTTAGTACACTGAACACGGACTGGGGTTGCAATGTGGAACAAGAGCAAAGTTGACTCCATTGGCGACCTCATTGAACATTGCGATAATGACAAAAATCACAATGACGACCTCAACTGGTGTTGCTGTCAGGCATCAGTGATAAATTGAGGTCCGAACTCACGGGATGGATGAGAGTGGTTATCAATGTAAAAACCAAGACCAAGCGATAAAAGCCCTTGAGCGACTCCACAAGCGATGGTCAGGTACTTCTTGCCGGGCACCTGCAGAGCCTCTTCAAACCGATTTCATGCACAATGTCAATGGCACTTACACCAAATTTGACATATATGAGATCTCCGAAATATCCGCCTGTAATGAGATGGTGGTTATGAGGAGGAGATACCTTAGCTTGCGAAGAAAGTGACTAACCAAGCGGCCGGAAGAACACATTAAGGAGACCATAGATGCCTGCAATCTGATAAATCTGTTATCACATAGGTCATAGCGACTGTTTAAGGAGACTCACATAGCCAGCTTTGGTTTGGCCAAAAGTGGGGGACTTGAATAGGGTATACAGAACGGTAGCCAAGTTGACATCAATAGCAAGCTCGTAGCCGAAAGTGGTCATATAAGCCAACGAGGGAAGCCAGGTCAGTGGGTTTAGAATGATTTCATACGCCGTGTTCAGGGAAAGTGGGTTGTTGACAGCAGTGTCCAATTCTGAAACCAAGTCTATAACATTCGGTTAAGCGAACAAGCAAAATCAACAAAGGAGAACGATAAGCACTGACTTGTAGCAGTAACAGCAGTAACAGTAACCTTGATGTTCTTCTCGTCTCCAGTCTCGATATCATCACCAGACTTTGTTTTTATATTTTCGCTATTGCTCGTTTGATCATCTGACGCAGGAAGTGTAGTGGCAACAGCTTTATAACGATCACTCCATTTGCCCGCGGGATGGTCAGTGCCAAACATTAGAATGGCAGCAGCAACAGAGAGGAGAATGGGAACAGGAACGATTGCAAATGCCACCCGCCAGGCAACGTGCGGGCTCATACCGTCAGCAAGCAATTGATTGAAGAGAGCGATCATGATGATGAATGTGAAGCCGCCGCCCGCATTTCCCCAGCCTCCGCCTAAGGCATTTGCTGTGAATTCGACTATATTAGAATACCCAACATTTTAGAATTTTTGAACAGAGTTTCACCTGTACCAACGACATTCTTGTCAAAGAACGCAGTGTTCCAAGCTTGACAAGAGACAAATGTGGCACCGAGAATGCCAATGAAGAACCGGACAATGTAGAGACCTTGCGCAGTTGATATGGTTCCAGCAAGGCCAGAAGGAATCGCCCCTATAATGAGAAGACCCGCCATCACTTTGCGGGGCCCATATCCTACAAGATCAAATATATGAAGCGCTAGGGTGTCGAACTGTACTCACGATCGATGAGGGGTCCTGATATAAGCCGTACAACAAGGGTGGCGCACAGCGAAACAATATTCGAATTCCCTTAACAGTGTTTCAGATCATAACTAACAGTGCATGGGCTCGGAATTTGAACGTACCGACTTCCTCAGATGTCAACTTCAAGTCAGTCTTGATGGCATCTGGAATGAGAGGGGCGAATGCGAACCACGATAAGCTGTATAAACAAACCACGTTTAGCGGCTAACGTGCACAAAACATCTAATAAATCTCATTTCACAAGGCGACAAAAAATCCAAGCCACGACCTGCATGGCTACCAATAAGATATGACACTGCATACACTGCTTAGAGAAACGTACAGATGGAAATTGCGAGAGTACTGATTGTTCAGCGAGAAAATAGGGATCGTGGAGCATTTGCTGTTACTGGGATTGATCACTGGGTAGCGCATGCTCGCATACGCATTGCTAATGCCAGAAAGTGTCAGAGCAGGCATAGGCGCAGTTGACGAAATACAGTGTTGAAGGGCGAATTGCAAGAATCTTGAACAGAGTATGAGCGTCTTGGGTTTTATTTTAATCACTGACCCAAGCAAGCTAAGACATTGGTCCAACAGTGAGTGACAGACTTCCAAGGATAATTGATCACGATAAAACAAGATGGGAACTTGAAATACATATCCACCGACACGGCTGCCAATCATCAACGTCAGGATGCTATCAGTGGCGCGTGAAGAGTGGCTACTGAGGCACCCTGAGCGCTGGTAATTATGATCATTTACTTACATGGTGGTAGGCCCAGGTAGGGAGGTCAGAATTCGAAAGATAAGGCTCCGCAGGTGGCATGCCAACTGAGGTGATCAACGAATTTCCATATCACCGAAGCTGTACAAAAGGCAACAAGATGCCTTTCGAGGATGCAGTGGGAGTAAGTATCAAGTTGGAGTTGAGGTTCAAGTTGAAGTAAGCAGTACCGTCACACGGTGGTTCAATTGCATGGTGACCGGGGTCTGAGTCACTAGCTACTACAGAGCCCCTTCCTTATCATTTTGTCACTTTCACTTGGTTTTCCTGATGCGATCAACTTTATTCACGACAGGTTCACTATCGTACGTGAAATGTGGCATGAGATCAGATTAGCCCCCTTGCCAGACATTTATAGACAAGAAAACATAGTCTAAGCTCGCCAAACATCTGCCAGCGTACGGACTCAGGGCCTAGCGGCTACTATATATTAACTCACTATTTTTTTTGAAATCAAAGCCTGGCGAACTTCCCAGTTCGCATGCCCTAGCGCCTTGAAGCTCCTCACCAACGCCGTGATATATTGTCATCAGCCTGTGTGTGTCGTCAGTCTGCAGAATTTCCATCAAGATGGCCTCCCCGGAAAAGCCAGTCGTACACCAGGATAGTACTTCCGTGAATCAGGGTCCACGAAGGACAATTTTTGTGGTTGGTCTAGGGATGGTGGGGATAGGTAAGTTGGATAGGATAAGGTTGGTTGTTACTTATACTTTTGTTTAAAGCGTTTATCGAAAAGATGCTCACCTTGGATGAAGCCAAACGATACCGATTGGTGACATGCGGCGAAGGTAAGTTAGATACTGTGGTTCATAGTGAAATGAAATATGAACTGACTTGTCGTTTGTTAGAGTCCCATTTGGCGTACAATCGTGTCGCACTCACAGACTATTTTCAACACCGCTCCGTCGAGAAACTCTATCTAAACCAAGGTAATGCATTTGATAGTACATTTATGCCTTGATGTGTATTCGCTTACCGTGACCATTTTCACATTGTCCACTTTCAACAGTGGAGTGGTATACTCAACAAGATCCAGAGCACTTTCTTTTCCATACTGGAGAACGGGTTACTTCCTTGAACACTGTCGCCCATTCTGTTACGACCAGCAAAGGGCGCAATATAAGTTATGATTACTGCGTTCTTGCTACTGGCTCCGAAAGCACTCTTCCGCCATATGTTTCCTCAGTTAAGGCTGAGCGAGCTCAAGGAATATTCGTTTATAGAAATATCTCTGATCTCGACAAAATATTGTCGTATTCCGAACAAGAACACGTTCGAGGTGGCCGAGTGCGTATCATACAACCCAAGACATACTTGCGCGCTGAACTCATTTTCTTCACTCACTCAGGCTGTTGTCGTTGGAGGCGGTCTCATCGGACTAGAGGCTGCGAAAGCAGTGTTTGATCTGTAAGTGACCCTCGTCCGTTCACGCCAACTCTTATCTCACTGAAAATCATGAGACAGTGAGACAATATCAGAAGTCGTGATCATCAACCGTCAAGTCTTTCCACTGTCCCGCCAACTTGATGGCGAAGGTGGAGAAATTGTCCTTCGACGGATTGAAGCCATGGGTGTGCGAGTCCTCACTAGGACGTCTGTCAAAGATATCATCACTTCAGATGGAGTCTTGACTGGCCTCAGTCTGTCAGATGATCGATATCTTAAGGCTGAGATGGTCATTCATGCCATTGGTATCACCCCTCGAGACGACTTGGCCCGCCAGGCGGGCCTGAAATGCGTTGAGAAGGGAGGTATAGTCATCAACGACCTGTTGCAGACCAGCGCCCAAGACGTCTATGCAATAGGCGAGTGCGCGAGCTGGAAGGACAACACGTATGGTCTCATTGCACCTGGGGGTGAGAGCACCTGCATTCGCCTATTGGTTACTACTGATAGTATCATTAGTGGAGATGGCTGACATCTTATCATTTAATTTCACGCAAGTTGAGACTGGCCTCGGTGGCTTCAAACCAAGGGTGATGGTAGGTGACTATTCCTGTGTTTGTGTCATCTGTTCACCACTATAATATTGTCAGAATATGCCCGACCTCTCAACAAAGCTAAAACTGATGGGGGTTGATGTAAGTTAGCACACTCCGCACCTATCACCGCTCTACATCACTCGATATTAGGTTGCCTCCTTCGGTGATTACTTTGCCGACAAGCGCAGTACACGGGGTGTCCTCACCAGTAAGGTGGCGGTTGCAGAGCCTCTTACTCGAGACAAAGCCCAGAAGGCCATCGACGCGAAACCTACTGCGTGGCAGATAAGTCCTTTGGGAAGCACTCCCGGCAACAGAGTGAAAGAAGGCGAAGTTGCAATCAACACTGTCACTACGGATATGAAGCACGGAAGCCGCCGGGCTGCACTGGATGGTCCTATTGAGTGCTTGACGTATCGTGATCCGTTCTCGTGTGTTTATAAGAAGTGAGTTGCGAAGACAGAAGTTTGTTATATAATGTTCACGCAAGTATAGGTACATCTTCACCGCCGACGGCAAGTATCTATTGGGTGGCATGATGGTTGGTGATACATCCGACTATGTGAAACTCGTGTCCTTAGTCAAGAAGAAGGTGAACTTCGCAAATATGTTCTTTCCTAGCAACGCTACTGATACTAAAAGGTAGAAAGAGCTAGAGGAGCCACCTTCCAAATTCATTATTGGATCAGGCTCTAAAGGCCCGGACGATGGCGCTGACCTCGACGATGACACCCAGATCTGTAGTTGCCATGCAAGTATCCTCTCTTCTGCATTACCAAGTTCACATCCTAATTTGATTGTAGAATGTCACGAAGGGCTGTATCAGCGAATCCGTGAAAGCTGGTGTTACCACTCTGTCAGACCTGAAAGCAAAGACAAAAATTGGTACTGGATGCGGTGGGTGTGTGCCTTTGGCCACAAACATATTCAAGGTATATTAATTTTCCCTTCATCACAAACGTCCAAAGTGACCTGACAACCTGTAGGCAGAAATGAAGAAAGCAGGGCATGCTGTATCGAACCACCTTTGTCCTCACTTTGGTATGGCCCGACAAGAGCTCTTCAGCATCGTGAAGTGTGTCTACAGCGTTATATCCTGAAAATCTAATTTATCGCGTCCTCTAGGATACGCAAGTTGAAAACATTCCCAGAGATCATGGAGGCTGCGGGTGTGAAAAAAGATTCACTTGGCTGCGAGATATGCAAGCCGGCTATTGGTAGGGAATGATATGATGTTTATTCGTACAATGCTCAGCCTGCCTAGGTTCCATTCTGTCGTCATTGTATAATGAGCTCGTGATCGCACCTGTACACCACGCCAACCAGGATACCAACGATAAATACCTTGCTAACATTCAAAGGAATGGTGAGTCCTCATTTATTCACCAATATGCTCACGTTTATCTCTCCTTTTTCATTACATAACTGATTTTTATTCTTGCTGACAGGTACATTTTCTGTTGTTCCTCGGGTTGCTGGAGGAGAAGTCAGTGCAATTTCCTGCCGTTTGTGGGTGAAAATTCATTCGTGACTTTTAGATCACGCCGGACAAACTCATTGTTCTTGGAAAAGTTGCAAATAAATGTGGGGTGTCCTTGCTGCATATTTTCTACGCACTCACGCCATGCTGGCAGACAACTTGTACACCAAGATTACAGGAGGGTGAGTGCATCATATTGTGCAGGTGTTACATGTGAAAATTCGAGATTTTTGATATCAGGCAGCGCATCGACCTCTTTGGGGCTAATAAGCAGGATCTCCCAGACATCTGGGAAGAACTTGTCGCTGCAGGATTCGAAAGTGGACATGCTTATGGTGCGATAGAACATAGTAATCGATTCAAGTTTGTCATGTTGATCATCCATGATTCAGGAAAGGCCTTGCGGACTGTGAAGTCTTGCGTTGGTACCACATGGTGCCGCTACGGAATCGGTGATTCTGTCGGAAGTTCGTGTAATCCTGCGTATGTTGAGTTTCATCAACTGAATGAGATGTACAGTGGCCATTCACCTTGAAGAGCGATATAAGGGCATTCGTTCGCCTCATAAGATTAAGGGCGGCGTGAGCGGTTGCGTTCGAGAGTGTGCCGAAGCACAATCCAAGGACTTTGGCTTGATCGCAACTGACAAAGGATGGAACAGTACGTACTCTCCACTACGTGATTCTAACTCTCACGAACTAAGAGCTACATCAGTTTTCATCGCTGGAAATGGTGGATCGAATCCGAGGCATGCAACACTATTTGCTAAAGATGTTCCTCCGTCAAAGGTTTTTCGCATCCTTGATCGTTTTCTTATGTACTATATCCACACTGCGGACAAGCTCATGAGAACTGCGAGATGGGTTGAACAGTTTAATGGTGGTATTGAGGTCTGTTGGATGAGTATCATGTAGTCTTTTCTATGCTTATTGATGTTATCTTACACAGCGACTCAAAGCAATTCTTCTTGACGACGAGCTCGGCGTCTGTGCGGATCTGGAGAGGGAAATGGGCGAGCTTATCGGATCTTATGCAGATGAATGGAAAGCTGTGGTCAATGATCCTGCAAGGAGACGTCAGTTCCGTCAGTTCGTCAACACTGTCAGTAAAACCGCATGTTTGGGGAGGACAAGCTATGGTACTAATGGCTTACGTACAGGATGAACGTCGCCCTCAAACGGAAGTCATCAAAGAGCGAGGGCAGGAACGTCCAGCAGACTGGCCGAAACAGTTGCCTCCCGCCAAACTTGGTGAATCAGTCATCGTTACTCCCAAATCTGAGTGGGAGTGGCGGAAGTTGGCCACTGTCAACGATCTTATGCCAACTGATGATGCTACCACGTGAGTTCTTACACACATTCATCTCTTGCTTCGCCTGATACTAAGACCTCTGCGTTCTCAGGTCTGCTGCTGTCAAATATGGTGACTCGCAGTTGGCTATTTTCCACATTCCCAGGCGGGGCTACTTTGCCACGCAACAGGTACAATCCATTTCGCACCCTTTCTGAACATATTTCGAGATTGATTTTGCAGATGTGCCCACATAAGCGGGCTTTCGTGCTCGATCACGGAATTGTTGGCGACGACCTGGATGGCAATCTCTACGTTTCATGCAAGTGACACATCTTACCCGCTATCTGCTAGTCTTCTGAACTATCCGTTCCTAAGGTCCCTTGCACAAACGAAACTTTCGTCTTACGGACGGTAAATGTTTGAACGACGAAGATTTTTCCATCATTCCGTTTGATGTGAAGCAAGAAGGTGACAATCTCCTTGTGCTCCTCCCTGATTCAGGCAACTTGGATGCAGTCATTGGAACAAGCAAATGGATGGTCAAACAAGCAACAGCGGAGGTTTCTTCACGCGGTGGTGAAGGTATCGAAATTGCCGGTGTCGGAATGGGTCCACCTGAAAGTGGGTCTACGTGCACTGGGGGACAAAGTTTGTGCAGTGGTGGAAATGCATCATTGGATTGGTGATTCGATGGCACCTGCCGTTATTTATATTGGAGAGTCAGAGTTGGCAATTTTGACACGAATCAGAATCGACGATCCAGCATCAAGTTATTTTGTGGCTCGATCGTGTGAACTATGCCAAAAGCTTGTAAAACACGCCGACCGCGGACAGTGCGTTGGCGAGCACGTTTGAGTTGATTCATGTGATATATATACTTAATGAAGGTTCTCGCCCTATGCACGTTTTTGAGAGGAGTGGAGCGAGGTATGATGCAACATTTGAATCATAATTCGTCAATGCATGATCAGGATGGTACATCAAAATCTCGAAGTGAAATGAGAGTTGACGCTGATTCATAGTTTTGAATCGGTACTACAATCGGCGAAAATCGTAGACTTGAATCGCGTCAAAATTGCTATTGTAACGTTTCAGAATTTCCAATAGCTGACCAAAGCTAATCGTCACCGCTTACACGTGCAACTCAAGTGTTAAAATAGCTGTCATAGAGTGGTATCGATGTTAGTCCATAATCAGCTTCCCTTGTGTGACCAACTCTATTACCAGTACTGAGTAGATCATGCGCATCTAAATTAATACGATGGGTGGTTAGAAAGTAATGCCTTCGCTCAGCTTTCTCGCAAGTCTATTTCAGGTCCAGCCTAAGCTTTATCCTCCTCGTCCTCCTCGTCCTCCTGCTGAGGATTGTCGAACGAATATGGTAATGGACACTCGCGCGTAATTCGGTATTGATCCATATTACCAAGATGCTCATTCTCGAGACGGTCTGTCAGGTGTTGAGGATTAGCGAGTTGTATAGAAAGAAAATTAAAGAAAGAGACTGACAGAAATTCCACACAACCCTTCTTAGCATCTCCATTAGGCTGCATAGGAATGATCGGAGATTGAAGTATGACCAACTGGGTATGTAGAAGACCCAGAGAAAACGAATGACAAGATTCATGACCTATAGCAGATTGTCTAGAACGAGTGGAGCCACAAGTATACATTCTGCTTACCAGAGCAACATAGTACAGCTGAATAGAATGAAAATTCGGAACGTTTGATTTAGTAAGAGGTAGAACGCACCGGAATCTGTGATGTGTACACCAAGTCTCGCCTGAGGAGGGGGTATTTAGCGCGGGGTTTGCAGATAGACCAATCCATCGCGAAGTCCTGAGTGAAGTTGAGAGTGTATCCACCATTGACTGTCCGTCAACTCACCCATGCACACCCATATAGTGAATAGACAACTGCCGACAAACACCAAATAACGAAAGAAGCACCGTCGTCAGATTCTCCTAAAGAAGATCAGATGAAGAGTGGGGGCGTGAGAAGGCAACCTACCGTCGCGTCTCCAAAGGTAATAACAGAAGTAGTACACTATACCCATCCCGTACTTGCCGGCCTGCACATTCAACCAAGATGTAAGCTATTTTTGAGTGCTTCCATTCGATAGTAAAGACTTACGTTGATGAGATGAGTAGGTAACTTTGAATCCTTGTAACGTCTGATGCTCTGCACGAAACGCACCAGGAACGGTAACATAGCAAGTGCGAAGTAAGAACCCCAATTCATTTCCGCTCCACAAGTCGACCACGCTTTTTGAAGCGTAGGGTCATGTGCAGAATAAAGGAATGCGCCTCTTGGCATCAAACTAAACGTCTGAGAGGAGCGCGGGAGAACTGTCATAGTGTTGTTGTACGACGACTCGGAGGTAGATGACACATTGGCATGGGAAGAAACATAAGGATATTGGGTGTAGAAACACCCAACAAAGTAGAGGTTCCCAAAACTATAGGCAAGACTGCAAAATTGATCGCTGTGAAGGTTGAGATGAAGGATACAATGGCGCGGAGTTGTAGACACTAACCCGAGCCAGAAATCTGTGAACTGTCAATCGCGTCAACTACATGCTATGCGTCACACGATATGAACGTACTCCGACGGTCCACAAACCGCTAACGCCTAGTCTTGCAACGCTCTTGATAAGCCACCATCGCGAATGACCCCAGAGGATGTTCTATACATTTTTAAAAACATATTAGCTCGAATCGTAGACACAGATGGTGTGACCTTGCCGGAATGGGATTGAAAATGACGGTAAACACAAGGGCAAGCCACACAAGCGGCCAGACGAGTGGAGGACCGACTTGAATGAAAGAAAGCATAAAGCAATGTGCGAGCGCGCATAATAGGAAAGCGGGAAGCTAATGTGGAATTACATCAATGAACTTCATAGAATTTCCAGGCGTCAAACCTCAAAATACTCGCGATGGTCAAGTCGAGATCGCACATCAAGTTCTTCGAAGGAAGGTCAGTATGAGGGAGATATACAAGACAAGTTATGCGCACCAAATATGAACACATAGTTGATCCTTTCTCCGGCCCATACGACGAGATTCAATCCGATGAACAAAGCAAGTAACGTAGGGATTAACAAAATAGAGTAGATAAAAAGTATGATATTCCATGAAGGTAATGAGGTAGCGGTACTGTCACGCATACCTGCAGGTGGCATAAGAATCTCCGTGGACGTCAGCATCAGGAAAACACAACGTACATGTCGTGAAACCAGCAACCGTCGCTGGTATAGATAGCCCAAGCCACATGCCCGTACGAAACGTACTGAAATGATGGGATTTCTGTGTCGCACCGGCACGAAGACGAGTGATCGCTTTCTTCTTGTCACCACGTTCTGTGATAACGTGTAGATAGAGAAAAGGTAGGAGCTTTGAGCGACGTACCGAATCTTGCGGCAAACAGCTCTTCCATCTCTTTAAGCATTGAGCTGACCATTGCGCCAGAAGCAAAAGATGAGGGCTCAACCTGACCATGGCGTAATTTGAGAATGTTACAAAAGGCACCAGAAAAGTCTTACCCTCTCCTTCATATAAGCGGCTTGAGCAGGCACCTGTGTAATCTTCTCATACTTCTTGACAGCTTTGCGGAAACCAGTGAGATTTAGTATCTGTTTGATGATTATCAATACGCAGGGCGAGTGAGAGGCGTGCAGTCGTGCAATGGTTTAGTAGTGAAAACGGATATAGCATGTAAATGTCGACGGCAGCATAAGTGATCGAGACGATCAGCATGATGGGATCAGCCACGTACACGGTAATTATTCAGTGCCTCGAGGCCACTGGACAAAGGAGGAAGTCAGCTTTCGCTGACATGTGATTATTAGAAGAAAACAGAAATAGGCTGGCACAAGAAGGGATCCACATTGCCAACACATGGAATCTCGCGTCAATCTGTCCTCGCCACAAGAAAGCAGAACAATAGTCCCGAAAACCGGCGACGCAAACGGGACATACCGGTAGTACTCCACGACAGCTTTCCTCAGATCTTTCTTCGCACTTTGGTAATCCTGTAGGCTTGTAAAGGACATACTGTTCTTTGTCAGCGGGATATTGCCATTCGCTTTGGTGGACGGCGTTGAGCGATTGCTCTTGAGTGACGTAACTTGAGTTGAATCACCTGCGCTAGACGCAGGAATCGGCGACACGGTTTTGCGTTCGGAAGTTCCTTCATCTCCAGTGGTGATCGAACGACCTGTTTCCGCAGGCACTGAGATCAGAGGTCCGCTGTTGCCCCTTTCAACTGTAATGATAAATGCGCACCTCCCCGACCCGACTCAGAAGCTACTAGCCCTGGTTGATTATCATGCTTGTCTGTGTGGCGTTGGTTAAGGGCATGTAAAGCCGCTTTCAGGCATAGGTGAGCTCGTGAAGCCCAGTTCGGCGCTGTGGCATTTGCATTACATTCCTGCATACGCATGGTGTTAGAATGTCTCAAAAAAAAGAAGAAAGCGCGTATGCTGAACGGTAGACTGACATAGTACTTCTTGCGATGGTGCCCAAGTTCATTAAGCTGCTCTTTGAGCTGCTTGCCGCGATCTCGCATTTCCTTCTCTCGTTTGGAATAGAAAGAGTCGACTTTCTCTAATTCGGAATCTAATAGCTCGAAAAAATTTGCATGAAGTGGTGGTAGTAGAGGGAGGAGCGTGTGTAAGGCAGGTGGAGCTGGAGAGCCTGCTGGTCAAGTGAGATTTCTAGCAAGACACTGGAAATACTTAAGCTGACCTGCATCACGGAAAAAGGGGAATACGGGTGGCGAGTGCGCAGACTTTGGAGGTAAGGGAGTCGCCTGTGATGACGAGCCTGTGAGATGAGAGGAAGGCAGAACACCATGCATCGAAATTCTGAGCGATGGACCTGTCAAAACCCTCCGTTGAATAGAATTTAGCATACGATGCTGAAACTGCTCACGTATCTGGGTATCCCTTCGCTGGGTTCGAGTTGGGGAAAGAGCCGAAGTCCCTTCAATTGGAGCATCTTGTCGTATGACGACGGACAGCTCTAAAGAGTACATTAAAGTGAAATGAGTTGGTGAAAACTTAATCAGAATAGCCAACATACCGTTGTACTCTTCATATTCTTTGGCTTGCCCACGAACCCGATCAACATCGGTGGTTCCAGTGGAGTTCTGCCTGGCAATATGTTCTGCACGAATTGCACCGATGCACTTCTTTAGGCAACGATAATCACTGAAAGAAAAGCGTAGTGAAATGAGGTGATCGATCAGCACATATAAAGTGTGCGCGCGCAGAACTGAGACGCACATGTATGCCTTTTTCCATTCGGGAGTCTGCAGCGAGATATTAGTCTACGCATCACCAATATTTTGGTTAGTCTGAATTAATGGACTGACTTGTGTATCATTAAGGTATCTGCGGTCAAAAGAATTCATACGAAATGAACACGAGTAGGGGTATGAAAGTCCGGATATCGACTCACCGTGCAAACTTCATCACTTCTTGTGAGTTGATGGACTTGGTTAGGTTATGATGAGGGGTATGATCCGCACAGGATAGTGGTAGTGATTTTCGTTCGACTGACGACGCAAGAGCAAACCGTTAAAAAGGCTCGAGGAACGTGAAATGTGCCAGGTTTCATCTGAAGGATCTTATGACCGAAATCCTGGCAAAAAGCCTAGAATGGATGTGATCAAAATGACATAGACAACTTGAAATTATTGATTAGTTTACGTTGCCAAAACTGCCATGGGGCGCCGTCTGAGGATGACGAGATTATGGTGACAGGCCCACGGTGTTTGTACTCATCGGCAAAAGGATACAACCGCCTACTACCGTATGGAGCAGCAGGCTTGACCCACCCCAATTTCCAAACTACCACTGCTTGCATATCTGGCTTCTGACGCGTCCAATTTCCGGCACACGACCTCCGAATCATACAAACGTGGCAGAAGCTCCTTCACTTCGGTCGGTGACCAAACCTCGAGGCCTGAGAAACTCTGATCTGATAGTCCAATCATACTACTCCGATTCAACGGCACACGACTCGTCACCCTACTATGCTCGAATTCACGTCTCACAAACTCTTGGTCTTTGACGTCTATGGGACACTCGTTGACTGGGAATCCGGAATATACAACAGTCTCAGGACGGTCTTTCCCGAGGACACTCCAAGAGAGGAGGTGTTGGAGAAATACGCTGCTGCGGAACTAGATCTACAAATGAAAGATCCGAGCGTAGCATACTCGAAGATCCTCGATCTTACTTGGGTCCAGCTCAGTGGTCAAGCTAACACAAGTCTTGAACCAGCTGCAGTCACGGAAGAAGAGGAGAGGATCTGGGTATCTAGTTCAGCGGTCGCTCAACAACTCCAAGACTTAGATCTGGCTTCCTCAACGTCACCAGCAAGTGATGCTGAACGCTTCGGAGCTTCCATACCCACGTGGCAGCCATTTGAAGACACCGTCCAAGCCCTCCATAGACTGAAGGAGCACTTTGCGCTAGTGGTTCTCTCCAACGTAGACAACAAAAGTTTTGAAGGCACACACGAGTTGCTGAAATCCCAAACCCTTGAAGCACGCAATAGCAGATACCCGACCGTGACCCCTGACTCCCCCTTCTCACTCATCCTCACCGCTCAGCAACTTAATGCGTATAAACCAGACTTGAAGGTGCTGGAAACTGCACTCCAGCAAGTCTCATCTGCGCCTCGCTTTAACTTACCGCATCCCAGCCCCCCCTGGGCTGTGGAGGCACGCGAAGTGCTTGTAGTAGCAAACTCGCTTCTGCATGATATAGAGCCCGCAAATCTTCACAATCTCAACAGTGTGTGGATTTCGCGCCATGAGAAGAATATTATCGGAACCAACCCCGATTTGAAGGAGCGAGGGGCTTGGAAATGGAGGTTTGAAACTTTAGGTGATCTGGCAGATGCGGTGGACCAGGAGGTTAAAGAAAAGAAACGCGTGGCCGCGGCGCTACGTGAACTTTAGGTGCGTAATAGTCATACATGCTGCGTATAAGAAATGTACCCCTTTCTCAGATAGGACAAGTTGATATCGTTGGACCCTTTGGCTGGTGGTGATGTACGAGATGAGGTACAGCTGTGCCATGATTCTATTGTATAGCGGACATCGGCTTGAACGAAGTTGAAAGACATTCTTGATTCGATTCGGCCTAAGCGGGCTATCTAGACGTTAAAGCTTCTTCCAGAAACAGTCTTCCGTCAAGAAGATGATGACTACAGGGTCAAGTGTGACTTGCAACAGGAATAGATGATCCCTTCCTTTCTCATTATTGACACTTGAGCGGTGAGCACTGCCAATTTCGAATAAGTTGATACTTGAACTTCTGTTTGATCTTGTTTCAACAAATAAGACACAGACTACAGTCCGGCCGAGCCCATCCGAGCCCCGCCTTTGACCCTCGGTGTCCGTTCAATTGAGTCGACTACCTATGTCGCTTGAGCGGGAGCCCCAGTTCTTTGAATTACGTTGTTCGGTCTCTGTTGTATTTAAATTCATTCCTGTCATGTGTATTGTGGGATAAGGGCTAAAAATGTTTCTCAGAATCTCAGCTATAGGAAGGTTCTTGGCAGCGTTAAGAATCATAGTTTCTACGGAGATTAGCCAGCAAAATGATTTCCCCATCCATGTCATACTACGTGGGTTCGGAGAAATCCGATGAATAATGCGCGCGAACCATCAGATCGATATGGGTGGGGAACCGAGAGGAAAATTGCGTGAATACGTGTGGTAGAAGCAACCGTTACATCGCTCTGGGATAATACGCAGAGGTAATAACGGACCGGAATTTCATGTTGCAAAAGACCCCGAAGTGACGAGGAGGCGCGTTCGAAGCAGAGACGTATATTTTCTGCACCGTTTTCATGACAGAAATTTCTGGGTGCATTTTAGGAACATGTGGTATATAGTGTTGCCGTGCAAGGGACAGGTTTTAGCAGTAAATTTCGAGTTTCTAAGTTGCCAGAGAAATAATGATAAGTGACGATGAACTACAAAATCACAACTTCTCGCATCCGGCGCCAGCTCCGCGGCGAAACCCACATATGCCAGGTAAGAATCCTCACTTCACCTGGGACACGCGTTTTCTTGGCAGGAAGTGTATCCCAGAGCCATACTCGATTTCTCGGTTTCATGAGATTTTCGGCAGCCGAAGTCAATTTTCTGCTTACCCAAGGCGTTAGCACAGGGTGTGCCTTGCACATAGCATATTGCCCCGCGCCCTGTAGCGCATGTCGTCATTAATGGCATGCTGACGTTCCTGCCCAGTGCTTTACTCCACGCCCGGATCAGCGTTCGACGTTAACGGTTAACCTCCATTCATCAACGCACAGCAGCGCACAGTCATGTCCCGGGACACGCGCTTAGTCTCGACATACCCGTATCCCACAACCACAAAGCCAGGTGATAAGCGACGAGAGAGAAACAAGGCGGGCGACGATATTGTACAGGACATAAATGCCATAAATGACTCGAAATGCATCGGTAGCAGAACATAACAGACGCAAACAACCGGGCATGGCAAGTTTGAAAGAATCAAATATTAATTTGCCTTCTACACACGTTCGCGAATTCGAACGTCCAAATAGTGGCCGATACGTTCGAGTTTCGTGGGCCTATGGACACCCTTTATCGATGGGAGGTTGTAACATGCTCCGGGCGCCCTTGACATGGCACACGCTGAGCAATCGTCCCAGATGACGGAGATTCTATTCTATACCTAACGCACGAGATCACTGAGTTGGGAGATCATCGTCGCATTAGGTGCGTACTCTCATGTTCCTCATGTTTACCTGAAAACTTAGTCATGGATCTATGAATCAGGACAGCTCGGTGACTCATTTTTCACACAACATCCCATTGTATGATACCGACAGATCCATGAGAGATATACACCTCTTTCATGTTTCAAAATCACGAATGAAATTGAATGAGAGAAGATTCAGAGGAACGACAAAACCGATTCATACCGAGTGTGGAACGCCTAAAATTTGTGTTTCACACTGCATGACTATTTGGTTCACAAAGCCATTCAAAATGGTCATGTTATAATGGCGGATATGTCAGGTGCTCGGCCCACCAAATTTTATCTAAATTGGTAAAGTATAGCAGGAGTAGTACAGGAGGTTGTCCGACCCGAGACCCTGCTAGTAGGTGAAGTGTTTTGATGAGTTAATATCGACGCTTACATGCCCAAGTTCTAACACATCCAATTGGTTCGCAGTTTACAAAACGCAGGTACTGCTCTTGATCATGAATCGAGTTTCAGGTTCCTATTAATGCTGTGGGTGGTCCCGTAATTTCCGGTGTCCGCAGCGTTGTTTACACCACGGAACACTAATATTTATCGTGAATCATCAACAGTATCATTGGTTCCTGCTCTATAGTTTTCTCCTCCTGAGTCCTCAGGCATTCAAATATTAGGTTTCAATGAACTTGGCCAGTTGTCAAGCACCGTCCAAGCGACGCAGATAAGCTCGCATGCTCTCTTGGGTATGCGCTTTCCATTTTCCTCGAGTGCCCAGCATGCTTAATTAGCGTTTAGTGCTAGCGCTCATAACTTGTACTTTCGTGAGAAGCACCAACGACTTGGTGTCTTACTCCTTGTCGATGTGACTCAAAACGACTTGCTGGGGATAATGGATTGGAAATTATCATATAGTTCGTCAAACGACAGGTCACTGACCCAGGGACTTTGAACACGGAATGAATAGGGAATGATATCCATAATTAAATGAGTGCCGTCTGTTGGCCAGCCCCTAAGTTTCAAATTTAAGGCATAATCAAGGGTAGCTTCTTCGGGCAAGTGGTCGACTATTGGGTGGATGCTTGGCGTTAGAGTTCGCGTAGTCACGTCTCTTGCAACAGGCTACCATGGTCGTATCTCATTCCATATGGTGATAATTTATACAGGGTGTAAGACTACGCCCCATGGCGAACATTGGATGATGGTCAGTTGCCTCGTGGACTCGACTCGAGTAAGCAATTACGCCCATGCAATCAAGATTTCAAATACGCTGCGAACAGGTCTGAAGATGCGTGAACCAGTTCTGAGCCTCGTTTGAATTCGTCGATAACCATAGCTTGTAGAACTGACTTCGCGCACCAACTCGTCATCGCCGCGGACGTGTGCAAATTGTTTGTCACCAAAGGAGTCAGAGATCAAGAACCATGCTCGTCAAATCTTGATATCCATTGAAATAGTGAGATATGTAAGTTCTCGGAGGGAGTTGTTCATTTTGTGGCATAATCCGAGGGGGCAGATGACAAGAACATGTAGTGCGGTAGATGCAATGACTCTCGATTGAATGCTGCACTTCAGCGAAGGTCAAGTTAGGTTCCTGGGAGCGACGCACACCTGCCATTAAATCAGGTTCACTCCTTGGGGGCCGGCACTTTCGCCTCAAGCCTCACCTTCTTGCTGATAGAACCTTTGGCTCACTTCGTATTAATCACAAGCGTTTGCGTTGCACTCACGCGAGCAAGGATGCCACGGTGATGTGATCAGAAAAATTAGACCTAGGTATCGTGCAGAAACCCCGCGGCTCTTACACGAGAATAACCGCCAACAATAAAGCAAGCAGCACAATTATAAGGATAGTTATACACCATCCCGACTTCGTTTCTACTCCGAGAAGCATCAGCATGTCATAGGGAGCACATAACTGGCTCAGACTTGCCTTCCGTGTCTCGTACAAATTTCTTCATTCTTCGCATCGCATTTGATAGCTTGGAATCCGTCCTGTCAACATTTGCCTCAAGGTCGTCAAGCATTCTGGTCGAAAAAATTAGTATAGACTAGCAGCAGCAACTAACATGCCTTACTCAACATGCTCCCCAATCTCATGCCCCATCAGACCTGCTTGCTGAGCTAGGGTATTCAGAGTCCCTGATATTGAATCCATGGCACGATCCTGTTCCTGAAGTAATAACTTTCGCAGATTTTGCTGTCGGTCTCCTCTCTTATGAGATGAACGCATGAAAACATACTTGTTGTTCTTCATGAGCCCATTTCGTCTGGTCGTCATTGGGCTCCCCTGACTGCGAGCCGGGTGCTGGTTGTAGGGGTGCCCGTGAACCACTGGGCAACGATGATTGTGACTGAAGGGGAGTAGACGGTAATTTCCCTGCAGACGGTAACTAATGAACCGTCAGAAACTGCATATCTAGCAGAAATAGATACCGACATTTCGTCCTTCGACGTCCGCCCTCATACCCTGTCCTTAGGTTGGTCATCAAAGTTAGGGTGTGCATGCTTCAAGCTACTTGTGACGGACCTCAATTTCACGACGTACGTGACTCACGTATTTCCGCCGTTCAGAGACCTCTGCATCATCAAGTCCAAAATATCTAGGACCCGTGTCCTCCACCATCCTGAGAGTAATAAGTTCCATGAACTGCGGACTATCATCCCAGCTTACTTGACGCTCTCTTCTAAATCCTCTAAGTCTGTGTACAGTGCAGCAAGCGTAGCTTCCAACTGAAATCTCGTGTCAGCTTTTCGTTCGGAGAATGTATATAACCTCACTTCATTTCGGGCCAACACAAGTTCTTCACTCCCATCCCGAGCGAGGCTGCGGATTCGCAGGAACGAAGAACGTAATGTCGACGCTGTCTGGAGCGAAGATTGGATCTCCCGCTGGACTTCATGATATGGGTCGGCCGACATGATACGAATGAATGTAACGGGTCTGGCACTCGTAGCCGTACAGTCCGTCATCAACGGACGATAAACAAGGAGAACTTTGAACACGTGATCCCGGATGTACTGATTACCGAATCTGCACCCACTCTAGGCCAACTCCAGGCCAATCGAACTCGCAGGTACCAGGGTCTGAAGCTTGAAGGCTCGTCTTGGCGCGGCATATATGCTATGATGATTTCATGACGATATCACGGATTCTCTCAGGTTTCTTTCAGTACGAATGTGGTAGCGGCGTAGCCCACCGAACCCCCCCTATATAAATCCTACTAAGGAGCCTTCAATCACCATTGCATCTTACAACCATCATGTCCAACATTCCAAAGACACAAATTGCTGCAGTCGTTCCGTTTCATGGAGCTGCTCTCGAAATTAGAAAGGATCACCCGGTCAAGCAACCTTCTGAGCTTGCCCCAGGCGAATGCCTCGTCAAATTATCCTGCACTGGAGTCTGTCATACGGACTTACATGCCAGCAACGATGATTGGCCACTTCATGCTAGCACACCACTTGTTGGTGGGCACGAAGGTATAGGGGAGATCGTCGCCATTGGGGAAAACACCGGCGATTGTCCTGTGAAGATCGGCGATCGCGTTGGCATCAAGTGGCTTGCGTACTCTTGCTTGAACTGCGAGCAATGCCGCAATGGACGAGAGCAAAGTAAGTCAAACGTTTGAATGTTGAATGTGATGCTCAATTTTACACTCAGACTGTCCTAAGGCGAAATTAAGCGGTTTCAGCGTTGATGGCACATTCGCACAGTACACAGTATGTCAATTCACAGGCATTTTCAATATGTTGCTGACTTATTTAGGTCTCATACGTATATCATGTTACCCCTATTCCCAAGAATCTAGACAGCAACGCCGCGGCCTCGATACTTTGCGCGGTAAGGTTATCTAGTCTTTTCAATTGATTGTAATTCACTTAACATGCCGCATCAAGGGGGTTACCGTGTACAGAGCTCTCAAACACAGCCATGCAAAGATTGGCGAATGGGTTGTCTTGCCTGGCGCAGGCGGTGGCCTCGGACACTTAGGTCTGTCTCGCTACTAGTACAAATGACATTAATGTTCCGATCGCTGACTTCTTGAGTAGCGGTTCAATACGCGGTGGCCATGGGCCTCCGTGTTGTAGCGATAGGTATTTCTCCCCACCCATGCTTTGAGATGAGACTGATATCGTCATGTTCAGATACAGGACTCGAGAAGAAGAAACTGTGCTTGGAGCTTGGAGCCGAAAAATGGATTGACTTCCAGGAGGAAAAAGACATTGTCCAGGCTGTGCGAGAAGCCTGTGATGGCGAGGGAGCACACTGTGCTGTCGTCACCACTGCGAGTGCATCTGGTTACACGCAGGCCGTCGATTACCTTCGACCTGGAGGAACATTGATGGCAGTAGGGCTACCGGGTGAAGCAAAGCTCGAGGCGTCCATCTTTTTCACCGTATTCAAGGTAGGTTCTGTAAAGAAAGACTCGAGTTTGGTTCATTCAAGAATCATTGCAGAGCATTAACATCCTTGGTTCATATGTTGGTAATCGTCAGGATGCCGTTGAGGCTCTAGAGATCGCATCGAGAGGTAAAGTAGTAGTGAGGTATGAGTGCAAGGGTCTCTCCGAACTCAAGAAGTGAGTAGATTGCCATGATCAAGACACATAGCTGACACAACTCACAGTGTTTATGACGCACTTAAACAAGGCAACATAGCGGGGAGAATCATTTTGGAGATGTCCAAATGAACATACATATTGTTACTACAAATAGCGTCAGTATAATCAGGAAACAATAGCAAGCCACCTAGCGAGAGCTTGGTTTATCGGTCCGAGAGTAGATAAGTGCTTAGGTAAAGAATCGGAGGATCGGCAAGAGGAAGTATCACAAGATAGCAAGAAAGGTGAAGAAGCTTAATGTAGTTGATAAGATACGGATAAGGCCAAGCCAAGCGGAAATAGTCCTTGCCTACTATAATAGGTGTATCTACATATTATAAGAACAGAGTATTTTCTTCAGGTCCTGCGTCTGAACACCAGGGGAAGACGGGTTGGTCTGACAGCCATCAACAATTCATCTTACAAGAGTAGAAGTTCAACGTACGACAGAGTGATTTTACTTCGTGCGTCAAGCACTCTCGCCTTGCGCTGCTCGTACGTTTCGCCAGCGAATTCCGGCTCGTCCTTGATTGAAATGGTGTATCGTGAAATTAAAATGGTGAGAACAGCTGCTGCTTCGGTTTCCGAGAACCTGACCAAATTCAAATGGATGACGAAGCACAATGACAATATACTCACTTTCTTCCTACACACCCTCTAGAACCTTCATTGAAATAAGCGTCTTCAAGTTCATTCTGAGCAAGATGTTAAGACACTTACCAGCACTGAAGGGAAGGAATGCATCTCGGCTCCAGTCACCCAAGAATCGTTCGGGCTTAAACACGAATGGATCTTCCCAGTACTTAGCTGCAATCATGCGTCAGTTTGTTACTGTCTCTTTGCATTTGGCAAGTATCATACGATTGTAGTGAAGCCCAGTTATGTGCAGCCCAAGTTCCATTCCTTTAGGTACAACGACTGTTTTCATCGTCCCATTCGCATCTGTGAGGGTGAAGGTCGTGTCTTCGGCACTTAACTTTGGCACTACGGAAGCCTGTGCCTGAAGTCAACGATATCGCTCAGAAATATACACTCCACCAACATACAGGGGGGAACATCCGCATTGTCTCGTTGAATACACTGTCATGATGTCAGCCCATAGCTCAGTCGATTTAGAGGCAAACTGACGCAGAAGAGTAGGTCAATGATGACATATCATCATAAGTCTGTCGAAAACATCATGAGCCTGGTTGCATAGCTGCCTGTGATTCAGGGGTCCATACAGGAATTCTTCCATCAGGCAGTACACGCTTGATGTGTTGGTACATTTCTTCTTGTTTATCGGGATGCAAAGCCAATAGTCCGAACGAAAAAGAAAGTGTATGGGCTGTCGTCTGTGAGTTGTTAGCACGAGGCAAAGTGTGGAAGGGATGTAGTACCTCGTGTCCCGCGACTAAGAATATGAAGATATTGCCTGTTGGACAATGTCACCATGTTCTGCTACAGAGTCTGAAATTGTAGCTTACCAATTAATTCGCTGTCGCTCAGTTTCACATCATCCTTCAATGAGTCATTGCTGTCATTTGCTGACAACAAACTAGATAATAGGTCGTGATTATGTTCCTGCTGTGACCCCTGCCGTTCATGAATCATCTCTGTAAGGTATCGCTACAAAAGAGGGTTACTAAAAATGTCAAGTGTTCAGCCACAATTATGGTACGAACATGCAATTCATCGAAGGCAAGCCTTGTACGCCTGAAATGTTTAGTGAGTCCCATGACCCATCTCGGTACTAATAATGGAAGGGTGAGGTTTTGTGACACTGTGTGGATAGCATCTTTGAAAGTCAGCTGGTGTCCGAGTGGGACCACAGCGTCCTCTTTCCAAGATATGGGACGACCAAAGCCTATAACGAGTTCACTATATCGACAACTATTCATTGATAGTACCGGTCATGCTCACCTGCAGCCCCGATCACGAACAGGGCAATCTAATAATCCGAATGAAATCAAAGAAGCGCAGAGGTGGCGTCAAGAGTTCTCACTGGCAAAGTCAAGTCTACGGAGTGATCGACAACCACTTCTTGTTGTCCAGCCCACATTGTATCAAAAAGGTCGAGCATGATCTGTGTGGTTGCATCCCAGACCAGTCTATTGTTCCTCTTCAAGGTATAAGTTAGGAAACCCTGATGTACGCATGGACATCAGTTACTAACTTCTGAAAACGCAGGTGCGACGATCTTGCGGTAACGCTTCCATTCGCTGCCTTCGGAAACGATAATGTTCTTGCCAAAGAATGCTAATGCGGTGTATAGCTCAAGAGGTTTTGGGAAGCGTCCTCCACGAGACCAAACAATGTCCTTTGATACGATGAATCAATTTGTAGGCTTTCAAGACCGAAATAAACCGACATACTTTAATCACATTGATGTCTGCTATCAATAGCGATCCAGTTGCCTTCGGCCAGCATGTCGCCTGAGACCATCAGCCTCTTATATACCACGGTATCGCAAGCAACTTACAATGGAAATTATATCAAGGCCCCTCTCCGCAAAGGCTTCCGAAATTTTCCTTAACTAGGGAAAATGAACCAACATGAAAAATTTCAACGTACGGGCATGCTTCGACAACCAAAAATGATCATGACCTAAGTTCAACAAGGGGATCGGGGGAAATAGGCGTCCGAGCATAGATGAGGCACTAATAATTGTTCTGTATCCTGGAAGATGACTATAAAAGATAAATTAGTTCTATGGAAGTAATGCTATAAAGCTGGTTAACTCACTGAATGCTCGCCAATAGTCGACGGAAATCTAAGCAGAGCTGGAAGGCGCGCAGTACACACACCAAACCCACTAATATTGCAAGGGTCTCCAACGACAAACCAGTGACAATCATGCTTGCAGGGGTGTTGGAATGAAGATGTCGTGAGTACGCAGCACACTACTTGTCACTTTATCATATGCAGATGGACAACTGCCGGCAGATGCCGTCGGAACATATATATATACGAATCGATTGCGTCGACAGGTGCGGATTGATGATTGACCCGGAAAAGCACAGCAGGTTGCATGAGCACACTAAATTAGTACAATGGGATTACATCGGTCGCAACTATTCTTGAATCTCCATTACGACCCACTTGCGTGTCAGCAGATTAAAAATGCTTCCGAAAATCAATGTCATGAGCGTACAGCTGAGGATAATGACGTTGTAAGGCATGCTAAAATCTGGGGTGGGGAGGTCGACAAGGAGTGTCGGGGTATAAATCCTCTCCCAATCATAACTTGAAGAGGTGTTATGAGACAATTGAGAGAGTGGGAAAAACACGGCCCCTGGTAGATCCCAGCCTCTCATCGCATCAGGTGGATGTTCGGTGTATTTCAGAAAGGCTTTGTTGACTTCCATAGAAATTTTGAGCGTGGTCTTTGGTGGAATCGTGAGGACAGCTTGCAACATCGAGGGAGAGAAGCGGTCATTAGATTGTGGCGAAGGTGGATGATATTTTAATTCTGAAAGTAAGTCGCCTAAATACACCAGATAATCAGCAAAGATAATCTCCTTATGGCCACAAGTCATACTCCGTATCTGTGAGTTTATTTCGACTTTCAGGGTATGCATCCACATCGTGATGAGTGCAGGCATCATCTCCAAATAACCCACCGATATCTCCTGGGGAGAATTGTTGGTAACAGAGACAGATAAAACGCCTCGTGTTTGCGTTGTACCATGAATTGTTCGTTTCACGCTGAGCGGGGTGATCGGTGTTAATGGTGGCAGTGCTGCATTGATAATTCATCAATGGGCTAGTTGTACGGACAGAGAGGGACTTACGATACTGGAAGCTATGCTCACTCGGCCAGTACATGGCAATGTTAGACGGAATTGTGAAATTAGATGCTTTGACACGTTATTGGTTCAAATTTATCGCAGGGAAATAGCTGTACAACGCACAGGAGGATAAGTCATAAATGGCTAAACCATCCATATAGGAAGGATTTTCAGGGGTGATTTTGTGGTCCTTCCCTTCCGGTAGAATAACAGTGATAGAACTGGAACTCGCTACCGGGCATGATCGTTCAATGGAGCGATCAAACAGTGATTGAAGATTCCAGTCTGTCGACATTGTCAGCGAGGGTTATATCATAAATCGGTTACCAGCTCACCTCGTCTCTTCCCTGCGCTAGTTCGCACTGGATTGAATACCGTTTGTAAGGACAGTTTTAATTCAATACCAGTGTCTTCCTTCCATATCACGTGAACCCCCATGCCATGCCAGTCCGCATCAAAAACCTTCTGAGGATTGAGAAGTGTAGCAAGCCCTGCATGGCTCTTGCACGGAAGTAGCTTCAAGAAGGGTGTTAGATTCTCCGTGCAAACATTCTCTGAAGGAAGTGAGGCATGCCGAAGTTCGTGTGGGGAAAAAGTGGGGGTAGACCCGGATAAAGGGAAGGCGACCGTCGGTGACAATGTTCGTCGGGAATCTAGCGACCCAAGAGAAGCGCAAAAGAGTCCTGAAAGTGCGTTTCGGAGACCAGACCATCGTTCATCCACTCTGACAGATTGAATGAGTGAACATGATCATAGCTATTCGTTGAGCATACATACGTCGTTACCTCACTAGCGCCCATCCAAGCCCATAGCTCAGCTCCAGTGCCAACCCCGGCTTCATGAGGATGTCCCCAGTTATCATAATTCCACTTTCCAGCATTGAGAGTCAGATGCAGCTCGGTGATCGCATACTCGCGTAGGATTTGACCAAGAGTCAGTGGGAACAAGGCGTAGTGTTGGGCTGCGTGGCTTGTGTAGTTCAGGAATAAAAAATAGCGATGGTAGACTCACATTCATCTCGTTGTCCCAAGGCCTTCGGATTTCGTGGACCTGCACCCTCTAAAACAGTCACAAAAGAGAATGTCGTCGATACCTGCCCATCTCTGAGTGACTGTATACGGAGATCTTCTTTATAGATTTCCTTACGATATAGAGCAAAGGATGGAGTACACAGGTAAGCTAAGAAAATCCAGACTGAGGCGCGACGCATTTGTCTACAACTTTGAAAGCAGGAACTTCAAAACGTACTAGGACGAAATATCACGTGATCCATACATATCACGCGAAAGGCCGCTCGCGGCAGAGCCCGCTTTTCCGATCGCGAGTCATAATGTGAATCGATTGGATTTACAGATACAGATACAAGTATCGTACAGATCAACTCAGGCGAGTCTGGACGGTGAAATTGAGACGATTCCCTTTTTTTTCTTTCTGCCGGTTTTTGAATGCCACACATATCAATATTATGATCAGGCGAGTCGCGAAACGGAGGTGGCGGTCAGTCCATTTTCCCTTTCACTCCCTTGTGCTTCTGTCCGTTCGCGGGTTTGGCTTTTTTGGGGGGACTGATCGCGACGTCGAATGTAGAGAATCCCAGGATGCAATGGCTGAATCATCTTTCGACATCGGAGGTTGTGGAGATTCTCGTGCGAATAAAACTTACAGGAATGCCGAGCATGACACAGCAAAGCCCACTACTGCCGTAGCGGGAATTCGTTACACCACCACCATGTCATTGAATAACTACACAAAAGTTTATTCTAGATGTCTTTCGGATTCATCCAGTGAGTTTCGTCCTCATCGTCGCACTCCATACCATCCTCCACCCAATTTCACCATTTGGAGTTATTACCTCTTTCAGGACGGCCTCCGTCTTGAAGGGGCCAGCATCTTGCCAGAGCTTATTCCAGCTTTCAGGATCATAACAATACATATCCACTGTCATACCAAGCACTTCCTCCCGTATGGTACCCTTCTTCGGAAGTCCGACATGAGATCCAAATACAATGCTCCCTGGCACAGGAGACAGCAAAGCGGCTACAGCACGGATGAGCGATGCCTGTTGCTCTGCAGAAAATAAGTGAAATACTGATGATGCATGGATGGCAGTAAGTTTTCCATGCAGGTCATTCAGCGAGACGAGTGAGGATACGTCAGGTGGTGACTGTGATGCATGCCCAGGCTCGGACGATAAGAAAGCTGGATCAAGACAGTCACCCGCAATGAACTGTGAGGGAAAAGATGTCGGCGTAGACCGAAAAAGGACATGTCCGAGGTCCCAAAATTCTGTCGTTATAAAGTTTCAGTCTTAACATACATTTTCCCTTGTTTGCGCAGGGAGGTGACTATCGTGAGGCGTACCTTGCCTAAGATCGGTAGCGATCACTTGGGTGATTGGCCAGCCATCTGCGACTGCCTTGCGTGCATCATTGCCAACTATGACGAGGCGAGTCCATGATTATCATCTACCAAAATAAACTGAATGTGCTTACAGCAACATCCAAGATCCAAGAACAGTGAGTTTCTGCGATCACGACCTAGCTGAAGCACGCTTTGGTATTTCGGGTGTCCCGAAATTCTGAGACTAGAATACACGTCAATCATAGAATGTAACTTCCACAAGTACAGCATGCCTTGTGAATCCGAAGTTGTAGATGCAGGGGTACGGTGCTACCTAGACAGGTCACATACAACTCGACCTACGTCGATGAAAGCTATCACTCACCGCGAAAGCCTTTGCTTGAACAGCCAGGATGTGGTGCTTCAGATCACCCTCTTCGGTGATACCTGTCTGCTGCTGGAAAAACTCGAGTGCAGCAGGGTCCAGCCTGTAGAGGCTGAGATCCAATGGAGTGTTACTGGTGAAGGCCATACTGCAGTGTCGTGGATGATACCGTCCACTTAAATATAGTTGAGGTATTGAGCCACGTCAGCTAAAACGCTAGAACCTTCTGACGGTGCCGTCGTTTTGAAAGAAAAATGACTACTATGTAGTAGGCCGCAGCACCCTTGAAGATGACTGCACTGCATCAACTCAGTCACAGATCTTAAGCGGGATTAGCGTCAGGTACAAGCCGGTCAGGTCGCGTAGGGATAAAACGTGAGCGTAAAAATGAATGTCGTGAGTCGTCACGGACTCAGAATAGTGGCGTTCAAAGTAAAAATTGGGCGGCTCTGAAAACGTGGGTAAGTTTGACAAATTTCTTTCAGAATCTACGGAACGTTCGGCAGGCCCAAGCGGGGTCTGAAATACAACCTTCATGCTGCACGTGCAGGATGCCTGCACAACGTCGTCCACAAGTACGACGTTCAGAACGAATCAAAGCGCGCATCGAGACTAATAACACTTTACGTATGGCTGTACAAAGGCCCCCACGCACTAATAGGGGCAAAGGAAGTACAACTCGCGGTACGAGGGGGCGAGGAAGGGGGGATGTACCAGTATTCAATACCACCCAGCCACTATTCATCAACGACACTACCAACTCTGCAGCTGCCCCTGCCGCTACCTCCACCACCCCTGCTGCAAAGTTTAGCGTCAGGTGGGAGACCTGCGAGTTGGATTGCACCGATGCCCTTGTACAATTCCTCGACACTCATCCTGCCGACTGCCGCGTGCTCTTCAATGAGTCGAAGAAATCTCGCGATCCCGCCATCAGTGAACCCGATCCTTCGGGGAGTCAAAAGAATCACATCTGGGCGGCGATAGCTGAAGTTATCTTCGAGAAGGATGAGGAGTACAAGGATGCGTATGCTGAGGACAAACACAAATTTACAGTGGCAGTTTCTAATCGTATTACGCAGTGCGTATTCCCCCCTCTCATATGCATTAATTCACTAAACAATCTTAGTCTCAGGAATAAATATAAAAAACAACATGCTCGCTTCCATCAGACCGGTGCTGGCATCAATCCACTTGATGCTGCTGGTGCACAAAATCTTCGAGGTAAGGTTTTTTTTTATTTAAATTTATCAAACTGCGCTACAACAAACTACAGAGCAGGTACTAATCGACTTCCCATGGTTTGACATACTCGATAAACTTTGGAAGAGCAATCCGGTGTTTGCGCTGAAGACAATTTCATCTGTGCCGGGTGTTGATCACGCTGCTAATATGGCTGCCCTTACCCAAGGGAAGGGCAAGCAGATGGTCGCTCAGGCCCCTTCTCCTGATCCCGACAACATCGTTGGGGACACCGAGAGTGACATCATCGATGACATCTTGGACGAGCCTCTGCTTGCCCAAGGGAAGAGTAAGGAGAAAGCTCTCCCCCCTCCCTGTCCTGATGAGCCCATGGATGAGGACCTTAACCCCAATGACGACCATACCTTCATCACCCAACCCGAACCTCCACTCCCCTCTACCCCTCTCAACGATGCCGATGATGATGGGGAGCCCCGAGACAACAATTTCGGGCCATCGAATCAGGAGGACGAGGACACTGTCCAACAACGTCCGTCCAACAAGCGCCCTTGCCCATCCTCACCACCCCCTACACATGCTCTTCATACCCCTAACAACCACTCCCGTGGAAAATTCCAAACTCATGTAGATCGTGTTACTAATCGTGGTGCCATCCGCTCGCCCAAGTCATCACCCTCTCAGATGTCGTCGTCATCATCTGCAACATCATCGCGCATACGTGCCACACCAACAGGAATATCAGGATCGCAAACATCATCCACTCGCAAAGCAGCCCCCTCCCAAAAATCCTCCCTCTCAAAGTGCGTCGATTCTGAGATGCAGGATGTCCAGGGTCAAGTCGAATCACTCACTACCGGGATGAGTTACATATATACTGTGAAGGCGGCTGCCTCTGAATACAAGCTCGCGAAAGTCAACGCTCACCGACACCAACGTGACATCGAGTTTCAACGTGAGCAGGCCGATAAGGAATGCAGTGACGCCGCCATTGTGCACCAGCGTGCGCAAGAAGCGAAGGCCTTGGAACTTCAAGTTCTCGAGGCCCAGGCTAGGGTTCAGGCGGAGAAAAGGGCTGCTTTGCAGCTCGAGATCAAACTTCTCAAGTTGAGAGGGGGCGCATCCTGAGCGCCCGATTGTGAGTGTATTCGTTGTCATTGCCGCTGTGTTGTGTGTTGTTCGCAGACATTGTAGTTGTGTGTGCTCATTTTGTTCTGCTTGTATCGCATGCTTGTTTTTTTTTCTTTTTGTAAACCATGTCTCGCATATGTCTACATGTCATACCTACATGTTCTACATGCCTCCTATTTCTATGTTAATACATCAGCTGCTTGTCTTGTCTTGTGTTTTGCAAGATTCCTGTAAGTTACTACCTCAACAAATTCTCCATTAACTCTGCACGAGCTGCATGGCCAGGGGTGCCAACATAGGAAGTATCACCCACAAGACCTACATCAGGGTCTTGTTGCTCTGGGGGGGGAATAAGGTCTCTTCCCTCATCCCTAAGGGCCCAATCAGTGGTACTACCTTCACCACTAAAAATGTTACGCTGTTCTTCAAAGCGAATAATCATGTTATGAAGGATGATGCAACACATCACCCAGTAGGAATGGAACTGAAGGTGGTCATCATTCTGCAATGGGTGTCGAAGCTCCCGAAGAGACTGGAAACGGCCCTTGAGAGCAGCGAATGTGTGTTCTACCCGAACACGAATCTAAAAAAATTAATTGAATATCAAGAAGTTGAATAATAAAATAATAGATGTATCTTGGATAGGGTAGTATTAAAAGCCTTCTGGTCTCTGGTCAAGGACCCATTAGGAGGCTTCTTGAAAGGGGGAATGCACCATGTCTCCAAGGGATAAGCACTATCTGCCCAAATCCAATGATTATCTCCAAGAAGCATTGCATGCTGTTGGAAAACACGAGTGGATTGGAATGCAAATGCATCATGTGCACTACCAGTGTGACCAATAGAATAATCCACTATAGTGAGATTGTGAGGCAGGATCACTGCCTAAAATATTTTTTAAATCAGACAAAGAGGTGTCAAGTAAAAATAAAACACACCTGGCAGTTGAGGGAATATTGAGACTTCCTGGTGTAAAATGACTCTCCATAGTGACCTGGCTTTTGATAGAGATTGAATAGTGATCCATCAACTGCCAAAATACCATTCCTCCACTGTGGGCAGGACTTGGACTGAACATAGTGACGAGCCCGTGCAACCTCATGAGAGTCGAGAGTAGGAAAGCAGATAAAATTATCATGCTGTCCAAGCAGGGCAGTCATGACACGATTAGTGCAGTTTGTAACAGACCCAATGCTTATGTCTGCCCACTGACAGATATCCTGGTTGGAAGCTGCATTCCCATAGTGGCCAGCACGATTAAGAAAGATAGAGAGTTGCACAGCAACAGGGAGTTGGGGATTATTGGACTGATTGTGGAAGACAGGGTCACCACTGATTTGATCAAGGATGTCGTCAAATATATCAGGATTGACACGTAACTTCATCCGGAATAGGTCAGGGCAATGGATAGCAAAGTGGTCAAGAAGCTGGATCTGTGGTGCCCGCATAGGAGGCTCATCAGGAATGTGAAGGACACGTGCCATCTGTACCTCATCCTGAAGAGCAGTAAGAGAGCCAATAATACGAGCGTATTCTTGATGAATCAGAATGGAGTCGCCTGAGGAGCCTGAACTGCCAGACATAGGGGAGGACAGTGACATAGGGGAAGGTGGTGATGGGGTCCTAATAATACCATCCTCTGAGATAGAGGAGTCAGAGGAGCTAAGATCTCCCTCTGCTATGGCATGCTCAACCCAGGCCTTTGTAATATTTAAAGTACTAGTATCTATTTGATTGAGCAAGTCTTGACGGCGAGACTGGCGAGGCATTGGGCTGAGTGGGCTGTTATTCCATTATCGCGGACTAATCTAATCTAACCGAGTTTTAAGCGGAGTTTGAATGTTACGCAGGTGTGTTCCTGCCACCTGCGCTGTGCCACGCAACGAGCACACCACCGCTGATGCCATCCATGACAGCAACCTGTCACAGCAGCATGCAGTTGGACCACCTCACTCATCCCATGTTGTGCTGGCCGCTCCACCTCGCACCCTTACAGCCCATCAGGGGGACTTGGCAGCAAACATCGACTACCAGGATCATCATCAGGCAGGCGGCACTTCCTTCCATCCACTCCCAGTGCTGCCACCACATCACGCCACTCACATACCATTTACCATTAGCTCTCATATCCCAACTCGGTGCTGCATCACCATACCCTCCTTTCGCACTGCATTGCACCACCATTCGGATGAGTCTGGACCGGTCCGAACCCATCAGTGTAAGTTCAAATTCCTTTTCTATTCTATGACTCATGAGAATCCCAGTGCGTTCCAAGAAGCTCAGACACTCATCAGGATGGTGCAAGGAGTCCCGGTGCGTATGTACATGTTCATTTTGAGAGCCACTCCGCTGACACCCTTGTTTTTTTTTTCAAGTCACTCCCTAATCTACCTCATGCAGGCACTGCAGCACATCGCAACATCCATGCAAGTCTTCTGGACCAGCCGCTCGTCCATGCAATTGTTCTACTAAGAACCCTACCACCCTGTCCCGCTTCACACTAGCCTCGAAGTGTACTGGAGTGCAAGGTCATGAATTTCTTGAAGGGTAGTGAAAGGCCATTAGTTTTTATGTACTAGCTATGAAATATATAACCTTCAGCTTTTTTTTGTGTGCAAATGCCTCTAACCCTAACCTTACAGTGTGACTTAGAAAGTTTGAAGCATTTGAACTGCTAAGTATTTTGAATGGAGTTTAAAATTGCATTTTTCAGCCGGTTTTCAGAACCTTTCAAAACAGGTTTCAGAGCGTTTCTGAATCGTTCTGAATCGTTTCAGAGCCTACTCTGAATACCATTAATGGCCGGAGACCTATTAGAAACGCATTCACGACCGTTCAATGACTAAAATCGCATGCCTGTTCACGCCATAGTATTTTTGGATTAGGTGCAGCTGTCTTCATTTTGGTTGTCAGATTACTTATGAATGGCCCAAAACATCTTCTTGTCTTGCACATTCATCGCATTGCATACTAGACTCGCCGTGACCAGTCCGTCTATGAGGCAAGCCATCGATAGACAGACTGGTAAATCTGGGTTTAAATTTGGATAGTGCGCGCTTTGGAGTCGTCACATGACAGAAAACCCTGTTTAGGACTTAGACACTGCTTAGATAAGTCTGCTAAGTTATTCGATCATACATGTGTTCTATGTAACGTCGCTCGTCATCTCTGGCAGTGATCAGCTTTTGTTCCAACTGCTGCAGGGCAGCCTAGTGTTGCGAGACATACTCTATTTATGAATTCTGCCTATTAATCTTTTGTACTTTGTTAGTGGTTGTAACTGTCAAGCTCTCCTTGACTTGGGAGGATTTCAGAATGTCTCAAGGATGGCCCGAACGTGATGGAGACCTCTCAATGCTGGCAGAAACCGATCTCAATCGCTCCGTGGACTCTGGATTTGTTGACATTACCATGGGATCTCCAGCATCAATCCCTACACTGAGTACCAGACGAACCCGGATGTCTACTCACAATCAGATCAACAGCGCACTCCAAACACTGCAGGATGGTCGTATATCCATCCTAGACTTCCTCGTCACAATACTGGACCCTTCAAACGCATCTTATGTGACTTATCATGACCGTGCGTATGTTCCTTCTGCGAAGGAGAAGAGTTTGGGTATGGGGAGGTTGGAACAAGTGCTAGACTTTCTATGGGAAGATCCACGAAGCCAGGCGCGTGTCATCGAGTGGATGCATCCGCATGCGATCTCATACATCTGTAATACTGTGTACCGTGAAATGGACAACATCAAACGGACCTTTCATACAACACTCGAAAGTGTCACTCCCGAGCTCCTCCTCTCATTTCATGTCGATACGACCATAGCCTCTGTCACATGTGAAAAGGCACCTATACTTTGCCAAATCATTGTGAGTGCTGCGCAGACCGAACGTGCAAAGGCAAATAATAAAGTCAAGGACTGCAGTATTGTACGAGTATCAATTTATCGTCATTCTTTCACAATTTAATCATCTGGACTTATGAATAAGGCCTGCAATATCATCATGACTCAACTTGCAGTCCAGCGCTCACACCACAGCATTATTTTCTCTATGTCCTTCGCACTCTTCCTTTGGACGAATGGAGTCTCGCGTCAAACAATTGAAGCACTTCATAAGTGTGGCCTTTGTATCTCGTTCCCATCCCTCCTCCAACTCATCGACAATCTTGCAAAACAATTTATTGGATGAGCACAACAGATCGCAAAGGGACCACATGTGATGTGCTACGATAACATCAACATCAGCACATCGATCTTTGTTGAACAACGTATATCTGCACCAGCCAAGGTACAATCAGGAACCTTTGCTGTCCTTTACAAGGTTTGAAATGGGAATCCCGAACACATGCGACTTGCTCCCATCCGTCAGCGAGCACAAACAGCTTCTGACTTAACATTCAATGCTGATGTTCGTCCAACTCAAAGTCAGATGGTGTCATTTCACAAACAACTTTGTGTGCACATTGTCAATATCTTGCTTCAATTTTGTTCGTCTTTCAAGGATTTCACAACATTGCAACACCATGAACGCCAAAAGATTCCTGCAGGGTATCGCACCAAGCAGTACCCCCTTCGCACATCGACAATAGACGAAAGCTCGGTCTCCGGGAATATTGCTGTTATCAATGATGTCTACATCAATCAATTGAAGATGACCCATGGAGAGCTTTCGGAACGTGCCATTCCAAGTTTTAATGATCAGTCGACCAATGCCTGCATCCGTGGTGCAAAAACTCTTTGGACTCACGATATCAATCCTTTCACGCAACTTCAGTTTATTCAACTTGGATTCGGCCTTTTCCACCTCTGTTTAAACCTCGTCTGGGCTCTTCTGCATGTTCATCGTGGATCCATACATCAAGTCGGCAGTCTTTCTTACTTTTTTTCTCTTCTTGACCACACTCGATTCGGCTGCGAGCATTCCGACTATCATACTCTATTATCCACCCTACTGCAAATTATACGCGGCATCATTCTCAATTGTTGGAAGGTTGAATGCGGTTTTGCCTCCTTTGCTGCTTTCGCATCATCAAAGCCGACTACAGATGACCTGCTGAACATTGCCGACACAATCTTGTTGAATCATGCATCTCCAACTTATGAGCCTTCAAAAAAGAAACACTCAACTTTCCTGTCCGTGGAACCTGAACCTGACAATACTGCTCACCAAAACCTTTGTCTATTGACATGAGACCTGCTATATGTGCTCGAGCTTGTCACAGCAATATCGGATGGAGATTGGGGTCGAATTGAGGATATTCTGGGCTCCTTAGCAATGATATTCCATGGTGCAGGCTCGAACAATTATTGCAGCGAAATCCTGCACTTTCTCTTCAACTTGAAAAAGGTTTGGACACCGGAATTTGCGTACGTGCTGTATTCATACTAGTACTTCAGTTATGATCATACATGCACCATTTCGCTAATGAATTTACAGGGATATCATGCATGATAATGCACTCGTCAACTTCAGTGGTCTTGAAGGCCATAGCATGCCTATTGACCTGAATATCGAGCATCTTATCAAGTTTCTGAAGGTATCATTTAAGCTTCAATTATCTCTGCTGCTCGTATTAGTTCTGATCATAATAAAGCAATTTTTCGCAGCAAAGGGGATTTATTCTACATGGGATCGTCTTGGAGACATCTCTGCAACTGTCAGCCTTCTTCAAGACGTCAAAAAACAAGTCAGACGTGCACTGGGGATCGCTTATAGTGGTCTCACCCACGCATCCCCAGATAGTTCAGCATCAGTTTGGAAGGTTGCAAACAAGATAAATGAGCTCATGCTTCACCAATTCAACTCTGAACGAACAGACAATGATGTGGTGCGACCAGTCACTGATACTCTGATCACAGGCGAGAAGAAGATGAAAGCATTGACATTAGCCACATTCAACCGAAAAGTTCACAACATGTTGGCAGGGGAGCGTTTCAAGCAAGAAGAAGATGAGATTCCAAGGCCATCATTTGACCTGAATGGCAGTGTGGATGACGAGTAGTTGTATTCTATGTCTTCTCATCATTAGGTCTGCTAATACGAGGTTTTTTCACTACTTGTCTGTCTTCCTGAGTCAACTGTCTCTCCCTCGCAAACTCAGTGATCACTCCGAAGATCTTTTGACCATAGCCTTCTCCCCACTCCTCCGTCTCACAAAGAATGTTCACCACGTCGCTCACTGACTTGAGATTGCTTGGATGAGTTTTACTGAGAAGCTCTAAGCTGTTGTCGTTACAAAGCCATGTGATTGGCTGCACGGATTGAAGTGGGTGTGATGCATGTTCTCGTGTACACCAGTTGAACAACTTTTCATATAGAAGGTCACGCTCGCTCCTGTCCCGTAGCTGGTTTCGACGGCGTTTTGTTGGCTGGCTAGTCGCTGCAATCTCTCCAGTGTAGATTGGACCGAGAAAGAAATGGGAAAGGTTAAAGTTGTGATCTGGGCCGTGCCGATCGCAACAGAATGTGGATATGTAGTGGAGAGCTAATGGAAAAATGTCAGTCGCATCATTATGATACAGTTGTCTAAGATCACCAGAGGGAGTCTCATCGTGCAGGTATTTTGCATAAAACTCCCTAAGGCACGTCTTTGATTGAATGTAGCGGAGTGCTGCACAGCTGGTGCGATCTTGTTTTGATGATTTTTTGTTTGTAACTCCAGCGAAAGGCTTGTCAGGATCATTGATATCATTGTGTTCATCAGTCAGCTCGAGTTCAAGTGCCCACGGTTCGACCATCATCAAAAAGAGTCCACAGATCTCATCATCTCGAGCAGCTCAACCTCCACGTTGTCCTGCTTCAGACATGTTGTGAGGAATTCCATATTGAATGACGACAAATACGCAACGGATATCGAGGCCCTTGAAAGTGGACATCAAGCGTCATGATTCAGCAGATTAGTACTATGTGTTCTTACTGTTGATGTGTTAAGACCGTGCACAAAGGGTAGGACTGATTCTGAGGGGCTTGGCTTCAGCTCGTGCGCTGCGCCCCTTACCCAAGTATGTGCCCTTAATTTCAGAATGATGTCCGAAGAAAGTCCAAGGACATCCGAAGGACGCCCGAAGCGCGGGAAAGTTCGGAAGGACTTTCCGGACGAGTGCGGGAAAGTTCCGGAGGAACTTCCGGAAATTACAATGAGGTTTCGTCCTGATATGGATACGTGTAATGGCTACTTAGGACAAGTCCTAAGTAGAAGCAAACAGAGGAAAGGCTGCAAGGACAAAGTCCGAAGCAGAATAGGTCCGGAGGACCGCGGGAAAGTTTCGGACGAACGTCCGGAAACTTCGGAGGATCGGATGAGCGGATAAGCGGATAAGCGGAGCTCTGGCCTAGGGAATTTCTCCCTAGGCCCGAGATGGATATTGACTAAGTCGATAGACTAGAACTGATATGAGGACTTAGAGTGAGATCTAGTGCGAGGACTAATATGATATTCAGACTGAGGAACTACAGGACATATACAAGAGTTTATATACTAAGGAAATAACGGAAAGATCAGTAAGCAAGCGTCCGAGGCTATGTATAAAGCATAAGCAAAGTTATCAAGCACGAGTCGGAAATGAAGCATAGGTTAATGGATCAGTAAGCATACCGGTAGTAAGTATAACCGAGATAACAAGGACAAGGAATACCGAATAGAGGAATAGGCTGTGTTAACGTTATATGCACAGAAATGAATTAGGAAGCTTATCGTATATCGGATCGGATCGGATCGGATCGGATCGGATCGGATCGGATCGGACCAGACCGGACGTCCGGATGAGACGCGTGGATATATGTGCAGGGATCCGGATGGATAGAGGACTGGAGACATGGATAGGGTGTCCGAAGGTCCGGATGAGGCGTGGGAATATTGTCGGATGTAAGTCCGGAATACGGGATATGACAGTTGATGTGCCTGCTGTTGCATGCAGAATCCGACAGCTTCCACTATCTGAGGCGAAGTCCTCGTAAGTTTGTTGAAGGTATTCTGCAGACATGTCACTGTGATAGTATTTCACGACACCCCGATTCTGCAATGCTTTCGGCAGATGTGAGTTGTTGTAGGCTGCAGCGTCCACTGCTTCCTGTTTGTTGTCGTGGAAAATTAAGGTTTTTGGTATGATCATGGGTGTCGTGTAGTTGGGTGGGATGAGACAGTCGAAATTGTGAAAGTTACGAGTACCACCGATCAGAGGAGTAATGGCATACACTATATTGGGTCGATTAGTTGAAAGGGTCAATGAGAGATGGTTGGATGGGACCGAGAGTTCCCATTTGATGACAGAGAGAATATGAGGTGGTAATGTCGCTGAAAGAGCCTGATATATGGTGTCCTTGGCAAGTAGCACACGAAGCTCCCCCAATTTGCTGAATGATGGTCGAAAAGCCTCCTCGCCATGATGCGGAAGTCCCGCTGTATAAATATTATGGGCTTCATCAATATGAACACGCTTGATTCTTTTGATGAAAATGGAGTCTTTGCGTATGAGTTGTGCAAGACGTGGCAGATGACCATTAAACATAAACAATTGCTCCGGCAAAACAATCAAGTGGTTGAAGCGGCCATCACGAATTGACTGTCGGTCACCAAAGTATGTGAGTTTAGATTCCTTGTACATGGAGTCTAATAGCATATCAATTGAACTTCACCTGCCAGAGCAATGCATCATTTGGGGTATCCTCGTTAATTGATATCGTTGGAATGCTGTATTTCAAGCATTCGTTCACCTGCCACAAGCTCATTCTCGCATGCAGTAGTTGACTATCATTGAATTAAGTCTCACCTGCATGTTCTGGAGACGTTTAAGGGGTTAAATTGTCATGCTAATAGTGTCTGGATGAAGTAGAATAGGAATAATGAGACAGAGGGTCTTCCCACAGCCTGTACCAGCTGTAATCCCACTGTCGCGGCCATTTAGTGTTGTGAGAATGGCCTCAAGTTGGAATTGTCGTGGAACTATTGTTGTTGCTGTAAGAACATAAACGAGCAGGCAAGCACGTAGTGCGTCCATCCTATCCTTGTCACCAAGAGCTTCGATGTATTCATTTGGGAGTCGTTCTTGTATCAGTGAACGAGCAAAGGAGTATAGTCCCTGCAAGGATGCTTCTCGCACAGCACGGATGATGGTACTCGTATCCATTGAAGTTGTAGAGCAGATACATAAGTGCAGCTGCGCCGATGCATCAAAATCAAGAATTGATTATTTTGTCATTTCATTTGTTGTGTCAATTTGTTTTTCAAAAGTATCATTATTTGATTGGCTAAAGATCATGTGACGACTCCAAAGCGCGCACTATCCAAATTTAAACCCAGATTTACCAGTCCATCTATCGATGGCTTGCCTCATAGACGGACTGGTCATGAGTCTAGTTGCATACGGGAAAGAAAGACAATCGCTGGAGGCAATACGACTGAAGATGACTTGGGTACAGCGAAACACAAGTGCTTCTGTGTACTTCTAGCAATAATGAAGTGAGGCAAAGGAGGTTCTTGTCGTCCAACAGTCATGGTACTTACATCAATTACTGGCGTCCCTATCATCTCATCCGAAATCCCAACAGCATCTGGCATGTTGACTGCAACATGGGACCCTGCGTGAATCAACATCATCAGATCTCGTTCTGACAAGCAAGAAAGCAGAACAGAACAAAAGAAGAGGCGAAGAAAGAGAAACACTCACTCCAACTCAGTGATTCTCCTCCAAGCCCAACAAACTGTTACAAACAACCACCGGGGCAATTTCTCCCCTAGCATCACCCATTCTTCCTGCCTGATGCACGACCAAGAGCTTCTGCATTCTACACACGCTCTTTACAACAGGTTCTACTAGTATGACCAATGGTGATATCGTCCGGGGATCGATTAGTTTGATGCTGGCGCTGCATAGGGAGGGATGAGTGGCTGGTGGGGAGTCAAGAAGATGGATGGTACATTAGGATGCCCCATGTGAGGAGGGTGATGTCGGATGGAGAGGAGGTGTATTCATCGATGGGGACTTGTTCGACTGTAGGGGATGTGAATAGGTGTGTACTGATATGCACTTTTAGCCATGCCACGGATGTTTCTAACTTTCTAGTATTCAACAGGTGCATTCAGAATCGGTGAGATAACGACGAATAAGATTACAGAGAATGCCTCACTATTTGTCCAACATACAATGTACCTTTAATGAACCAAACGCGTCCTCAACAATCCAGTACACAGCTAACTCATCGTATGCCATGGACTCGGCTAACTCCAGTTCACACATATCGATGGTGCCGATTCCTTTCTGGTACTTTCCTGTTATCTGCTCTCAACTATTTGCCTATAGTGTTCACCCTACATCATGTCCGCTCAGAGGCCAGCCACCCTTTGCAAGATAGCTTGCAAGATATTATTAACTGCACCTGCGGAATCACAGCAACACCTGATAGCGGTCCAGAAGGTCGCAAATCTATCACCTGAGCTCAGCGGCCACCATGATTCAATAACCTTGGACGGATAATGTTCATGTGCCTATACAGGCACTTGATAGCTCCAAGACGTCGCCACAATGCGGTCCAACGAATCAAATTACAACAATAACATACTGTTGGATTGCAGTATGTTTTTTTAGATGCGGAGGTATAATTAGATTTGACTCATCAGTTTGTCGGGTGTTCATTCTACACAGTAACAGGTGATCTGGCGCGGGGGGCAACAGCTACTCACGCTCTTGAAAATTGCTGTAAGCCAGCCTTTTACTTACAGAGCCCATTCAAATCTGCCATTACTTACTGGACAACTACTATGCAACGTGGCTGCGGCACCAAAGATCTTCTGCTTATAAACAGATTCATCTCCATACCAGTCTTGAACTCGGCAACTGTCAAATTCATCGCTACAGTGCCTGAGGCCAAGTCTTGAAGATCTGTGGTAGTGGGTATCTTGACAACTCTGCCGAGCCTTGATATAAATGTTCTATTGGTATCGCTTGGCTAGTGATTGGATCTTATTGCATTCTTCAAAGTGCTCCATTGTGTCCTGCATGCCAAACATAGGTCTGAAGGCGGTAGCTGTAACTGACATGACAGCCTAGTTACCTCTTGAACCATCAGTGGTTATTCAGGTGATCCGTTGCAATGCCCCCGGCCAATGACATCCACAAAACATGCGGAAGACATGAAAGCGCATTCAGGCACTCCGGTCAACCGACAAGTCCCTTTTGGATGGTACCCAGCTTCGAAGAGCTCGTATCGCTGATGGAGAGTGCCTTTGACAGGTAATCAAAATTTCCATTCTACAAGTCCGTAATGCATTCGAGTTGATCGGTGGAGACCTATAGGTGGGAATCTACTTGGGCGTACCAGTACAGGGAATTACTGCCTCGTAGTCGATTATTTCGATCCACGAGATATGTAGACCAACTCTGTGATATAGAGGGCAATACCAGGAGCACTACTTAAGCTGGAGGATGCAATGTATTTCGCTCATCGTCCTCCTACTATTGACTCGAGCATTGAGTCATGTTCCAACTCTATGTATTCCTATGCTTTCTGGCAAGCCTCCAGGGTCGTGCCGCGATTATTGGCCCAGTTTCTGACCTCGTCGTCTCCAATGGCATTGTATCCCCAGACGGGTTCACCAGATCGTCAGTGTTTGCTTAATTTTTGACCCACGTCTTGGCATGTCATCTACATACACTCGATGAACTAATAATAATTTGGTTTGTAGCACAGTTTCGCTGTTATCAGGAGTGCTGGAAGTAGCGCTTATAACTATGTCAATCCCGTCATGCGTGATACAGTGACCACTGGCAACACCGGTGATCGTGTGACTATCCGCTTCATCACATACAACCCTGGGCCTTGGCTGTTACATTGGTAAGTGTTGTACCTATGTCTGTTTAGCTGGCAATGACTTTTTGTCTTGTGAAGCCATATCGATTGGCATCTATCCGCGTGAGTTACTTCTTTCACTGAGCCTAGACTCGAATTAATCATTGGGTCCGTAGCGGACTAGCTATAGTATTCGCAGAGGCTCTCGAAGATGTGGCAGCTTTGCAGCCTTTCAATAGTAAGCACCGAGCACTATGAAATAGACCAGGTCTGACGATCGGCGTTAGATGCTCCAAAGCAGCTCTGTCCGATATACAATAGCATTCCTCAACAGAATTTCCCTCTCCCTCCCGTTGATTGATATTCTTGGTTTATACCTACTTTTGTTCTAGGGAGCATCAAACAGGACATTTTTCAAATGCGATTTGTAGATTCATAATAGGTCGGACACGATAGATAGTAAATAGCCTTCATTCTTAATGTAGAAGCACTGCGTGTTGTCAAAAATTTCCGACGGTAGATACCTGGCTGGAATGTGACCCCAGGGTCAAGTTTTAGCCGTTTCTGGACCTATGGTAGGAACCGGCTTCCAGACGGTTGATTTTCCGGATTTCAATCACCTTGAAGACATCGTTTGGCCATCAAGTTCGAGCCAGCTGCTACCATGGGTCCAAAACGACACCATACGTATATATATAATAAACCGCATATGGTGTACAGATTAATGATTTTAGATATTGTGAATATTGTGAATATGCATTAATATTCCATTTAAATCGCGAATACATGGTAGCTATATATAGGAAATACAATGCTGATGCCACCTGCTCGCTACACCTCTGGCAGCCTGACTATATACTAGACGTATGCACGCACTGGCGAGGCGGGGGCTATACGAGGTATTCATTGGTGGTCAAGATAAAAATCAACGGAAGCCAGACTTACAGAGAAATGATAGAGGTTGTTGGCTTCTGTCAAGGTTGTTTTCTCGCTGTTCTGCATTATGGCTTGCGTTGGTGCTAGCAATTTCAGAGTAAATGAGAGTTGCTCACATTGATATTGACGGAGGTCGCAGCACTGATGACTTTCCCACTCTCGACCTGGGCTCTGGAGCAAGCAAGCGGCAAGCCTATACAATATATAAGCGACTTTCAAGACTATTGATCTTGTCATTACTTACTGGGCCGTGTAGGTTTCGGTAGCCCAGTATGGACCTGGAAAGAGGGCTCATATGTAAGTCGGCAACTTGGCAGCAAGAGAATAGGAACACCCACCCGACTTCCCGAATTTGCTGACCCTGAAACAATTGCAAGGTTTTGAATAGTCCCTAACAGAAGTAGACGCACTTACTTCCAGACTATCAGAAAGAGGCCGTCCAGGTTGGGACTCCAGGCGAGCATGATCGTGACCTCCTTGCCGAGGTCGTTGCTGCGAAACGTTGGATGAAATTTTTGTGCAAAGCGAGATCACGGACACTTACAACTGGAAGGTCAAATTACTGACGAAGGGTCGGGGTGACAAGTAGTTGAGACTGAGTGTGGATTGAAGAGCTCGAGTTCTGTAGTTAGAGTCTCAGTAAGCTAACCGTGATAAGTGAGAACAGGTATGGGCTTAAATATAATATAGCAGTCATCACTGTTGTCGAGCGTCAAGGACAAGGTAAGTTAAGTTAAACTCCGTGCACCTTGATCTGAACACTTACCGTGCGGCACAGCCTTATTCATATATAACCGCATACATCCAACTGCAGGGGTTCACAGCTGTTAAGATGCTGCCTGTGAGCATAGCCATGCTTCTTGAGGTGGTTTCTGGTTGTTCTTTTGGTCTGAAAAGACTTAATGGCTCGCATAGCGAGCATGGGACAGACGCCGCTGGTGTGTCAAGGCCGGCAAAATCAGACTAATAATCATGCTATACAAGTAGAAAGTATCGTGCTTACAGTTCGTTGGCTGGTAGGCATGCAAGATAGCGCGCAACAACCTGTATAACTCATCTGCACACTGGCCTCGTCGGGCGGATGGTCGTTGTTGGAGCGCTAGCGCGTGGTAAACAGATGCGTGCGGTTGGTGCGGATAATAAAACTTCCATAACGGGACTTAACCAGTTGTCCTAGATGACTTATGCATTTGACTCACTGAGCCGCCGACTATTCGTGCTTATATATACACGTTAGCTGCAGGCCATGTACAACTGAGTCCAGGTGGATATAGCTAAAACGTAGATAGTACGCAGGTGAGAGTGGCTCTAAGTTCGAGCCATTGTTGACACCAGTGGTAATTTAAAGTGTCAAAATTTCCGACATCGTAGAAGTTGGCTGATATTTGATGGCTTCGACGTGGCTGAAACCTTAGGTACCCCCAGATTCTCAGCCATCTCTAAGCCGTCGGAATTTTTGGACAACACGCAGTGAAGTGATGTCTGAGCTGTGATCGACAACCAAGGTCATAAGTTCGCACAGCGAACCCCTAGTGACATTGGCACCTATGTAAAGTGTTCCGTAGGTGTAAAAGGAAGATAGCCAATCCCGTACGGTGACACATGTGATACGCCCTAGTTGTCCCATGGCCGTCAAAGGTGCTGCACCTAGGACCTCAGCGGCGAAAAATAGTGGTTGTGTATGCGAGACTCCTGTGCGGACAAGAACTACGAGAGTTCATGCGTACATCCGTTGGATGCGGCTATGCTGCAGTCCAAAGGTGGCAATATGCCCAGAAATTGATAGACACGAGTCATACTACCTGCCTCGCACTTGACCTCTCGCAGCACAAACTAGCGCTCCTACTTCCCCAACTTCATCCGCTTTCTAACAGGGGTATTTGAATCCAGAACAGCCGACGGAACACGTTTCTTGGCACTTATGCCCCACCCGCTCTTTCCAAGCAGCAACACATCAGGCGAAGAGTTTGGGAGCCACGTTTCCCCCTCAGCATCCTCGTCTTCCTCCATTACATTGCCCAGGCTGTCAGAGGAGAAATCAAGTAAAAGGACAGATGCGCCAGGAAGCTCGTTGTCATCTGTGTCAAGCGGCATATGACTCGAGCTCCGCGCAATCGGAGGACTCGAAGATCGCCCAGTGAGGTGTGGACTTGAACTCCTCCCTGTGGTAAGTACGCTCGAACTCCTAGCAATAGGTATAGGACTCGAACTCCGAGCTGACGCATTTGACTTGGCACGGGGAGGCGGTTTCTTCACAGGCGTTGCTGTTACGAGGGTGATCGCTGCGCGAGATTGGGACTGGGAATCGGTGCGCCCAATGATACGCTTAGCGGTTGCAGCAGGCATTTTTATATCTGCTTGTGACACCATAGCTGTCGACCGATCTTTTCCCTTCCATGTACGAGACATGCTGATCTGTCGGGTTAGCGCACGCTGGAGTGCCTTGTCCTGCGTTGTGCCTACGCTTGCTGCACGTTCTTTTTCTTTTTCCTGGGCAAGCGATACGGACAGCGAGCGAGTACGAGCAGGGGCCCTTGTCGCTACACCACTTTGTGAGCCTGTTGCAGCCGACGATGAATGATGAGAACGAGACCCATGGAGTGATTTCTCTGTAGATGGCCCGGGAGAAGGGGGTTCGTCGGAGAAGGGAGAGTTTGGGAAGAGTTTGGAACGGAGGAGGGCACATTGCTCCGGGAGTTTCGATTTGAACCTGTAATGATTAGATGGTCAGTATTGTGATTTATATATACGCAAGGTGGTCACTCACAGTGGTCCAACTACGTCCTCGCAAAACTTTTGCATCCAGTCACGTCCATTCTTGTTGTGACTCATAATCTCACTGCGAGATATATTCATAAGTGATACCAGCTGCCACATTGAGAGTTTGTCCATGAAGGACTCGAGGCGCTCGATCGAAGACGGGATGATCAAGTTTGGTTTTTCCTTCTTCTTTTTCCGTGAACGGTTGGGTTTGACGGGCGAAACAAATGAAATATTATTCGTGGGTGGCACTTCGACAGGCGGTAATGGAGTGCATGGTCCAGGAAGAGAGAGCTTGAGGAAATAAAGCAGGATCTGAATCTGAACTCTACAAAGTCGTTATGATGCGCCCAAAAGCAAGACAAAAGCACTTACTCACGCTGCTCCATGCGCTCGAGCCAACCTGACCTCCATTTCTCTTCTAGCATCGCGCTGTCTTCTCCGGTGAGGTGTTCGCCACGCTCTGCGCTGCCATCGACTTTCTCGTACCCCAAAGCATACCACATCATGCTCTCCTCTGCTTCGCATGCACCGCCTCCGTCTGCGAGAATCTGAGGAAGCTCATTATGGTACTTGTTCGCGGCTGCGCGAAGAGAAAGAAGGAGAGGCTCGATAAAGGCGTGAAGAGGATGTGGCTGGTCTTCTGCGAGATTAGGAGTGCCTCGTATGCGGAGAAGAGATGGAATGAAGAGAGAGAGCGGCATTATTGACTATAGTGTTGTTAGTAAATATATAGAACAGTTAGAGAAGGACGTACATGAGGAAGCCATAGGAAGTGAAGGTAAGTGCGCTGGACAAAGAGGGCTGGGTCTGTTGGATCATGATCTTGAAACGGGTAGTCTCTGCTCAGACTCTTTTCCTGGGCAGCGGTCCATTTGAATGAGGCTGGCGTATGCAAAACAAAAGCTTGCTGAAGTGACATCGGCGATCCTCAGTGTACTTAAGTCAATGAAACGCGTCGCACGTGACCGCGTTCAGTTCATATTCTTGTTCGGTAATTTCCTTACTCATGTATGGTGGACAGTCTCGAAATTACTCCTGCGATGGTCCCGAGTACTATCATGCTGCGTTTTTTTCTTTCTCACTCACTATGTAGGTTGGGTGTTTAACGTTTGAATGTGGTCGTCTTTTTACCAAAGTAGATTTCACAAGACATCGTGGCTACCCGGAATTTTCATTGTGTCTAACCCTGGCCAATATAAATACGAATTCTGGTTTACATCAAGTACTAGTACAAGTCGGGACTGACGATGTTCTAACACCCCTTGCGAATCATTGCCTATTTTACAGCTGAAAAACGATAAGAAATGATAGTAGAAATAAACTTGGGCAGCAATATATCTCTTAGATGCATGTTAGTCGTAAGTGTTTAAATACATGAGTGATCGATTGATCCACCAGGTATATAATAACTTACCTCTCTGGTGGACATGGTTAGGTTCAGCATTATCACGCCTAGAAGGCGAGTCGGGTGAAGTCAGGGCTGCAGTTGGGTGGCATTTCTGGTGTGGGGTATGCCACAGCAATAGTGACAAAGCTTACGAGGATCGTGAAAACAAGTGAGGGCTGCATGGTTGGAAGTAAGAAGAGTGAGCGTTGTTTCGAAAGCGTACTGCTTTTATACTTTATTGTGCGAAGTTCTTTCGTACTACCTGAGGAGAACAGGGGGGAAAGCAGTCGTATGCCCATGTCAAAAATAAAATATCGGCTGTTGTATGTCCCAAATCCTGCCTGATGATATGATCAGGACGATTAATGTCTGTACGCCTCCATGGATCATCCCACTGCTTCTTGGCTGCTTGCTTTGATAGTCTCTTTCCCTTATCTCCTCTTCTTCTAGTCCCACACAAAATCCCTCACCTGACTCTTGAACCACGCTTCCTCTTCGCGTGGAAGAGGTTGTGCCCCATGCACATGAAGCACCCTAAGCGGACGCACACCGTCGTCTAGCTCACAGACGTCCTTCCATGAATTCTCCTGCCCCACAGCCTCCCTCCGGCTGCTGACCATTGCCTTCAGTATCATCAAAGGTACCTCCATGACGAAACCATCCCTCGCTATTAGTTTTAACATGGTGACACGGGGCCACAGGGAACAGTTATGACGAGCGAAAGGTGCACCGAGGAAATACAAGATGATCTTGATGCATGAGGAATGGCTGTTCGCGATGGTAACAGTATCACCATTCCACGGGCGTGTTTTAGGTATCCACCGCAAGCTACGTGTGGCAGCGCACCTATCTAACTCCAATGAATTTGAGCGGGGTAGCGATAGGCGACCAAGTCCACGGATAGAATCGCATTCCTGGAGAACGATGGTTTGACAATCACCATTGAACGTAGTATTTAGAGTGTCGTTGATGCATCTGCGCAGGATTACTTTCTCTGCCCAAATTGTGATTGTGATGGTGCAGGAGACCGTGTGAAACTGCAGGTCGTCGAGAATGAGGCAAGGTACTTGCCGCGGTATTGCCTGCAAGGTTTGACAAAGCGCTATGGATGCCGTCATATTGATCGGAGAGCCGCCGTAAATGGTCAGGACCTCAATGTGTTGCATGTTATTCTTGAACCACTGGAGATTGAGGTGACAAGCTATATTCTTGTCGATATGAAGGGTCCTAAGGGCGGGACACACCAATTTTGAACACGGTTCCAAGCGAGTGGCATAACGATAACATCCAACATCTGTCAATCGTAAACAGTCGAGCTGGGGCGCATATCCCGCCAGCGCGTCCAAGTCGCTGTATTCATTGAAGACCCCAGTGATTATGAGGCTCTTGAGTCGTTGAAGATGTAATGAAATAAAGGGTGGGGGAAAAATTCTGCCCAGGAATTGATCTTTGATTATAAGATGGACTGGGTAACTCCCCATCTTCTGTAGCTGGGAGCTTAATCACTGGTCGTTCATGGACGGTGCCCAAGATATCCGAGTCCACAGCTCCGGCATAGAAAATACAATGTTTCGCCAGTGTCTGCACACCAAAGCCATGGTGTGAGGGAACGGCATGCCTCCTGCGAGCATACGGTGCTCGTTTTTAGGGGTCGCCATCATATCATCTTCGACCATACTTTCAAGTATGATCTTGAAGATACTGCACATCGTCTCTGTGGGAAGCGATTGAAAGGAGCGCTGTGTCATTTTGCCGTTGACTACTGGTAACAGTAGAATCCTAATGAGACGAGGAAAGAAACCTTTGGAGTATAGACCTACCTCGACCAAGCGCTTGTGTTCCTCAGGGGTTTCAAATTTCAAATCGAGCGTATCTGTAGTTCGCGTCCAAATAAAGCCAAATACTCGCGGTGGCACAGTACTGCAGTAGTGCGCATGCGATTCTTCATAAGAAAAATCGACCTAGACACCTACCTGTCACGGCGAGACAACACTTGGGTGATAAGAGGCCGTGTGTGAGGCTGAGAGCTGCAATGAGATCAAAGTGATATTGAAGACCAGCGAGGTATTACTGTAAATTGAAATTACAAACTCGTTGCTACATACCGTTCCAATGAATGACCCGGGTCTATCAATTCGAAAGCTAAACAGCAATACTTCATAGTAATGCAAGAAGAAAAAAACCAATACCTCTCTCGGATATATTGCCTAGATGTAGCGCTTTTCGTCCTTGAGACGGTAAACAAAAGCCTCTGGTGTGACAGGTGTTATACATAGTGATCCACCAGGCCTGTAATGACTTACTTCTCTTGTGAACACGGTGAGATCCAACGTCCTCGCGCCCTGTGTCGTCGCTGTCACTGTTGTCGCTTTCGTCTGTTGAATGAGAGACGGTAGACTTGGAGTCGCGGGAGTTGGGGCTTCTGTTGGGAACGTAATGAGACCCAACATCCTCGCGCCCCGTGTCGCCGCTGTCACTTTAGTTGGTTGAATGAGATACGGAGGACTTAGAGTCATGGGAGTTGGGGCTTCTCTTGTGAACGCGATGAGATCCAACGTCCTCACGCCCCGTGTCGCCTCCGTCGGTTGAGTCAGAGACAACGGATTTAAAGTCGACGCGGGAGCTGGGACATCTCTTGTGGACGTAGTGGGATCCAACATCCTCACGCCCCGTGTCGCCACTGTCACTGTTGTCTATTGTGTCAGACCTTCTCTTGTGGGCATGGGAAGATTCAGCCTCCTCGCGCATCCCGCGCTCCTCACTCCCATCATAACCTAGATGTCGCCCCTATTCTTCTCGCCTTAACGTGACTCGAGATACGGTAGCATTGCAGAAAGTGTGCCTAACGCGAGGCGGGTGCCCTGCAACTTTTCGATGACAGTCACGGTGATGGACGGTCAATAATGGGCTAGTCGCGTATATTTCTTTTGGAGAAAGCGCTTCCCCCCTATTGATACCGTGATAGCTTTTCCAAGAGTATTACAGGTTCAAGCCTCAGGCCTCAGGTGCAATGGGATGTCACGATGTGCTACACGGTGTGATGCTTGTCTGGTTGAGGATCATCGATAGCGGTAGGCTGCCAAGACATAAAAAATACCATGCAAAGGCGCCTGGCTTGCGGTGACAGCAAAATCAATTGGATAACTGTTAGCAGAAGATATGCGGACGACGAGGAAGCAGTCTGGAACCAAATATCTGCATAAGAACAATTGCTTAAAAGATATTTTGGATACCTCGTGAAGATACTGCTCCCAACGTGGGCCTATGGGCTTCCTTGTTAACCTGGTAGACTCGAAGACGTTCAAGTTGCTCTTCAATTGGCTTCAAGTACTATGATAGTGCAATTTTCTAGCCACCATAGTTATTTGCAACTGTTTGGTACACTGGTTTCTTTCTAACCATACATTTGAACGGCTACTGGACCGCGATGGACTCACCAAAACGCACAGGCTCGCCGTCGTCAACGTCAGAGGCAAAACGAATCAAGCTCACAGTTCCTCAGAAAAGTCAAGGCGCTTCCCCTGTAGAACCTGAGTCCGCTCCGGGAAAGCGCAGCGAACTTGACCCAATTCAAGGCGGGGATATTGGCAACCTTCCACCTGATACTGGCGAACCTACGTCAGCAGAGAATGGCTCGGGTGTGATTAGGGTGCTGAAGGAGGGAGAAGGAGATGAAGATGCTGGAGACGTGTCAATGGGGGAAGCAGCTGATGAAGAGGCGGAGTCCGGAGACGACAACGATGATGAAGACCCTGCACAACTAGAGGCTACTCGCTTGCGACTGGAGGACCAAGCAAGAAAGTACCTCGCCGCGCAGACACACGATGTTATCATTCCGTCCTACTCTGCATGGTTCGACATGTCCAAGATTCACCCTGTCGAACGACGCGCGCTCCCAGAGTTTTTCAACTCAAGAAACCGTTCCAAAACGCCCTCCATATACAAAGATTACCGTGACTTTATGATTAATACGTATCGTCTACGGCCGACAGAGTACTTGACTGTCACCGCATGCCGGAGAAATTTGGCAGGCGACGTGTGCGCCATAATGCGCGTGCATGCATTCCTGGAGCAGTGGGGTTTGATCAACTATCAGGTGCGAAGGGCAGAAATGTTATCTGAGCACTTTCTAATGACTAAGTACTCTGAAGATCGACCCAGAAGCGCGACCAGCCGCGCTTGCACCACCTTTCACCGGCCATTTTCGCGTGGTCCTCGACACGCCTCGGGGCATGCAGTCATTGCACCCCGGGACTCGCCCTACTATCACACATCCAATGAACGGTGCCCAGAAGCCACTACAGCAACACAGCGGCTCCGGTTTGGCGTCACTTGAGCTGCGAAATTCAATCTACCAGACGACATCCAAAGCATCACGCGCGGTAACTTCTACCGAGGCGAATGCGCTCGCGAACGGTGTGTCGTCGAAAGGGAACATGTCGTACCAGTGCGATACATGTGGGACGGACTGCACCGCATTGCGGTATCACTCGTTAAAAGTTAAAGATTTCGAGCTGTGTGGTCCGTGCTATCTCGATGGGCGATTCCCGTCGACGATGTTTAGCGGGGACTTTGTGAAGCTCACATCTAGTCCGCCTGGTGTAAGCCATGGTGGGACTGACGACGACTGGACAGACCAGGAGGTGCTCCTGTTACTGGAAGGTATCGAGATGTTCGACGATGACTGGAGTGCAATCGAAGACCATGTGGGAACGCGTACATCTCAGCAGTGTATCAGGAAATTCCTGGCTCTACCAATTGAGGACCCATACGTAGCCTCGGAAGGCGACACGGGTCCACTAAGGTTTGGGCGGATCCCTTTCGAACAGGCAGACAACCCTGTGATGAGCGTGGTAGCCTTCCTCGCTGGTGTTGTTGGTTCAGGGGTTGCCGCTGAAGCCGCAAAGACAGCCATGCACGCTTTGACAGACGGTGCCCCAAGGGAAGGCATCGAGAATACACTTGACGAGAAAGGAGAGAAAAAGGGTGCAGAAGGTGATACTGCCATGGACGAGGATGCTCCCTATGCATCTACGGCGGTGAACTTTGAACCGGAGACCAACACTTCATCAAATACAGAGGGGGCAGAAAACGTATCCACCGACACCACAAAACTGGCAAAGCTGCAATCCAAATTACCCCAGTCTCACGCCGTGCGCGCCGCTCAGCTTGCTCTCAAGTCTTCTGCAAAAGCTGCTCAGAACCTAGCAGACGCTGAAGACGTACATATCCGCTCGACCCTTTCGTCTCTCATCAAACTCACGCTTACAAAACTCGAGCTTAAAATGTCTCAATTCGAGGAGTTGGAGGAGGTTTTGGAAGAAGAAAGGAAAGGTCTTGAAAGCGCCCGGATGGCCCTTGTAAATGAACGTGTTAACCTCAAGCGTATGCTTGATGGTGTGAGGAGTGAACTGGCGAAGAACGGTCGGATATCCATCCCTCCAACCAACTTGGGTACCACGGGTCAGGGGACGATTGCGACTGAAGTATCATCCAGCACTCAGCTGGAAGGGGATGCAGGGCCTCGGAATGACGGGGAGTTTGCCCAGCTAGCGTGATGGAATAGGACGATATGTTAATTATATTCGTTTGTGTGTTTGACACAGCCCTGTTGTCCTCTTACGTAGCTTTATCTTCTCTTAAGTGTATGATATACTAATTATTTTCTGACGCCTGAGTCGAAGTTCGTTATAATTATAACGGGTCGTGCCTCAGGCGTGGGGATGTGGGGATTAGTGCGTAGTCAAATTTGAGACTCGAGACAGCCATTGGATACTTTTAGTTCTCGGAGCCCGGGCACTTGCCGTCACAACTACTTTCATATCTTTGTGCAGTGACCATGGATACTTGTTAGCAAGCAGCGAATTTCCGAATCCCCTGCTATTCAGGATGTATTCCGCCCGAACAAAAGACGGGACCCTTTTGTTCGTACAGTTCCACAAGTAAGTAGAAGCGGTAAGAGGACAAAACAAAGAAATCATTCCGATATGAAAGCAGCTGAAAAGGATTGCCTATATGTATTCTGTCGGCCATCGCAGGATGCATATTTCATCGAGAAAGTAAGGAGACTAAATAGCAATAAAGACGAGACAGTTAATAGTCAAACGACTTGAATAAATTATCTTGCTGGAGTAATGTATGGTAGAAATACATCGTGGCATCTGCCTTCAATCAACCGAACATCCAATCGTCGTCCAACCGCATGAAATGCCTCAGACACGAATTTTCCGCAAAGTCTGGGCCAATTTTCAGTATTGCCAGGGTCTAATCATGACGTATTATCGCACCGAAGCTATCGTTTGGATTGCACGAGCAGTGTCCTTCCCGCCATTGTCTGCCCTGGGGACAGTGAGAAAATTCAGCGTGTTTATAACCTTCGGACGGATCAGTTATGGCTACGAAACGATATGGCCGAAGCTTACCTATATCTTTGAAGAAATGCAGTTGATCCTTGCGTGTGAACAAGGCTGCGGCGATGCTATGAACAGGTGCATCTCCCCATCTCTGTGTACGGTCAGGATGACACGAACAGAAAAAATATTTAACTTGCCTCATAGTAAAACCCTCCTGTATTCTCGAGATAGTTGAAGAATTTTGTGTAAGCTTCGCCCCTCCAGAAGTCCATATCGGCAATTTCAAAGTTTGACCAAACTGAGTGAGGAGCATAAGTGACTTTTCCCAACATGATATTGAACAGCTCTTACAGTGACACATGTTGTAAGAATCGCCTGCATCGTCGGATATAAAACTCATTGAGTTGTTTGGTGACACATATTCAGGGTGGTCCAAAATGAATTCTGGGAGATAGGTTCATCTTCGGCCTACAGAGTACGATGCTTAGTGCTTACCTTTCACCACGGACCACAACGAGATTATAGTTGATTCCCATTCTGTTCAGAACACGTTTTATGCTATAAAAGATATGGCAAGAATGTCAATTTACCTGGCATTGAAATGGTGAAGCCTGGGCCGTGGGTAAATTTAGCAGCTGGATCACTGTACCGGGGATCTCTCACCATAAATTTTGTCATGATCTTCCATGAATACAAAAGGGTCATATTCAAGGTCACAGTAGAATCTCACGTCGGGTCTATATAATGGGTCAGCACTTAATTCGTCTGGTACGCCGAACGACTCACTCTACTCTCCAATACCACTTGTATGGCGTTAAGAGCTCATGACGGAAAAAGAACTACATAGAGAGGTTAGCGTAAACGAAACATCCCTTCCAAACACACAGCACCCCTGAATTAAACCGACACATATTACGGTAACTAATGGCCAAGGATGAGGACGCGGCCTGAATAAGTTACACGGAGATACGCACGAAACACTGTCTGTAGTTTCAATGGTAAGATGTTGACGACGATCTGATCAATGGACTTACCGCCATAAATGACGCCATCCTGTGTTAGCATATTGCGTCCCCTCCGAGCTCGTTCTTCGTCTATCCAGGGTGGTTGCACCCAAGTTTCGTGAGGGATGAGCCCAAATGATACATCGCCGTTAGTCAATACTTTAACACGCCTGAAAATGCATGATAAACCAACTGCACTAATGATGACATGGTATACCTTTTGAACTCGTAAGAGAAGGGTTCGTCGTTCAAAAACACCCAGGGATAGTTGAATTTGCGATTGAATTTTGCCTCCAGCTGTTCTACACTGGATATCACGCCATCGAGATCACTGTTGCGCGCCAGCATCAACAACGTAGCATTGGCTCGGTGAGAAGTAGAAGGGTCGTGTGGAATGATATTGCCAAAGGAGTGTGATGGTTTACTCTCTGCGGAAGGAGCCAAATCGAGTAGGGTCTCGTCCATCTGTTCGACATCCAAAACACCCGTAGAATCCTTGTATATCGACCGTTCTGTGGACAAAATTTTGGAAGACAAGTAGCCGCCTTGAGGACTAACAGTCATAAAATAACACACACACGACTATACGGGAATCTGAGGTAGGGCGCGGTACGGGATATGCCTTTGACATACCACAATGATTAATGCGATGATGATAGATCTACGATGTGACGCGAACGATATAGGAAGAGCCGTGTTTCGGAAGAGAATCTGCATTTTAACACGACAGCAGCAGGCGAGTGTCGACAACCTGGGGCTGAATGAGGTTCAGTGAGGGAACACTATCCAATTCTAGTCAAATAGCCTGTTGTGAAGCTCGGGGAACCGAACTTAAAAGAACTTCCTGTGACGTAGAGTTCTAACTTCTGAAAAATATATTATTACGAGTATTGCCTTGTCGTATGTTAACGCACCTATATCGTGTCAATGAATAGCAGATGCATTCTGGAAACAGGAGAAGGACATTGTACATAGCTGGTCTAAATTGTTTACTTCAAGTCTACACCAATCATTCAATATGATGGCCGGGATTCTAGTATGATACTCACTGCAGCCTGAACTTTGCTTGAACTGTACCGCCGTACGTAAAGAGAACCTTATGTAAGTGACTAATAATACTTCCTTTTCAGGAGCGGGTCAAGGTTTTACTCAGACTCTTACCACCAGGACCAGCTCATGATTTTCGTACTTCACTAGGTGAAAAAGACAGAGTTAGTGCTGCATTTTGCATGGCAACATGGATACTTGGCAAATCACCTTGGCTGCATGCTAGCCGTGTGCGCTTGCGCCTAGATTTTCTTCCTCCAAAAGTTTGGTCTCAAGCACGCAACAGACTCAATACGTCTCTCGCTATTTCAACGCAGTCACCATCATCCATCGAGGTCGAACACATGCCTCTTCCGCGTCAAGCACCTGATGTGTCAGTGTTTGAGGAGATGACTGCCGAATATACCTTGGCTGTGTCCCAGAATTCGTCCGTATTCACGCCCCAGACATCTTCTGGCACTCTCGTAAATCTAATACGTACAGCGGACTACGCAGCCGCGGAATCGTTGCGGAAAGAGATGGTAGATATAAAGATACCCATTCAACCGCATGCCATTTATGAACGGGCAGCGAGAGCTGTTCTTCAGGCGAAGGGGCTCAAAAATCGAGAGGAAGCGTTTTCTGCATGGCTTTCGTTGGTGCCTACAGCAAAAGAACAATGGAGTTCATTCAAGGATATCCGCCAGCAGCTCTTTCGTGGATCGAATTACCTTAACATCTCACTCATCATGCGGTTCGGTCTCATCATGGCTTCAAAAGGTTATATCACCGGCGATGCACAGTCACAAGTGTTGAACACCCTTGCGCGCTATGCGAGTCCTCCCACGACTGAGAGGTACATTTTACAACTGGAAGCGGTGGTAGATTCTTTCTCGAAATCCGGTCAAGTAAAAGTTACTCCAGAACAATGGGCAAGCATCTACAGCCTCGTCATCAGAAACCAGGTCCTGGCTGGCCGAGAGGAGCATGCCCTTCAGCTTGCACGCGTCGCTGCAACACGCGAACGTCAAGTCACAGACTTTACGTTTAGACTCCTCCTAGAGCACTCCCCAGACGAAGCATTTACAGCCAGCGTTCACGAATTACGCCAGCAAATATCCAGCAATCCTTACAGCATCCCAGACGTTTGGTATAAGCAAACTTGTTCCCGCACCGATACCCTTGCGTTGACTTCCCACCTGCGTTATCTCCGGCGTGCTATCATCTCGACGAACCCTCCCACTTCTTATTTCCTTTCCAACTTCATGAATGCCTATCATGCCACCGGGCGTACACGCGCCACGCTCGCTTTGCGGAAAAAAGCGTTCCAGCACTCGCACAAAGCCAAATCCCTATGGGTCATGGCAGAGATGCTTTATCACCGTTCCCGCAACGAGCCCCAACTCGTCCTTGTGGTCTTTGCATATCATTTCCACATGATTGGTGTCCCTCGCAGAACTATTTTGAAAACCATGAGGTTAATATCCAAACGCCGTGCTCCGCTTTCCCAAAGAACATCGCTTCCAAAGCACTTGCTAAACTGCCAATACGATATCTCAGAGAAGCTATGGCCGACACCCTATCACACCGCCCTCGTTTGGGAAGCTCTCGTTTGGTCAACGCCAGAAAGCGACCACGAGCGCATGTACAAATATCTGCTCTCCGTCGCAGATTCCAGCACATCGCAGAAGCCCATTTTCTCTCCAGACTCCAAATTCGCACCATCATTGCTGCAGCTTCCAAAGCGCGCAGTTGACGCGGCCCATTTTTCGCCTTTTGCGAAGTTGCACGCGAAGCGCGGCCGGCCGGAGCGGGCTGCAGGCGTCTTGAGAGATATGATGAAGTTTGGGTTGAGCCCTGGGGTTGTGCAGTGGAGTATTGTGGCAAGGGGGTTTGCTGAGTATGGGGATCCGGCCGTGGCGGTTTCTATCATCAATCGGCTTGAAGAAGATAATGGATCGCAGGATCGGGCAGGCGTGAGTGGTGATCATGCGGACCGAACGCCGTCGATTCTGGACATTGGGCTTTATACGAACGTGCTTAGAGGGTTCGTCCTTGCAAGGTGTTTGGAACATGCTCAAGATATAGAGAGGAGGATTCGACAGAGATTTCAGTATATTGATGGCGAGTTGAGGGCCACAGATGATGCGCTGCGTCTGCTGCGGAACCTCGAGAGACAGATGGCGAGTTGATAGAGGCGGTACGAGTATTTCCAGACTATTCTAGCGTAGATGTTCAATATGTTTCACAGCTTGTCGTCCTAGGCGCCATTCAAATCAAGCTGCGCTGTCACAACGTCGCACCATAGATACCTCCTATCCTACACGATTTACATCTACACGGTAATAATTGAGTGAAATAGGATAATGTGGGCCCTAATCTCGATACTAGCCGTGAAATCAACCACCGGGATGTGCCCGTTTATGAACCACGCGGAACGATGTTCAGAAGCATCCTGGTTCATACTACTCCCGCGGACTCAGCAGTCGATTCTCCCTCTCAAAGGCATGCATCAGACTACCCAGGACGACGGTAGTATAACGCCACTGTGGTATATAAGCCTCCTGGTTTATCCGAGTCAACTTCATATTTAAACTCCATTATATTATAGGATAATATGTATGCCCCATCCATCTGTCAATTGATCTCCATTGTCCATGTCTACGCCTTTCCCCAGTGATAAAACTGCAAAGCAGGCCCCCGAAAGCGTCCCACAACCCGTCAAAGGCGCTGAAAATCCCAGCCTTGTCGACCCCTCGGATGCGCTAGGTTTTCCCGAAGGTGGTTTTACCGCTTGGGGCACAGTGCTAGGCGCGTAAGTGCATCTGTCCACCTACCGATCGCTGTATACTCATCATCAACCGCGGCCGTTATAACGTAAGTTCCTTGATCCAATTCTGTGGCTTTGGGTAAATTCAACTCGGCATTTATGGGCCCAAACTGATACGTGCCAGATATAACGGCGCCTACGGCGTCTTCCAGGGCAAGCATATTTGTGAATTATCTTACGTGGACGAACTGATCACCATGATATGCAGACTTTTACACTCAAACATACCTAACCAATTCCACACCATCTGCAATCGCGTGAGTAAGCTCTAGATCTACCTAGGCCGTTTCTTAGCTGCTAGTAGTGTTTCTGACTTCTACCGCGGTGTAGCTGGATAGGAAGTGTTAATGCGTTCTTGATATTATCAGTTGGTATCGTGTCAGGAAGGATGGTTGACCAGGGCGCATTGTATGTGTGCAAGAAGTCCGCATAAAGATGTCCCTGATCATATGTTTTCAGTTACTCTGTGATGAGAATTGGTTGTCTCCTCCAATGCCTCTTCTTCTTGATATTGTCCCTAGCGAAACCAGATGAGTATTATCAAGCAAGTCTCGTTTCTGTTGATGCGCAGCTCTGTTGACCGTATTGTTGTGCATGTAGATATTCCTTTTCCAAGGTATCGGTCTCGGTATTGCAATAGGCCTCACAAATGTTCCGTCCATCGCCATAGTATCGCATCACTTCCAGCGACGCAGAGCTGTTGCGATGGGAATTGTCGTTGCGGGGTCGTCACTGGGTGCGATCTTGCACCCTGTCATGCTCAACAATCTTATCAATGGAAGGCTTGGCTTTGCAAATGGTGTCCGTGCAAGCGCGGCCCTGAATGGTGGCCTGCTTTTTATCGCAAATCTCTTGCTGCGAACAAGGCTTCCACCGCAACCAAAGGCCGTCAGCTACACCCGCGTTCTGCGAAACTCGTCGAGAGATGGCGCTTACATGTGTGCTTGTGTAGGGTGCGTAAGCTTTGCAATACTCGATGATATGAACATTAAAGTTTCTTTCACTGGTTAGGATGGCTGCTTTTGAATTTGGGTACTTCTTCGAAACCTTTTATCTTCAGTTAGATTCCACCCTGCATGGTCTAAGTCAAGGATTTTCGTTTTATTCAGTGCGTATCAGAGACTACTCAAATAATCAAGAACTGCTTACCACTCCGACAGCTCACAATTTTTAGTTCTGGTTCTTTCATCGGAAGACTTACTGTGGGTTTTGTCTCTGCCTACGTGGGCATCAGGGGGCCGTTCTGGAATCACGTATCTGGATTGACCTGATTGACCGGTCAGGTCCACGCACAAACTTATAATACCACAGGTAAGATTGCATGGAGACATTCAAGATGAAGAAAATATTGCAGGCAGTCTAATTTACCTGCCCCCACATCGCTGCCACCACCTCAGCCACCACCGCCGCCGCCTCCACATCCACCACCCCCACCTCCTCCTCCACATCCGCCACCACCACCTCCTCCGCATCCACCACCACCTCCTCCACAACTGACTCCGCCACCACCTCCGCAAATAACCGCACTATGTGAAGTATCAATAGAACAGCTGCCTGCACCCTATAAGCCTGGTATCAACACACCTCATTCTCCAAACACAACAACAACACTCACCGTCGCACACCCCGAACCTCCATTCACCACCGATCCAGCAGCAGCAACGCATCCACCAGGGTAGTACTGAAACATCGGCACAGGATATAAAAATGCAATCCCATGATCAACATTCTCATATCTCTCCACAGCCTTCCCGTTCCGCTCTTCCCGCAGCTTCCTTTTCTCTGCCTTGCGTGTACGGTTCTCCCTGTGATGTAGGCTTGTGTATGTGTTATTTAGGACAAACACGGCGTTGTGATCGCTTGGGTGCGTAGCAGCACATGTGTCAGATTTGGGAGGGAGTAAAAGCATGCTGCTGGTGGTTTGAAAGGAGATGAGACGTCGGAGCTTTTGGCCGATTGTGTCACCTGGCAGTGGACACCCGCAGTGCATGTAGGGTACGTGATAATGGTCCTACGATTCAGAGTTTTAATGGGGATATCGAATTCCAAGGAACTATAGCTTACGTTCCAAGCACGACAGGTGAGGTCGAAGGAGGTCGCGAGGTGACCTTCTTCTACTTTATCATCGCTGAAAAATGTATATTCGTTATGTGTGTTCCGTATTGTACTCGTGACAGCACCTACTGATCAACATGTCGTCCTACGAGCGAGAGGCAGTCCATTTGATACTGACTCGCCATGAGTTGATGAGTATGCCACCCGAGATCGATGTCGAGCGTGGGCACGAGGAATGAGTCAGGAGACTCTGCCATGATGTTTAAAAAGCTGTAGAATAATGTTCCTGTGATGTCTGTAGAAAAAAAGAAGCATGCACGTACGCGTGATACCGAGCTACGCAATGTTGCAGTGCCACTGCGTCCACCTCGTTAGCGAAATATCCTGGCTCGGTCCACCCAAGGTTGACCATCTTCTTCACAAATGAGGCTTGCCGGAGGACCTAGATTCATATATCAGTCCTTGAACATGATCAAAGTTGAGGGTTCACTCACAGCACCGACCAAATCGAGTGAAAACACCCTGTCGTCCGTGTAGGCACCCATTATCTTATTCCACCTGTTCTGTTGAGAAAACGTATTCACTGCAGCAAAAATAGGACATACCATATTGGCTTCAATTGTACGTTCAGCGCGCGACGCATGAGCGCAGTGTCATACTGGACGTTTGTCAAGATCTGGTGCGTGGGTTCACTTGCCTTATTCTTCTGGCAAATGACATTTAAGCTGAGGATGCGCTTCTTGATCATGTTTGCGTGTGCAGTGTCGTGGGTGCTATGTGGTGTATGAAGAGTTCCACTATGTATATGAAATTATATTAGATGTCATACAAGACGGTCAGCAGGGCGACACCCACGCCAAATATGCATCAGGTGCTTCTGATTCGACTATGTTTTTCACAAACTTGTGAAGGCCGAGAAGTTCTTTAGTAATCGGCTTAGCGCATATGCAGTCGATGGTAAAGTCGCTCTGGGTATATCCCTTCCCATCAGGCTTGAAGAACGCTATGGCTGGGTATCAGAATGGATTCCCATGCCATGAAGGCAGAAGGAACATACGCGAAAGAATAGTGCGATAACAGTAAGGGCACTCGATAGATTTGTGTGTGAGATACGCAGCAGATGCGAATGGATCATACGGTAATTTGGTACTGCGTTCCCAAGCAGAGACGCGTCCATGTTGTGGCGCGTCAGTGGTTAACAGACCAGGGTTAGCCTGGCAGAATGTTCAGCGAGCTCTGGACATTATTCAAAGTGTTGTGTCGTACGAGAAGGTTAGGAAAGTAATCAGTGAAATGAACGAGAGGTTTGAGCTTGGAGATCCGCGTGGTGTCTTCCGCATACCAGCTGCGGATGTGACCAAAAGACGTAAAGTTCGTCATTAATGAGGAATTAGAGACGTGCTTGCCTCGGATTCAGAAGGTAGGCGTGCCACACCATAATGACATCGATTGGAGGTAAATGTTGCTCTACTGTGTCAGATTGCTTGATTGTCAGACACCACCTCTCAAACCTGTGGTCCACCAGTGCGGTGAGTTAACAGTGCAAGCGCACGCAGAACGCTAGTAAGGCACGCACCGTTCAACAGCCAAATTGACAAACCATACCCAGCGTTTCTCGCTGTCCGACTCTAATCCCGCAATAAGGCTCTCGCTGGCAGCGACGCGCTGCTCAAGGTGGCTGAACGCTGCCAGAAGCTGAAGATGGGCCCTGAGCTGATCTGGGCGGATGAGGTGTCGCGTGCTACGTTGTCCGATGTTAAAGGTCTCTGGAAGAGTATACTGTGGTGGTTCGGGCGATAGCTGGGGAAGCGTAGCATGTGGGGGGCGCTGCTCAGTCATGTTGGAGACTGCTGTGTGGCTCCTGGCCGGTATATATACCTATCGGAAGAAGGACGCCACCAATTATGGGTGCAGTACTCGACAGTTTGATAACTTGAGTTAGTGCAGTACGCCTATTTGCAACTTGGAATGACTGCATGATCCGAGTTGCCTAAAGTTTGAGGCTATACTGTCATAAGTATTGATACAAAGCCAGGGATGGTAGAACGGTACTTACCTAGGATTGCCAGCATACCGTGACATGTATGCATACAGATGGAGAATCAAGCATACCTAGTAGGAATGTCTTGGTAAGGGCGGCCTAGGATGTACCGAAACCGTTTAAGGTTTCTTTGGGATGTGACGGACTGTCGGCCTATGTCTTGATCATTTCGAACACTCACAAATCACGAAATTCGATTTTAGGTTCTGGGTCCAGAGTTAGCGTAAATTTGGAACGTCGCGGCAGGTACCGCAGCAGTCGCAGCAGTGGCGCAGAATTTTCCTTGTGCCTTGGATGCGTCACGCCGTCTTTGTCAGAAAAAAGTCACAGGCCATTGTAATGCCGCCGGCTTACAAGTTGGGTCATGTGCATTGAAAGGTACATTAAAAGTGCCTTTCAAGGCGGCTGAGGTCATCAAAAGCGTGAGATATTCTTATGCAATGACATCGATAAACAATACATCCATCGTGCAATATCACATCACCATCAGCATGGGTCCCTCTCGCACTCATCGAAGCAAATACAACTTCTCCGAAGAAACTCTGACAGGGCAGCTTCTATGCACGCATTGTAGCAAGAAGTTCAAGACCCAAGGCTTCAAGAAGCAGAAGGACACCAAGGCGGAACAAGCGGAGTTCGCCATTCAATATGCACGAGATCAGAAAAGAGGTGAGTCCTCTGCTACCCGCTGTAGAGACTCATGCCTCTCATGGTGTGATATGGCAGTATTCACTAGGGAGTACACAGCACGAACTTGCAGCATCACTCTGTGTGCTATCTGCAGCTATCCCTATATGAGGCGCAGCTTTCCCGCGCAAGGCGCAGCATGCGCGCATCATTCCCGCGCCTTACGATGTATACGCGCGCGCGCTTTCCCGCGCTTGGTCGCCCTATAGCGCCAGCCTTCCAGAAGCATCCATCCACTGTCCACCAAGCTCTCTAGTGCGTGTATTTCCATTTCCCTTATTTACATATCATCCCACCTTTATTTATATCATGGACCCTTACTTACATATAGCTTTACATACCTTACTCGGTAGCGCTTCGGCTCTGCGTGACAGCACTTAGGCGCCGTATATAAGCGCCAGCATTACATACTATTGAAAACTTTCCAACTTAGACTGGACCTCCCACTTACCACCCACATACTACCTAGGAGAACATAGTAGAAATCTATTCTTTGACACCTCGCGCTCACATCTCTTGTTATTCATCTATCATCACTTAAGCAAACTCACACTTACTCTCACTTGTTTCCGCTCACGCGCGTACCTTCGCTTTCCCGCGCCTCGCGCGTACCTGCATGCTTTCTCGTGCTTTGCATTGGCCGACCAGTAGCGCCTTCAGCGCCTACTACCAGATCTTCGCTGCACTTGCTTCCCCTTTAGGGTCGAACACACTTGTCGTCTCAGGTCAGGCTATAGTGTCATTCTATTGCATTAAAACGGGCTAAGTGTCAGTGAGGAGTGATGCAGGAGCGATGCTAAGCGTAGGTTGCATTACCTTCTGACCCAAACGGGCATTAGGTTATTGTAATGCATTACGACTCAAATTCTTTGTTCGGTCGTCATACTGCCTAATATAGACGACATCCTCTCGGCCTTCAAAATGCTGTATTCCTGGTCCAGGCTGGTCCCGGCTGGCCCTTGCCTTCCTGGCCCTGTTCCTGGCAGCTCCCTACCCCACAGTGCATCCTATTTTTATTCACACTCTTTCTAGTTGTTCGATTGCCATGAATTGAGTTAAACTGTGCGCTGTGTGCTCTACTAGTAAGTCCAACGCGGAGATCTCCATATATGCAAATTTTTCTGAAGTCCTGGCTACGCAGTGTCACATGTGTACAATCCTAATAATGCACATCAATGTTACCTCGTCCCAGCCGTGCAGTCTCGACAGAAATGCTATCCTCTTCACGAGCATCTTTTACAGCGCTGAGGCCTGCAGGTCATCTGAGATTTTCTCGCCATCATTATGTGGGGGCCCTAGCTATCTCTCCGTCTCAGGTATGCCACCCTTGATTCTTTTTTCAACCAATCAGTACTTATTATCTTGCTCAGCGACATCAACTGCGGTCGAACGTGTCTTCTCACAGGCCCAGCAGCTCCTTCACTTTACTTGCAACCGACTCGCACCATCAACAATTCGCGCCTTTCTCTGCCTTGGAGCCCGGGGCAGAAGTGATCTTCTGGTGATGGAGGACCTTCCAGCCTCTGTAAGGAGTCAGAAATGGAAGTGAAGCGAAGTCGAGGCTGAGAAGGATGACGAGGAGAATTAGCAATACTCATTTTTTATTGTCCGAGTTGTTAATACACCCTGTACCATCTTATTTCAGAGACATCGTTTTTCATGTTCTCTTGAATTCAAACTATATTATCAGAGATCTAAATTACATCTCCGCGAGTCTGGGATACCTGGAGTTCTACCAAAGTTTTACCGCCCCCCTTTTGTGTGAGTTCTGCTCTGCTTGGCACTAGATTTGGGTGCTACACGTGGTCGAGCAGATGAAGTACCTGTTACAATAACATGTAACCGAGAACCCCTCCTACGGAGGTCATCATGACCTTAGCCCCTATCCCACCATATGCACCGTCCTGGAAGACTTACCGACTCAACGGAGACTCGTAGAGACGCCTAGAACGGCCTGGATGCCGTTAGATGACCTAGACCAGCCTAGGCTACATCTGATCGGACCTAGATGGTCCTCGACCCGGATTATGAGGAAGCTCTGCCTCATGGTCAGAAGAGAAGCTCTGCCTCATGGTCAGAAGAGAAGCTCTGCCTCATGGTCAGAAGAGAAGCTCTGCCTCATGGTCAGAAGAGAAGCTCTGCCTCATGGTCAAGAAGAGAAGCCACATGCCTTAACATGCGGAGTTAGACTCCAAGGCATGCTACGCCTTGAGGACAGATAAGAGAGGCATGGTAAGCCTCATGTATAGATAATCGACCGCATGGCATCAGATAAGATGCCCTTTTATAGACACACTTACAACTACCTACCGAATGTAGTATTGGTCTGTGCACACGGACGACAGTATATAGAGCAGACTAGAATCATGTATATTCCCTACTTGATTCTACTAGGTTTTATCCAGAACTTCCTCTGAAAGACAGTCCCAGTCCTTCAGTCTAAGCCGCACCTTAAGGAAAGCCGACGCTACCTTAAGTGGAACCCCCGAACCTCTCATTCGAGAGAAGACCCCCGTCTCTCCAGTAGCGAGCCTGCTATCAGATTAGGCAATCCGCCTAAGGAGAGCTCGAACTATCCTAGTCCGTAACAGTACCGATGGCGTTGTCAAGTTCGCGTCTATTGAAAGTAACATTGCGCGCACGGCGCTGGCGAGTTTCTTCTGGAGGAGGCATCTCCTCGCTTACTACAGACGACCGAGCTGTCTTTGTACGTCGGCGAGTTTCTTCTGGAGGAGGCATCTCCTCGCTTACTACAGATGACCGAGCTGTCTTTGTACGTCGGCGACGGTTAGAAGGAAAAAGTACCGCTATGTCCAATTCTGGACCCGCTGGACCGGTTGCCTCGTCGGGAACTGCAGGCAGACGAACATCAGTTGCATGTGGGGTCTGTGGGGGAGTTGATGGAGGGGGCAAGATCAATGGCATGTCGGATATTAATCCAAAGGGAGGGCCACTGGTGAGGTTGTTAGCAGTAGTCGAATTTGGGGTCAACGAGTCCAGAGGAGGCGCTTGAATCTGAGGAATATCATTCTGACGGCCAGTGGTGTGATTCTCCGTGGTGTTCACGAAGTTCGGGGCGAGAGGCGCTTGGAACTGAGCACCGTTGAGGGCCATTAAAGCCAAAGTGTCGTTGTTTAAGCCCAGCTGGTTAAAATCGAGGTCGTGATGTTGGAAATCAAGTTGGTGGGGTAACGCAGAACACTGATCCTGGACGTCAATAAGGATGCAGCCTGTGCATTAGTCACATTACTCACCTGAGTCACCCCATCTAACCCTGCCTCCATTGAACCAAAATCATTGTGTAATGCAGAACGCTGACCTTGAAGCTAGATGCGTGGTACGAACCGTGAGTAATGCATTATGACCGTGTAGTACTAAGTAGTGCATTACTCACCTGTGACTCTGAATCAGGTGACATGCGATACAAACTATCCGTGTGAAAGGCTGGGTCGTTGATTTCACCCACGGCCGTACCACTACCACTGCCAGCTTCATCTATGCCATTGATTGCATTGGTTGGGATGTCGTCCATCTCAGAGTTATTGTCGATATCGTCGTCGCTCTCATCCTCGTCATCGTCTTGAGGGAGACTGGCTTCAAATACTGCGTGACACAGTGAGTGTCGCAACTTGATGTTGAGAAAACATCACTTACTAAGCGCTTGGTTAGTAAAGTCCAAAAACGCTTCCTGGACGACATTAAACTTGTCGCAAAATGTATTGAACTGAACGCCATGGTCGAGTTCACCTATGTGATAACTTCAATAGTATAAGCTCACGTAAGCAGTTTAACATATAGAGTTCAACATACTCATAAACCACCGTCCCACCCTTCGTCGGATCAAGCCCTGCCATGAGGACCGAAAACTTCCAGCCACCGGTCGCGTGAGATATGTAACGGAACACGCGGTCCAACATCGGTCCTAGTTCCCGAATGGCCCTGACAGTGACAACATCGATGAGAAATCTCACCAGTCAATCAGTAGGAGGTATGTACTTGACTTTTGCCTCTTCATTGACCTTTGGCATCTTACCAGCCTTCAGGCGCTCGCGATCTCTGGCAAACTTCGCTTTTGCTTCTTGATATGCCCTTTCTACCTCGTCACTCTCTGCCTCAAACTTTTCCTGAGTGACAGCCAAACGCTTGTTCAGCTTTGGACCACGGTTAGTGATGTTGTCCGTGCGAATGGCATTGTCTGCGTCTATCTTAACCTTCTTACTATAGTGCTCACGCGAATAGATGTGCATCTTTCGGGGTGCATGTCTTTTGGTCACCCCACCTCCCAACACCGCATCAAGTTTGAGCACGCCCCGTGTCCCACTTGTACGGCTCAAGCGTGACACGTTGGTCATCCACCGGTACCAACGCGTGATTTGCTGTGACGTGGCGAGAGTTTTAGTCCATGTTTGACGCGTGTTTTTTGTAGCATGCTTACCAGTTTCCGAGTATCGACCGCTTCTGCTAGAATTTTAGTTTGCTGGACCGACAGTGCCTGGTCGGCTGGGATGTCTGGGAAGACCACACTGCGCTCCGGCCAATGCTGGAAAAACTCCAGTGAGGCTTTGTTCAATACAGGGTCGTAATTCTTGGTGGGGATACATTCATGGTAATCTGGGAGGAACGTCTCCAGGAGTGCTGCCTGTTCCTTTGTTGTCCACTTCTTGTTACCCATCTTCTCATTGCGGTGAGTCCGTACAGACGCGTTATGACACGGTGCTGAGACTCACGTTTGATATTAGATGCACTAGCGCTTAATGGAAATGGCGAAGGAGGGAGGTTTACGCGTCTTTCTCGTGGATTTACTGGGTTCTGATCCCATTAAGGACCTCGCGTACTCATTGGCTACATAGCAACAAAGAGTGTATATGTTCTTTACATGATCTGCAAATTGACACCCTTCCTACTAGACTAATTGTGTGACAATGATTAACAGAGGTTCTGTAGCAAGCGTGACGTGAGAACAGCGCAGCGGATACTCATGAAACACAAAAGAGTCTACTGAAGAAAAACGGCCGTTCAGCCGGATCCCGTATCGCGAAGAATTCCTCTGAACGAGACTGGAGGAATTCTTCTTGAATTTGTCGGAGGGGAGGGGGCTTCATTGGCAACAACTTTTTGACTTGAGAGTCAGCGACAGCGTGCAAAAGGACTGATTTACTACTTACATCAAACATGGACATGGATTTGTCCCTTTGATGTGACATTGTGTGAGTGCGAAGCTGAAATAAGTACGAGTGGAGAGCAGTAGAAAAACCAACCACATACAAGTAGGCCCGTGCTAAGTACTCTTTAAGTTCCAAGTCTTCGGGAAAAGATCAGCAGAAGGGGAGGAAGGCAATTCTTCACCCAGAAAGGTACTAGTTGGTCCATGAACGTTTGAACGATCATTATACTCAATATCAAAGTTTGTTTCCGTTCAATGTGATCAGACAGTTGATTGCAATGGAGGATAGTGCTTGAGCCGTATAATAGTACGATCCAATAGACTCACTTGCGGGGTAAATGGACAAGAGTCTGAAAAACAACTTGAAGCGAGTCTGGAAACTGCAAGAACGATAAGAACGGATCATCAGATCCTAATAATACGGTCCTACCAGTCTTAACTAGCAGTAGAGCTAGCTATGTGTGATACGGCCTGCTCACATGTATTCTGACTGAACATAGGTGATGTCAGTGACTGACTTATATGATTGAAAGGTCAATGTAAGGAATTGATTAATATAGCGCGCGCTGGGATGAACGATGAGTTACAACTTACACATGATTTGAATCGATACGGTCCTACCACGGATACCTTTGAGGACAGAATATCTTAGACATTACAGCATCTTCGTCGATGACTGACTCAGAATGACCAATGTTGAGCGGTTGACATGAGGAATAAAATTACCAAGGCCTAAATTAATTATGTAGCGTGCAGGATGGAGCATTTGAGTTGTAACTTACACATGATGTCACTGAATCGATACGGTCCTACTGTGCGTACATTTGAGGACAAAATATCCGGATTCCAGCCTGGACATAGTTGAAATTCAATTGTTGCCGATCGAGACACTCAGGCTGATACTAGATATAGCCTATGACCGACGCAGTAAGTTTAGTTCACTACTTGTGTTATGGTTCAAACACAACTTGTATTGTGGTGCTACTGCGTACCTTCTAGTAGGTAAGGTCTGACCGTCTCATAAGGTCCAACTTATGTGCAGATTAAATTAAATTTTCACTGTCCATCTGACAGCAGAATTGAAGGTATGTGGGTGGACGCACAATCGTCCACACCACGCACTCAGGCTAGACCCACGACTAGTATCCACAGCTTGTCCATGGGCAGGCTTTCAGTACACACTCTGTGATCAATACGGTCCGACCAATCGAAGCATTATCGAAGCACCATCGAAGCACCTCCCAGTGAATCCCAATAGTGTGAGCGTATCCATTGCACTTTTTTCTTCTCACCAGACTCAAACATTGGCTCAACATCCCTTACAGTTAGCACTATCATGGTGCCTCCGATTAAATACAAAACCCCTGCAGCTAAACTACAAGCTGAGAGGGCCAAGCGCCATCGCTACTATGAAAAGTACGTGACATTTGCAACTAACACCCGAATATTTCTAATTGAAAACAGGCGCTGTGATGCTATTCTGGCGAGACGCAGGGAGTTATGCAAAGACAGGAACACCCATGACGATGGTAATAACCATTCAGACGGCGACGATGAACCAATGTTAGTGCTAATATTGTTGTCGAGGAAGTGGTTGAAACCCATTTTTGATATTAACAGCGACACACTGTCTGATTGCATTGCCGTGGTTAAACTCGCCAAGGATGACTTCATGCAACATATCAAATCTCCGCAAATATTCATTATCGGCGTCTTAGCTAAATACACCAAGTCCATCCCAGACACTCCTGAGGGCCACGGAGATAGAGAAATCCTCAAGGACGCTATGTCAAGCATCGAAGACTTCCTTGACAGGGCCAGTCGAGGGCAAGATGGTATTCTCCAACTATGCGGAGTTAATGATGAGTGGCGCGCAGCAGACCAAGTATGTCGGTGCATGAGGGACACCATCGCTATGGTGGAAGATATTTATTGTCTTACACTTTGTGACGGAGATTCTGGGCTCGCAGAAGCTCATTTCCTTGGAGAGTTGTTGTACCAGAAGTACAAAGATCAATAGGCTAGATTTCGTCTGCGAGTAATACACAATACAAACATCTATGAATTGCGCGGTGTTTATTTAAGGAATTATCTCAGTCTCCCCATGGTCAATGGCTTCTGTGACCAATCTAATACCCTCGGCGACCGAGTGAATTTTGGAAAAGGATGCGCGGCTCACTCCAGTTACGTGTGTAGACGTCCCCTGCCTGCAATGCTAATCAGAAGAAAGTCTCGAGATGGAGATAACACTCACCAAGTCGCAAAGACGCCAATATGACGGCCACGGTTGACCCAGTAGAAAGGGCCGCAGGCACTTGGATGAGGAATATAGTACGTCACACCATGGTGAGTCCTCGTCAGAAGTGTGGTAGCAGTAGCGGCAGCATTGGCCGGGGTAGCAGCAGCAGCTACCAGTGGTGCCGTGGTGGAAGAAGCAGGTATTGTGGCAGCAGAGGGTCGTACTAAAGCAGGAGCTCTAGTAGTAGCTGCGGCTACTTCTTGAAGAGCAGCGATAACTGCATTTTGCACGATCTCACGGAGGGCGGAAGTCAATGCGACGGTACTGTTATCATTGACGTTCAACTGCGAAAAGAGTGCAGCAAGCGAATCTAAAACAACTATTAGAAAAGGCGTGACAACACACTTATTGACATACCAGCGCTTGAACCTGAATCACCGTCAATGGACGCTGCATTATCGGTGTTGGAGGAGGTCATCGCTGGAATATTCAATGCTAGAAGTGCTCAAAACTGTCGCAACTCACCTCCATTATATCTGGTTGTTGTGTGAACGAGAAGGAGTGAATCTATCGGTGAACACTCAGAAATTTCCCAATCCGGATTTGAGGCGGAGTTTGAAATTCATTTCTCCCCCTCGATCAACTTCCTCGAGTTCTATTATTAGGGCACGTGTACTGTAGCTACATCCGCCGTTACCGTATTACATATAGTGATCCTCCGATTGTAGTAGTCTGTTTACCTGTTTGTTTGTTGACTCCTTCATTGAGAATCACGTTGACTGTGAAGGTGTGTTGGATATTTCTACGCCTGCAGGATAACTCCTAAGCTCTAGCTCAGGTCACTGAAAAACTTAGAATGTCTTTCAAACAGGCCAACAACCGTCGCAAACGCCCGCGTTTGAATCCATATACTCCGCAGTCCAATCCTCCCATCTACACCTCGGTAACTTTCTCATCACGCCGTGAAGGTGGTATGAAGGCTTCGCGCCGTCACATCATAGGTGCACCACCATCGGGCGTCCAGCTTCAACCTGAAGCATCTTATCAAGATCTCAGTCACGATTTCGTCGGGGATGACATCGATTTTGGGTATATGGATGATGACACTCCAGTACCTTCTAAACGGAGACGGACTGCAGCTGTAAGTATTTGTTGATTGTTCATTTCACTTCGCTAACTCTACTTTCAGGACAACCCCCTTCTAATGTGGCTAGGTGATCGCGACTACTATCTGGCCGAACTTATTCGGTTGGACGGCCGAGGTGACTACACCTCAGATAGTTGCTGCCAATGCAACGTCTCTGCTCCTGCTCAGTTCCGATGCGATGACTGTTGTGACGTGCAACTATACTGTCAGGACTGCGTTGTCGTCAACCATTTGCGGAGCCCCACTCACCGCATCAAGGTCTGTTTTGATTCATTCTGAGTGTTTGAGTCAGCATCTAAATCATTTTAGGAGTGGACAGGCTCATTTTTCCAGCCTACGTCACTCAAGAAGCTTGGTTTGAGGATTCAGTTGGGGCATGCAATCGGTGAAAACTGTATCCTCCCTCGCAAGGCATTTAACGACGACTTCGTACTAATCGACACCAACGGAATACATCAGATAGCGATCGACTTCTGTGCCTGTGAAACATCTCAGACGCATACCAGGCAGCTCTTGCGCATGGGTTGGTTCCCCTCAACGTCTGTAGATCCAAGGACCGCGGCAACTTTCCGAGTCTTGCAGCATTACCAGATTCTCTCTTTCGAGTCGAAGGCCTCCGCGTACGAATTCTATCACTCACTGGTTCGTATATCCGACAATACTGGTTTGATTAAGAAGGTTCGTGATTTTTTTACATTGATCTTGCATTAACTAAAGTGCCCCCCATTCAGGATCGCTACGAACCCTTCATGCGCATGGTTCGCGAGTGGCGACACTTGAAGATGCTGAAACGGTTTGGTCGTGGTCACGATCCAGCCAGTGTGAGTGGTACCAAAGAGGGCGAATGTGCCGTCCTCTGTCCAGCTTGCCCACAACCTGGCAAGAACCTGCCCTCTGACTGGAAAGAAGCGCCAAAAGCCAAACAGTAAGCCCCGTCATATTTGAATTGAATTAGGTGTTAATCACGCTCAGATGGCTGTATTCATTATTTGTAGCTATCGACGCCAATTTTCGCTTGAAAAGACGAGCTATTTCTTCTGACGAAGCAGACCCAAGCCTCTCGATGGGATGGTCGTACTTTGTAGAAGAGAAGAAGTTCAAAACTCACCTCAAGGAGCATTTGTCCCAGACGCAGGAGGTATGGACATGGTTTAACCTATCACAAGATATCGCTGAAGGTACCTTTGCAGAGAAGTTCTTGCTCAAACCACAACGCTGTGAATATGGCTGAGACGAAGCTATCGCAGGGTCTTGCAGCCACTGGAGTAGGGACTGTTGATTGTGCGCGACATAATTTCAAGCGCCCAAATGGTGTCGGGGACCTACAAAAAGGAGAAAAGTACGTATGTCGTGCTCGTGAAGCCCAGTCTAATGAATTGAATTTTTAGGTACGTTAACATGGACTATCTTTTCTTCTCCACACTCCGCAACAACTGTCTCAATGCTTTGAATGTGTCCTATGACATCGCATGTCAATGGCACAAGAACCTATGGAGTCGCATGGAGTCGCTACCTGAATCGCACCACATATCCTACTTACGCGTTTTTATCCGCTTTTTCGTCCCCAAATTCCACCTTCCGGCGCACATCAACAAGTGTCAGACGATGTTCTCTTTTAATTTCACGCGTTTTGTGGGCCGCACAGATGGGGAGGCGCCCGAGCGCGGTTGGTCCAATATCAATCCAGTCGCATCAAGTACAAAGGCAATGGGACCAGGCTGTCGTAGGGACACTTTAGATGATCATTTTGGCGATTGGAACTGGAAGAAAGTCGTCGGTTTAGGTATGTTATCTATTCTGACTCATTATTCATGTTTGGTTAATAATTGTGGGATTAGGCGCATCTCTCATTCATAAAATGCAGGAAGCGGTAACTGAGAAGGCCGATCACGAGACTGCATTCCAGGAGTTTAATGCTGTGATTTCCTCAGACCATAGGTCAGCGTGGACGGTCGAAATGGAGAAATGGGAGGAAAACCCGAACGACTCGTCTGTCACAAACCCCCTTGAGCGCAAGTCAATCCGTGAGTTTTTATCTTAGCATTCAATTATATTTACTGAAGTATCCATTATGCAGAAATTACGCAAGCTGCAGCCCGTCTGAAACTTGTGGAGATGGAAGCATACGAGCTTGCTTGTGGGATTGACCTATCCCTGCACCCCAATATCTCCCCGAGTGTTCTTATCGCGTCAGGATTAGACCTCGAGGAGGAGCAGTAAGTAGCTGTACCTAGACGCCAGATGAATGCTAACACCTAAGACAGACGTCGCGTGAAAGCAGCATGCGAAGGGATGGGTCTCCACATTTCTGATACGCAGAAGGGCACGCTCACGCGAATGAGAAATGTGTTGCATCGTAAGATTGAAACGTGGAGAAGTGCGCAGGTTCTGTACATGCCTGCAGTACAGATTCTGAGCTCTACTGCGGTTCCTGCCTATCATCAGCCATCCAAGAATGCGGAGGATATCAGCCTGTGGTTGCCATCTAGTCTGAAAAGCAAACCGTGCGATTCCAGACTTCAAGACCACGAATGGGATTTGCGGTATGCCCAGGCCCACGATGCGCTCGAAGAGCTTCGACAATGCCTTTGCGTGCACTGCTCTATGCTCACCTTCAAGCGGGAATGGGTCCGCGGTCAAGGTTCCAACACTCGTGCTCAGAACGCACTCGCTCGTGTGCACACGCGGCAGGTCGCGTGCACGAAGAGATATAGGGTCGCCTGGGAGGCGCTGAAGACCTTGGCACCTCTTTTGACGAAAACGAGATGGCAAGGACGGCTGCGAGACCTGAAGGATGAAGATGTGAAGCCATTGGTGGACCCTTTCGGCAGAGAGACTGAAGGTCGCCGTCGCCTGACGTGGATCTGGATGATGACGGGGGTGGATACAGATGGTGATGGAGGTGACGTGGACGGTTAGTTTTTATTTGTTTTTTACAAGATGTGACTGACAATGGTGTCTAAATCTTTTGCTAGGAGTCCGCGTGGAATGGTGCAAGTCACGAGCAAGAGCAATGCGCTGGACGGAGGAGGTAGAGTTGTTGCACAAGGAGATGCGAAGGGTGCTGCAGTTTTTAGATTGGCAAGCAGAGTGGTGGGATGAGCAGCAGGACCGACGTGACTGCGAGACAATGGCTGAACATGAGGGCTTGGTAGCATACGCCAACAAACAGGCAGACATTCGACGTCGGCTCGCATCGCGCTTCAGATTGCTGTGGGCCGCTCACCTTCCCCAGCCCCCTCCGAGCTTTATATCATGCCCACCCCTGGACAACATCACGCAATTCCCCGACCTCATGCTGCCCGATCTCCAGTGTAATGAACCTTCTGTTCCCTTTGGTGCCTAGCTTCGTTTCAATGAAAGATCTTCTGATGTATTATTAGTTGCCGGAAATAAGAATACTATGTAGTTGCCGAGAATAAAAATATACGGTTGCCGGAGAATTGGAATATGTAATGTACTAGGGAGCCTAATCTACTAGAGAGACAGCTCTGATAGTTAGCCTAGTTTAATGCATTAGAAACAGGCTAACAACCCTCGTTAATGCAACACAGTTATGTGGTATTTACCAGATTTAATGCATTACCCCTACAGGATATTGTGCTCAGGTATAGCAGACTAGGCAACGCGTGACCTTACAACATTTACAGATACCGTCTGGAGCATCATTTGTTCCTCTCAGTATAGTTGTTTCTACAACTGGAGCCCACCGCGAGGGGAACAGTCAGCAAGATCTACTTCTACGCACTTTCGCACTTAGCGCCATTTAGCGCATATATATAGGTCAATCTCTTTACATTGTCACAAGCTAACCATTTCTAGTCGCGCATTCTCGCGCCTCACGCGCGCGCCTTTCCCACGCTTCAATGCCCTTTGGAATGCCCATCCGCGGCACAGCAAACGCGCCCAAGTTCGACGGCACTACAGACAACCTCGCCGAGTTTATTGACACCTATGAGCAGCTCGCTGATGAAGCAGGACTCCAAGGACTTGATCGCATCAAAGGTATTATCCGCTACCTCGAACGTGATGATCGAGAACTATGGAAAGGCATGCCCGAAGCAGCAGTAGATGATTATGATGCATTCATGGCAGAATTTAAGGTAATGTATCCTGGATGGAATGGTAAACGACGCTACGCGCTCGCAGACTTGCGCGCCATCGCGCGCGAATATGCTAACAAACCAATGCCCTCTTGCACAGAACTCAGCAATTACTTGCGCACATTCAGGAAGGTTATGCAGCCACTCATGGATGAAGACCGTATTGGAAAGGCCAAACACGACCGCTTATTCATGGAAGGAATCCCTAGCGACGCTCAGGCGCAAATTTGCTTGCGCCTTATGATCAAGTTCCCTGACCACCATCCATACAACCCATACCCATTTATGGACGTCTTTGCAGCTGCGCAGTTCCTATTAACTGCGCGCGCTTTTCCCATGCCAAGCGCGCTTGTTAGTGCGCCCATAGTAGCGCCAATTGCAAACTCAGTCACAGCAACTGCACCAGTACAAGCTAAAGTGGCTAAGTGCAAGGATCACTATTACACGAGCCATGCAACGCAGGATACGACTACTAGCGCTAGTGTGACAACTGGACTCTTCTATCGCGCATCCTCAGAAGTTGTACTTGACAAAAGGCCACCAGTTCCTACTCTCGCGCCTCACGCACGCGCCTTTCCCGCGCCTTCGCGCGATTCACGCGCACCAGGACCATCAACCGCACCAGCACGCAAAGCCATACCAGACTGCATCGCTTTAGATCACGAACTCGAGCGCACGCTCGCGAAGCGCAACCAGAAGCGCATTGTAGGCGCCTCTTCGCCTTTATTATCAACACCATCTCCTTCGCAATCTCCATCGCCATCTGCATCATCATCACCAATCACATCTGTAGTCAGGGATGACTCTAAACATCTATTGCACACTAATGCGCCACTTGAAACACGCTCACCCATCTCCATCGCATCGCCAGAAGTCAGGGATGACTCTAAACATCTATTGCACAATAACGCGCCCATTGTGGAAGTTATTAACGCGCCACCAGAAACACGCTCGCCTATCGCTATTGCATCGCTTAAGGAAGAAATCTCGCCAATCGCGCCATCACCATCACCGCTATCACCGCTCGCATCATCAGAGGTCAGGGATGACCCTAAACATCTATTGCGCCTTAGCGCGCCTATAGAGGAGCCTTCTACCGCATCAGAGGCTCAAGTTACACCTCGCGTCGACCAGAGTTTGTCTCTGGTAATTCAATCTGTCACTAATGATCATGCGCATGTCGCGCTTTTTGCTTCTAGTGACTATCGCTTGCCATTGAAGCATCCGTGCATCGCGCTGTCCAACCACCAAGCAGAGCATGTCTCAGGCGACCCTGGGGTGACTCAGGCGCACCATATTGCGCCTGAGGACGCGCAATGCGCGCGCCTAGAGGCATTGTATATTTACCCTCGTCTCATTTCATGCTTTTTGTCTTTTTCATGTTTAAAGCTCTTAAGGAGCTATATGACAATTCCAAACACATTAACTTCATCTTCGCACCACCCCTTGTTCACACGCCATGATCGCGCGCATCGCGCGATAATTCCCGCGCCTCGTGCATTCATTATTTTAGCAGAGTTTTCGCACTATCGCATTTCTATCGTTCCTCCCCTTTTAAATCACGTTTCTGTCATTCCACACGAAATATATTCCAATCAGTCATCCAGGCGCGACTTAGGCGCGCGCCTGATGCATACATATGCGCCTAACTCCCCTATCATCATCTTTAACTTCGCACTTTCCACGTTTATTCGCATTCTTCACATTTTTGCTTACCATGTCAATTTTGTTACTGCACACCCTGACGTGCACTATTCCTTTTCACCTGTGCGCCTATTGCGCCTTGATAAACCACCCTTACAGCCCATTTGCGCAACATTTGCGCCTAATTCCACGCTATATATGTCTCTCGCTAACACATTTGCAGGGAAATGGCCGTTCCTCGCGTGTTCGGCCAATATAATCAAATTCGCGCGAAATCGCCCCAAGGCGCGCACATCGCGCGCATCCTATCAGCTTGTAGAGCACCTCTACACCCCTCGCAGCGCCTCCCACTGGCGCGCCTTTAACCTGCAGCGCGTTGTGCAGGAATTCATTCTGCCGGTTACAAGCCCCCCCAAGCGCATTCCAACCCTACCTTGGGTAAAGCGTCAGCTCGCAAGAGACGCGTAGTGCGCTAGTCACGCGCTCAAGGAGGAGGATCGAGCGCTTCAGCGGCGCACTAAAGAAAAACATATACCAACACTGTTTCATAGGATATCTTTCGTTTTACCCTGGGTTTCGTCCAGCGCTCTTTCATTTTTATTTTCTCTCATTATAACACCGTCCAAAGGACTAATAACACACTGATATATATGCATATAGGAATCACCTAGAAGAACATAGAAGAAAAACAACAAAACAACCTTAGATTGTGCCCACCTAGCTCAATAGGATATTATTTCCCTTCTTACGCATGACGTGGCACCATGCTCTTTTTACCTTAGAACGCGCCCATATGCGCGCAATCTTCCCGCGCCCATGCGCCTCATGCGCGCGTGCACGCGCTTCCCGCGCCTTGCTCATAGGAAGGTGTAGATGTCGACAGCCGCACGAAGAAGACAAGTCGGATAGGACATTCGCAAAGTTTACTGTTTTTCCTTCGCATTTTCACATATAGTTTTACTCACACTGTTCAAACCCTTAACACCTAATATTTAGCGCGCCTAGCAGGACTTGGTTTGGACATGGATTGGATCGCTCTTGGACTGCGCCACTTCACATCATGCCCACGCACGCATATTGGACTCAAAGATCATTGCGCAACAGCTCATGGTGTCCCCACAGAATACAACACATGCGACACTCACGCGCGTTCTCGCGCCTTGTGCGCGCGCACTCTCCCACGCTTCGCGCGCCACATCCATATCACTCTCACACCATTGCCTCATGCCCATGGTGCATTGTTCACATCAGAGTCACCCTCGCAACTTGCCATGCTATGCTATATTCCTGCACCCCTGCGCCTAAATGCGCGCACATTCCCGCGCCTTCGTGCCTAGCGCGTGCTCATCCACGTGCAACTTCCCGCGCTTCATGCATACCATGTGATACATCCCTGCACTCGCCCATTCATCGCCCAACAACCCAAGCACCGTACATGTATCGCACTCGCATACCATCACTCGAGATCCTCACCACACACGCGCTGAGTGGGGACACTCAGAATTTAAAGTCCCTGGGAGATGTAGAGACTCATGCCTCTCATGGTGTGATATGGCAGTATTCACTAGGGAGTACACAGCACGAACTTGCAGCATCACTCTGTGTGCTATCTGCAGCTATCCCTATATGAGGCGCAGCTTTCCCGCGCAAGGCGCAGCATGCGCGCATCATTCCCGCGCCTTACGATGTATACGCGCGCGCGCTTTCCCGCGCTTGGTCGCCCTATAGCGCCAGCCTTCCAGAAGCATCCATCCACTGTCCACCAAGCTCTCTAGTGCGTGTATTTCCATTTCCCTTATTTACATATCATCCCACCTTTATTTATATCATGGACCCTTACTTACATATAGCTTTACATACCTTACTCGGTAGCGCTTCGGCTCTGCGTGACAGCACTTAGGCGCCGTATATAAGCGCCAGCATTACATACTATTGAAAACTTTCCAACTTAGACTGGACCTCCCACTTACCACCCACATACTACCTAGGAGAACATAGTAGAAATCTATTCTTTGACACCTCGCGCTCACATCTCTTGTTATTCATCTATCATCACTTAAGCAAACTCACACTTACTCTCACTTGTTTCCGCTCACGCGCGTACCTTCGCTTTCCCGCGCCTCGCGCGTACCTGCATGCTTTCTCGTGCTTCGCATTGGCCGACCAGTAGCGCCTTCAGCGCCTACTACCAGATCTTCGCTGCACTTGCTTCCCCTTTAGGGTCGAACGCACTTGTCGTCTCAGGTATAGCAGACTAGGCAACGCGTGACCTTACAACATTTACAGATACCGTCTGGAGCATCATTTGTTCCTCTCAGTATAGTTGTTTCTACACCGCTCTTGATGTTTCCTTTGACAATATTGAGGTATGCAGCTCGGCAGCAGGCTCACACTGACATGGGCATGATAACGCCCCCTAGCGCTGGCCCATCGCGATCAGTTGCTGGGATTCAGAATGCGCCCCCTGCAATCAGGGATCATAGTCCTCTAGGTATGTCTCACGTATTCTTTGTGTGCTCCTCCAACACCAACTGACACTAGCTGACCCTGTGCTGCCAGCAGATAACCTGGACGCTGGTGATTTCGAAGCCTACAATGGGAACTACAATGGGAACCTCGAAGGTGCTGGTAGCCTAGGTAAGTGTGCACCATATTCACCTGTATTGCTTACTGATTCTTTTGCATAGCCAACAGCCAGCGACATTCTGTTGAACCGCAACCTGCAATACCTCCTCCACAGCCCATGGAATTCAAAATGATGTATCATCCTTCTGCTGGTCGTGAACCACTCCTTCAAACGTTTGAGGAGTTCGGCGTCAATTCGCATCCTGAGGAAGAGCTCCCTGTAGATGAAGAGCCCTGGCGTCCTTTCTGTTCCCGCGGCGACTTCGAGTTTGCAGAGATCGCACTCAATGCCGCACTCAATAAATCACAAATTAATGCGCTCCTTGCGCTCATTGGTCGCATATCGAGAGGAGAGAGCCGGGTAACTTTTTCAAATGATAATGAGCTGCGCAAAGCTTGGGAACACGCAGCTGCTCAGGTGACGCCGGTATGTCATTCATAAATCTCACATTTTGTATGATATATGTTGTGAATTAGTTTGTAAAACACGACATCACCGTTCCTTACAAAAAAGAACAACAAGTGTATGAGACTCACGTGCTGCCTCTGTGGGACTGGGCTCTTGATTTGTTAGCTAATCCGCTGCTTGCTCCGCATTTTGTCTGGGATGCACAACGAGTTTTCAAGCACAACGGCAGGGAGTTTGAACACTTTTACAACGAGCCTTGGACGGGTGACCGATGGTGGGACGTCCAGGCATGTAATCTTTGTTAATATCACTATCTACTCTCACTCAGCATCAACAAATCAGAGTCACCTTCCAAGTGACATTAAGGCCGCTCCATTCTGCTTCATCCTGTATGCGGACAAGACAAGACTGTCGTCCCACGGTACAGTAAAGGGATATCCTGTCGTGGTCTGTTGCGCGAATTTGCCAGTTGGCATACGGAACGGAGAGGGCATCGGCGGTGGCCGTGTTGTCGGGTGGTTGCCAATCGTACGTCAACATTCTGATCGAATCTTCTGACGTGACTCATTATAGTTGCAGGTATCTGAAGATGCAGACGAAGAAGGCAAGCCAGGCTTTGTAAACCTCAAGCGCGTCATATGGCACGAGGCATTCTTAAAACTGTTGGAACTGGTCGTGCAACACTCAAAGTCTGGTTATTCACATACTTGCTATGACAAGATCGCACGCTGGTTGTTTCCCATTATTCTGATACTTTCTGCTGATTATGAAGAACAGTAAGTTCTATATTCTTACACATGTCCGCAATCTGATATTAGACTGTTTTTAGATGTATGATGTCTCTCATTCGTGGCCACCATAGCAAATGTCCCTGTCCAGTATGTCTTGTACCGCTCGAAGAACTTAGCGAGCTATCAAAGACGTTTGCATTTAGAACAGTGGAAGAAGCAATAGCCGCACTCAATGTTTACAAGGTCAGCAAAGCTCGAGGCGAGGAACTACTCAAGGCATTAGGATTGCATGCTGTCGCGGTAAGTTATCGGCAATATTCACTCTCTCGTTTCGCCTCCATGTTTTCGTTACTAATATCTCATCAACAGAATGTTTTCTGGCTCATTGCGCACTCTGACCCACATCAAGCCATCAGTTTTGACCGCCTTCATGCCCTCTATCTTGGTATGTGGAGGCACCTACTCGAGGAGTTGAAGAAAATCCTCAAAGCGCTTGGACGTGATGAAGAGTCAAAGGTCGAGAAACAGTAAGTCATTCACATCGTGATTCTCGTCAACTCATGACCTTCGGTAGGGTTGCTAGTTTCCCTCGATGGCGCAATCTTAATCATTTCAGCACCATCATCCACATTACCTTCAGTGATGGTAACAAGATGCAAGATCTATCCAAGGTACGTATCATGAGGCTTTTGGCTTTCTAACACTAACTGACGCGCAGCAAGCCTTCTATTCTGCGGTAAACATCTTGAACCAGAGGACCAGCCCAGAAGGGTATAAACTTCTTCGCGTTATTAGTAGCTATCTGCAATTGGATAGCTATATTGGTCTCGACATGCATACGTCAAGCACACTGGCAGCAATTGATGCTGAACTACTCGTTTTTGATAGCGCACTCAAGGTAAATGTTTTGTTCATTCACTTTTTAAATAGATTGTTGATCACACATTCTAGGAATACATCGAATGTGCTCTCAATTCTCCCATCGTAGGTCTCAAGCTTGACTGGGACTTTCCAAAGGCGCATCTCTGGAAGCACGCAACTAGGGACATCCGAATGAAGGGTGCAGTACGCAACTACAGCACCCGTCCGAATGAGAAGCTTCATGGCCCCCTCAAAGAGGCCTATGAGCGCCAGTCAAATGGAAAGGACGTCGCTGACCAGGTATGTTTCTAACATCATAGCATCTGATGTTCACTCATGTAAAGATCTTGTTAGATACTGCGTGTTGACACGCACAAATTCGCAGCCAAAATGTTGAGAGCGCACGTGGACGTGCTTGACGAGCGGCGCACATTGGCAGGAGAGGGCAATGATGACGATGAAGACCTGAATCCTGTTGCTTTCGAGGGGCACATCAAACTTGGTTCGACGCAACAGCCCGTAGCCATCCAAGACATCGAGACCCACGGCGGCCAATTGGATCGTGCGTTTCAAGGCTTTCGTAAGAAGTTTTCCGATTTTATCAACAACTCATTACTGACGTATGGATATCGACTGGAAAGATGGGTCACCATACCGACAAACTTCTTGGTCAGTTGATCTTGTTTTAGTATGTGTCTTGTACTGATTTATGTATTTCTGAACCAGATTCGTGAACATCGCTTTCTCAAAGTTCACTACGAGTCTACCGTCGACTGGAAGCAAACTACCGACTACCTTCGATGCACTCCAGGCTTCCATGGGCAACCGCGCTATGACTGCGCACTTATACAACTCGCCCAGGAAGTATCAGTGTTTGTTCGCCTTGTTTTCATATTCAGTTGTCAGCTTCTGGATGTTGGTTCCTTCGAGTTTGCACTGGTTCAGCCATTCACTGCTGGCATTGGTGCTTCTCGCAGGTCAGACCGTGATCTACGACTTACTCGTGTCAAAGCTGTCCCAAGGGCAAGTTCGATCTTCGTTCCAGTCCAGTCTTTCATTCGTGGCGCTGTTTGTTTCCCTGATCCTGATCACCGAGATGAATTCCTCGTGGTCGACCACATCGATAGTGACATGTTTGTGCGCATGAAGTCACGTCCAGCACGCCAGTGACCAGCTCCAATGTCTCCTTACTTCACCTCTATCAGTCTGAATCAGAACTACAGTGTCCAGATATGTATGTAGATCTCTCTTTTCTTAACATCATCTCGTCTGACTGCACTCAGCTCCACTCTCCCATATCTCCAATGACACAGCCATCTCCTCTGCCCGCACCATGCACACCAAATCCATACTCAGCTCCGCTCTCCCATATCTCCAACGACACAGCCATCTCCTCTGCCCACACCATGCACACCAAATCCGTACTCAGCTCCGCTCTCCCATATCTCCAATAGTTCTTGCACCATGCAAGTCTATTTACTGGACCACCACAAGACACTCTTGATTCGTGTCACAGGGCCTCAAGACCCGTGCTTCACAAGCGACGTCATCCGATAAGCTTTTGCGGTTGCAGAACGAGTTGACGCAGGGTCTAGAGCTCGCTAAAACGCTCCTTTCTCGAGAAAATCTCAAGCGTGACTACACGCAGCAAACACAAGTTTCCCTCGTTGGGCACTAAAGAGGACGAGGAGCTTCTACTTGACAAAGAGAGAGTAGCAAAAAAACCCAAGATCGAATCCAATCGTATCACTGGACTCAAGATACGTACGAGAATCTGTCCCACTGTAAGTCCAAATTGTCATGTTCATTAGTCATTTGATAGTAATCGGTACTGAAGTTAAAGTACCTGCAGCTTTTATTACATGTCGACTTTGCCAAGGCTGAACTAAACACGCTGCATGTCAACAGCAAGGACGGCAAGATGCTGCGGAGCAACTGGCCCTGTGCAGGGTCATGTCTTTATAACATGGAACCAGGCAAGTGAAATTGTCGTGTCTCATATCTCCACTGTTCAGACTTAAATTTCTTGTGTCTTAGTTTAATTGTCATGCCCCAGGCTGGATATTCCTCAGATGACATCACAGCAGAACTCGATGCTATTGAGGATACTGAGTCCGAATCTGGAAATGATGAGCAAGACAACGAGTTTGATGCCCAGAGCGATCTCGACACCCTGAGGATGGTCTTGACAATGCCTCAGCCTGACGCGCCCATGCACGAAGTCCGCAGGGTGAGTTCACTCATGCTGCCATTCTCTTGGTTCGGTTGATGTAGCAGTTGAATCTCTAGGCACTAGAAGTGGCGCAACAAACATATACTGCTGTTCGGTCTGAGTTGCGTGCTCTCAAGAAAGACCACGCTATGCTCCAGGCTGCTGTCCCTGCATGCAGCCGAAACCGAGTCCTTAAGAAGACATCAACCATCGACAATGACATCGCCCGTGCGGGCAAGATGTACGCCATGCTCAACTACTTTTGGGTCATGAGCGGGCTCTTTCCGACAAAACCCCAGCCAGACATTGATCCACGCAGCGACACACGTTGGTCTTCACCTGAAGCGAAACTCAATGGTGCGATGGCTGAGCTTTATTAGTGCATACCCAAGGCTTTGCATAAACCAATGGAGACCTACCCACAGTTTGGATCAGCGGTATGTCCGATTCTCCCTCTGTCTGCGCATCAACACTTATGTATGAGATACTCTAGTTTCAGTGCTGCGGTTAATTCCGAGAGGTCGAACATACTGCATAGTCTCAAGGACTGCGCCAGGTTTGATCTTCTCTTCATTAAAACTCGACCCGACTGTCTTCACTGACGAGGCTGCCAAAAAGAAGGAGAATGCGCAACTCCTTGCTCTCTTAAAGAAGGATGTCGGTGGCGAAAAGTATACACGTCTAGCCCCCATTCTGTTCATGGATCCTTCTGCTCTAGTTCCAGATGCCTTCCTCAAAACACCAGTCATGGCCAAGGTGAGTGATGTATTCAGCTGCTGTCCAAGCAGTACGTTAGGGCTGACTCTGTCCCTCAGATCATCCGAGTTGAAATATTCGGGAAGGCTTCGCTGTCTGGGAAGACCAAAGGTCATCCGAAGGCCAGGGGTCAGCGTTGGTCTACGCAGTGTGTCACAGAAGGTCTGATCGCAGGTGCTGCTATTGTGGTGAGCGCATTATAATCTTCTGACTTTTGCATGCATGCTGATCTCGTCTCGTTCTCAGGCGCGTTTCTTGTTAACGCATGATCAAGAGCTCACAGCAACCGGACCAGCCACGAAAATTGATTATGCGCAAGACTTTGATTTTTACTTGGAGCGACTATTCAAGCGCAGCCCATGGGCTACGAGTGTGATCAACTATTACAACCAGGAGGTTTTCGGCACGAGCTCAGTCCTAGCTACTAGTGGTACCCCTACTCCACCCTCTGCCTCCCAACCTCACACCTGGGAAGACGACTTCTTACAGCAGTTAGAAGATCCTGCCTCCGCACCACAAACCATCCCCATTCCCGCACCACAACTTCTGTCATCTTCACACATCACTTATGCTCCGACTTCTGCGAGTCGTGCTGACATGAATGCAGTCGCCACTGTCAACTACCAGACTGCAATGTCTATCAGCAATCCGGGAGGGCCCGCCACCACCACTCAGCTCCAACTCGAAGTTGACATTGGTGAGCTCTCGCTGGATGGCGCTAGAACTGACTTGGCGCCATCTGCATCCAAGGGTGGTAGGGTGTCTGGCTCAACGTCGAGTTACCGCTCAGGCTGCTCAGACTCCGGTGGACTCGGACGTGGTCCCTGTTGTTCCTTTGGCTCCTCCTCCAGCACTCAAGCGTGTTACACGCAATGGTGGTGCCAAACTGAGGAAGGTGTCGGGGAGGAAGTAATTTTAGTGGAATCTGAGTCTCGCTTTATTAATTTGTTGAACCTGTCGCCCTCTGATTTGTTTACATTTACCTACAACTATAAATGCTAACTCCAGCTTACCCATTGTCACCTTCCAACAGCTATTAATTCTCGGACGCCCCCGCCCAACAGCACATTGCACATCTCTTGATTCAGCATTTAAATGATTACTAAGTCGTAAAATTGCATCCCAATTAGGGTAGTATAATCACAAGGCCAAACAAGTTGAGCTCTATTCTGATCAACGCTTCTATTGAGTCTTCTTTCATTTCAACCATTTCCACCTCTGAACAGACGTCGTCATCAACTCCGAAGATTCCGTCGACTACTCGACTCTTATTTATCTCAATCCATGCATTAATACCAACTCTCTCTCGAGGCAATTCAATGCTTGTCCATTGAAATCAAGTCTATCAATATGGTGCGTCGTCAATGTTAAAATTTTTCTCCTTCTCAATGACGAGGACATCTCGATCCCTAGCCACAGTTGACCACTTCTGCCTCCTTGTGAGTAGCGCGCAGTGCTACAACTGTCACACGACTGCAACTCCTCTGCGGAGGAAGGACGCTGAAGGCAAGACCATTTGCAACGTGTAAGTTCTCATTTGTTGTTCCTTCTATATTCGTACCAATATCTTATATACATGCAGATGTGGCCTCTACTACAAGCTTCACAGCTCTGCTCATCCCATTAGTATGAAATCTGATATTATTCGGAAGCGCTCTCACACGACGCTCATGTTACAATAACATGTAACCGAGAACCCCTCGTACGAAGGTCATCCTGACCTTAGCCCCTATCCCGCCATATGCACCGTCTTGGAAGACTTACCGACTCAACGGAGACACGTAGAGATACTTAGAATGGCCTGGATGCCGTTAGATGACCTAGACCAGCCTAGGCAACATCTGGATGGACCTAGAGGTCCTCGACCCGGATCATGAGAAGCTCTGCTTCATGGCCAGAAGAGAAGCCGCATGCTGCAGCATGCGCAGTTAGACTTGAAGGCACGCTTCGCCTCAAGGACTGATAGAAGAGGCATGATATGCCTCATGTATAGATAATCGCCTGCATGGCATCTGATAACATGCCCGTGTATGGATACACTCATACTTACCTACCGAACGTAGTATTGGTCTGTGCACACGGACGACAGTATATAGAGCAGACAGGATCATGTATTTCCGTACTTGATTCTACTAGGTTTTCCCCAGAACTTCCTCTGAAAGACAGTCCCAGTCCTTCAGTCTTAGTCGCACCTAAAGGCAAGCTGACGCTACCTTTAGTCGTATAGTTCTGCTAGCCCTACAGCTTGACGAGCCGCCGCACTTACCAAGCTTGTCGGAGGATACCTTGGCATTCCGCCGAGCTGTGAAACCGTCTCTCCAGTAGCGAGCCCGCTATCTGATTAGGCATTCCGCCTAGGGAGAGCTCGACCTTTCCTAGTCGTAACAGCTCGTGCGCTCTCCCTCCCCCTCTCAGATGTATCAATCCAACTGTCATCCGTCCCTGTAACTGACCAACTCAAAGATTTCCTTCACGCAACCTCACAAATGCATTCCTACGACAGCTCGCATATTCCATTCATCATAACCACCTCCCTCGTCCTCCTCCTCCACACGAGCCTCGCAGTGCTGCACACACCGACCCTCCTGCCATGTGTAGGCGTGCATACTGCTGCCTATGTCGGTGTCTTGGTCGGCCTCATGTCCTTTTTCGCGGGCTTGGCTGTTTGGGGGGCGTTGTCTTAGGTTTGCGCAGGCGCCACCTCTACCTCCTCGACCCACACTCTGAATCGCTACCCAACCTTCGCGCCTCGCCTCGCCTCGCCATGCCTTTCGCTTCTCTATTCAGGACCAAGCCCATGACCTTCAGCCGAGAAATACCACCTGCCAGATTACTATAATGTGAGTATTACGATCACTATTTTTTTTACCTGTATCGCGATCAGTACAAATGCGACCAATATTGCTGTTTTTTACTACTATTATCATTATAATATTACTATTATTATCATTATTTGGGAATTCCAGCAAGAGCATCGAAATACAAGCGACGAGTCTTGAAATTGTCTGAATTTACCTTGCTACCGTTTACAATGCTTACACTATCATTTCATGGCCTTATAATGTTAGGCTCATCACACGCCACCCAGGATCATTACAGTGCCTTAACATGATTTGGACAGACATTATAAGTGCCTTGAAATTTTTTCGTACACCATTAACATGCATTATAAGTGTACCGTGTGAAAAGATCCCTTAAAATGTCTTAAATTGAATTCGAAGGCTCGCTGGAAATTTCCGACATTGCTCGACGTCGGCCGAAAGTCATATCAAAAGGTTTCAGAATTATTTTCATTCATTCCTACTCTACCCGTACATAAAAATGGTCTCTCGTAGAATTAGCCATCTCAGTCTTCCTCCCGGATACTGAGATGTAAGCACCAGTACCTTCATATAATGTATCATCAGCTATAGTGCTGCCGGAGTCCGGTTCGAACCTGAATGTATCCGAACTGGACCATGGGTTTGGTCTGAGGTTCGGTATACTAGGAGGACCAAACCTATTATTAGGTTCGGGGTTCGGCTGATGGCGGAGAATTGTGGACCCGTTCGAACCTGTCCAAACTGACCGAGATATTTTTACTTCTGTATATGATCCTCGACGTCCTTATTGCTACTAATAATACTTTGATTCTTTCTTCTGATCTTCTGGCAACTTCAACGAGCATGGCCATTGTCAGTCCTGGTTACATTGATCTTGGGACGATGAATAGCGGCTTTTACTTGACAACTGAAACACTCAACATATATCCATTGGACACATCCAACTGCCTCATCGATCTCCTCAATGTTACGGTAAGCTCAATGTTTTATTATTATACTGATTATAATGTCTTTTATGTCTAGAAACTATCATCAGGATTCTCATCTAGCTCCTTTGAGCTTCAACATCAATTAACTGCACCAGTAATTGCATGGCAATGGTATGCTCAAGGTGCGTCATATTTTTTGATATATCATAAATTTTTGTATAAACAAGCTACTCTAGGTTCCACATTCACCCTTCCCGCTATGAGCATGTCATGCGCACTTGCATTCGATGGCCAACTCAAAGACGCTAGCATCATTGACTGGTACAACGATCCTGACGATGACTTACCCATGCTCCCTCCACTCCCACCTCCGCCTCCTGCATCCAATGGCAAAATAACTGCCTTTATCTCTTGTCACTCAGGTCGAGCGGTCAAGCCAATGGAGAAAATTCATGAAGCCGTCAATGTGGCTCCAGCCAAGCAATCGGCTCCAGCAGTTCCTTGAGGCCAGCCTGCACCCAAGTGAGTGCAAGCTGGTACCCATCTGGACAGTCGCCTTGACGATGACGATGATGAAGCCCCCGCACTAGAGGATGTCACAGATGAGGAAGAAGAAGATGAGGATAACAATGAAGAAGCCTATGCAAGGACCAAGGCGCTTGGAGATGGGGATCGGGAGCATTGGAAGCACACTACGAAAGAGGAGCACAGTGCTGATTTGAAGACTGTATTTATGCAGGAGAAAGGTTGTGTCAATCCACACACTCAAGCATATGAAGACAGCTGGTGGTGCGAAATATGCAAGTATGTTTTGAACATTTTGAATTGATCACACATAACTAACATTGATTACAGAGCTAACAATGTACCATGGAACAAATGCTTTTTCAAAGGCAGCATTTCCACTTGCTGTACTCATATTGCTCGTAATGCAAAGTTTCACTTCCCTATCTACTGAGACCGGTGCAAGGAACAAGGTATCAAGATGCACAATTGTGCCATACCTTCCAACTGCAAAGCAACCGATGGGACCCAGAAAACATTAGACCAGTCGCTCACACCTAAAATACCTGAATTCACCAAGTCCAGCCTGATGGATTATATTGTCAAGCTAATTGTATCTGATGATGAGGTGAGTGATTACAATTTCTTGTGTAACTAAGACACTTATACCATACATAGGCGTTCCAACTCATGGATAAGGGACCATTCCGTCGACTCCTTCAGTACCTCCAGCCCTCCCTTACAGACAGAGACATTCCCCATCGTACCAAAACTTGTGATGAGATTCTTCAATGAGCCAAGCTCACCGTCCAGCGCATCAAAGACAAAATGAAGCAAGTCGACAGCAAGGTATCTATCTATCACTTTTGACTCGTGGACCTCTGAACCCAGTGTACCTTTCCTATCTGTCACGGTGCATTACATTGACTCCCCAGTGGGGAAACCTCATGAGTGGAAGCTGAAGGTGGAGCAACTCGCATTTACCACCATTAATGGTAATCATAGCGGCAGCAACATTGGCCGAATTTTAATACAAACTATCGATGACTACGGCATTCATAACAAGCTTGGTTGGTTTATGGCTGACAACGCCACCAACAACGACACTGCAATTCAGACTGTCGCAAACGCTATTGACCCTTCCGGTACAAAATGGATCGCAGGCGAGTATCATGTGTGGTAAGTGATCACATTCTATTAATATTATATACTAACATCTATTCAGTTGTATGGAGCACGCCTTACACCTTGCAGCCAAGCACTTCGTTGAGGATGTTGCTCCTACTCCAGCAAGTATTCTCAACAAGAATGCAGCTGATGACGATGAAGATGATGAAATGACCAATTTTGAGGTTGCTGACACTGTTGGAAAAGCCCTCATGCTTGTTACGCAGGTAAGTCTTCATCTGACCAGCCCATTTAAATTTTAATGAACCATTCATGCAGGTACGAAAATCTCCTCAGGCGCGAACCTTCTTTCAGAAGTGTTGTGCTGAGGTCAACGAGCCAAGTCTCGAGCTATTAAAATGGATTTGCACAAGATGGGCCTCGCTATTCAGGATGATGGAGCACACCCTTCAGTTGCATAAGGGGGTCAATAGATTTATTCAGCTTGCAGATGACAGTGACGAAGTTCCCAACTTGCAGGGTAAGTCATTGTCATATCCCATATATTCACGCTTCTCTTCCGGACTTCAGACCCTTAGATCCGGTCTGGTCCGATGCATAGATCCACGTCCGATCCGATATCCGATAAGCTTCTTAATTCATTTCCTGTTCATATAACATTAAACACAGCCTATTCGGTATTTCCTCTTCCCGGTGTCTCGGTTATACTTATTACCAGTATGATTACTGATCTGTTATCCTATGCTTCATTTCTGACTCGCGTTTGATAAGCTTTGCATATGCTTCGTACATAGCCTCGGACCTTTGCTTATTGATCCTTCCATTATCCTCTTAGTATATAAACCCGTGTATATTTCCTGTAGTACCTCAGTTCGAATATCATCTTAGTTTGTCCTCTTTCTGTCCTCCGGACTTGAGTCTAAACAACTCTTGTCAATCTCTGAGACTTCGGATCGATTCCGATAGTCTACGTCTCCGCCTCTATCTTCGGATAGTCTATACTCTGTTTGTTTCTAGTCCGGATCTGTCCGGATTAGTCTTATACGTGTTTCCGATATCCGGAAGTCATTCGGATATAACTACGAGACTCGTCCGGACCTTCGGACGCGTTATCGTCAAGTCTTTGAAATAAGGGACAGTACTTGGGAAAGGGGCACAGCATACGAGCTGAGGCCAAAGTCCTTTGGATCCAATCCTACGAGAGTACGACCTTAACAGTCATATGGAGCATTCAAGCTCTCAGTGGATGAATGGAAAAAGTTGGAATTAATGTGTGACGGAGCCCCTTCAGTGACAAATTCCGTATTATACGGGCCACCCGACCTACATAATATCCCGTATGAGACGGGCCAGCGGATTATGGGCCCATGTTGTGTATATTCTCGATGATGACGGATGGGCCGGGACACATATTATTTCCGATGGAGACGGGTGGGCCCATGTATGCCAATGATATATATATCCTTGATGTTGACGGATGGGCCGGGGGAATATGATCATTCATGGAGATGGGTGGGCCCATCAGGGTAATATGTAGAGTAGGATATTATAGACAGCTGGGCTGAAGAGAGATGTAAGGCAAATATTGTTATATAGACGGGTGGGCCGACGGGGGTGTATTACATATATGGGTGGGCCGAGGTAGGGGAATATTACATAGATGGGTGGGCTGACGCGGGGTGTATTACATATACAGGTGGGCCGACATAAAAAGTATTACATATACGGGTGGGCTGACGAAAGGGATATCAAATAGACGGGTGGGCCGAGGGTGTGATAAAATATTTATTACATAGACAGGTGGGCCAAGGTGGGGTATAATTATATAGACGGGTGGGCCGACGTAGTATGTATTATATAGACGGGTGGGCCAACATAGGATGTATTACATAGACGGGTGGGCCGAGGGTGTGATAAAATATTTATTACATAGACAGGTGGGCCGAGGTGGGGTATAATTATATAGACGGGTGGGCCGACGTAGTATGTATTATATAGACGGGTGGGCCGATGTAGTATGTATTATATAGACGGGTGGGCCAACATAGGATGTATTACATAGACGGGTGGGCCGACGTGGGGGATAATACATAGATGGGTGGGCTGACGTGGGGGAATTGTACATAGATGGGTACATATATGGGTGAGCCTGGATACGTATAAATGTCAACTTTTCAGTGCAAAACCCCAAACCGAGATTTACCAACCCCCGAAACCCGAAATTGTGGACTGCCGGGTGTCGGGTTTCGGGGTTCGGGGGTCCCGGAACTCGGAACTCGGTATGTGAGACAAAAATATATTTCATACACGGGTAAGTCAATGTGTCCGTCAATCAACTCGATTGTAAAGTATATTTTATTGATCTCCCCAAATTTCCCAAGTTCCGAGTTCCGAGTTCCGGGACCCCCGAACCCCGAAACCCGGCAGTCCACAATTTCAAGGTTCGGGAGTTGGTAAAATGTGTATGGACAGATGAAAGGTTGATTTAAACATTTTTGAAAGATGTCCCATATGAAATGTTAAGTCCCGAATTTTGAACTCCGGGTTTCGGGACTCCGGGTTTCGGGACTTCGGGCTTCGGGACTCGGGACTCCAGAAAGCGGAACGGAAATCA